AGCCTTTTCGCATGGCTCGAGATTTCCATCTCCCAACGAACGAATAGACCTCGAAGCAAAGACCGGATTGTCCAAAGAAAAAATTGCCGTTTGGTTTCAAAATCGACGAGCGAAAGAAAAAAAGCAAGAAAAGTTACAACATGGACCATGCAGCAAGGCGAGGCGAACACATGACGACGATATGGGTACAGAGGACGACCTGCATGAAAGCTTTGGGAGCGAGGAGATGGCCGAGGACGAAAACGAGAGTTATGATAATAGGTATCATTATGACGGTATGACGATGTTCGACTCAAACATCCACACAACAACTTCCAGTCTAGGAAAACCTCAGTCCTTATGTGATAATCGCATGATCACGACACTGAACGATTTTACTAATGATCCCAATTGTGCTGTGGTGACCAACGAGGCATATCCCAGGAGCAATGAGAACGACTGCACAACGACCGTATACTGTGAATTGAAACAACCGTCATATTCCACAGATGATCAACATATAGACAAGACAGACACTCCTGTCGAAAATTGTTCAGCTACCGGACTTCATCCACTCGACATGAACTTGAAAATGGACAAAGAAAATACAACGTCTCTCCCGTACAGCTTACCAAACGTTTCGGAGCTTGACAATTCAAAGGGTAACAATAACAACTCTCCACATGTTGACGATGGCGTTATCACATCATGCACTGACGTCAGAACATATCCATATTCGGAAAGAGAAATCTCGTCAACTGGTGCCGTTGTAAAACATTCGACCGTCGAAACAAGCGTACATTCTTGCTCATCGAGCGAAACTAAAACTACATCTCGCAGTCAAGGGAAGCTACCATACCCCTTTGCCAACATACATAAAAAAGTGCAAACTGAGTTCGGGCCACTTGTTATGGAAAGAAAGTTTAAAACGATAAATGATATCAGTAAAGTGCATTCTGGGGCTCATCAGATCACTGAATCCACTCCATGTGATTCCAAAGAACATGAAAAAAAGCAAACTCAGATGATTCAGGCTTCGAATGCAGTCAATGATATAGAAGGAAATAAGATTACATTTGAAACCGGTGACGACACGTACAAAACTTTGGAAAGTTCAACGGCTCCTTGTGCACCACCGATCGAAAAGAACCCGGATACATCAAGTAGCACCGAGGGAGGAGTGACTCATCATAAGAAGAATGAGAAAGAAAGTGACGCTAACAAAAACCTGTTGCCTGTGTTGCCTCTTGATGAAAAAAAACCCTTGCAGCAAAACAAAAAACCAGGTTTCCTTGTGTTGTCCCTTCAAGGTGGAACGATATCTGTTGAACCCGCAAACAAACTTTGCGGAGCAACTTTAAACACACATAACGCTAAAATCAAAGATGCTCCTCGCCAGCTACCCGATATTGCCAGCTTTCTAAATGGCAGCATTCCACCAGTCATTCATAAAGTCGGAGTGACAATTGCCGATGAAAGTTTGAATGGCTCGGAAAAACAGTTGCCAGCAAGTGAAAAGATTGCCAGCAAGTTCGTGTCGCCAGATTCAACAAAAAAAGTTGAGAAGAAAAGTGCAGAAAATGTTGAACTATCTTCGAAAACCAACATCAACAAACAAATTATACCAGTTATTAAGATTCTTCCGACTGGAGAGGCGATTGCCATGGATTTGGCTGCTCTCTGTCGCGCGAGCAGCAAACAATCACCCTCCACATCGTCGAAACTGCCACACGTTGAAAACATTGGTAAGGTTACGTTGAACAAAGAAGCACGTCTGTGTGCCGCAGCACCGCTGGGTGATAAAGGAAAACAAGTCAAAACAAGCAACACGTTTCTGGAGAATGGAAAAGCTGTCAAGGATGGCACAGTTGAAAAGCCCCAAAAGCATGAAGGTAGCATCGATGATTTCCACTGCCCAAAGAAGAAGCAAAAGATGGATGAAGAGATGTCAAAGAAAAAATCAGAGAATTTTGAATAAATTTTCTCCAACACGATGACAAAAGTTACCCAACTTCAAGCGAACATGCGAACGTTTTGAAGCTATTTCGTTTGATTCCTACTTATAATTCATTTCGTTTCAAATTCAGTAGGAAATGTCAATACAGTCTTTTAAGTTCAGCAAACATGTTTTAGCACAAACTATTCGATGTCAATGAACTGTGGCAGAAATTTACGATGTTGACGATTTGTCCAAATCAGCCCAAAATTGTTGGCTTAATTTCATCCGACGATTTTTAATTAGGTAGCTACTTTGATATCATATATATTTGAAGATTTTCAAAAATCAAATGAATCATGGATGGTTGGTTTTAACATAAAAAACCGTTCGACATTGTAAGCCAGAAGGGCTAGAGTGTGTCTAAAATAGACGTTTTATTTGAAATCGACTCATCCAATTTATAAAATGCATTTGTTTCTACTTTCAGCAATTTTGAAAAAGTTCTTCATACACAATTTGATCGCTACACAAGTTATATTCTTCGCCATATTCACTTGAGATGTAAAAATCATTAGTCGATTTCAATTCTTCCTCAATTTTATGGAAGCCATGTTTAAGTTTTTACGAGCACTGTTAGTACCATATTCAAAACGCTTATAATTTACTTTATTTGTTCTCTATTTATTCATCTATTTATTATGAGTAATGTGTATTTTAAAATTACTATTTATGTACTAGTTGGACTGTTAAATACAAAAATTTTGGAATGTTTTATGCCCGGTTTCATATTCTAATAACAACATAAAAACAAAACTCGTCAAAGACATCCAAACAGAACCATACGAAACCCCAAACAAACCACGTATGACTGTAATTTCCACAATATCTACTTGTGGGATGATTATGCCATTTAGAATTTTCTACTAAAAGATAGAAGGTTTATAGCACAACATATATGTTGACTTTGTACGTGTTTGTGCATTCGACCGTTTCCATCAGAACAACTTACACACATTGTACTATCTATGAAATTTCTTACCACTATTAGATTTACGACGTTTTCTCAGTTTTAATGAAAATGTTCATCCCAGTTTCTTGGGATTTTTTCAATTAGGATAGCTAGTCTTCTCTATGAGCCAATTCTTTTAAACTTGACTTATACACACTTTAGCGTAAGATGAAAATCTTCAGGGTGTATATAAAGAGTTTGGATCCGAACACCTTAACATGTCAACCATAGTGTTGCAATTTCAAATTTCATTATTTCTTGACATGACGAGATTTAAGAGATGAAGGCAATGTATAAAAGCTCAGCAAAGGATTCTTGCTTGTTTATAGATTTAGATTAGATCGTCCAGGTTAGTTGATGTTGACTGATGTTTCGAAAATCTTAGCAGCGGTCCAGTGGTCTTCTACAGAGTCATCTTGAATGGAAATCAGCAATATTTTCCGTTTCTGATGATCACATTTTCTCTATACACAGCTGCCTAGCCAGAGTAGACTGAGTAAGACCGAGTCAAACATGGGAAACCACTGATGACGGTTGAATTGTCCCATCCACGCTTTGAAGCACTTTCGTGACATGTTTAAATTCAATGAAAAAGTTGCTGTGAAAAAAGCGGGAGATGGAGTGCCACAGAACTGATTTTGTGCACAAGTTATTCTTGATATATTAAAAATTCATATTTTGTAAGTCGTTTGTGCATATTGTGAAGGGAAAGCTTTTACTCATTTACGCACGTTTTATGCACACACACAGTGTATCGGAAAACCTTTTTAGTGGTGAATATGAAGAACGCTTTTGTCTCCCAATGATCTGAAGTGGAAATGAACACGTAACTGGGATGATATCGTAAAGAAAACCAAATAAGTTATAACATTTGCTATGACGGCATAGAGAGGTTAGCTTCTATGAACTCAGAGATGGCGTTACACGATACCATGCAAAATACCATGTATTATTATGCGAAATAGATTGGAGAGAAAAGTGGATGACACGTATATGTTGTAAGCAGCTGCATGCAGACTTTGAAATATATTGTTAAGAGTTAAGACGTCAAAAGCTTTCTACTGCATATATGATCATATCCTACCGAGATCATTGTATCATATTCTTGTTCTTTGAAATGTGATGCTGCTAATACATATTTTTAAATAAATGAACTATAGTTTACTTGATGTGAGTTGGTAAGAACAGTAAGAGAAATACACGGTAAGTCTTCCTCTGCGCCTTCGCCGTTTAAAAGTGATTATTATATAGCAAGGGTCACTTCCGGCATTATTTTCCAGTAATCGACCACGGTCCAAAAACGCGTAACTTTACTGTCAAATATAAACAAACTTCGTAATGCAAACAGCAAAACGCAAAATAAACGAAACAAAAACCATTTACAAATGTGATTCGAAGGAAAAACACTTAGAAAACAGTTTAACTATCCAGACGATACAATTTGAAACGATTTATTTTTTATGGACGAAAACTAGAAAAGTAAAAGCCAACCCGTACAAAACAGCACGGACGAGAAAGAAAGCAAGCTTCGTTTCAGGTCAAATAATGCCATGTAATAAACCTTTTAATAACCTCGCTTTCTCAGTCTTTACTGAGAAATATCAGACCTCTGTCTTTCGGTAAAGAAAGACCACGGTCCGTTATTTCTCCGTAAAGACCTCGCGCTCGGTTATTAAGGGTTTAATAATTTACGATTATACCGTTATTTATTTTTTAATGGTATATTATTTTGAGTTTCACGCATTTAAAATTTCACAAGGAAATCGTGCTGTTATCTCTTCAATTGCCTTTCATCTCAGGTAACCATGGTTGCATCCAATTTGGACATAAAATTTCTTTATACTTTAATGAAGCCATGCAGATAGGTGGTTTGAAATCCGATCATAGAGTAGACAGAAAAAAATGGAGGAAAACGGGGCGAGTATGGCGACCACTCGAAAAATAGAGCCGAAAAAGCGATCACGACTTGAAAAGATCATTGCCTTTTGAAAGAGCCTGCTGGACATATAAATTTTTCGATTTATGAGGTTTGCCACCGGATATCATAAGTAGACACTTCAAAAGGAAGTGACGAGAACAACTAAAAAAACGTATTTATACTTATTAATAAAAACTTATTAATTATTCTTAAGAATGATTACGTCGCCTCGCCAACCATTTGAAATGAAATGATCATTCATAGAATTGATGCCTACCATTTGAAATGAAATGATCATTCATAGAATTGATGTTTGTTACAATTGGTGGGTAGACGCATTCGCTCATTTGACTTAACATCTGTACATATGTTGAGGATATTCCATTACAACGTCAACAGACATTGTCAAATTTTCCGGCGTTGCTTTGACATTTGGCGAATTTGATAACACTCTGAAACAATTGAATACAGGTAAGTTTGTTTGTTGGTAACATCTGAGCTATCGGTTACGGTATAAATGATCGTATCGTCGATGAAATTACTTTATACTACGCACATACTTTAAGCTTGTAGTGAAGAGTTGTATCGACAGTAAAATTATTATAGCAATCTGTTGTTAACTCGCTGTGCATAACTTTCATACAACCAAAATATCGGCATTTTATTGATTGTATTTCAAAGATGCATTCACAATGATTGCATTTGCAGCGTGTCTGATAGATCAAAATTATCAAGTGAAAATCCGTTGTGTCAAGGGAGCGTCTCACACGTGAGGCCTTGCGTGAATTTTGGTAATTCATCATTGTCATCAAGGCCTTAAAATGCTTCCTCTTTTTTGACATTGGCCAAATGTTTTGTGTTAATCAGAGGTGCATTGGCTGATTTGGCCCATTGGGGGAACCGGGATATCTTCCGGCTTCTATGATGGCTTTCTACTGCAGGAAAGTTCGTTCAACTGAAAAAAGATAATAAATTGCATTGCAGGGACCGCGCACGCGAGGGAATGGTGAGAGTCATGCGACCCGTTCCTTTTTCCATGAAATTCAAGCTTTTGTTTGGAAAAATCAGCATGCCTTATATAGAGTATGTTTTCATGCTATTATCTCCCCCCTCACAATCATCAACATGCTCCGCGATTCCCGCTGCATCGTTCACAGAGGCGTAAAGTTGCTAAGTTCTGAACACAATAAAATAGAAATCAAAAGCATTGAAATCTTCATTGTTTAAATTCATATTGTATTCGCGTTGAAATGTGATTATCATGATGAATAAGACTCATGCAACAAATAAATTGTAAAACTGTTTCTTTCTTTGTCACTTTTTCCTTGAATGTCAGCCGGTGGTCACTTGGGTTCCAGTGCCCAACATCCCGCGCGACTAAATACATTTAAGTGAAAAACTTTGCCTTAAAAGAATACTATATGACTGGCCATTGGAGTTGACTGATGTTTTATTACACAAAATAGTGTACGTGTTTTTGAAAGGATCGCACTTCATTATCACTTTGTCTATAAATTTGCAACATTACGCTTTTGTAGTCGTTGTCTTTCTCTTTTCTTCATGCAGGTTTTCAACATCTGCTCACCTAACAACGGTCATTAGGCGGGAATTTTTTTCTTTCTACGCCACAATTAGCAGGAAAATGTAAATTTGGTGACTTTTTAAAGGTCTCGCTTTAGTATATATGTTTAATTTACAACTGTATGGTCGAAGTTGTAATTTGCCTTTCAAATTAACGGCCACATACGTACTTAATCACATCAAGTGCGCATATATTTGACGTTCACTGATGACTAAAGAGCAATGACGGCTAGTTTTTGTGGTTTGAAATTCTCAAATGTGTACATTAATAAGTCCGTTCAAGTTTTTGTCAGGTAGGACGAGCGTGAACACTTACAATATCCGAGAAAATAATCAAAAGCAGCCTTCGTTGCGAAGTCATCTGTTTGATAAATTAATTCAATTTCTTTCAAATTTAAACATCTGACTGAAAGTTCAATTCGTTTGTTTAGCGTCGAGTCATGCTTTGTTGTCGTTGGTTCAAGTTGTTTGTTTTTCTTTTTTTGCCGCCAAAATATTTTCAAATGACGTTGACGAAAAGTGCCCTTGGTCAGGAAGAGGATACAGCGGGACTACTGGACGGAGATATTTTCCTCGGTGGTCTGTTTCGCATTCGTAAAACAAACGCAACAAACCATTGCCAGCAGGAGGTCGAACCGCAGGTTGGTATTCAACGCGTCGAGGCGATGTTGTACGCCGTCCAGAAAGTTAACAAAGACCACACGATTTTGCCCAATGTGATACTAGGTGCTGAAATACGGGATACGTGTAGCTCAAAGACGAAGGCACTCGATGAATCGCTAAAGTTCATTGTAGACTCTCTTCCATCGCGTCCGAATGCGTTGAATAACGAGCAGTGTTGGAGAAATTACACGAAGAAACTTGTGGGGGTTATTGGTCCATCTAGAAGTACGCTCTCCATCGAAGTGGCAAAACTATTGCGACTTTTTAAAGTTCCGCAAGTGAGTTACGCGTCCACAAGTGCAGAACTGAGTAATGAAAAGTACAGTTATTTTGCAAGAACAGTCCCCTCTGATGCAGTCCAGGTACGAGCAATGATAGACGTAGTGATAAAGTTTGGCTGGAAGTCGGTGTTTACCATAAACTCGGCCGGAAGCTATGGTGAAAATGGTATCAATGAATTTAATAAGGAAGTTAAGAAAACTCTTTCTGTTATATGTGTTGTCCACTCTGAACAAGTGAGTGACGAATCCACCATGGACGAATACAAGAGCATCATAAACAAGTTTGCACGATTCCCGTCAACTCGTGTTATCATTCTCTTCTTAAAAGACAACCACGTGAAAATGTTGCTGAAAGCGGCGAAAGAAAGCGGCTACATTGGTAACGTATGGATTGCAAGTGACGAATGGGGTACTCGCTTGGACATCGTCGAAAACATGGAAGATTTTTTCAAACAGTCGGAAGCAATAACGTTTAAAATCACTTCGTCACCATTGAAAGGATTCAAGGAACATTTCTGCAGTTTGAATGGGAGTAGACACAGCAGACAGAATCCGTGGTTTCAGCAATATCTGCTACAACGAGGTAAAGCGACGTGTGACGATGCTTTCAACGACAAATTACCTTTCGTTATGGATGCCGTCGAAGTTTTTGCTAGAGCACTGGACATCATCTATAAACGGAAATGTCCCAAATTACGTGGACTTTGCGACGACATGAGAAGAATAAAAGGCAAAGAACTAAGAGATCTTATATTCAATAATACTTTCACAGGAAACTCGTCCCGTGAGATATCGATTAGGAAAAATGGTGATTCTGTAGGTAGTTATGAAATATTTCACTATTCTGATAAGAACAAATATCGAAAAATTGGCGAGTGGCTAGGCCAGTTGCGTTTAAGCAATTCTCCGGCAAAGTTTAGAAACAGCATTTCATCCGACTGTAGCGATAACTGCTACCCATGGAGCAGAAAGATTCTGAAAATGGGGACAACGTGCTGTACTCGATGCGTTGATTGTCCAAACAAAGACTGGCAATATGTTGGTAAGTACATAGCTTTTTCTAGTGTTTTTTTTTATATCGTCGATCATAACAATATTCCTAATTCTTGAAAAGCTCTAACATGTATCTGTGAAAGCCGAACTTTCAAACAAGCATGAGGTAGTACGATAACTTTGGTACTTTGACGTCTAATCCTCTGAGCAGTATAAATTGAACTGTATCTGCAAATGCCGTTTAGAAATACGTGAGAGTAAGCGTACATACTTTGTATACGAGTGTACATGAAAATCCTTTAAGTTCATCCGCAGGCTTTTATAATTTGTATATCCCTTAATTACAATGGATGTGATAATAACATCCACTGCCAACCCTGACGTCTTTGATTGCATTTAAGGTACTTAATCAGTCCATATCTACTGAAACACAATCGCCATTCATATTTTAGTGTCTTCTCATTGTAGAAAACGAAACGACGTGCGTTGACTGCAAGAATAACCAGCGAGCTAATATCAATCATACTGGATGCGAAGATTTACCTACGCGATACATTTCAGCCACATGGTTGATTTGCATTACCACATCCTCGATATTGGGTATCTTGTGTAGCGTGATTACTGCCATTCTACTTTTTCACAATCGCCACACACCGTTGGTTGAATCAAGTGGAAGCATCACGTCCTTCTTTTTGCTTGTCGGGGTGATCATTAGCTACGTCATTGCTATCGTGTTTGTCAGCAAACCTGACGTAATGACTTGTATTCTGCAGAGATCGGGCAAAGGTCTGGCCAACACGCTGTGCTATGCAACGATTTTGATGAAAATTGACAGTATTAGAAAGATATTTGCCGCGAAAGATGTGAAATCGAAGCATTTCACAAAATGGCATGCTCATGTGGCGTTTGTTTTGCTTATAGTCTCAATCGAAGGAATCATATCAACAGTGGGACTAATCATAAAACCGCCAAAAATAATCAGTGTTTTACCTTCGAGAAGCGGCGTTTTCAAAAAGTGTAACTATGGTCTCCTGGAATATGTTACATCCTATCCATACAACCTATTACTCATAATTTTATGCACCATATACTCGTTTTGCATTCGGAAAATTCCGTCAGCGTTTAACGAAAGCAAGCACATTGCTCTAGTTTTGTACAGCACGTGTATAATATGGTTGGCATCTCTTCCTGTTTATTTGGGCACTCCCTCGAGTTATAAACCAATCACAATTGGTCTGAATACGGCACTGACGGCAACCACTATTTTGGGTTGTTTTTTTGGACCAAAAGTTTACATGCTGTTTTTTAATCAAACTGCAACTGGCGAAATCTCAACAGCAAATCAATCGTCTCGAAGATGAGTTGCTCTAATGCTCTTTGATGCCGATTGATAAACTTGTCAAATATGAAGTATTTTTCATGACATCACAAGATTAAGAATTGTATTGTATATAAACACAAATGCTATACACACAGTTTCATTCGTATCGTTCGGTTTCAAACTACTAGAAGCTATAATAGCGAATGGACGAATAGTGAATAATTTATAACGGAGATTTTATAAAGAATATAGCATGTCAGCTAAAAAACGACACTGTAGGAATATTTTTATAGTTCACGACTTAAAACAAAAATTATTGACGAAGCTCTCTTTTACATTTTCCTGTTTTGCATTATTGTTACTTTTATGAAATAAATAAAAGATTTATTTCAAGTTTACCAATGAATGGCCACAATCCACCAAATTTTGTGTCTCTTTTTCTATACTTGCCCCAGCATTCAAGTTTACTTTTACGTCTAATTTGTGTTTGGACATGCAGTTTTGTGCCCATACAAACACAGGAAAATCTCTGGGGCTGCTTTTAAAATGGCGTAGTTCATCTCTTCTCAAAGATATTGAGCCTAGTAGACTCATTTTCAATGATTTTAACCTTGTTGGAGCTGACAATCAAGCAATGTAAGATTTTAAAGATACATGCCATAGCCAATATAGATACCAAGCAAGAAATTTCCAAACTCTTAAAAAGCTCTCTTAAAAGCGAAATGTCCTGTCAGGGACGCCAGAACGTCGATAATTGTGGGGAGAGGGAAATGTCATAAATGCATGTTTTGCCTGATTACTTTCTTTTAAAATCAATTGTTTTATACGAGCTGTGAATACGAATATATGAATATTCTCCCTCCCCCCAATTATCGACATTCCGGCGTCCCTGTGTACTGTTCTAGCTGACAAAACATTTATTAAATAAAGATAAGAACTTATTACGTGGGATTTAATGGATAAGTTGGATCTAAAATCCATTGCAAATGTCCTTGTTGGCGATCGTAAAAAAGAACTCTTTTCTCAAATTTTGTTTACTTTGATCATTCCCTACGATTTTTTTCATCAAAGATTTGCATTTCAACTTTCGATAAAACTTTGTTTGCTGTAGAGAAGATCATCTCTTGTTCTTTATTGAAAGTGCAAATAAATCGCCCACTTCCAAACGTAAGCACACCCTTCCCAACAAAAATTGGGGTCACACTCCCACTCCTTAACTATATTTTCTAATATCCATTCTCAAAACCATGTATGGAAGGTAATTTAATTACTATGGCGATGTATTTACCTTTGTTGAAGTTAGTTTTCCCAATGTTGGGTGTGTTGACTTTCGAGAGATTTCAGTTCCAACAAAACCTTGTCGTTTTCACAATTGCCATTCTCAAAATATTATAACAGCAGTCGTTGAAGGAGCAGTTCTTGGTGAACGTGTGTTTAAGCAGCCATGAACTGCTAAGATGGATGATAACATGAGAAACAAATACTTCACAAGCCCCACGTGTCAATAATTAACCCCATGACATTAACCACATTCAACCGCAATAAAACTTCTGATGAAGTTATGTGGATTTTCTCGAGTTGAGCAGCTGGTGAGAAATGTGACCACAAGAAAGCAAGCCTGTTCAATTGACAGGAAGTCGTAAAGAATTTATGCAATCTCGATTCCAATGACGAGAACACCATCGGGAAATGAAGAATTGAGAACAACTTTATTTATTTTGGCTTCACGACGCCAATTTATGAAGGACAGATAGCGACATGAGTTATAGTTTCTATATCAGCAAAATTCTAGTTATGTTGATTTGTTTCCTGTTACGACGCCTGCACGATACTATTCGACGTGGAAATGATGTAAATGATTAAAAACATTGTCAACCTATTGAGAAGCCAGCCCTTAGTTGTTTACAATGCAAATTTTTTTAGAAAACTTATTACTTATTTCTTTAGAAATTTAATACCGTTCATTGGTTTTCTGTAGAATGAGTACAAAATATTTGCATTGTAAAAGTGTAATGCGGATGGCTTCGCTATCAATTGTTTCTGGCTTATATTCCTTTAAAAACATCTCATATATTTGTTCTTTGGTGTTTTGAGTTTAGCAGTTAAGCTGTTTTGTAAAAAAAATTTCGAGAAAGGTAAAACATAGCCACGTGAAAACCCATTTTTCAAACTGAATTTCCCACCATGGAAGATGGAAGTCTATATGATGACTGTGCAGTAAGTTTCAAACGCGGTGCAGAATTTTAGCAAAAATGGCGGCAGCGAAATATTTCGTTGGTCGTTTCCCAATACTCTTGAATGCCGCATACCTGATACCAAGTGATTTCAACAGAAAAATCTCAAGTTTATCCTATTCCAAATCAACGTAATAAATGTTAGTATAACGACACACGAAAGACAACTGTTATACGGTATTATGGCTTTACTTAAAATCGTTCACCAATTCAGTCAAAACAGTTTTTGAAGCCGGACGATTTTCCTGACGCTAGCACTCTTTGGACGGTGAATTTGCCGAGTGTTGTAGAATGGGACTGTTTTTTAAGTTCCTAAACGCCACTAGATGAGATTCGCAACGCTTTTAGCTACATTTAATCATTTAAAGCTACATAACTGCTCTTTAAGCATTTAAAATCGATATTGTTTGAATTTTATGTAGTTCTATGTGAAAATAGTTCCGCCCGATATCCAAAACGGTCAGAGCAACAACGTTTTGTGAAACGCATTTAAAACGAGCAGTTAGATGTACTGAAATTTCACTGCGTCATAGAACCAGCTTCAATTCAGGAGAAATGAAATTTTGTCCACCGAATCAGGAAACCATTTTGTACCCGAGTTGCTACCATTTTCCGACGTCAAGTGTTCTAAATCAAAACGCTTAGTCGATCGATTCTTATGTCCACACTTAGTCAGATATATACCGTCCTGGACCATACTCACGTAAACTTTTACATACTCATACTATCATAGATCCATATTCACTGGTACGTATTCACCTGCATACATCCAAATTCATGCTCTCCTAGATCCATATTCACACCATATTCACCTAAACTCTTACATACTCATACTATCATGGATCCATATTCACCAACATCATTCAGATCCACATCTTGTACCCATATTCACCAGCACGCATTCAAATTCAGGGTCTCCTGGATCCATATTCATTAACAACTCAATCAGATTCATGCTCTCCTGTACCAAAATTCACCTACCCTTGTCAGAACCCATACTATCCTAGATCCATAATCATCTACATTCATCCAGATCCATAGTCACTTGGACCTACATTCACCTACAGATCCACAAGTCGATGCTTACCTCGATTAATAGTCTCCTAAACTCCTCCTACATGCAGCTTGTCTCGCATAAATTGGAAAATATAGTTAGATTGAGAAACGGTTTATTACATATTAAACTATAATACTAAATTCACAGAGCTGTCTATCAATTATTTCTTCCACAGTTATTGCGTTTCAAGAAACAATGTCATCCGAGTAAACAAAATGTATGTTTTACTAGCCTCTGTGGCAATTTTTGAAGGCATTACATACGTGAATACTAAGGCTATTATGTATTGAGTAATTCTGAGTATACGTTTGCGGTATGGATAAAAATTCGTACATAACTAACAGGGGCACACAATATAAGGACGTGTATGCGTTTGGAGTGAGGGGGTGAGACGGGAGTTGTCTAACCCTAGTAGCTTTAAAGGAGCAATTTTATAAAGGTCAGTTCAGAAACTGACAGAGGGCAAAACATAACGCATGAACCTTCAATAACTGCAAAATTTTATCGGTGATTTCTGTCGGCACGTATAACTGGATATTACTTCAACGATCTTTTTGCAAAGTTGGAGGAAAATATCTCAGATTTTACGCACCGTTTGTCTAACCTCATCCGCCACCACCTGAAATGAAGACAATGAACAAAATCTTGAAATTGCAAATTGATTTTGTAAAAAATTTCCTGGCAACAGCGTTGCCCTGCCCTACATAATCATGCCCTGCCCTACATAATCCTGCCCTGACAACGTGACAAGCGACTATGTTGGAAACTTGGGAACATAAAAGACTTTTTTATGATTGAATATACGTAACATCATGACTGTTTTACCTGCATTCCCTCGCTTTGGAGGTCTATATGACGAACCAGAACTGCTACCACTCAATGGATTGTAATCGTTTCTGGTCTGACGTGTACGTGTTGATCTGCTACGTCCTTGTTGAGTGTTCTCCCAATCATCAATTTTTTCTTTACGTTTCTGTGCGTCCATCTAATCAAATCAAGGCATTACATCAGCCATTCATAACTTTCATTCTAATTAGATGTGGATTTTTTATAGCATTCACGAATAAAAGTATACATCAGGCTGAAAGGTTGACATACGTACTTCTTTCATTTTCTCAGCACGTTGGGCAGCTTTCGCATTCACTTCCTCCTGCATTCGCCTTCTTGACAACACCATGTTTTCCTGAGTTCGAGCTAGGCGTTGAGGATCTAGGAAATATGAAAAATTGACAATCATGTGACACATATTTACAAATGTGAAACAGCCACAGAAGCACCGGCAAGGGTAGAGGCAATGGGAGGCCACTCCCCTAGAATATTTCTCATACTGATGTCCTTATATATGTAGCTTGAAAATATCAGTTACATGTATATAAAACATTGTGTAATATACGTAAATAAAATACTGCCAAATGCAACTGCATAGCCATAGGCATCCATTTTACTTCTCCCTCCACTTGCTTTCGACCACCTAAGATCTTTTGTTGTCCTCTGTTCTTCAGACCTTTCAATCAACTTAAGACCTTCTCCATACATCTCAACATTCTTTCACAATATATGCATGCAGCATCTCTCCATGCAGTTGAAATCTGACACACTTGGGACCACAACATTTGTGTTCGTTGACATGAGGTGTCTGCTTATGATTGGTTATGAGAAGTAATAATTTATTTACAAGGACCCAAAAGCAGTGTCTGCTTACAAGAAGTATACACTTTGCAGACTTGTCCATAAGTAAAGGTCCGACTGTATTAGACATTGTCATCTTAGCTACTTTTTTATCAATCAATTTCTCTATTTTTAATTTCAATAACAACTTTTAGAAGTCAGATTAATTCGATTTAACAGAGTAGATTTCTTAAAAAATTTTTCATTCACACCACAAAATTGCAAGGCCCTATTTCATAACCTACATATAGGTCTGATATAAAAATATAATATGCAAGCTTGTTAAAATTAGGCCTATGGTTTGAATGTCTTGAAATTAAATGCAAGAAAGCAAAACTCCACAGAAAGCAGACTTTTACTGCCATCAAGCATATATTGTTAACAGACAGTAACAATAAAGTTCTAAGCAGAAAAATCAAAGTGATATAATATTTACATGGGTGGTCTAAATTTGTAGGCTGGCATCCCTTTTGGTGGTCATCATAGTAAGAATCAACAATGATCAAAAAAAGAAATTTGAATTTCAATCATTCTACCTCGTTTTATAAAATAAGAGAATATATAATAAAATCAAAAACTGATTAATAGCCATGTTTACATTGACCTCTTAATTCAGTGGTGCAGCAAACTCGATAATTGGGTAGATTGCCATTATGTTCTACAATTAAGTTCTTTTAAAATTCAATGCCTTCTTCAGATTAAGACATGCACACATAAATTTACCCCCACCCCCTCAATTAATAGATAGGCACAGAATAGATATCTTAACAGAAGGTCCACTCGTGTCGGAACCTTTGACGTTCCTGTCCCCACTTTTCTGAAGGAAATTCTAAGCAGACACGCCTTGCAGCATAGATCGCAATACAAAATATAGATGTTTTTACAAATATTTCGTTTTGCACTACAAATGCTTGGAACCTTATCTTCTTCGCAAGATGACAACTCTTTGCAAGATGTCAAATTTTGGCAAACTTTTGCTTTAAATGTGAATTATTAATAAAATAGCATTCTCATGCAATACTATTCCATATTGATTTTGTGAAAGTATCTTGCTGGGAAGTCATGCATGCATAGTGAAAAAATATGCCACGATTATAGCCGAGCAGGCCTTCTATCAGATGTCTATTCTGTGGAATAGGCTATGCCAATGTATTGCTGAAAAATGAAAAGTGAAAACAATTTGCAAATCAAAATTGTGTAATTGTTATTCATAGAGTAACAATGGATGACTTGATGAGTGTGCAAAGCGTCTATCTAGCATTGGTTCACATAGCAAAATAATATTTTTCACTCAACAAATTCAAGAAACATTCTCACCAATTTCTTGTATTTTCCTTCTGTCTTGTTTGTTTTTCCATTCTATCCACAATGGCTGTAGCTTGCTCCTAGGAAAGCAACAATGATACCAAAGAACAAAACCAACCAACCATAGTTCTCGAAAAAAACCATAACTAAAGAAAAACAGAGAAAAGAGATCAGAGAATGAAATTTTAGTAAACTTGAAAAATGATCATCAACTTGCCACTTCATATTTCTTTATGAAAATACGAATCACTCAACAATTTAATAAAGCTGAATTACATGATGTAGCAACCTGGAAGTTGCAACAACTATACTAAAGTTTGCAACAACAAATTGCTACAACTAAAAGGATTGAACAGCTCCTTTTCTGTCATTCTTTGATTGTTTGAAGAAAGATCATTAAATAAGCTCACTTACTATTGCTCAATGCATCGGAAACAAAGGCTGGATTTTCATTTTTTAGAACTGTTGGCGGCGATTGTGGTGAACGAGGTTGAGCACCATCGCCATCCGTAGGTAGATCGTTTGTTTCCATGACCCCAAAACTGGTCTTATCACTACCACAATAATTTAACAGAAAATTTTGTGTTCTTTCTTCCCAAAATTATTTCTAAAATTAAAGTTCTCAACTTTTTATTCAATTGTTGATTTAAAATACGTGTCGTATTCGAAACTTTGTAGTGTGGACTTCCTGTTACACGCAGTTTACTGCGTCATTTCCGGTGTAACCAACTGCATTTAAGCAGTTCCTGAACTTTGGCAAAAAAGAATCCAAGATTTCCTTTTTCATGCAAGTTCGCTTCAAAACCTCTGCCTGTGGTCCGGCAGCTGTATATCTAGATCAGCGGCTTCTGTAACTCAAAAGAAGGAAATGAAGTTAACAGCGAAAGCTTTGTTCATAAATTTGTTGGGTACTTTTTGTTGTTCGCAAAGAATGAAGCTCGAATGATTTCAACGTAAATTTGGCGATACTTCAAGTAAAATCAAATTCATCTTCCTATGTGTTTGGTAGAACTCCTTCAATCGCACCTACAGAAATTGCGAGACTTAGTCCCAAGATGATTTCTTAATTAACATTTAAGAATTTTAAGGAGAATTTTGTAATGCCACGAGCATGAAATCAACTGGTTCTTGATTTTCATCAAGTGTATTTCTTCGGATGAAAATCTTGGCTCCCTCCAATATCTTTTGCAACGAGCCCTATATTTGCATAAATTTTTTAATATTTCAAGTGACGTAGTTTTAGGGGAACTCCCTGAAAAAGGCCACAAACAACCAATTTCAACAATATGGTTTCCATTCTAAATATTGCAAGAACAAAAATGAGACGAAGTTAAAGCCATTTGAACGATTCCAACACCACCAAACGCGTTGTAATCTACAAGACATGGGAACAGTAAAGCATGTCGGGTAGGTAAGACATAGTTGATGTATCACAATAGGCAAAGTGAAATGAAATAAACGCGCATGTACAAATAACAATTCTCTCCATCGGATTACATTTTGTCTTTTCTGAATATGTTCACAATACTTAGTTGGGAAGACTAAACGATTTGGAATGAATTCGATGCGAGACTTAGTCTTTGTCGTTGGGAAAATTTTTTATTTGCTCCATCAAACATGAACTAAGTCGGAATCTTCCTGAATTAATTACTGCGTTAGAAACGCCCTCGCATTTAAAAACATTCTCCCCACACACATCAACATAAATTCTTTCGAAGCATTCCGTGCACGCGCTATAGATTCAATTCTACATCTTCATTCAGAGATTTTTAATTTACAATTGCAAAACATTTTCATTACACAACAAAATGATGTAACGCCTAAGGAATTACACATCGCAGCGAACTGACTATTCACGCATAGCATTCGGTTGTACACTGGGCTGCTATTTATCCTTGCATTCGTTCTCAATTATCCTAAAATAATCATGCAATTATGTAAAAAGGTGGTGAATCATCAAATTCTTTGAAGCTTGTGGCATTTGCCTGAACAAAACATAACAATATTTGCCATGTCATTACTGGTGGTCTTGCACAATGTCGGCGAAATTGGATTTCGTCATCATACCATGCATAACTGATAGATTTCAAACCTTAAGGCCCCGTTTACACTATACCGGATTGCTATCGTAGCAGTTTGAATATTCTTTGTATTAAAAGGCAGTAAATTTGTTCAACGTCAGAAACACAATCAAATAGACTTAATCTATCAGCTTAGTAAGCTTTTACTCCGAACAGTTAAGCCTTTAAAGCAAATGAAGATGTCGTGATGAGCGAATCCGGTAAAGTGTAAACGCAGACTAAATCACTCTCCTCGTTATTTGCTGCCATAGAACTGCTCACATTTTTTAGAGAAATGGACATCTAATTTCTGCACCTCTGATCTGGCAATGTCCGCTGGGATATTGCCGAACAGTCGATACTCCTCTTTAGATTGCGAAATAGTAAAATGCTTAAATGTGCTAGAGGACAGTTCATGGCCTATGTAAACACGTTTTAGCTGATTGAATTCAAAAAATTAGAAGAATGTATTCGGCATGACGTGCAGGGACTCCAACAAGATGACTGTTCACCACGATAATGTTCTGTACTGTCCTAATACAACCTTATTATAGTTATTACCCTAGCAAACGTAACAAAAGAAAATCCAATTTCAAAACTATACTCTTTTAACAAATAAATATCAGAGGCAAACATAAAAAGAAAAATCTACATTGCTAGATACAAATCGCAAGGAGCTCGGTGAACACGAAAAAGACTCGTCCTATATTGACATTTCTGAATCAATAAAAGAGAAATCGCCGTCGCAAAAAAGGCCAGCGGTTGATCTTCTGTGCAATGTGGACTTCCCTCGGCCGTCAAAAAAGATCGCAGATCATCAGTCTTTTGATACTGCTGATCTTCGGAAGATTCACGATAAACAAAATCTTGATGCAATTAAGATTGGCGAGTCAAAGATTGTTCCAGCTCAGACAACATTCTCTAGCACGAAAACGACAGAAGCGGAAGATACAATTGAACCAGTTGAAAAAATTCATGTAGTATCCAATAATTATAAAGAGCAAGATGCGTGTGGATTGGATAACAAATTATTGCATAATCGTGACGATAACCTGAACGTAGAGACGAAGCAACTGGTTGAAAAATTACAAAAATATCCCGATTTGTTAAAAAAAGATGGAGACGGCGATACGTAAGTATATTTTGACTTTTAGTTGTATTAATAATGTTTATTTGGTTGTCATGGTAGAATGCAAGCTGAAAAGGAAAATAGCATGAGAAAAGTTAATATTTTTCCATTTGTCATTTGTTGCAACCGACAGTTAACCAGCTGGTTATATAAATGGAAAAAAACTGTGTGTATTGTTCATATATGTATCCTCCCCAAAGCAATTGATTTTAACACAACAAGGCAAAACATGCATAATTAAATATTACCCCCCCTCCACAAATCATCAAACTGCTGACGCCATTGTTAGCGGTACAAATAGACTTTTTGTCATATTATCAGAAATGTGTCAAATGTCACTATGATGGGCTTTCTCTGAAATAATGTCCAAGGCAATTGCCTTTCCAGCCACTTTTATCAAGAAATCCTCCAGTCCAAACAAAATATATTTCATTTTATTGTTCAAACCATTTCAACAATTACAAGCAGACGGTCATTGCATAGGAATTACTCCACTAATATTGTTTCGACCAATTACAGGTTACTCCATCTGGCCATAGTCCATCAAGATTTGAATTTATCTTTAGCGGTGATACTTGTCATAAGGCAGTCGAGAGGAAAAATTGATGGCATCAATATTCAAAATGATTTACTTCAGGTGACAAGCAAGATTCAATTACACAACACACAATTGCTTCACACCTGTTCATTGTGTAAAAAATTTACAGCAGTCACTTTTATTTGCATTTGACTGTTTCGAAGTCCTCTTATCACTGCAAGCCTTCATTCACTTATCAATAAATCCGCACCGATTTCAAAAATACCTCCCATATCTATGGATTTTGTTTCAGACACCGTTACATCTGGCGGTTTTGACTTGCCAACCGAAAATAACTGACTACTTGTTACAAAATGGGGCAAACATTGATGCCATAGATCGCAACGGTCAAACTGCATTGCATTTAGCGTGCAGAAATGCTGACCTCGAAGCCACACACGTTCTGAGGAAATTTTCTGCGACCAAGGCCAGTAGAAATGGGTCGTTAGAAGTCGATAAAAAGAATTTTGAAGGTAAAATAAGTCAAGAAAAAGAATAGGAGTTTAAGTTCAAGTCTAGGTTGATGAAAATGTACAATCAACTTACAAAAGAAATAGCGATGGAGTATGAAAGAAAAAAATCCCATTTTCACGACAGCTCAGTCAACTAGCTAATAAATATAAATGAAATATATAAATGAAATATATATATATATATCATTAAAAACGACTAATATATGCTGTATACAGTAGCTGCATAGCTGAAGTAAGTATATAAAACACCCCAAGATTGTTAAGAACAAGCCAAACTCGATAGTTTCACAATACGAGAAAGGAGAACATTCCTGTCTCCAACTCATTAAGAAAAGCAGGAAAATTAATTTATGTGGAATGCATTAGAATTCGGTTTGTAACGTTTGTTGCTAGGAATAGTTTCATGTCGGTCAAACTTAATGTAAAAGATCTTTGAATAAATGTCACAATACGCAAAAAGCGTTTTGTCTTCCGATGTTGACCATCCAAGTTTCTTTAATTTTTATCAACATAATAAGGCAAGGGGGATCCACAGATCAGGGAGTTATCGCTCTCCATTGTGTTGATTCCAACACACAGATGTTTTCGAAGAGAAGACAATGGGCATGCGCAGTTGCTATTATCAATTTATCCATTAGTTTATGTTGCTATCAACATGTCTGACTTAGTCGTTGTCATTTCGTTTGATTTTAAACGATGACAACGATGTAATGTAGATAAGAACAGATCAACAGAATACAATAATCTTGTACTATTTATAGCGATGTCGAATACATTTTTCAGGATTTTCCCACCCAATTCATTATGTTTAAACAAAGTCCAAAAATAGAATGAAAAATATTTAAAATGCGCAAATGGTTTCAAACGTAAAATTCTGTCTTTAGTGATTGGTTTTTCACACCAAGTGAATTGAAATTGCTCATTTTTATTTTCGGATAACGACATGACTGTGTCAGTGACATTGATTAATAGGTCCCGGCATTATTATAGGCGGGATTGATGAGATTAAACGCAAAGGTGTTTCATTAATTTTTTTTGAATTCCGTGTATATTTGTTATGCTCGCAATTTCGTGATTTTAACGTTGATCTCAGTAACAGCACAGTATAGAAACAAGCACTATTAAATATTTTTGCGTGGCACATATCCTACAACGCATGTAATGAACATATTGGCAGCCAGTAATCTAGTGAATATACAGCACCAAGTTGCATAGCGAAGGGAGACTACTGTTTATTTCTATACTGTTTGTTCCAGACTATTTAAACCAACTTGTGATGTCTAATCAAGTGATCAATACATCACATTGCAAACCGCCAGTAATAGCTATGATGGCCGTTTTCATAAAAATAAACTTTGCTTGATACTTGACAAAAAAAATCTGTAGAGTAGAAGTTTCCAGCAAAAAATTGCTTTTCAAAGAAGATTGAACACACTGAAGATTTTTATTTAACTTTCACAATATAGTTTCGGAACGTCGTGTAGATACTACGATACACGACGCAAAAAGGACAGGCCACCAAAATTTCTAATCAAGTTATAAACATTTACAGGGACCGCAGAAAGACGCTAATCAGGGGGGGCTCATATTTATATATGCATGTTATAATTCGTAGAAAACAGTGGTTTAAAAGGAGCTTAACACGGCATACCCTGCATATACGAATATTAGCCTCCCCCCAGTCATCGAACTTCCGTGATACATAAAGTTTGACAACGCTTAGGCAGGCAGGGAAACAAAGCATTAATTTTAAATGTTGTACAATGCATTACTTCATATAAATGCACTTGTCAGTAGTAACTTTTACAATGCCAAAACCAAAAACTGGTTTGAAGTTTTCCGTAGATACTGAGCTTAATGTTGGAGGTAAACTGCAAGGAATTACCACGTCCAGCTACACATCATTCCTGATCTCTTATCAATTTACAGGTTTAGCTCCTATTCACCTGGCTTCTCTGACTGGAAGTTGTGAAGTTGTCCAATCGTTATTGGAAATGGGGGCAGATATTGACTTGAAGGTAACAAAATGAGTCTAATTGCAAATTAAAATTTCCACTCGCACTTTAATTTTTTCAAACAAACTATTCTTTCTAATTTAAATCTCGCCATCAATTTTTCCTTTAAGTGGGACAGTGAGCGTACTGGGGAGAGTTGTTGCGAACGACCATAGCGGTAATGTAATCATCCACCTGGACGTGTACACTGTTCAGTCCACGTAGCCTGAGAATTTCTTATATTTCATAGCGTAAATTATACCGGAAAAAGATCAATGATGTTCACAAATGCAGAAAAATATATTTCGAAAGCGTTCGCGTTCATCATTACCGACACATATACAGTATCTGCAAATACAAATATATTTGTTTTTGCCTAGTAATTTTAAGATTAAAACTTTTCTTTAAGGACAGCAAAAGCGGCCGAACCGCCTTACATCATGCTGTCGAAGCTCATAATCCAATAGTCACAAGATTCTTGCTGGAGAAAAACGCTGACGTGGACGCGCAAACATTTGCTGGCAACACGGCTCTACACACTGCCAGCGGTTGTCAAATGGAGGATATTGTTAGTCTGCTGTTGGAGTTTCATGCCGATCGAATGTTGAAAAATGCAGAGGGAGATCTTGCTCTCCCAGACGCATCAACGGTAAGAATTTCAGGAGGGGGCAAAAGAACCATTAAATTTCATATTACATTTCATTTAATGGAATTAGAAAATTTTATAAATTAAGATTTCCTTGAACGAAATGAAATTATTTCACAAATATAGCTAAGTAGACTTTCAGACTTCACGTGGCAATTTTATATGAAATGGTAAGGGTAAATTTCGTAAGGAAAAAAGGGTTTTCGCCACTCAAGTATGTAACTTACAAACTCCGTAGTTTTTTTTTGTTGCAAAAATGTTTCAGAAACATTTTAAATGAATTTATACTTATGTAGCTAAATCAGCCAACCAAACCAGTGCTTGCGAGAGCTGCGAAAGGAAAGAAATAGCAAAAACGAGCAACTTATGTATACAAAGTATAGAACAGTTGTAGAGCATTTGTGTATCAAAAATATAGAAAATTTATTGTACAGTTATTTCATATATAATGCTGATAGAAAGCATCACAAGATAGTTGAAATATTCTAAAAGTTATGTTAAAATAATGAGGCAATCACATGAGCACCAATGAATTATCAAAATTAGCTCGCATCAGCATTTGCCTACAAAGCTTTATTTTCAATTTTTCACATGACTTCTAATAAACGCCCGGATGAATTTTTTCCCAAATAAGCAGAATGAAACGCTTTATGAGAAGACATGCTATTGTACACAAAAAAGGCAATTAATACATCCTTTGTGCCTGACCAAATATGGTAGTTTCGAATGATTGTCTAAATTCTTATTGGAATGTATAAAATTTTCCATTTGTGTTGACAATATTGTACGTGTTTAAGTTGTGTTATCAAATAAAAATCTCACGGTTCCTTTTCATCAGTATCGATATATTCCTAAAGAGCAATTTACCAGCAGTCAATCAACAGATATATCGTGTAGAACAGTCGACACGGAAGACCAGAAATTAGTATAATTATTATCGTTATAAGGATGACGAAGTTTCATAAGCATATAGCTCCGAATTCTTCACATCAAAATGAATTCGCGTCTTCGCTTTCTTGATTCTCGTATGTTCAATGAAGTTCACTTTCTGCTAGCCATAAAATATTGTTTCGTCGTCGAATTTGATGACCGTATAAGGAAAATAGCCTTATATAGAATTGTTCATTATGTTTGTACAATTATACATAAATAAATATGTGCATTGTATTGGTATACATATATATATATGTAGGCTGTAAGGAGCCTGATAATTTCTAAAAGGATGAAACACTGTCTGTAGTAAGCAACTGTCGGTAAGTTCTTTTCCTATATTTTTACCACTTAGTCAACGTGAATGTATTGTATCTAAGCAGCTAGCTATACACTGCGTCCAAAAATTATATGCAAATATGTTTTTTTTCAAAAAATGATGGACATGATTGAAAGAAAAATTTACGATGTTTCGCGTGCTAAATGTACACGCTAAAAATGTGCACAAATAGAATTTGGTGTAAATCTTTGCACTCATTTGCAATTTCCTCAATATGGCAAAAAACCCAACTTAAGTGGCAATGAAAAAGGAAAAAAGTGCATGCCTATTTGTGGTAAACAAACCACCCTCAGGCAAGCAAAAATACGTAATTATGACCATCGAACCATTGAAATACTTCTTGGAAACCCGGTATCCTTTAATAAAAGTCATGCAGAGAAGAGCGAGTGAGGTCTCAGACGCCAATTCTCGAACGATCAGGTATAAGAAAAAAGTGAATGTGCGAAACACTCTTCAAATTCGCAGAGTTTTTTTTTAGAAAATTCGTTTCGCAAAGTCACGACTAGACCACTTTCGAAATGCGTCCATCTTAAAAAAAGCTTCATGAGTGTATAAAATGATATAAAGGAAAACTTTATCAGACTTCTGTGGATGGTCCGACGTGTCGAAGTAGTTGATGGCGTGAAGCCCTGTCGCCAACTCTATAGAGCATACGACACTATAGAAAGAAACGTTTCGATTGAAACGAAAGATGACGATTTCAAAATACGATAGTGCACTGTCTCATGCTGTACGTTTAACATTAGAATTGTCTGTATGTTTCCTGATCTTAGTCTGAGAATATGTGAAACACCGTCAAATATGCAGCAAGTAGTTGAGGTTTATAAAGATGAACTTTCACCTGCATTTCAAACAGCGGCAAAGATGATCACGGCAAATGAGGCGTCAAGATTCATTCCCTGGATTAAAGACTAATAGAAGCTTTGGCAAATAATGGTTTAATTAAATGTGAAGTGCTAATATGCGTAATTGGCACGTTTCGTGTTAAGGCTCCTTCACACGATCCGATGGTTTCGGTTTCGACTTTTGGCTGCTTGTTCAGACGGTGTGATCTTTTTTTGATATTTATATTCGATATTTATAGTCATTTGAACGCCCATTTTTTAGACTGACGCAACCGACTGTCGGAGACTCACTTCATACATTTGTTCACCCGATCCGTTTTTTAGGATCCGACAAATCGGATCGTGTGAACGGCCCTTTAGAATGAACATCAAGCACATAACTATTTAGAAAAGAAAAATGATTCTACTTATTTGGATTATCAACCATATTTTCAGACTTTTCATGGGCGAACATAATCCACCAGCCGGTGTATGTAAAATTTTATTTAAACGTGCCACTCTTTCACACAAAAAACAACATGTTTGCATATAGTCTTGGAATGAACATGTACATCAAATCTTATGTAGCTATAGCTAACATCGAACGTATGAAACTTGTCTCCTATTGTCGTCATAAAAACCAAACAATTCTTTCGAACATGTGTAACTGTACTGTGAACATGAAATCCATGTTAATTGTATGAATTTCAACATAAATATTTGCGCGAGATATTACTGCATACAATTCTAATAATTACGATACTAGCATACCACAATTACTTAAAGAAAATTTAAGAATTTACAAAATCGTATTTAACCATATAAAATAACAACAATGTAAAGCGTGCGCTGATTGGTCTATAGCAGAGTTTGCATTAGCCAGTAAAAATGTGGGAAACCGATCTGGGCTAATCTCGGTCAATTCAATCAATTAAAGAGAATTTGCAAAACAATCATGGTTTGGAAAAACTTTCGAGAAGGTGTACTTGGACAAAAACTCTTAACTGCCTTAAACTAAACGCGGTGTAATCGATGGTTTTCGGAATTACTTCATAAAGTGTGCACGCAATTCGAATCGCGTAAAATTTCCTGGAATAACCGTTCACTCAACTCCTGATAAGGCATTCTATGGAACGCATGGAACTCCTGGGAATATGTAACCTAATGCTCAATCACATGCAATTCTATCCAAAAACCCTGTTTCGTGAGCAACATCGTGCCTCACTTACACTTTAGGGGAACATAACTTTTCAATTCAAAATTTGCAAATAGACATATTATCTTACAAGATATTTGCAATTCTCTTTTGGGGAAGAGAACAGAAACCTACCGAACAAAATTAATACAACCCACTGTTGATGTAAGCAAGCTTATACACATAAGGGTTTCACATTGAAAGAGCAATTGCCCATAATAAAAAGATGGAATACCCTTGTTGACACATTTAGATTAGCTTAAAACAGAAAGTTCTCCTTCCAAAAAATTGTTTGCTTCTAATACAAATTGCCGATGTGTGGCTTTCAATTTCAGATTATCATAAAACTGCACGAAAATGAGGATAACTGCGTTCTAGAGAGGTTTCGTAATTCGCAACTTAAGCACTCACCGCCATTCGTTAGGCTTCGTCTACATTTGCGTCGGATAACTAAATTTTATCTTGAATACCTGGATTATTTACATTTGGCTTAAACATGAGTGTAAGAATCAAATAGATGCATATATTTACACGCTCACGTAGCATGAAATATGTTACAGAGTATGAAAGCATATTCGTACGTGTATCAAAATATTGATATCACAATTGATTGAGTTGTAATGTAATGCGAATTCGTTTTCCAAGTGAAATTCGAAGTTACTTTTCCGAGAATAGCGTTGCCTAGATCGTTTAATCGTCTAAGAACAAATTCAAATATCGTATAATCAACAGCTAATAATTGATTGGTTGAAAAACAGTGTGTTGCATTTTTTTGGAGGGGAGTTCCCCTCCAAAAATATTATTTTCAAAGAATCGGCTGCAACTCAAGGAAGCTCTTTTCCAGAAAATATATCAATTGAGATGCGAGTCGTTTCATACTGAATACAAAGTTTCACAACCAAGGATGAAAACCACTGGTGACTGGACATCAAATGCAAAAACGTTTTGTGTAATATTGAAAGCAAAGTGTATGACAGATTACTTTCATTTTTTCAGGTATGTAATCGTTGATGACGGAAGTAAAGAGAAATTTCGTACAGTAAAAGGTAACGTGTGACATTGCATCGCATTGTGCACAATGCAGTGCGAAACGTGCACTTCTTCTTCCTAATATATTTCAATCGACAGAATCGAATGAACGCCTAACTAAAATACCAAATTCATCAAACTAAATGTAATTGGAAGCAATGAGCACAGCACGAGGTAAAATCGTACGTACGTACGTTGTAGTTAAAAAATTGACACAACACTGGTAACGTTTCTAGCTACTAAACTAATAATTCGATCAAGTCTGCGCACCTTGTCATAGCTGTTCAAAGTATGTGTTAGACATTTATGGCAAATCGAGGTTTGAGCGCTCTTACAGCTACCGTAAATAGTAATGCTTCAATACATCGCAGACTTGAAAAATGCATTCATATGCCGATGTGTGGCTTTCAAAGCGCCCCCCCCCTTATTGTATAGAAGTTAGTGGCCCACCAAGGCATCACCCGGAATAGGCAAGAGGGCTAATTCATCCCTGCCTGGCTCAGAAATCGCAGATAGAAATTTAATGCAACGGCATGAAGTGAAAACACAAGTTTTTATCTTTGTAATTATAATTTGTAAAAACAATTTAATTCATTGGTAAACCGAGACTAAGATTTTGCGCCCGCACAAACCTGACGAGGACATGAAAAGAGGCAAAATTTTAGGTTTCACAGTAATATAAGGATTTTATGATTAGGTTTCACAGTAAATATAAGGAATATCTTGATTTTATGATGAAGAAAACCGGCTAAAATGACATCTTCCACAGACGTAATGAGCACCGTAGGATTGTTAACTGTGAAGCCCATTGTCCAACAAGACACTTTTTGATGATAAGTTTTGCATGTCTGTGTGATGGTAATAAGATTAACACGATCTTGCAGACAAAACGACTGTCTGTGAGACATAACAAAACGAATTTTAGCGACTTTCACTTACGTTTTTTTTCCAAGAACAAACAAATCATTCACTAATTTCATCTTTAAATGAAAGCGAAACAGGCGGTAGGTACAATATATACCTAGTTTAGCAAGTATGCACAATTTATTTCGGAAATTCAACAAGGTGAATTACAAGTAGCTTTGATTATTTACCAAAAAATTACCGATGAAAACCCGTTGATTAAGCTGAAAAACAAATCAGTTACTCATCGCTAGTTGGTCTAAAGATCTATTGAAGTACATATATAATTCGTACACACGAAATTATTTTACGATCATATTGAACGAGTTTGTCTAATCATCCGGTGCCGAGGTTACGAAGTCCATGGTTCTGGAAAATACTCTCGGGTCAACGTACATAAACGAATAAGGTGAGCGTATTCTATTCAAAGCCATATAGTTCGTTACGAAGAGCCTCTGGAAGAAAAATTTTTTGTTTAAATTATTAGTTTTCATTGAACAGAACTCTTAAAATCACAACAGACTTTCTAAAATAGCCTATGAATATCTCTTTTCACTCTATAGATAAGTTTTGGTTATAAATCCGATTTTTACAACTAGTGACGTCATATTGCATAATGAGTCGGCGAAAAATTTCACTTATGTCTTTGGGTTTCCTGTCAACTCATGCGGTTGGAAATAATAATTTGCATTTTATACCATTGACAATTTATAGCATTTTATACTACCAACTACGGTGGCTCACAACGGACACCACACAAAATAATAAGAATTATACAAAATAAAGATATTAATAATATATTTTTATTTTATATTTTTATTTATTTTATATTTTATATTATATATTTTTATTTTGTGTGTATATTTTTATTTTGTGTGCGTATAATGTATTTTGTGTGTGTATTTTTATTTTGTATGCGTATAATGTATTTTGTGTGTGTATTTTTATTTTGTATGCGTGTAATGTATTTTGTGTGTGTATTAATATCTTTATTTTTTATAATTCTTATTATTTTGTGTGGTGTCCCTTGTGAGCCACCGTAACCAACACTGCACGAACACTTTACAGCTTCATTATACAACGTGACGTCTATGATTGTACAAATTAGACATTGCAAAAAGCTCAATACATCGAGAATGAAAAAAGTTATGCATCAACTGTTTCAGAAAGTCTATTGTCATTTTAAAATTTGTGTTGAATGAAAAGATAATTGAAATAGCAAAATTTTGGTGACATAGGCACTTTAAACTCTTCTTAGCTTTATTGTAAAATCATTGGCGCGCCCGATTTAGAAATCGTATCATCCTTGTGGGTGAAGCGGGTTGGCGTTTTTCACTCGACACCTCAGCAACGTGTGGCTGAAAATTAAAAAAATACAGACAAAAGCTTGATGAATGTCGTTGATGCGTTGAAATATTTGCTCGAACATTGATTGTTTCTTTTTAAAGATATGATTAAAATCCAACCTTTTGGAACAATATACGCTCGTCCTCAACTTTTCACCTTCACCTTCAATCATCAACCCATATCTTGAACTTTTTACACTTACCAATGACTTTTACCCCTGCCTGGACTTTGAACCTTGGCCTGAAAACCTCGACAATTTGATATTTTACAAATTGATTTTCCGCAATGATTAATCAGTCTTATAAAGTGCTCTAGTAACTATGACGTGGGACTTTTATCGTAAAACCTGAAGCGGATGTTTTTCAAATAGAATTACAGATTCTTACACATCGCGATGAAGCCCGACAGAAGATCGACAACAAAAAATTTTGAACTGTTCAACTCGTTCAAAAGTGATTTTGAACAACGAAATCTAGTAAAATCAATGAGTGACATCGACCACGCCATTTTTAAGAGTGAAATCGACAAAGTTATAAATAACAAGAGAAAAAGAAACGATATTGGGAACATCGGAAAGTCTAAAGAATCAAAGCCAGAGAGAATGAGTAAAACAGATCAATTAAAGAGTAAAAATAACTGCGAAGATCCAAAAATAATCCATGAAGATTACACAGTAGCTTTGGAGAATGAACATTCGGAAAAACTGAACGAAAAGATTGACTCGAATATACTTCCACAGCTAATGAAAAAGGATATCGACGGAGACACGTAAGTATAATTTAGTCTAAGAATGGTTGAAAACTTCGCCCTTCCTTTCGCGACACTTAAATCATTCAACACAGGACGAGTTCTGTGAGCCCTCGCTTATAGCTTTTATAACGATGGGAAATATTTTCTTGACTACGTGTGCTCTGATTGGTGAAATTACGAGTTAACATAAAGTGAAATCTTATGTAAGTGCGTAGAGTTCCAACAAGAACTTGTATACATTGGCATAGTCAGTCTGTTGTTTCAATCATACTATGCAAATGTGTATTTGTGTTAAATCACTGGAAAAATGATTAATTGAATAAATTTTCTAAAGTAATGAATAATTATTTAGCTGAAAAATTTGCATTGTAAGAGTGAATCATCGGGCTGGCTTTTGGCTTTCGGATAAAAATATTTGTAGAGGTGCGTCGATTTTTCAACAGACTTCGTACAACATAGAATTTTCTTCTTTCCCAAAGCCGACATAAGCTTACACATTAGATTAAGGAAAATCATCACGCGGAAAGTTTACACAAGCATTTTTAAGAGACCTTCACTCTTGTGATCTTGGCTTTATTGAAGCCACGCGGTTTCTTTTTGCCAACTCACTTGATTTATTTTGCTTGGCTTGCCATACCAAGTGTTTTTCACTACAAATATTTGCACGTAGAGTCACCACGTGTTCCGTCAACGTTGCCTTCCGAATTCTTAACTTATCTTAAAAGCAGGTGGCAGACATCTGCTTACATACAAACGTGTTATACTGTTAAAATTCATGCTTTGCCCGTGGGTTAATACAAGAATACAAGATGACGCTGCTATACGTTCACAGTCATTTGATAAAAAGTTCCCTATTCGTGACAGGAACACTAAGCTGTTTCCTTAATTCGACTTCTGGTGATGAGGACGTAATTCATTTCCATCACATAAAAAAATATGCTGCCTAAGCACATTTTCTGCCCACGTGTTGCTATATTTGAGCCAGTGAATCAAACCGATGAAAAACAACTGTGGTTGCCAAAGTGTTCATCTTCACAAGGTGTTTTGTTCGAGTGTTTTTCTCACGGAGAAAAGAATAATTTTACTTTCGACTATACACTTAAAAGGCGACCGCAGCACAAATACTTAATTTGGTTGTGCAAATATTTATTTTTTTTTCACTGGAAAAACAGTGAACGAAATTCATTTTCCGATGAATTAATAATTTTTTGAATTGAAAAATTTACTTGAAATCTTCCTGGAAATTTCAAAAATTTCATACTTCGCCATTGCGGTAGGTCGAGAATTGTATGCATGTTCCACTTTATTAAATTCTATAGAAATCAATTGTTCTTACGGATTGTAACATATGAATGTATGAAGATAAGCCCCCATTGCAATTATCGATCTTACGCTGTCCCTGAAATAAAACGTTTTTCTACAGAAGCATACATGAACGACTCTTATAACATGCGTACCGATCAAAATTCTCGCAACTTCTTTTGTTTATTGAATTGTAGTCGAAAAGTCGTAGGACGCAAACGTGGGCCAAGATTCAAATGAATCTGACCAAAGCATACTTCAAAACGCAATAAACAATAACTTTCGCCATTGTTAGAGCGTTTAAAACACGCGAAAAATTTGCGTGTTTTAAACGCCCTGACAATGTTGAAAACAGTATGAACAAGAGCCAAATATGGAATGCTGTAACACAACAGCGTGAATCGCACAATCCAAATCATAGAAAATCTTGTAAATTTTCCTTACTTAATGTTATGATACAAAATAAATTATACAGATCAATCCCAGTGCTCACTTAATCCTCAATGGATTGTTAAATAAGACCATATGAATAGACCACAGTATAAGGAATACAGAGAAGGGTCACACATGTCGGAACCCATGATGTTTTTGTCTTCGCGTTATTTCTTAAAATATTTTCGAATCATTACTTAGAAATGACGTCACGTTATTCCAGTAGTTTCAAATAAATGACAAACCCTTATCAACTGCCTGAAATAATAGCGGGCGTGAGAACGCGGTGAACAGCCGAGTGAGCCTTTTATATAATCGTTATCCTGTACATTGTGTATCTGCTTTTAGCATGCATGCTTTACAGCAACAGCTCCTTCATAATGGAACTTTTTCCACGACTAAAGCACCGGTTCAAATCTGGTTTCATTCTAAAAGTCACATGTCTTCCAATATGAAACTAATATTACTGCATGTTCTTTAGCCCACTACACCTCCTCATCGTGCATAAGGAAACAGAAAAAAGCAAATCAGTGATTCGACTTCTCACAGGAAAAACGGACATACCAAACAAATTGCGACAGGTAGCTATATAGATTAGACAGTAAAATATTGCATTATAAAAAACATGAATTTACGTTTATGATTCGTGCAACTTGGCAAGCCATTTTTTTTTCATAGACGCCTTTGCACCTCTCTGTCCTAACATGTCAACCAAGTCTAGTTACTTTTCTAATTTTCCACGGCGCGAGCGTTAATATTGTGGACAGAAACGGTCAAACAGCGATGCATCTAGCTGTAAAGAATGCTGATGTCGAATGCGTAGAGGCGATCAAACAAGCGACTGCATCACAAAGATATTCTCCATACTATGTTCAGGAAAGACCCGACTTGAAATTGAAAAACTTCAAAGGTATGCAAACGCCATTGTTTACGAGTAAACGTCAATTTATTATGAAAAGCAACATGCTTTTGCTTGCGTTTGAACTGAATACAAGACTGGAGTTGAGATCTTTTCCACAGCATGCTCAGCGGTATAAACGTGAAAACAAAGCAAATTTTCCATGGAGCTACTAAATTCATACATATCAAAAGGCCATTGTCTAAATTTAGGTGAAACCGTTTTTCACTTGGCAGTTCGATCAGGAAGTCAGAAAATCAGCAAGATAATATTGGACATGGGTGCGGACATAGATATCAAGGTAAAAAAACGAACTTTGTTCAGGCAGAGATACACGCGCAACAAATCTTTTTCGAAGAAAAATTTTTTAACTTTTAATTGTTTGAAATTCGTAGGTGAATACAGAATGTGATGGTAGACCCATCACATTCTGTATTCGGGAAAAATGAAATGAATGCCTTTGAATGACCGACAACTGTCGAGAAAAATTCCCCAGTTTCCTCATCCTGTTGTGACTGCGTGACTGTCTGTATTAAGTACTCCGAAAATATCATTCTGAGAGATTGAAATCGAGTCGGTCGACGGCAGTTAATCTACAACAATTTAACTCGAGAAACATGTGCAGGTGTTGTTCAGTTTAGAAAACTTTTTTTGCAGGATGGAACGTGCGGCCGGACAGGACTACATCTCGCTGTGGAGTCACATAATATCAACATGATTAGTTTCCTTCTAAAGAATGGCGCAAATATCGATGCAGTTACATTCGCCGGAAACACCGCACTGCATTTGGCCAGCGGTCATCACATGGACCAGGTGGTAGAGCTTCTGGTGGGGAATGGAGCGAATGCAAAAATCAAAAATTGCGAAGGAGACTTTGCATTATATCCCAGGGTAAATGAGCTCAAAATTACATTTAATGTTTGTTTTGCAGCCACAGATATATCTTTGTTAATAATAGCCTCAATTTTATTTGGTCAATCAAAATTATTATAAATTGGTCTTTTGCTTCCTTGTGAATTGAATTTTGAGTATGGGCCTCATGTAACGACGCACATAATAAGATCTACCCAATTACTGATCTATTAAACTTAATACTCATTATTACGGCAGAACATTAATATATTCATATATCAATGTTCTACCGTAATAAGTTCCTTTGAAATTGGATTATAACATGCATGTATATGAATAACCTCTCCTCCCCAATTATCAATGCCAGCTACACTCCTGCATGGGGAAGTGTAACTGTATTTCACTGTTTCATGATGACTTTGGATAATATCACCTTTCCTCTTGAAATAAAACTATAAGTGTGTTCATAACAAAGCTCTAGGTTGTGAATTTCAGATTGTTTGAGTTATTTCGTAAAGTAAAAGAATGTACATATGCACCCAAAAATGAACAGCAACAATTTATTTTGACTCAGTCTAGATGGGACATTGTTTCTGATTTCTACTTTGGCATTTTGCCTGTTATATGTTGCAGGTTATACAAAGTTGGCATTTGATGAAAAGAAAAAATGAAAAAGACACTTTGAAACGGAGGAACTGAATTCACCCCTTTTTCCTAATTCAAACTATAAATCATTTTATTGATATGCAAGTATAGAATATTTGCCATTGTTTAAATTTTATTTATTTAATTGCACATGTAAAAAACTTACTTTAAATTCATGAATAGTTCAGTTCTGTTATTTAAATTGCAACCCGACAACGTTATGCTTTGCAGTGTTTGTTTTGTTATGCAAGGTTAGTTAAATGTAACTAGTGACAGAAATTCATGAGCCCCGTGAATAGGCTTCTATATAGAACCATGTTGGCATTTAGAGCATTTTACTGTCTATGTCTATTCAATTTCCCAATCAAGAAAACCTTACTGACAAATCTATGGTCTTAAGCTGTAAGCATTGTGGTTCAAACACAGTGTTGTCAAACTAACCATGATGTCACCTTCAATTTCATTACCCATTTACTACAAATCTACTTTGATTTACAACGAAATCCATTGACTTTTACAGCTTATTTACAGTCTCAATACAGCACAAACTGTTGTGAAATACCACCAAACACACTGTGTTTATTGGTACATGCTTCACATAGCTATCTGAACTAATTTCCTGTAGAATTGAGAAGTGTTCATGGCATTCATCGATTTTTTGGTTTCTCTGAATTGGACTTACTACTTAATTACGATCCTCATAATGATGTAAACAAACTCTATGAAAATTTGAACATTAAGTAATTTATCATACAGGAGTACCTCTCAATGGTATCCTTTCTTTCTTCCATTTTGATGAAATTGATGTGTCTTCTTTATTGTCCCTTTTTTGCTCTTCTGACACAAGTTTTGGTAAGTTATTTTGTGTGAATTCGATCACACCCATTTCAGCTGAATCAAATTTTCTTGGAGGCAGTCTGTAAACTGCCGTGTATTTCTCTGTAATATGCTCATATCGAGGAAGTATATCTTTAAACACTTTTGGTAAAAGCTCTTTTTTCTAAAGTAATAAACAAAGTACATGCAAATGAATTAGAAAGAAATGTACCATGTGACTGATTGCGAGTCTTATCTAAAAGTTGCTGCTTGTATGGATGTACAAATTGAGTAAGTTTAGTTAATTGTTTTATGATTTGCGATGTTTTAACAATGAAAAATTAGCACAAGCCAGAGGTGTTACCTATGCAAAATTATCTTTAACACAAAATCTGTGCTTGTGTTTTCAAACCAAACAAGTATGTCATGAGACCATAGGCCTATGGGAGCTATCACTTCCTGAGGAAAGAGTAAATATTTTCTCCAACTCGCAATGAAATATCAGACTTCTTAACTTAAAATTACATGTCACAATTTTTTTCTCCCACTTTTTTAAGTGTCGATGCATATGACGGCACAAAAGCACAAATAACACAATTTTGAATATTCTTGCATCCTTCGTGTCCATATCCCGACACTTGGGGTGATGGATGATGTTAATTGGTGAAGGAAAATTGGGAAATACGTCTTCAAAAGTCAAAACAACATTTGATAGCTAGGTTTCATTATATTTAAACACGTAACGTACATTAATCCAAGTATAAACGGTAGCTTCGTCATTTTGCTTGGCCAAATCTATCATCTAGTAAACGATTCAGAAACACAAATAAATATGGCAAATAAAAACTGTAATAGAAACTTTAATGCCAAATACCCTTTCTGCAACTCGTGATAAATCCTTGCATTTCGCGAGAGTTGTAACGACTCTTTCATCTTGAACCAAGCGTGTGAGTAAGTTCTTGTAGATTCTCTCTCGCATTTGAGCATTTTTCATTCGTGATTTAAGTAAACTATCAAAACTGCGAACTTGATAAGCGCGTGCCATGTTGACTTGTAGAAGAAACTTTTACATCTAGCTTCTTATTGGTCCACAGTTACATAATCAGCCAATCATGGACCTGTTGGTGGAGTAGTTTTTCGCAATATACAATATGGCGACTGCATGGAACTTGTGTTCTTCACATTTTTATAGTCAAGTATTCAATTCAATGCTGAAAAGGACATCTGTTCCTATGAGAACAGCAGTTAAATCAGCAGCACGCCGTCGAATGCCCACGAAGCCAGTAGAAAATCCATTTGTGAAGAAAAAGACGAATTTTATCAAAGAATTATGTGTTGCTTTGGTGAAATTTGATCGTATTCAGACCACACTTCATAAAGCGTTGCAACTGAAAGCTTATGGCGAACTAGTATGTATAAAAATGCGTACTGCAGTGTTACTATATGTATTTTACAGTCGTATGAGCATACAGCTTTATGCTTCACGGGAAAACCAATTTTAAACATTTCCAGTTGCTAACTTCGACCGTGGTGCAGGTTTTTGCAGACTGGGACTGTCTCAACTGCAGAGTGTTTTTGGTTAGGTTGTAAAGTAAATGGGCATTACTTTGGGCTCTTTCATCTATTCCCCTCATTTTTTCCTTCTGTATGCATGCAAGGTTGGGATACTGACCCAAGAGAGGAATAAGATTCAAACACCTATATTATTTATGCAGCATGCTCATCAACTTTGCAAACTGCTCGTAATGTCATCCAAACAGATTAGAAATTGATGCAAGATGGTACCTAGTTTAATCTAGTTTGTCAAAATATAGTATGAGCCCAAAAGTATGAAAATGTAGAAAAGGAGCTTCTTACGTATTGGTAGGACTCTTTGAAATAAAACAAAACATTTTTTCCTCTTTATCTTGAGTTGATAATGATGACTCGACGGAGAGGCCCTCCCCCAGATCTACACTATCTTGAGGATGGATTCATTCTAACTGATCGAGAAGCCAAGGAAAAGTGCACCTCGAAAATGGTTGTAAATCGTAGAAATAAGAAAATAGTGACACAACCTGACGAGCTCACAGAAGAACAATATGTTGAGCAGTTGCAGCTTCAAACAAGAAGTATTTTGCTTGAAGTGAGTATTCACTGTCACGAGGAAAAGAGTAAGAAAAGTACTTCTGTGTTTATGAATGTACCTTTGCACTAAGGAGTTATTTGTTGTTGCCACATGTGCAACCATCTTTGTAGGATGAAGATGCTCTTCAAAAGTTGTATGAAAAATTAGTTCCAAGATACAAACATCGATATGGTGGATTTGTCTTGATTACACCAATACCACATTCGAGAAAACGTCAATATCCACGAATGGCATATGTTGAATTTGTCGACAATGATCTGCCACCTATACCTACACTACCGGAAGTAATCGATGGGCATTTGGTCACATATCCTCGCAAGACTATCAATGCAGAATGTTGAATTTAAACGGCCATTTTTTCCGTGAAATTGTGAATGCACATGAACTGCAATAGTCTGTTGAATTATCAGTGATGACGGATTTTCGTGAGTACTCGCACACAACTATTAAAAACAGCAAATGAGCACAAAGAACCAATTCTTACAAGTAGCAATTATCAGCTGTCGGCGTCTGTAAATGATGGGGGAAATTGAAAGTTTGCAGTTTCTCGGGATGTTGTCTACAGAATGTCGGCTGGTTTTCAATTGATGTCGCTTCACAATGTGGCACGACTTTCCACATTTAACTAGCAACTTAATAAAAGATGACACAACTGGGACTGCCTACTAATATGTTTCTTAGTTCTTATCTTCATTTCTGTATCGTTTGACAATAAATGAAACCTTGCTAAATAACTCTTTTGACGCATCCATCTTCAGAATCCGTGATATTCACCCTAAAATTTGTTGTTCCAAGATCACCAGTTTATGCCTTCGTTGTAAAAACCTTGCTTACAAACATCCCTTTTTTGAAGTTATCGAAATCGTGTTGAGAAGAATTTACGACGAGGTGATTAAACTTGAAACGCCAAACTATTGAATGATTCTTGCAATAGAACGGAGTTTTTTTCCAGCAATGTACTCTAGCATCAAATAGACGGTTTTTCTACGAGCTCTTTCTTAGGAACAGCTTTAGCTAAAATCCAAATGATGTCACTCCATCCCAGAATCCTGATCACTCCATAAGACCAATTTTTAATTTGACTATCATCATCAAAGTTACTCTCGCTATGATGATGAAAGTAAACCTGAAAACTTCTCATTCTTGACAAACTTAATTCCTTAAGTCCACAAATTCAAGTCACTTTCCAACCGCTGATCACCGTAGTCATTTTTTGCGTGTTAAAATTAGCCACGACACACGACCACTCTATGCACACGACTCTACATTTCTCTCGCTGTCGACAGCCCACTGTTGAAAAAGGTTGTAAGCCTGTTAAAGACTATCGGAACAGTTAGAAATCATTGGAAAACAGCTGAAACTAAAAATTATACGTCGCAGATCGTAGACTAATTAGCAGTAAGTTTACTCGTATACAAGTTTAAATAGCTCGGATGTTATGCCTCGCATATTGGGAAAACTGACAAATGCCTTTACACCATGCTTTACACTCCCACGTAAGAAAACATGCTGAATCTGACAAATCCTGCATAATTGTGAATACTTGCAAACCATTCATTTCCTATTGAATTTGCTTGGAAATTTGTGGGATTGTAAATATTCTGCTAGTTTAGTAGATTTATTCCAAAATCATCGTCAGAGAATGTGTTCATATTCTTAGTAGATTTAATTTTTCATAACTGTACAATTATTGACCGTTTTGATAACAGGTTATTCATACCTATGGTTATTTAAATTCTCTACTAAACCATGTCGTACATGCGTCGTGTGTGCTAAGAATTTTCCGTTTAGTATTTGGAAGACATGAATGAGGGAAAAACACGACCTGGCAATTATAATTTTCGAAAAGCCTACAAATTTTACCAGATGATATCGTGGTAACGTGTAGAATTTGTCGAAACGTATAGAATAAAAAAATGTTTACTTTTCGCTGAGCTCCTGCGCTATCTTTAGGTTTTATTTGGATAAGGTGTTCCCAATGCAAGAATTTATAAAAGAAAACAAAAACGTATTTTGACAGCAATTTATTTAATAAAATAACGGTAATTTTTTCATAAAAGCTCGTAAAATAGTATAGCTGCTATAATTCATCATATATATTACATATATATTACTACTTTGGCAAAACATCTGCCCTTAGGCTAAATCTTTTAAAGTTTATGAAAGATGATGTCAACAATGTACAACTATATATATACACATGCACTCTGAAGCGCAGTTCTCTTGTGCATTATGTTTATTTTATTGAATATTTTCTCTCCATTGCAAAACGCCAAGCAGTTTATTTGCGTTACAATTTCCCACGGTTAAATATGCTCAAAATGACCATACGTCTGAGATGTTTTAGGCGAAACTTTAGCTTCTCTATACGAGATCATCCTTCTCGGTTTCATTTCACTGTCACAATTCAAGTAATAGAGAACGATCAAGACACAGCGAGTTTATGATTTCATACATTCTGATCTTCTTTCCTGCAACAGTTCAAATTGAAAAGGATTAGAACACAGCAAAATCTTAAGTCAGACTGCGAAATCGCGAGCACTTTGTGCAAAAATTTCATGCAAATAATTGCAAAAGTAAATCTGTGCGAGTCGACTTTCAGGACCCAATTTTGTATCGATTTGTTTTATAGAATCACAGTTTTTTCGGGGTCAATTTTCTTGCAGCAAAAGAAAGATGATTGAAAGCACTGCATAACTAAATTGGCAAAACCGAATCAGTAAACAACTTCCAATAGCAATGTCCAGGATTAAGGTTTCGTGGAGTGAGAGTATGCAAAAATAGATACTAAAATCAGATTAGAAACTACACGAGAAAAAATTATCCTGGATATTTTTTATTTACATAAGGAGCTCTGCAAGTTCATGACGAATAACAACTTTTTCATCATTCGATCGTATCAACAAATATATATTTTCTTACCCATCCTCATTGAATGGCTTTAAACCAGTTCCTTCCTCAGCTGTACCGTCAACACTATCTATAAAGGATTCCAAGACATTGAATGCAGTTTTCTGATTGTATTGCACAGAACATTTGAAATGACTTAAGATCTTAATGAACAGATTTGTATTATTTTACTTCTTCTTAGAGATATTTAACTTTATTTATTACGCAAATAACATCGCATTGCATAATAACAATTCAAAGATCATTAATTTTTCGCTTGGTAAAAACATTTAATTCGCATGTATGACATGAATGAGTAATACATAAATGAGTAGCTATGTGCATCGTTCTCAAAGTAACATATTTCATAACACATTGTCGACAAAAATTGCCATTTTAAAATTCCTAATTATGTCTTGTGATGTCACAGCGATGTTTTTGCATGATAAATAAATTTAAGTTATTTAAATATCTCATCAAAGACGTGAAATAAAATAATTCCACTGAAGAAAGTCATTGAGTCATTTTAAATGGTCTTTGCAATGTAACCATAAATTTGTGTGATAAAATTTGGTTTCACTAGCACTTTAAGTTGGGTCATCGTTTATTCGACGTTGTATTCGAAAGGCATATGCTGTCCATTATAGGATTATGGCACTGTACTACTCGATCGAAAATCTTTGAAGAAACAACAAAGTGTATTTCATAACTGAGAAAAATATGAATCTCAGGAACGACATGGTCGATTGATGCATCCCCGTTTGAAACCGTCACAATCAAAATGTGACAATCATTTTTGTCAGAAAATATTCGATAACTATACAATAGAACAGATGCTACGATGTCAAGGTAAAGGGGCGTACCGAGCGAATGGGTATATGGGGGAGGGGGGTGCGAGACTCCTTTCTTTTTGACAAATAAATTGTTCAACAAGATAGACTGTCGTCGGTTTTCATAACAAAAGAAGTCGATGATTTTTAAAGTAAAGCTATCAATAAGAGCTCTTTATCCATTTCCTTGTAGGTCGGTTACCCTCAGCTTCTTAAAGTAAAGCTATCAATAAGAGCTCTTTATCCATTCCCTTGTAGGTCGGTTACCCTCAGCTTCTTAAAGTAAAGCTATCAATAAGAGCTCTTTATCCATTCCCTTGTAGGTCGGTTACCCTCAGCCTTAGAGAGTAATGTTTTAGGACTTTCAGAAACCGTGAACAGGCTATGTCGGTAATAAGTTGAAAAACAACCCTCAAATCAGAATGTTGTACGCTTCTCCATACGGTAGTTCTGAAAAGACATCGTAAACAAAATAACTTCTCCCTAGGGTAGTTCTGAAAAGACATCGTAAAGAAAATAGCTTCTGTCCTTGAATGATTTCGTTATCGCACTGTCACGTCTTTTCTAACGCGCAAGTTCGTAATCTCAATATGAAAACAGAAAAACTGCAAGAAAGAAAAACACTCACATTTCTCTCGCTTCCTGTTCGAGATAGTTGCCGCACACATGTGCACAACGCCACACTGGTTGAAGAAACAACAAAATATATCAACAGCTATAAGCACGAACATGATTATGACAATGATGATTGCCGCAATAGCTCCGTCACTCAACGCTTTGCGATGTGCTAATAACGTGGGCTCCTCTATAGTAAAAAAGGTTAGATTAGTATGTACACCAAACACACGCGAATGTGTGCAATTTTATAAGAACAATTCATCCGATAGTTAAGGTGTAAAGTTAACAGACTTTTACTACGAGGAACGGGCGTGAATATACTTTTCAATAGTATAAAATATGACATATGTTAACCATTTGCATGGAAAAAAAACGACCAAGGAGACAATATGAGAAAATTTTAACGATGTGCAAGATAATGATATAATTAAGTATAGACACTTTCACTTTTGAACATTTTCCGTAATATTGCATTGACGATTATGTAACATTTACAATTTTGCCGATTAATGTGCCGTGCATATTCGTTTTCAAACAAATCATACGCACATGGGTCGAAAACCAACGTTTCCCTGCTATACACGTCATTTACACTTAAGATTTACATTCTCTTTCCTGTTTCTTCATGTGCTAATATTGTCAATCGTGCACTTCTAGTATCAATCTCTCCAGTTTTACATGCACTTCTAGTATCAATCTCTCCAGTGTTACATGCACTTCTAGTATCAATCTCTCCAGTTCTACATGCACTTCTAGTATCAATCTCTCCGGTTTTACATGCACTTCTAGTATCAATCTCTCCGGTTTTACATGCACTTCTAGTATCAATCTCTCCAGTTTTACATGCACTCCTAGTATCAATCTCTCCAGTTCTACATGCACTTCTAGTATCAATCTCTCCAGTTTTACACGCACTTCTAGTATCAATCTCTCCAGTTTTACATGCACTTCTAGTATCAATCTCTCCGGTCTTACATGCACTTCTAGTATCAATCTCTCCAGTGTTACATGCACTTCTAGTATCAATCTCTCCAGTTCTATATGCACTTCTAGTATCAATCTCTCCAGTTTTACATGCACTCCTAGTATCAATCTCTCCAGTTTTACATGCACTTCTAGTATCAATCTCTCCAGTTTTACATGCACTTCTAGTATCAATCTCTGCGGTCTTACATGCACTTCTAGTATCAATCTCTCCGGTCTTACAAGCACTTCTAGTATCAATCTCTCCACTTTTACATGCACTTCTAGTATCAATCTCTCCAGTTCTACATGCACTTCTAATATCAATCTCTCCAGTTTTACATGCACTTCTAGTATCAATCTCTCCAGTTCTACATGCACTTCTAGTATCAATCTCTCCGGTTTTACATGCACTTCTAGTATCAATCTCTCCAGTTTTACATGCACTCCTAGTATCAATCTCTCCAGTTCTACATGCACTTCTAGTATCAATCTCTCAGTTTTACACGCACTTCTAGTATCAATCTCTCCAGTTTTACATGCACTTCTAGTATCAATCTCTCCGGTCTTACATGCACTTCTAGTATCAATCTCTCCAGTTTTACATGCACTTCTAGTATCAATCTCTCCAGTGTTACATGCACTTCTAGTATCAATCTCTCCAGTTCTACATGCACTTCTAGTATCAATCTCTCCAGTTTTACATGCACTCCTAGTATCAATCTCTCCAGTTTTACATGCACTTCTAGTATCAATCTCTCCAGTTTTACATTCACTTCTAGTATCAATCTCTGCGGTCTTACATGCACTTCTAGTATCAATCTCTCCGGTCTTACATGCACTTCTAGTATCAATCTCTCCAGTTTTACATGCACTTCTAGTATCAATCTCTCCAGTTCTACATGCACTTCTAATATCAATCTCTCCAGTTTTACATGCACTTCTAGTATCAATCTCTCCAGTTTTACATGCACTTCTAGTATCAATCTCTCCGGTCTTACATGCACTTCTAGTATCAATCTCTCCAGTTTTACATGCACTCCTAGTATCAATTTCTCCGGTCTTACATGCACTTCTAGTATCAATCTCTCCGGTCTTACATGCACTTCTAGCATCAATCTCTCCAGTTATACATGCACTTCTAGTATCAATCTCTCCAGTTTTACATGCACTCCTAGTATCAATTTCTCCGGTCTTACATGCACTTCTAGTATCAATCTCTCCGGTCTTACACGCACTTCTAGCATCAATCTCTCCAGTTTTACATGCACTTCTAGCATCAATCTCTCCAGTTTTACATGCACTTCTAGTATCAATTGCACAAGTTCTCTCAGTCTCGCCCAATCTCCCAGTTCTTTTATTACTATTCAAAATTATTTTTGACACAAATCGTTTGCACTGAACTTACTTGGAGCCTCTTTTGTAGGTATATCAGCAGTTGTAGCTTCTGAAAAGATAAAATATGCGTATGGGTATGAATGAACACGTTTACCTATCGATATACGAGCTGTATAAAGCGTGCTTAACACAAGGAAAGTTTTTACACTAGACTACACGGCAAACAAATTTATAGACATACATAAATAAGGCACAAACATTATCAATTTTTGAGAAATTTCCCGCTCTGGAAATACCGAAGATATTAAATTTGCTTACTGCGAGAAAGTACTTAAAACATTTCTCAACTTTTCAATAAGTAAAGTCTTTCTTTTCAGAAGTAAGACTTTTCAAAAAAACAATCAAGACCCACTACAAGGGAAAGGACGTACAGTGACGACATGCTTGATAAAAAAATTTAATAGCTACGTACGTTCTGCTTCGCCAGTAGAAGAACTTGCAGTCGTTGGCGCTGTAAAAATACAAAATATGCAAGAGACGAAACAGTAAAAAAGAAGAAACGATGGGTTTTTAGGTTTTTACTTGGGTTGTTACAATATGAAAATATCGAATTCGGACGTCAACATCCGGTATATGAGAGAAATCCAACATTTGATAGCTTACATGAAGGAGTGGAGGTAAATGTGGCATGAGTCTCCCATCCCTTCGTTCCGGTTTGTTCAGTTCCCTTTTTGCGTGTTATCATTTGTGAAGTGTGAACGACCGCTTAGGCGAAATTAGAAATAAAACGACTTTTCATTTGAAGAAAATTTCGTCAACAAACTACCAGTTTCTTGATAAAACTCACCATTTCCAATTGAAACTTCTCTAATTTCGGTGTACTTTTTTTCCTTTCCGTCAAGTTTATACAAAACTTGAAATTCGTACACTTTTCCATGTTCGAGGCCTGATATTTCCAAATAAATATTATCCGTCTCGTTTGAAAACCTTTCAAAAGTATTTTTTTTGCCATATCTTAAAACATATTTCTCCACGCGAAAATTGGATTTTGGCCAGTAAACAGTCACGACATTTCCATCCACGTTAATATCGAGGATCTTTCTCAACGGACCTGGAAAGCCAAAAATATATAATTGCACTACTAAACGCAGTGGATAAAATGTAGAGCGTTTTCATTCATAAACCTAGGGATTAACATGACAATGGGGAAATCAGCCATATTGGTTTTCCAAACATAAGAGCTTCTTTAAATTTCTTTAGAATTGGAAAACCAATATGGCAGCTAAAGCCCGCCGCACACTGGTGAACTTGCCGCGCGTACTTGTTATTCGTGACAGGTGTGATCAAAAGCGTTTGATATTTGACTCATCTGACATGAATGACAAATGCTGTTCAAAACTTCCGCGCACACTAGGAAATTTTGTCGATCACACTTGTCACGAATAACAAGTACGCGCGGCAAGTTTACCAGTGTGCGGCGGGCTTAATGCGTTAGTAGCAAAATGGCATCATGTACTCGCTTCAAGTCAAACAAGGACAGTTATCAGACTCTTATTTGCTTTTTTAAACCGATTCAACGTGGTGATAAATAATTTATCCAAAATTGTTGTGATTTTCTAAGGTTTGCTTAAGAAAGTATTTTTTATATCTCTCACAAAACGTGTTGCCTAGCATGACATGTATTTGGTAATTAATTATACACCTCGTGAAATAAACAAAATGCCGATGGAAAAACTTTTCTCAATGAGCAATTTGAATTGGAAAACAAACCCCCCAAAAAATAGGTACAAACAATGTACATGTGAATAGCCAGAAGCCGTAACTTTCACAAACGAATACGAACAAAAAATAAAAGGAACTTTAACTTTTCAATTAAAAATTCCTAATGGTGTTGTTTTGTTGTCAAAATTTTCCTAGCAACATTTTTTAAATATTTTACGCTCGACAAACTTGTACCAATTACAAATAATGTTTAACTACGAATGCTAAAGCATCACGCTTTGCAAGTGACTGCAAAAATTTCACAATATTTCCGGCTCCTATTTTGTCATGTATCATGTTCTTCATTGCAAAAAATTCATTTGCTTTCAACCTTTCATTTAACTAACAACAAAAATATTATGTACGAAGTAAACAGAGCAATAGATAAACAATGCAATGTATTGAACTGGACTAAACAGCAGTACAGCGCGTCAAGTAAAAGAGAGATGACTGGAGTATGTCAGAATGATTAGATTGCAAAATAAAGGCCAAACACAGAAAAAAAATCATAAACGTTAACATACACTTTAATGTGGTAATCCTTTTGCTTGAATTAAAACCAATTCCTTGTAAAATAGTCATTTGTGTCACTGACAGTTCGTACTCGGTGCTTTCTTCCAGCTTTGTAAACGATTGCATATGAACATTGCCGTCTACTGTTCTAATCTTCACAACCTGGTCGTCTGATACTTTCTTGACAACCACATGGTAGGAAACAATCTTCGTGTAATTCTGACGATCGGGAGTCCATGAAAAAGTGACATTGTTGCACGAAACAGTTTCGTTAACGATTTTAGGGTGGTCCAATGGAACTAAGACGATAAATGTTAGCTACAATGACTTGACCTCACCAACATTAAATTAGGACGGGAATGTTCGACCATAGGCAAACGCAAGCCCAGACTTTAACGACGGTTTCTAACCTTGAGTTTTTAGTCATCTGTTTGTTGTCATACAGCAAGCGCGATGTTAACTCGGCACGAATGGGTGAGAAATGGGATCAACAATAGTGAACAATGGATGACAAATAGGAACAATAATAGTGAACAATGGATGACAAATAGGAACAATAATAGTGAGCAATGGATGACAAATAGGAACAATAATAGTGAACAATGGATGACAAATAGGAACAATAGTGAACAATGGATGACAAATAGGAACAATAATAGTGAACAATAAATGACAAATAGGAACAATAATAGTGAACAATGGATGACAAATAAAAATAGCGATAATGAACAATAGATGACAATAGGAACAGCAGTAATTAACAACGGATAACAAATAGAAACAACAAAAATGAACAATGGATGACAAATATGAAACAATGGATGACAAATAGAAACAATAATCAACAATGGATGACAAACAGTGTCTGAAAGCCATTGTGATGTGATGAACCATTGATACTGGGCAACAAATGAGGGATAACAATGAGTAACTAAGATAATGAAAAATGGATAACATAGAGTGACAACGAGTTTGCACAATGAATAAGAATGAGTAACTAAGATAAAGAACAATGGATAAAATGTACGATGATGAACGATGGATAACATAGAGTAACAACGATTTTGCACAATGGATAACAATGAGTAATTACGATAATGTACAATTGACCACAAAGAGGAACTAAGAAAATGGATAATAAAAGCAACTACGATACGGAACAATGAGAGAAAGATGGAGTTTCATGTAACGTGAAGCGATTTTGAAAAGTTAGTCAAACCAAAATATAGATATTGAATCGTGATGTAATGTAACGCAACGTTTCCCTTCACACCAAGTTATTGCCAAGTCCACTAAGGATAATGAAAGAAATCTTACCACTCAACTTGATATTTTTCTCAACAACATCCAGATAATTTCGAGCTGTGCACGTATACAACCCGAGATCTTTTAAAAGGGTTTTGTTGATGTTGTACACCAGTGAGGTTAGGGAGGCGTTTGTTGTTATCGCAGAAGATAAAACTTCGTTTTTCTTCGAGAGTTTTAATTCCGGTGCTGGATTACCAATGGCATCGCACGAAACAGTCACCGGCTCGTTAGGGCTAACAAAATACAACTCTTCAACGTCTTGAAACTCGGGGGGATCTAAATATGATTACAGAATATGGTTTAGAAGACGGTTATTCGTGATTCTCTCCACCGAAACAAAATCTCCATTCAAAAGTGATATACTCACACACTACGATGACAGAAGTTAATCTTCTCCGTTTGATGTTGTTGCCCACATCATCCGTGGCCAAATTAGTGGCGGTACATGTATAAACGCCGCCTTGATCCACCCGTATTTTTTCTATCGTCAGAACGTTCATACCAGGAGATTTTACGATTACCAAATTCTTCATGAGCGAATAAATGAAAGTTGTAAATGACGTTAAAATGATACAATACAACGATCGTATGAAGATAAACACAGTTGACAAGCTTTAACGAGAAAACTCCACCACAACTGTATGTACTTAAGTCAACTTACACTTGTCTTAGCTACATTCGACCGAACATTTCCAGTCGGGTTGCAGTACGTATGTATGTATGGCTAAGAGAGTCGTATGATTAATAACAAATAAGGAAACTTTTCTGGTGTGAAGAACACAATAACGTTAGTGTGGTTGAAGCTTCAGACAATTTCAGTTTGTATAGTTCATTTACTATCGTCTACTGTCACGTGAAAAGACGCCATTGCACATGTATTGTCACGTGAGGAGACGCCTTTGCACACTACTGTCAGGTGAGGAAGCCCCATTGCATGCCTAATGTTAGGTTAAGGAAGTGGTGAAGAGACGCAATTGCACACATACTGTCACATGAAGACACGCAAATGCACACATACTGTCACGTGAAGACACGCAATTGCACGCACACATACTGTCACGTGAAGACACGCAATTTCACACATACTGGCAAGCGAGGACACCCCGTTGCAGAGCTTACTGGTGAAGAGAGGTCATTGCAAACCTTCTATCACATGAAAGACGAAAATGTACATGATGATATAAGAGCGGATAGAAATATAAAACGTAGAAAACAATCGACTAATACCAGTATATTTTGTGTCAACGTTTGGCCATCTTTCGACCATTCCACATCCGGTAGAGGACTTCCAGTCGCGTTGCAGTTGACCACGAGAGTCTCTCCTTTCTTTATTGTGTAATTCTTCAATGCGTGTATGATTGGTGGTACTAGCAAAAAAATTGCAAAATTTTACGCCAGAGGCTAGATATGCACATTCGAAGAAGAACGAAAAACGATGACCACATTTCGCAATCCGGCATTAAAATAAACAACACTTACTGTGAACAGAGACAAGTGTTGAAGTCAGTGTGGCTGTACCAGCAGAGTTCTTGGCGATGCAAGTATAACTGCCGGCATCGCTACTCTTAATGTCCTTGATAAAAAGACCTCTGTCGTTGATGGCATATCTCCCGACGTTGTAAATGATAGTTGCTCCTTTGTACCAAGTTACGTTTGGCGTTGGCACACCCTTGACGGAGCAATGGAACTGTATGCTTCCACCAATTGTTCGATTTTCTTTAGTTGAGCTTCCGTTTATAGTTGGAACAACTATAACAAACACAGAAAAAAATATTAACTCCAAGAGACAATGACTCAAAGATTAGAACTATAATAAATACAGAAAAAAAAATTCAACTCCTGGAGACAATGACTTAAAGATCAGCACAACTACAATAAACACAGGAGAAAATATCAACTCCTGGAGACAATGACTCAAAGATCAGCATAACTACAATAAACACAGGAGAAAATATCAACTCCTGAAGACAATGACTTAAAGATCAGAATAACTACAATAAACACAGGAGAAAATATCAACTCCTGGAGACAATGACTCAAAGATCAGCACAAATACAATAAACACAGGAGAAAATATCAACTCCTGGAGACAATGACTTAAAGATCAGCACAAATACAATAAACACAGGAGAAAATATCAACTCCTGGAGACTATGACTTAAAGATCAACATAATTAGCTACAATAATCACGGGAGAAAATATCACCGGGTACTTTCTTCGCATAAAGAAGTGAACTTAAATACAATATTCCCGAGAGAGTAGCAACCGGGAGGACATCATTCTAAGTTCTTTTTGGCGTTCATTCTCTAAACCATGCAATCAACGTAACTAAAAATCATGACAATTGTACATTGGCGATACTGACCATGTACCTTTACAGCAATGACACCAGATTCAGCGTTGAAGTTATTCTTCGAAGCTATAGCAGAGTAATTTCCGTCATCGCTACTTTGCACATTGGAAATCAGGAGAGTACCATTGTCCGCAACCGAAAATCGACCAGTAACATTCAGTTCTTGACCATTTCTACGCCACAAGAAATCTGGTCGTGGATAGCCGTGGATATCTATGTATATTGCACCAGGCTTATCCTTGATTATTATTTGTTCTTTTTCTGCTGGAGTGACAACGGAGGCTATAGATCGAGAAAGTACACAGATACATATGACCAACTTTCAACATTCACACGCATATGTCCACAATACTATATGTATGTAAAAGGGTAAAGTCACTCCTCACTTGACTGTGAAGATGACTACCGCTAAAGTTGTCGAAACATCAGTCAACATCAATACCAACAGTCCTTCTCAGGACTCTATACTAACCTGGACGATCTATATATACAAATATCATTAGGATAAACCATGCAAAAACAACAAAGTCAGAGACAACGAAACATCGTATTACTTACGTGCAAAAGTTAAAACGATGTAATCGCTTTTATTTTGTTTGGAGTAGCACGTCCATTCGCCTGCGATGAATACGTTCATAGATTTGATTTCGATTTTATGTTTGTTTCCAGTTTTCACATATTCTAGACTGGGATTATTCTGGATGGGAATTTTTAACAAAGGATTTCTCCAATTGTCAAACACGTCAGGTGGTGTCACACTGCATGCTAAAGTATATTTCTGACCGTTCGATAATGATACCCTATTTCCACTGAAATCCACTTTGACATCACATGCTAAAAGTGGGAAAAATAATAACCACGTGACTCAAGTTGCTAAAAAGATAGGATTGAGAGGAACAGATGTTCGAATGCGACTTCGCTTTCGTTGTTTGGTTAGTCGGAATAGTTCGACTGTAGTCGGAATAGTTCGACTGGATAATTGGGAAAGAAAGCGTGCAAAATCCATAGTTATAGTTGTTGCTATTACTGTTGTTGCTATTGTTGTAGCTGCTGCTGCTATTATGGCTGTTGTAGTTCCTGCTACTATTTCTAATGTTGTTGTGGTTATGGCTGTTGTTGTTAGTGTTTCTATTGTTGTTGTGGTTATGGCTGTTGTTGTTCCTGTTACTGTTTCTAATGTTGTTGTGGTTATGGCTGTTGTTGTTGTTGTTAATGTTTCTATTGTTGTTATGGTTATGGCTGTTGTTGTTCCTGTTACTGTTTCTATTGTTGTTGTGGTTATGGCTGTTGTTGTTGTTGTTAATGTTTCTATTGTTGTTGTGGTTATGGCTGTTGTTGTTGCTGTTACTGTCTCTATTGTTGTTGTGGTTATGGCTGTTGTTGTTCCTGTTACTGTTTTATTGTTGTTGTGGTTATGGCTGTTGTTGTTCCTGTTACTATTTCTATTGTTGTTGTGGTTATGGCTGTTGTTGTTCCTGTTACTATTTCTATTGTTGTTGTGGCTATGGCTGTTGTGGTTGCTGTTATAGTTTGACATTTATGTTGCTGTTATCGTGGTTATTGTTGTTGTTGTTGTACTTGTTTGTAATGATGCCGCATTTTTGTTGCTTTTGTTGTTTTTAATGAATATAGTTAATGAAAAATAAGTTTTTCACACGCGTATGTGGTCTCCCAGTGATCGTAAAAAGAAATGAACACATCAGGTTCACAGAGACTTAGGATCAAGCAACGAGCATATATCCCAAGTTACGCACTCATGCTGAGCAGATTTCAACACTGCAAACCAGATAATTTCAGAAACTTGGCAAAGGCCAAAATAAAAGATTCATTCGAAGAGCTGCAGGAAAAATTACTCAATTCTTGTATGTTTATGAACAAAAAATATGAAATAAAAAAATTACTGAGAAATAGAATAGAGCAATATTAATTGGTCTGCGATTTCGGTCAAATTCTCATTAAGTAAGGTACTGAATATCGAGATCAGTTTTCTATCAAGCCCCATCTTTCACCTTCTATGGTAAGATTTTGACCACGTGATCATTAAGTGGTTTCTTCAAGTAGAAACATAGTCACATAGGTTTGACTCGAAATAACGATAAAACATTCGTGTTGAGCCCCAGTATTCAAATGGCAGAGCTAGAGTCTCCTCAAGTTCATATTAACCTTTTAGACGAACCCTTTACAAATGTATTTTAATAAAGAAGGAAGGTGAAAGGGGAGGGTAGAAATGTAAGCGTCCACAACACTGCATGTTTCACTTTCCATCAAGTCAAACAGGAAAAAAATGAAATCTAGCTTTTCGACAAAGCAGCAAACGTAATGTTTTACAGATTATATTGTGATGTTTTTTCATCTTTCAGCAGACATTTAGGCATCGGAGTAATTTACGGAATCTTTTAACGATAACGGAATACATTTGATGATAAATAATGAACATGTTGCAGGTGCAATCTGTTTGAAGTCGCTCGCATAATTGCTTTCAAAATAAATATTACACAAATTAATGAACTAAAATAAACAGAATTTTTCCATTTTCAGCCGTAGCCGATCGGTTTTATTTGGGTTACACTTCTCTTGTTTTGACTACTAGCAGAAAAAACACAATCATTCAAAGCAATACAAATGAAAAAACGTCTGGAAGATGCATTACTCGGAAAGAAAGCCAAACAAATAATACATTACAACTTTGGCACACATGTCCGACATGACATGCAATACCCGCAACGATTCATCAAATATTTGCGTGCAAGTGGAACAACAACAGAAAATCTTAGATATCTTTCAGTTCATCCTTCCTTAAATGCAAATACACGCAAATAGTTGATGATTCTGATATTTCGCAAGTATACCCGAGTATAGAATGTTACATCTGCCAAGGTTAGTATTAGTAACAATAAGGCTTGCACTAATTGGCTGGCGTTTTCCAGTATGCAGTAAGTTCACATCTTTAAAAACAATACGTATAAAGCGCATGTAGTAAGCATGACTCAACAACACAATGCTTTCCTATAGTACGTAATTGTCCTGTTTTATGCCAAAGTTCAAGAATCGTCATCATGTCGTCACAGTGTGTGGAGAGCAAGTTTTATGCATATTGTAAATTATGCACTCTAAGTTCTGGCACTTAAAGCATTTTAGGCTTGGCTTGGTTGGAGAATTTCGACATAAAATCTTCATAATTTGGATTATGAATAGCTTATTGCTAGCAATTAGAGAATTTTTGATGGCTCAACAAGGAATGCTCTTCTCCACTTTGTGCGGTAATACATCTAGTGCTTAAGTTTAAGAATCGCCAAATGTGTCAATTAACGCGATGCTCATTTCTCATACTTATATTGACGAATGAGAGATTTAAATTGGGTATAAATTCCCTTGATAACTGTTTGCGACAAATCCTATTTCGAAAGTGCCAAAGGGCGAGAAGGGGACAAAACGCTTCGGAACAAACGTCAATTACGCAGTAACATCTGGTGCCACTAAGCAAATAGCTTAGAGATGGCGCCACGTAGACGAAATCGCCCGTCTACGTTAATCGTCGAGGTGACCCTAAAATGCTTTAATTGAGTGAGAGCGTCTCTCAAGCACAACTGACATAAGTATTGAGGCCAAGCCGAGAAGGGATTTTCAGTATGCTAGTGACATTTGTCATTTACCAATATTACGCACTGTTTGAGTTACATTTTCAAGTTATATATACAGAGAGTAAAGACTTTAGTATTAGGAAATATCGGGGGGGGGGGCAATCGCCATTTCCCTCGCCGGCGCTACTGGGGATAATTATACACGTTATATTAGAACCAACCACACACATGCAAGCAAAGCAACTCCAACAATGCGCATGACAACGCCCACAAATCATATCAACAGGGGGTGTAAAGTAGAGGCAAAATTCTGTCAGTTGCTATGAACAGCAATAAAAAATCGATTCACAGAGATGCCTTTTTTTAACACGCCTGTTTTTATTTATTATACTACGAAAGAAACCAAGGATAGTTTAGTGTGCAGGTTGTATAAACAAGAAAACGGAATTTTTGTTCAAACTAACATGACATGGATTACTACTTGATATGCACGTGTTATGCTCATCAATGCTCAACAAAATGACATGAGCAAGAGTCAGGAGAGATTCCAAAGACATAAAACACACATACATCATATTGGCACATACTCACAGGTGCTTGTGTTGACACAACTAACATGGTTGCTTTCTGAGATGAAATGTGTAATGAATCAATAATCAAATGTTTGAGTCGAACTAATGCAGTTAAATTTCCAGGCCATGGATATACAATCATAAATGTCTTTGAAATGCGCCTGGCATAAGTACAAACCTTTTTTTAAGACAGTTGAAATTGTCGAGTAATTTCCAATAAAATAGCCTGTTTCATTTTAAGATGTTTTCATATGTATTTATGATGTTGAATTGGAATCAGGTGACTATCCAAACTAGCATGCACAAAAATTATATATTTTGTTGAAGTTATAGATAAATGTAATAACTCTCAACTCTGCAGATCAGTTAATTACAGCTCACATATTGCCAAACCAAGCCCTGAACAAAACCACTTTCCTTTGGTATCCTTTCATGTGAAAGAAATATTCTACAACTTCATTTGGCGATGTCATTACATTGCTAAAACTTTCAGTTGAATGAAAGAAAATTTGAATACAAGGTTTTCCATGAATATATTTGCAAGCATTTATCAAAATAATATTGTACAAGCATTTATCAAAATAATATCCTAACAATTATCAATATTCGTTGCCTGTACCTAAGCACCAACTACACCAAAAATATTGGAAATCGATCAATCCTATAGTAAGTCCATACTTTTTCTAAACTTCCTATGCATATGACTTCAAGCTGAGTAATTATTCATTAATACTTCAATTTAACTGATTGATTATTTTCTCCCAGCTGGATAGTTGACATGAACTTTGTCTTATATGGCAGAAAAAAAAGATAATGTACATTCCATCTTATTGAGTCAAAAGTCAAAGTGAAAACTTAGTTTTTGAAATTGACTTATTGTTAAAATTTACTTCTCCAGAACTAACTATGACAGTGTTATAATCTACAGCAACAAGGCGTTGATTAGCATTTGTGAGTGCTTTTTATAGATTAATTTGCTCGATTATGCACAAACGCTTGAAATTTCACAACCCGAAAATCCAAGAATTGCATCCCCAAATACCCAGTTCGTGTCAGTATGCATTCTTGGAACTCTTCAAATAATACTCAATTCGCAGATCCTCGCTACCATATGCTTTTTTTACATTGATGCACTCAAAATTAAATAAGTAAGTACGACATAAAACAGTTATTTAATACTGATCGATCAACAAAACCAAACAGCCTGTAATATTCATAAACAACGAGTAGCTACTTTGAGATAAGTTCAAGAAACAAAGCGCCCGTCTCGTACATTTGAAACTAATTATCAGCAATTACAAATAATAAAGATCTTAGATGTGAACGATTATGTAAATATCGCACGGCTTGGGAAATCATAATCCTAATTCCTTGGCACGCTCTGCTTTGCACTGCCCAACTTTAGTTTTAATAGAATATCATATCTACCATTTCATTTTTTAGAATACTGCAACAACAATTTCATTTCCACATAACTTTATAAACTCCATCCATAAAAGCACTATATAAGCACTTCGTGATACAGCATTGATACACAATATTCTAATATATTTCGTGTTATTGTAACTTACAGTCACTGAATTAGTGCTAGTGGTCCAAGTTTGTGCAGTTCAAATGTCAATGTATCATAAAGGCTGCACGCAGATGTAAAATTTATTTTGTATATATGAAAGAAACAATCGCCAGGGCCACTTGACAACATTAATTCAGCATCGGCGTGAGCATTGCGAGAAAGTTTTCGGGAAAGCTTAGTCACACAATGTAAAGCAAGCGATAAAAGTGAAGTTAAATCAGCTAGTTATGGAACGAGTATTTTATGATTTATAAAAATAGCGCCATGTGTGGACGTCCTATCGCCAATTTCCGCTGTGAAATGAAATGGAAATACCAAACAAAACTTGTCAAAATCTGTTTCATAATGACTGAGTTCAAAATAAATCAAACAAACGACTTGGACACAAGCGACATTTTCATTCTACCAAGCACTCGTATACGACTTTTTCCATACATTCAACTCCATAAACTTTGAACATGTAAATATAACGACTTTCAAGCCATCTTTCGACCGTTTAAAATAAAGTATGACGGAAAGTGAAAGATAGCCAATAATTGTTATCGATGTAAGAAACGCATCTTCTATATAATGTACTGGCAAAAGCCAACTGGACTATGCCTGAAATCTGTCGCTTGCATCAACACAAAATTTCATATTTTAAATTATCAAAAAAAGCCAAAAATAATTAACCTTACCGGCATGTGATATTAACATCCACAAAAGCAATATCTTTAATTCATTCATTTCGAAATCCTTCCTCAAATCAATCGTATCTGTTAAAGAATTCACGAGAAAATTTTCAAACAATACACAAAAGTATTTTGTAATCAGATACCTTCCCCTCAGAAACTACGTTTCATCTGACGAAAACACTTTATTTTTGCGGTTTGTTCATTACTGTCAAAAGCAGCGCATGCGCATTCGTATCGAGGTCATGAGGATGGTGGCAGTGCGTTCTATATATCTATAAGGAGTCTTTGAACAATGAAAAATACATTAAATTCAAAAACAATTAAACATTTCTGTTGAATATGTATGTTCTTGAGTGGACACCGAATTGTCTTTAAACAATAGAAAACTTGTTGTTCCAAATATTTGTGATTACGTAATCTTTCAGTCTGGCCAGGGAGATTGCACTCACAACGATCCACAATAGCTTGCATAAATTAATCAGAAAAACAGATAAAGCGCACATGTTATGTATGTGTGCTTTAAACAATACAGCACTTAATAACTAATAAGTCTATATCTCCAAGACGCCTATCTAATCTAATCCTTAGAGACAATAAGTAATTTAAATGGAAATGTTGCATTTATTCGATTTTTCAAAACAAGTATCAAAGAAAATGTACCAAATGTCAGCTTTTTGTCAGCAACCAAATAATGATTATACGTAATAAAATATCTAAATGTACTACATAAAAATTTTATAACTAAGAAAACATGGGCCAATGTTTTTCACGTCATTGATCAGTCGACATACAGCTACAGGTGTTTCATAAAACATAGTCACGCGGATTTAAATTGAATTCGAATGAAAAACATGCAACTGCTGCACGTTTAACAAAATGATATCATTGATCTTTAATTATTTTAAACAATACGTCCCCACTGTAATGACTATACGACTGCATGAAAATGGAAAATCAGAAATAAATATTATTTAAGTTGCACATAAAACAACATGCATTCAGGTCAGTGCATTAATATGCTGTGTCATATTGATGCAGTGTCAGTCCCTGGCACTGCTGTCGACTTTTGTTACTGTGTTTTCGAATCTCAGGTATTTTATTGACGCCTGCTTTCCAATCATCAATATTGTTTAGAAGCATGATTTTTACCGTATTCAACTTTTCGTGACAATTGCCCTAAGATATAGGATTGATATATGACGTCAATCAATGAAGCTAGTGTCAAGCTCACGACAAAAATGCGACTCTAGGCAAAAACACCCCCAAAATACTTTTCGAAATAATTATAAAATATAATTTTTAATATATGGATAATATAACAACTGGTAATACATTAAGTTCTTCGTGAACATAAATAAGACAAAATGAAAGTGGCGCCATATTCCTTGAAAACCCTATCTTACTTTACTAACTTTGAAATCATGTGAAAAAAAAAGTCTAAAAGGAATACGACCAACTAGTATACAGTATTAAGTACAGTAAGAATGGACGTATTAGGCTTTTATTGTTATTAAAATAATTGTCATTACAAGAAAAGCGTCAGTTTTTATTAATAGAAGTAAGATCGGGCAAAACACGGAGTTCACTTGACGAATCAATATTTAATACTATTCAAATATACTTGTTCTCTTGTACCATATTATATCATAATTACATATTTTGTATTGTTTCTAATTATAACTTATTGATCTGCATGAAATCACAAATTCTGAAATATCGCTCGTTAGTCGTTAATCAGTCAATTTGAAGAGTAAAAATTGCACGAAGTTGAACAAATTGATGAAAATTACTGCGTTGCCATTGATGGAACACACGTTGATTGAATGCAAAATATATTTTAATTTTATGAGAAATGGAGAAAAGTAAGACTGTGGCTGTTCTTGGATTGCAATCTCATAATACCTTGCTGATCAGGTGAATGACTTTACTAACTGGTACCTACAAAAAATAAAGAAACAAAACCGATACAAGAAACTGAACAACTAACTCAAATTATATGTTTGTAAATGTAGATCGTCCAGGTTGGTATAGTCCTGAGAAGGACTGTTTTTGTAGTTGTTGACTGACGTTTCGACAACCTTAGCGGTAGTCATTTTCAGAGCCTTTTGACTCTGAAGATTTGTCTCTGAAGATGACTACCGCTAAGGTTGTCGAAACGTCAGTCAACAACAACAAAAACAGTCCTTCTCAGGACTATACCAACATGGACGATCTACATTTACAAACATGTAACGATACTCCCGGGTTCAAACCATTTACTTTATAACTCAAATTATGTTGTAAAGAGAAGCAATATAACGCTTGGAAGAAAACATCCAACTTCACAGGGAAAACCTGAAAACCTTTAGATGAAGCTCTTTTTTCAAATGAAGTGAAACATTAAACATATTCTGTGATGTAGTGTTAGGCTATAAGCATTTCTACAACGTCGAACGTTAATTCGATAAATATTTAGTTATGCAGGCAAAAAGTCGACATGACATAAAAATAATTACAACTTAACTTTTCACCACAAATAATATACAATTGAACTCGCTGCACAACTGAAAGACGTCTAACATTTGAAAGAAACTTTAAAATCAAAAGATGCTACTTGCACAAGGCTTTTCCATATTTCTTGGAACTTAACAAGTGAGAGCTCATTCCGTTAAACCTGTGTAATGGAGTAGACCTAATTCTAGCACAAATATTGCAAAATTTATAGCTCACAGCAATGTTTATATCAACGTTGTAATACAGCGTTGTACACAGCTCAACGTCGTGTATATAGTGTGTGGTTACATCTATCTACTACCGCGCATTGTGAGTGGTTACATCAATCTACTGCGCAATATGAGTGGTTACATCAATCTACTATGTATTATGCAACAATAAATATCTACTACCGCGCATTGTGAGTGGTTACATCAATCTATTACGTATAATGCAACAATAAATATCTACTTACTTTATACTCAGAAAAAACATGACATACAAACTGCCCGCCTCCACGACTCTCCACCAATCCAAAGTGAGCTTTGTCACTGAAAAATGAATTCGATTTGGTAAACGATGAATAGTTTAAAGATTAAAAAATTTTAAACAAACGTACGCTTATAAAACAACATATGATGGAGTGAAATAATCTGTACATGTCGAATCTACATTGTTTACTAATTCGCTACCCTATAATAAACGCTTTCGTGTATGCGTGCACCATCTCCTAGACGCCTGTAACAAAATGAGACGTTCACTTCATGTGCAATATTTCATAACTTCTGAACAAAGGGCCCTTCTGCAGTTCTTCCGTTTTTTCACCGTTTTTCGTACAAAAACATTCTCTTTCACCCAAATTCTAGTTGATCAAATGCACTCATTTTTGAAAATACATTCAGGAATTTGGAGAAACAACCATGCCGAAATATAAACAGGCAAAATGAGACACATTCATCACAGCCACAATACATTAGCATTGATCGAAGAAAGGTTTGCACGTGGGAAGTGGCACCTCTCACACACCCCGTCTATCAAAAGCTAGTATCCAGGGATGCGCACACCTGCATCACACATTAAATCCATCGATATACTTTAAGCTAATTAAAAACTGAAACTGAATTCTACGATTTTTGTTTTCCGACAGCAGACTTATCTATTTTAAGTGATTGGTCTTTAATTCAGCTCATCTGTCTGCAAGACAACACGCGTGTGCGAAAATTACCAAAAAAGGTCAGAAATGCCGGGGAATTAAGATGTTGGTCGGACGTTCCAATTATACTGTCAATTTTAAGCTCACAATGGCATGTCGATGACAGGAAAAATGCATATTTACAGCCACAGAAATAGAGGGCGAGAAATCACCTCAGTTCCATTTGACTTTGAGTGTGCAATATTCGTATTTATATTAGATATTCTAGCCTTATTCTACATATCACGACCTGGAAATATGGCTAGGAGAAGCATAAGTATGTCGAAGATTTGCAATAGGATGTAGAATCCGGACAAGTGGTGAGGAAGTTGAGAAGAATAATCAAACATACTTTAGAACAAAAAAAAGACAGTAACAATGTACAGACGTTTACCTCGCAACCCCCAGGTATGATATCCTTTCCAATGGGATACATTGGCAAGAAAGTCCGCTTTGTATTGAGTCGTCAAGCGTTATATATTGATGCGAAATTTTTAACGTACTTATGGAAAGTGTTGTTCCTTGCGCAACCTATAAAGCGTTTGATTCAAAACATGAAACCTGCATGTGACTAAATAACCATACTAAATGTACCCCCTCCCCCTCCCACCATCCTAGAAATTGAAGTTGCCATGCGCCATAAGAACAGGTCGTTGTCAAAACATTGGAAACCAGCAACAAATCAACCATTACATTACAATACGCGACAAAGTTCACACACCGTAACAGCTTCTCTGATAGCTGAAGGTCCTGTTCCGACGGATACAGGATGACATCCATAGTATTTTACTAATAATTCACTGTATTTTTTTTCATCAGTACTAGATAAAACAGCATCCTGGAAAAATGAACATAATCAAGCGATGAACAAAAGTAACGAAGCGAAGATCTTTGTACGGGACAGTACAAATATAAGTTTTCAGAAGTCAGTAAATAAACGTTTTATGGCTGATGTTCTTTAAATTTACCGTTTAATATATGGCTTTCGCTGACATAAAATGAGTGAATCTTTCTTTCCATTAATACAAGAGTTTGTACACAATCACTTTCCGTTGAAATAGGATGAATTTCGTTGAACCCCCATGCTTTATATAACTACCTTGCTCACGTTACTGGTGCAAATGTTGTTTAACGAGCAAAAAATTCTACTGCTCGGTCCCAAAGTGTTATAGTCCTTTTATTACACAGAGCTGGTGTTCCATATTTTACATTAAAAAATTTTTTTTTAATTTAAAAAATCCGAGTTTTTGCGATATACGGCAAAAACCGAAGATAAACATCAGTAGCGGATCTAGCGTTCGCCGAAATAAATTATAGCTGTTCAATTTTAAATGCAAAGTAGTACTTTCATAACCATTGGATTTGCCTCAGCGACACTGATAAGCGTTACAACAGCAAAGTGGGGCCCCATTTCTTCTGCAACAACCTCAACCAGCTGACTGCATGCCTTTTAATACGGGGCAAACGAAAATATTATAAAAAGCTACTATACCGAAGTGTCCCGTCTTGGTACAGCCATCTTTGCTTGACTTGCAAGTTTTCCAAGGAAGCCTTTAATGCCATGACCAGACTACAATGAAAGAGCGTTATGACAAAATTAGAATTAAGTTTTATTGCATATTTGTTATATTAATAGCATGTTTTGAATTTATTTATGATTTCGGAGTAAATTGTTCGCTTAGTCACAAATTATTAGCGAAATCATCTGAGCATGAGCTGTTCATTCAAGCATGCGCAGTTAGGTGGACCAATTGTTCGAGTTCATAGACATGGCAATGACAAAATGGATGAGCTTGCCCTGCTATCGGAGTAACTGGATTGTTTGGTCACGAAGTGTTTATATATTTGAAAACTACACTGTCTAGCTTCTTCTTAGCATCGCAAACTGATCTATGGTTTCATTTATAAGGTTGCTCGAGAAATAGTAGGGTGTCCTTGAGCAAGATACTTTACACAACCAACATTCCCTTGCATTCCTCAGCCTCCCTTGTTAAAATTCTTTGTCAAGTTAGGGGACTCAGCCCCCTTATAATTCTTAAATATTGCTTAATTTCAAATTGTGAAGCATTCATGTAAATGATTCACCTCGATAAGCTTATGATTTTGTCATTTCATATGCTTTATCATTCCTATATGTACCAGTAAATGTAAACTATTAGATTACTATAACATGAAAAAGTTCAAGATGTTTCATGTAAACGCTTGCACAAACAGCTCGTTTTTCGTTCGACAGTTCGTCCCGCTACTTTTATGACAGAGAGCCCCCCCTGTATAAACATTTCAGCAATACACCGCTGATACCGATATTAAAATGTTACAAAATCCGCTTTAAAGATATAGGTTTCTCTAAATTTTTGCAATCTTTGCAAAATGCCTAATCAGTTTATAAATAAGACAAAATATCCTTCGATGCCCTGACCAATCTCATTAAAACACGACGGACATAAATTGGTACAGTTTGCACTGCGTATGACGTGAATATTCATCACTTAGTTTCCATGGTAACTTTCCACTAGAAAACGTTGCGACGAAAATCTCAACTTTTGGGTTTGTGAGAAGCGAGTACATGTGAAAAAACAGTAAAGTCCTATTTCTGGAATATAGGAACCACAACAACTTTGCTAACTGTATTGAGCTCCAGGATGCTCAATGGACACCGTTTAAAAAGAAACACATTCACCTACCTGGCTGGATTGTTTGTCCGATTGTCTTGCGTCCTCCTTTATTTTTTCAGCTAACTCTGGGTTTGTGTCCAAGCATGACTGCAAACGAAGCTAAAAAATCAAGAACGCATATAATAACCATTAATTCTAGCCTCTGATAATAATTTTTAACTCCGATGATGTCAGCAGCGGATCCAGCGTTCATCAAAATTACAGCAGTTCAATTTTAAATTCGAAGTACTTTCAGCTTTCAGAAAAACACTATTGGTTATGAATTTCTAAAGAATGTAATTTTACCAATGGATTTGCCTCTAAGGTACATAGAAATGAAAATACATGCCAAAATGGGCTGCAGTAATTTATTTTGACTCACCCTAGATCCACCACTGGATGGAGTTGTCTGGGAGAAAATTTTTATTATATGCTAAAATCTTTGAAATACACGCATGCATAAATATATATACATGTATGTTCTGAAGAAGGCACACATACATAAATGTATATTCTGAAGAAGGCTCGAAGTACCGAGTCAAAAGCTCAATGAAATTACTTATAAAATCAGGAGAAACGTTTACTTTTTTAACAATAATGCCTGGATTACCAGTCTTCAAGCTTATATATACATATATATATATATATATATAGCGACAATCAATACCCTGCAAGCTTCCTCCAGTGCTTTGGTAAAACTTGCAGCATTCGGGATGCACTCAAACACGTTACATAAAAAGGAGGAGTTCTCGTCACCTCGACACACATAACCACAATATCTACAATCGTAGGAGGGAAAGAAATCATTTTCAAAATAGCCGCAATGCAATCACCAACGCATACGTGCAATACTACAGGGTGCAGAGAACGCAATGATTTAGAGCTCAATCCCCTAGATTTCCTATTACCGTGTCAATGTGTGGCAAGGACGCCATCTTGAGAGGTGGTAAAAAGCAAAACTGTAGATCAAAAATAAGTTACAAAGAAAGTTCAAGAAACCAATCCTATCAAAAATTTTAAAACCCAGACTTAGACAATGCACTCTGCAACGGTATATCAACGCAAAAGAAGAACAATTTACTCGTAAATATCGTTAGTCTTGCAATTTTTCGAAATGGCGGTTTGCCTCACTCGTTTTCTCGTAACTATAGAATTATGAAATCTAGAAGACTGGGTTCTAGGTCATTGAAATTACACAATATCTTTCAATCTATTGTGTATTGAAGTAAATTTTGGTATAGACAGTATGGTTTAGAATATTTTTGTACAATGTATCTATATCCGGTAGAAAATTAACAGAATATACATTTTACATTATTCAACCCATACACAACCTATATACAGTCTTAAGCCTCGGTCACACTGTTTGACGATAACGATAACGATAACGGTAAACTATAAGGAAATTCAATGGTCACACACTAACGATAAATCGTTATCATTATCGCTACAATGTGACCGCACACAAGAGTTTGAATAACGAGCGATTTTTCTTTGCATCGTTATCGGGTGCAGTGTGACGAAGGCTTTATCCCCTTGTATTTCAACTCGTTATAAATTTCTTCGTAACTTGTTGTTGAATAAATTTATTACCCTCTAAAAGCCTAAGTTTCATTCAATATTAATGAAAACTATTTTGAAGTCTTTAGAAGGCAATTTAATATCGTCTCAGTAAAAGGTTTCCCCCATCGCTGTGTTTGAGCTCCCTTTTACATCCAATGTATAGATTACAAGACATATTTCTCACCTCACGTCTTTCGCGACTCCAATAAACGAAACAAACTTGATTCTATTGTCTGAAATTATCTCTTGTGACTTAAAAAAAATTGCAAGTATCAATGGTTGGCTACAATATCCGAGAAAAAAATAAGCAAAAAAAATTCGTTACCAAACAATCAGTGGCGCGCACGCTCGATACAGTGATCTCGATCAAACATGTCCGCCACGCACTTGGGTCACGTGAGACCATAGCAACATCGATTGCTCTATGTACAACGTCGATACCTTGAACAAAAATAAACAAATCATTAAACGAAACGGATTTTGAAAGTTTCAGTAGTGCAGTAAATAGTTTGCTACACCGTACAATTGTGGGCGGGAGACAGTGATATTTCGTCGACAAGTTCGTGGGTTCTTCGGAGCATAGATTGCCTAACTTTAACGGGAGAACGATTAGCATATATTGTTAGCAAAGCAGCTTCATACCTACTCTTCCAACACTATTTTATTTTGTCGATAAACACTTTTTAATATTTTTTATTTGATGTACGAATATTCTGAAGAAGACTTAGATGGATTGTCGGCAAAAGTATTTCCAAGCCCGGAAAGTCGTGCTATGCAAACGTCAAAAGATCTTATCATTACTCATTATAAAATAAACACATTGAAACGCGTGCGCTGATTGGTCTAGAGCCGTGTTTGCATTAGCCTGTGCAAAACACATCCGAGCTTAGCCAATCAAATCAATCAGTCAAAGAGAATTTGCAAATCGATCATGAATACATTTTAGAGGAAAAATTGAAATGTTTTTTCTTTTTCGCATTATTGTTATTCTATAAAAAAATAAAAGATGTTTTTCGTATTTTCACTGGCTTATGCAAACCTCGGAGACGTTTGTGAGAACTCTCGAGCATGTGCAACCCTCGACCTTCGGTCTCGGACTAGCACTGATCTGCTCTTGAGTTCTCCCAAAGAAGCCCGTGCAAACACAGTAAACATCTTTTATTTCTTAATTGAAAAAACCTATGGTTTTCAGTGTGAGTGAATACAGAAAATTTGCCTAGCTTGACTTGTGAGTGCACCACTGACTATATGGAGTAAGAGTGTTGTTGGTAAATGACATTTTTGACAAACTGACTAGTAAATAATAATCTAATTCAAAAATACGTATGTTATGAAGGATAACGAACCTATAGAATCACTACCATTATACTAAGACGTCAAAGCGTATTCAAATGAAAAAAACTTCAGCATACCACGAACTAAATGAAACTTTTTTTTATAGTAACCGGGAAAGCACAAGAAGTGCAGTATATTGAAACAAATCAATTGTTCTCAATTCGTAAAAAATTCTTTAGAAAGAAGTTACGATCATGACAAACACTTTATATTGACTATTACCTGTCGGTCTTGGTACTTCCACCTTCCCGATAAATTTCCCTGAAAAGCTTCGTTTGTTCTCCGGTTTTGGCTTCACGTTAAAACCGACTTGGTCTAAAGTAAAAGAGTTGCATTTCAATGTTATATTGCAGGCGATTTCAAACGTATGCCAAAAGGGTGAGATAGCGAAGCCAGCCCGTTTTTTATTCCTAAAATGCAAATTTTTCTGTGCTCAATCACAGGAAAACAAAGAAGCGAATTAATTTTCTAAAGAAAGGAATAATAGTTGTTCTCTAAAAATTAGCATCGTAGAAGTAAAAGATCGCGCTGGCTTCGCCACTAAGTGTGTAATCGTCATGCCAATATAGCTTGGGAAATCGTCTTTTGTCAGTTTAAATCTTTCCTGCAGCATCTTGCAAAAAAAATGTTAAGAATTTTAACATGGTAACGTGCACGTGACATTGTGTTTTTACGCTTGAATTTTCACATAGCAAAAACAGATGAGCGGTTAAGCTAATCCCAATGATATGTTTTTCATTTTATAACGATTGAGTACACCTCAAACAAAAATTAAAAATTGCAAGTCCAAATTGCATTTCTCCACCGTTTGAAATTGTTGAGTGCATTTAGTGATGCTTCACTGCCACTTTGAACAAAAGCAAATAAATCAGCGGGTTCCCCTCTAGAATCTTCAAATAATTGTACTAAATTCTTAACGGTGTAAAAATGCCATTTCGACTTAAAATTTCGTTTGAGGAGTACTCGATCGTTTCTGATTATTATGGAATGTAAACTATCTCATTGAAAAGTTGAAGAGCTCGTCTTTTCTGATGTATAAAATTACAAGCATAAAACACAACATCAAATGCATGATAGCATATTAAAGTTCGATACACTTTGCACAATTGAACGATCTTTCTGAATCTGAAAATCGATGAACCACGACAAAACCTATGAAAACATTATCATTTCTTGTAAATCAATGATCCAACAGAAAAGGTAAGGTACAAAGACGCCGGTTACAAGTGTAAATGCAGCACAAATCTTAACGCAAAATTATGACAATGCAATACAAAAGAAACGTCGTATTAAGCGACTATTAACCAAACGATTGTTCTTCGTCGATGCCTAATCGCACACCGTCGTTTCTAAACAACATAACCAAGTCCTATGAATGTTTAATAACCAAGCCATACATATCCTCCGACGATCAATCAAAGGGTGTTAGGTCTAATGGATATGGTAATGCAAGTCTGCGGGCATTTGGTCTGTTCAAACCGAAGCGTACGCCATGCTGCTTGGATTATGTCAAAAATAATATACTCATAAAAAAATAAGTGAGACCAGAGACTCTTCTGCTAATGAATACAAAAATATATATCATTATGTACATAGGAGAGCCAATTCGTATAAATACACTACTATCCACTGTTATACATGGAAAAGTTACTAAAAATACTCCGTATATTAAAACTTTACGCTTTCTGCATACAACAATATCAAAAAGTTCACCCTATTATACATATATGAAGAACGAATACTGTGTTATAAACGAATTATTATATTAATGTAATAGGAAAGAAAAGTACAAAAATATGTATATGTATATGTACATCATGTGTACGCTGTACAAAATATATAATGTTCAACTTGTCACTGCGTGCCTTTCGTTGTTTGCTGTTGTTCCCGCGCGTTTATATCACGAGTTTTTGATCTCCGGGTAAAAAACGACAACGTTCGACCTAAAAATTGGCAAACATCTCAAATATGTTGAATTATTTTGTGTATAAAAGAATGCCGAATAATTTACAATTCTTGAAGTATAATAACTTAAATCCAAATCACCGAGAATCGTATGAACCTTCGGAGTTGTGTCTTGAATTGAAAATTATTGTTGCAGGATCGAGTAAAGACAGTATATGAAAATACGCCAAAGTTAGCTTGGAGCATGCGCACAAGTCTACTACTAAATACATAACGAAAACGCAGCAAAATACGAAGCTAGCGGTAAATTGACACATGGGACCATGTTGCACTTCAAATTTCAAAAAGTCCATCAACAAAATGATATTTGCACGTCAAAATGACGTGTTATATAAGGATAAAAGTCGTACAGCACTTTTGTCAATCACGTGAACGTAGAGAACAAAAAACGATCAATAGCTTTATTACGAACACACTATCAATTCACGTGCTTTAATGCATTCTCTTAGATAAAACATGCGCTTGGAAAGAATGTAAGGTATAATATGGTCATTTCTGTAGCTTGTAGCATTGAAGCAAGACTTACTCAGGCAAATAATACCTTCACACGAAAACGCAAACAAAACACAATTACAAAAGGCAGAAAGCGATTAGTACCAATTACCTCAAAACCCACTCTAACCAATAGCTGACAACGAAAAAATTCTACATAGCTAGTTGCAAGAAAGGCAATCCGCCATGTTTAAAGGTTGTAACGCAACAACGACGTGCTTCTTCTGCATACGTTGATCAATAATTACAGAGGTAATAGTACAGGTTTGGCTTTTGAATGTTTTTTACCATTTCTTTTAACTTAGCTACATTTGAATGAGAGTTTTGCTTTCTATAACTATTCAAAATGGCGTCCTTGTCTCACCTTTGCAACGGTAGTTAGACTTCTGGACCCGGATGCGCGAAGGCCGAATAGCGCTATGAACTGGATAGCAAGTTTTTTGAACGTTTGAAAACCTCTCAAAAGAGAAAATATAAGATTTGAAATGAGCATTCACTAAAAGTAAATATTGATTCCAAGATTACAAAAATTTCTACGTCGTAAGGAAAATATAAACAACTTTTTTACTGAAAATTTTACGATCCAATGGAAAATGATAGCGCTATCCAGTCTTTGTGCGACCAGCTCCTGGGAGACTGGGTAATAAATCATTGAGCATTACAGATCCTTGGTTCCGACTTGCGTAATAACAGTATGAACAATAGAAGCGCAAAGGAATCATAACTTCGCCAAGATGCAAATAGGAAGACGATGGCAATAACAGGGTTCCGGAATGATTAAAACGACCGAAACAGAGTGCAACAACTATATGCAGTAAATTGATGTCACAGATGCATTAAACTGCACGTAGTTGTTATCTTGAAAAAAAATTTTAACTTTGTTGTAACAACATTGCCGGCTGCATATACGTATGTAATCGTAAACATAAAGCCTATTTTACCAAATTTCAATTTTTTACGTTCACCACCTTTCGTAAACTGTTCAAAGCGTTGTTCTGGAGCAGGTTGCACGAAGACTGGGTAGCGTTTTCCATTGGATAGTAAAATTTTCAAACTTGTAAAAAAGTTGTTTATATTTTCCTTACGACATAGAAATTTTTGTAATCTTGGAAGCAATAGTTTCTTTTAGTGAATGCTCATTTCAAATCTTACATTTTCTCTTTTAAGAGGTTCTTAAACGTTCAAAAAAATTTGCTATCCAGTGGATAGCGCTATTCAGTCTTCGTGCAACCGGAGTTATTCAACCGTGCCAGGAATGGAGGAGTTATTCATACATACAAACGCTTGGTGATAAACATTCGATGGATCAACGACTTTCGTTCCATTGAAAACATTCGGCTTCGGTTAATTGCGATTAATTCTCATTTTCTACGTCAGGAATAATTTCAACCCGACTTAAAGAAAGGGGTTAAAAAAAAGGAATTGGGAGTAAGATATATGTAACTTTCGGACTTATCCAAAAGACAACATTTACAACAAAATATATACTTAAATACAGAAGGTTATTTCCATTGATTCAGTGTAGTGTGCCTCCCAAATCATTAAGGTGTAGCTCTTACAAAAAATCAACAGAGATGGCAAGTATTTTTGTGTAGTTACCTAGAGCGGATTGCTTTGGAGGAGTGTTCAGGATGTCCGACCATTGTCGCGATCCACTCCCTTGATGATTATTGTTCGATTTTGATCTCTGCGCGAGTATCTTGCTGCACATTTCGTGTAGCTTATTGTGAATTGCTCTTCCCAAAATGTTTCCATGGCAACGGAACACGTGACACTTGTGTTTTCCCGATGCCTGGTCACGTGCGACGTAAGCAAAGTCACTGAAAACAAAATGCAAGAAAGACGTTTGGTAAAGATTCTTCTACTCAATGCGCATACAAAGACAACGCATTTGAGAAGTTTGATTGGAGAAAGTATGAAAATTCGTTCGTTCGAAGATTTCCGGATGATAGAACTCTTCATTTCAGCAACTTTTCAAAACACAAAATTTGAAGGTAGTTAAAAAATGAGTATCGACAATCATGCACTGCGCAAACCGAATGATTTCTACAGACACGAGCTTGCTATCAAGGCCATATGAAAAAAATATAAGAGAAGTGGATGCCCCTTACAAATATATACAATTTCATGATTTTTTTCTGCTTAAATTTTGAAAAACGTATCCCAAGGATTTATGTGGACGGGGAGGGGGCACATATGGTTAGGGGCTTATTTGAAATCGATTAGTGAAAAAATTCTCAAGTGTTGGTCAAGGTAGTAATATCTTAATGTATACCGTAAATGCTCGTTTTAGCGCCGCTCGCACTTACGCACCGCTCTCGGTTAAGCGCCGCATTCAGAATCCAGAAAAGTTATTTAGCGCCGCTCCCGCATCCCATTTATTAATATAGTATAATTTTGGTAATAAAAGATATATTGGTTTTTTGTTGTGCATCTGTATGACATTATTTTCGTTAAGTTGTATCAAGTAAATAGATTTTGTTTACTTCTTATTTTTGGGGGTAACAAATATATTTAATGTGGGCCTTTAGTTGAAAATTATTTAATTAGCACCGCTCCCACTTAAAGCGTCGCTCCCGGATAGGCATTGCATTCAGACTCGGGAAAATTAAATAAGCGCCGCGGTGCTAACTCGAAGATTTACGGTATGCCAAAATTCACCTACCTCTGCTCCTCCCTGCCGGCGCCCCAAACGCGCATTTTCGAAACTGGTTGAACGAGCAGGATCTTGTTAGTTTGTACTTCAACTAGCTTTAAATTGTCTTTTTCGAGCAATAAACGTAAGTCTTTACCCTGAAATTGGAAAAATAGCATTAACATAAACACTTACGGATTCTTACACAAAACTAATTACTAATTCATAGGGCAGAGGTATGTTTATTTTCCATTTATAACGTGCGTTTATTATATGGCAAGCGTCACTTCCGGCAAAATGGCGCGCTTTGATTGGCTCAGAAACATTTTTGCAGGTCCAATATTTTCCCGTAATCGACCACGGTCCAAAACGCGTAATTTTTCAGTCAAATGTAAACAAACTTCGTAAAGCAAACAGCAAAACGAAAAATAAACGAAACAAAAAACCATTTACAAATGTGATTCGAAGAAAAACACTTGGAAAACAGTTCAACTATCCAGACGATACAATTTAAAACGATTTATTTTTTACTGACGAAAACTAGAAAAGTGAAAGCCAGCCCGTAAAAAACAGCAAAGACAAGAAAGAAAGCAAGCTGCGTTTCAAGTCAAATAATGCCATATAATAAACCTTTTAATAATCTCGCTTTCTCAGTCTTTACTGACAAATAACGGACCGAGGTCCGTTATTTCTCCGTAAAGACCTCAAGCTCGGTTATTAATAGCTTAATAATCACTGACTTTGATAACGTGGATCTAACCACGTTTAGGTTTGCATACTTTGAACTATATTTAGTTTTTAGCAGCACAACTACTCTTGGAAGAGTGTATAGCAGTTGGAATCATTTTAATCATATGATTTTAACACAGGGAAAATGTTCAGCCATCTTTTTTTCTATGTAAAAGCACAGTAACTGCCGCAATGCATTTAGAACAGAGCCAAAAGTTCTAACTTTGACTGAATTCATTTTTGGCAAATTGTCAAGCAAAAGACAAATTTGCAAAAGGCAAATTGTCAAGCAAATAAAAAGACAAGTAACCACGCAAAGGTTATGCGCGACAAGTTCGTCCTTTGCCTGTCATATTAATACAATTTAAGTACAATCAACATTCAGGTTTCCAATTTTCGATAACATATATATTTTCTACACAAATACATCCATAATAGATCACATTCGTACTTACGTATCCCCAAGTCTCGGATGTCTTCCACAGGTCCTTACGTTCCCTGGCAAGCATTCTCATGCATTCGGCTATGGTATCGGTCATGTTGTGAGGAGCAACCTGGCTTTCTTCAAGCTCCACCCAACCCATCGAGTGAACAGGAAAACTGGTCACCTGAAAAATGAATGAGAATAAATCTGTGGCATCAATGCTTCTTATCAGTTGCGTTTCTCGCGACAAAAGAGTTATTTAAATTATATTAACCATGTACCAGTCTGACGTTGTTTTATATCCAAAAGCTTACCGAACGAAGCAACAAGGTAGCCATTTCTACTCTACTCGTGCCACATAAAGATTGCGCTAGCTATCTTTTGAATTCTGGAATGCAATTTATTTTCTCGAGTTCTCTTTAATTAACAAAACAGCACTGTAAAATGTACAGTTGCGAAGCGGCAAACGAGACAAGCCACTCGAAACGTAATTTTCCAATTTCGCACTGATCTTGTAGCTAGATGAAATATTTCTTATATTCTCGCCTCGAGAGAAGTGTACACAACAGCCCTTCACAACCAAAACACCGATTTAAAATTTTGGGGATTAAATATTTGTAGGTTCTTCAAAAAATTTGTCATTAACGCTTCTCAAACATTGACTAAATTCGTATCGTTTGTCGTGAAATACATGACGCATATGCATGCATATAATTATTTCGGCGGGAATCATTGCTGCGTTTTGGCAAGTGGCAACCGCTCACTTGTTTTTTCTCACGTTTATATGATTGTACGTATACTTCATATAATATTCTTATACGAAGGACAATCACAAATTCAGGTTCTTGTTTTAAAGTTTACGAATGCCAGATTTTCACAAGTGTACGAAATTTTCAAATAAATGGCCTTTAGTCAAATGATTTAGGATGAATATAAAGCCCTTATTAATAGTTAATGCATGCACGTCGTGTAAAGACGATTGCTGTTAAGTGCAAATTTTGAAGAAGAATAAAAATCCATTCAGCCAGATGAAAAGCATCCCGTCTCATTAATGTTCCATGAGGTAAAGTTTTGTTGCAATGCCTTGTATAGACCAAATATGTTTTTAAGTCGATAATGATTTTGCTCACCCTACTCTACGGGCTCGGTCTGTACAAAAAAACTTCGGTCCGATATTTCTCCATAAAGACCTCGTGCTCAGTTAACAAGGGCTTATTATAGGGCGCATTTTGTAGAGCAAAACATTTGACACGTAAGCTGGTGTCTCAGTGTCTTTTCCAATGCCAGTAAAATTAAGCATTTGTGAAGTTTGCCTGAGTCTTTCTTAGTTTTCCTCACAGTATTTCTTTCTTTTTGGTTGTGAACGAAGTTTGTGACGTCCACTTGCTCTTGATTCGTAAATCTCGCAAATCTGATACAAGTTCGGAGCCGATTGTCATGGAAACGGTACAAAATAAAAATATATTAGACTTGAAAGCAGCCAATCAGAGTGCACGGACTATGATACCCATTATTAAAAAGCTATTTTGTGATTCGGTGAAGCTATCATCTCTAACGTTTTCAACGCCGAAATGAAGCAAAGTAAAACGTTGTACGATGACATTAATTGATCTAATTCGCCAAGTTACTGGCTTTTATGCTAAGTAATTTAAGGGAGTTTTGAGATAACAAAAATAAATAAATATAACCTTAAAAACAGTCATTCCTTATTTATCATATAATACACATTAATTGAGTGGTTTTGTTACACAACACACCAGTGGGCAAAATAGCAGTTTTCGGCGAAAATCCCAAAATTGAAACAATACGACTTTGGCATATAAGTTAGGAACGTGACGAATTCAAGTATGTATAATACACAAACTTACAGTAATCGGCTCCGGTTTTTGCTGTACTTTCGGCGTATTTCTGTAAAGAACGAAAAAAATTCTAACGTTTAAAAACAAAAGTCGATTTCGTCAACAATTTGGAAAAAGCAATGCACGAGTGAATTTTACAAACACTCGGTTTATCTTTTCTTTTTTTCTAACTCGAATCTCAAACTTCTGCCAAATTATAAGTGTAGCAGTTAGCAACACAAAACATTTGCTTACACAGACTGAGGATGTTTGGCTCTCCTAAAGGGTTCCGTGCTGTCCTGTTTCTATAGAAAAATAAGCCAATAAAAGAAGTTAATATTGGAGAAAACATTAGCTAAAAGTCTATTATAATTTAAACATGCAAGGGTTATATATAAAAGAGCACCAAAAGGCAAAAATTGAGCACTACAATCATGGAAACATTAATCATACTTTAAACACGTATTTTTTTTAAACATGTATAATAGAAAACATAATTCAGACAGTCCCAATTGTATATTATTTACACTAACTCGAATTTGAGTTTACAAGATGAATTTTTCCGTGTTAAGTTTTATCTTATACTTTGATGAAGTATTATGTTCCCAAAATTGACGGGAAGCTACATGAAGCTATTCACTATGTCACGTAGCAATATACTTTAACTACACAATGAACCCATACTATTGCATTCACAATCAAATAATTCAATCTACGCTTAAACAGGCAATAACGTTCAATCAACACTAAACAATCTGCCATTGCTGTGCCATTTAATTGAGCTGAATAAACAGCAAAAGAGGGTGATTTCAGTTGAAAACATCAACTGAATGAGCCCAACCGCATTGAAACAAAGCAAAACAATTATGGATTAAGAAAAAACACGTGAAGGATGCACATGAATGTGGCGTGTCGATTCAACAAAATGATCATTCGAGTAATCAAACTGGATTGTACCTGAGGTTTTTCATATTGAATCCGGCCAGTCGCCACATGCCAATAATAAGGTCTTTCAATGCCTGGATATTTCTTCCAACCGTCAGGAAGATCTGTTTCTTCTCCATCAGTTTCGTCTTTTTCGTGTGGATTGGATCCTGTTTCATCACTGTACCTTTCGGGTTCTCCAAACATTGTTGTTGACGGTTGGGAGACAATATCTGTAACTATATACGCCTTGGGAGTGTTTGGGATATCGGTGACTATGTACGCCTTTGGAGTGTTTGGGACGTCGACTACTGCATCGCCAGTGTGTCTGTTTTTCGCTACCCTTGATTCGTCAGTACTTTTTCCAACCTGTTTGTTCCGAGTTTGTTTCGTAATAGCGCTCATTGAGCTGGAGTTTTGATTGAGTTCATCACGCGATTGCTCATCGCTAAGGGGATCTTTTAGCAACTCCTCGTCTTCTTCAAAGTTTGGTCTGCTCGGAAGTGGCGGAGGATCTTCTTCTTCCTTTTTATGTTCTTCACTCTGAGAAGCGACTTTTCGCGTCGGAGGCTTCTTTACGACCGCATAAACAGCGTTATCCTCGTCGTGGTTATCTTAAAATCAAAGTAAAAAACTGCGCCATGCAATATTGTAAAATAAACACAATGAAACGCGTGCGCTGATTGGTCTAGAGCTGTGTTTGCATTAGCCTTACGCAAAACGATCTGAGTACAACCAATCAAATCATTCAATCAAACAAAGAGAATTTGCAAATCAATCATGAATACACGTTAGAAGAATCTCGAGCCAGTGCAACCGGATCAGCTCTCGAGTTCTCCCAAAGGTCTCCTCGGTTTTCATAAGCCCGTGCAAACACATTAAACATCTTTTATTTCTTAATTGCAGAGAAGAAAACGTAGGCATGATATGGACAAGCTTAATATGAAACGAATCAGAGATGCAAAAAGACTTCAAAGGCTGTAAAAGTAGTGCATCCCGACGTCTTTACATAATAACTGAAAGGCATCAAGCGATTTGATTGGTCTAAGGCTAAGATCTATAAGAGTACACACGCACAGTATGACGTCACATCACTCCAAGGACTCAGTCGTCGAAGACCCCTTGATTAAAGCATCTTCACGTAAGACCAAAGGTAAAAATAATTCGTTTTTGCTAACGTTGGGATAATATATCTTCAACGTTTTCTTTCCTCTCAAAATTTTGTTTGCTTTCGGAACTTAATCGTATGCAAATTACAGACTGTAAATTTTTTACAATTTTTTATGAAATAATAATTGAAAATGATGGACATCAACAGCGATGTCTCGAGCAAGTAGAATATAATCGCAGTCGGAAGCCTACTCGGGAATATAAAATGTGTGCGAGCGTCATAGGAAGCTACCTCTCCCCACGAAAAACTCCTCCACCACCCACATTTCACGATGAAAACCATAATACGATTCTACTGGCGTAGAAAAAGGTCGAGAATTTGTCACAAATTATCTCAAGTATGGATTTACGAGTATTTTCATGAAACATAACTACATACCGGAAGATTTCCCATAGGGTTTAGGCAACGGTGGTGGTTTCCTCATCTTGCCGTCATCATTTGCATTTAAGCTTTCTGTCGATCTGCTAGCATAAGGCTTCGGTAAAGGCGGCGGTGGTTTTTTACTATTAGAAAGACCGTATTCAGCAACATCACTGTATATACTATCGTTCACGTTTTGCTCAACAGAGGAGTAGTAATCTTCACTATCTGCCGGCCTCGTCCCTTCAACAACGGGCGTGCTTATTCCTACATCATCGGTGACTCTTAATGGCCGGAACTCGTCGCCGACGTACACATATGACATGTTGGATTCGTTTTGGTTAGGATTACTGCCTTGTGACGTTTTTCTTTAAAATGTAATAAAAAGGCAAACACATGAATGAGGCTCAATTGCCAGGAATACAAATACATGACCAACATAAATACATCAAAATACAGATACATCTATGACCAACCCCATTATGACTACATGTTTCTAGATGTAGATCGTTCAGGCTAGAGATTTCTGACGGTTGGACTGTTGGTGTTGATGTTGACGATAGTAATGTTGGAGTTATTTATACTATTAGCTAATACCGTGAATAAAATCCTTCATCGGCCCTTTTAAAAGCAGCTCATTGATACATTTAAAATATACGACAAATTTCTTTATAGCAAACATGTTTCGGCATACTTTATGCCATCTTCAGTGCGAAGTGAATAAATATAGGAAGTTCACATGATATGTTATAGTGAACTGTACATATGTACATAGTGTACATATGTTATATGTAAACTTCCTATATTTATTCACTTCGCACTGAAAATGGCATAAAGTATGCCGAAACATGTTTGCTATAAAGAAATTTGTCGTATATTTTAAATGTCTTATAACCATTGTGCTCTTACGAAATTATGGAAACAGCTCATTAATACTACAACACCAACGCTGTTCGTTTGGAATATTTTCAAAAAACGTCATGAGCCAATACTATACAAAAAGAATTGTTTGTGAAGTTTTTTCACTTGGTAAGATTTTTAATGTATTTTGACTCGTCCTACGTACATTGAAGAATCCATTACTCACAAAAAAATGCGCGACGTGATGACGGCCATTTTCATGAATTAAAAAAAGAAAACACCTTTTCATGCAAGCCTTCACAACATTAGACTAGTCGCAACTACACACGAAGAAAACTATGTGCTTTTGTCACCAAGCAACAACTGAGCAATTCGTAGTAGTTGCTTTACATTAGCATATGTTGTCCTCGTGGTGTCTTTGAGATATGATGTACAAAGTTAGCCGGAATTGATGTGTTCTATCACAATGTCAACCTCATGTTGTAATATAATATTATGCATGCTGCTTTCTGAGTGTGCCTGTTTTGACTGGAAGAGAATTTCTTGGAGGTTGTCATGGAAGTGTCGAGATCTCGGAATGCTTCATACAATATCTTAAAATATGGAACTGCCTCCTTCAGGGATGGATTTTCAGCGGGTTGCAAGGTGGGTGAACAATAAATTTTCTAGCACCCCCCAAAAAAATTCTAAAATGGTATTATACATAGTGTAGACCATTTTTATAATAAAATTATAGACTCGAAAATTTTACAGTAAGAGACTAAGGAAAAAGCAGAGCTTATTATTTTAAAGGCAATTACATATTTTATACCACAATTACTTTCATGCGCGTTTTCATGGAAACAATAAAATGGAAATAAATTACTTAACGCGAAGCAACCTGTTACTTTGTCATGTCAAATTTGTTTGCACTTTATTTTATTTTCCCTTTTTTGTCATGTGTGACAGCAACTGTTGTATTTGTGTTTCACTTGTCGTTGGTAATATTCATTATATAATTTATGAAGCTTTGTTCATTATTTAAGGAAGTACTGTACAGCTATACAACCAGGATTGATAATTTATTTAACTTTATAAAAAATACTTAAAAGCCAGGGCCACTTTCATTTCACAAGGTTCACTCATCTGTAAGCCCATGCCTAAAGCCCTGGCACTTTTACCTAGAACAATGATGCACCCCTTGGAAAATCTGCACCCCTCCTGTCAAATGAGGGTCAATCAGCCCCTGGCCTACTTAACTACAGCATACACATCAACACTAGATTGAAAAAGTAAAAGCATTAATTTCGATATCATCTTTACTGAACAAGATTAGCCAGACATTCATGATAAATGACAAAAATGTTTTATTACAGACAGACATGTTTCAACTTAACATTAAGTCCTCTGCACTGCAAATGAATGAATCAATTACAGCAACGACCACAAATAAGGACACATTTAAACAATTATACACTTCCTTAGAAAATTAATTTCTTCCTCCATTGTTACAGGAATGAACACAAAATTTTTTGCAAGGAAAGGACATGAATACCATGAAGGCATCTAAATGCATGGACCAGTAGCAGTTACAGCAGTTCAATTTTAAATTCAATGTACTTTCAGAAAAACGCTATTGGTTATGAATTTCGAAAGAATATAATTTTACCAATGGATTTGCCTCTAACGTACTTAAATATGTACATACATGCCAAAATGTGCTGCAACAATTTATTTTGAGTTACCCTATATCCACCACTGGCATGGACAAATGAAACAACAAAATCACGATGGCTCAAGATCTATTAGTCCAAAACAGTGGGGATGCTTCGTGTAGAACTTAGAAAACTACGACAAATAAGACCAACGGAAGTCTTTCCTGTTACATGGAAATAAGCTTATCATATTAATATTATTGCTTATAATAAAACCCAGATAAAACTTTATTGCAATTCACTACTTTATATGTTATTTTACTATTTGTACGTGCTTCGTTGTGGGTGCCTTCTAGTGGCATACAACGAATAAAAAAACCCAATTTCAAACAAATTACTTTGTGAAAGATTTCAATTTACTGTAAGTGATAGTTTCAAAAAAGACTTCAGATCAAATACAGAGTTATATAAAAATCGTTTGCTTTGATGTTTCGTTTTATTGGAGTCAAGGACTTTTGGATGGCGAGCGAATCGCGATATAAAACGAGAATGAACGTCAGATCAACAATATCAATACCCAGAATAGTGATTATCAAAAAGACTTACCCAAATCAACTTCGAAACCATCCACTTAAATGAGCGTATTTTCTTACACTGTACGGTTCAAAATCGACAGCAGTTCACATAGTTATACATACAATGTCGATAAAACAAATTGAAAGTAGGAAATATGAGAAATCGATCTGTTCCTGACTTTTGATCACCGATAAAACTATCACAAAAGCTTTCTTCCGGTATTTGTCTAAGTGAAATATCTAAATTATTCATATTTCAATTTTCGAATAATCGTCATAATTTAACGCAAGAATTCTTAAAATTCCTCTATTTGCTCTACCCGTCTACCGTATGTATTCTGTAAAGTGCAGGGACGTCGTAAGGCCTGTGCGCGAACTATGTACCATTAACAAGAGACATGATAAAATAATTAAAGCTGCATCATTAATGCGTACTATTTTTTATTTTAGTGACTTTCAATTACCCCCATTTACCCATGGACTCAAAGGTAGGAGACTCTAACAAGCATAACCATACAGATTTTATAGAATATATCGTAATGTAATGTAATGAAATTATGAAAGCTCTCGTTCAAAAACTTTATTTACAGAAACTCTTACGGCGTGATTTTTTATTTTGTTCTTTTCATGCAACTTCTTCTTTACATTGTTGTGAACAAATAGGTTATGGACTGAGGGTCTGAATTATTCATAATTGGGTTGGCTTTTAGGCTTTCTTCATTTCTGCCTTAAGCGTTTTCCAGAGGATACCATGCAGGGCCGAGTCAATGTCATTGCTAAAATGCATGTTGAATTGAGTTTAAAGAGGCATTACTCTAACCGTTTACTACTGATCAGGAAACGAGTTATTTCCTAATTAAAAATATGTGTCCCTCAGTGTCAGTCGGTCAATAATGACTGATGAAGCAATCTTAAAAACAACTTTACGAGAAGTCTTGTCGACATTTGTGGCCTTCCTATAAAAACACCATGCAGTCTTAAGTTGGTAGGCATGATTGTAGACAAATTAATTAGCAAAACAAATTGATTGTTTCGTAATTCATTTTCGAAATTAATTTCGAAAATACTTATTAAAGTATTCTGCAATATCTCCAAGATTAGTTAAAAAAATTTCCACTGAGCCTTATTTATCTCTTGCACCTAATGGCTTGTTTTGCCTTCCTAATAGATTATTTTAAGTCTTCTACGCGTCCTTTGGCTTAGACATAACGCCATATGATAGGACTATCCAGGTTTTACAAACTTTTTACATTGCATTTGACGTGTCTCAATAAAAATGTATTTTGCAACTTTTGTTGTAGCAAATCCTGAACAAATTATTTGTAAATTAACAGAGTCAACAGCTTTATGGTAAATGGGGCTGAAGGATGTCATAGTTATATTTGGGTAGATTCTTTAATCAATTGTAATAGTTGAAATAGTTGAAACAGGAACCGCAATGGAGGGGCAGAAGACCATGAAAACATATACTCTTTACGTGGGAAAGCTGAATTTTACCCAATAATTTGCTTGTCTATGGAATTTCCAGCCTTGATGGAAGTTTTGACTAATGGAAAAATGCGGTTGATTTGCAGGTGAAACATGCACTGGTTTGTAATGAGAGTATGACTTTATTAGTGGAATTTATACACAGAACATTCCAAGCTTTTTTTGAAAGTGGAGTTGACAAAACCGGCAAAGGTCATAATTGTCAGTAGATAAAAAAACAGACTCTACACATTACCCGGATAAAGATACGACAAGATGTGTTGAGAAGTTTGTCAGCTGTCTGTATAAACAAAATACCGGTGTTTGTCAGGTATTTTTCATGTTGTTTTGAGAAAACTTTTTTTATACAAGCTCAATGATTTGGAGAAACTGGCACCTGCCAAAGGTACTTAACGCGAGGCAAATATTCGTGCACATTGTCAAACCAGACTAACCAGTAGTGCAGCTGGCAAATATCTGCTTTGGTATGTAAGCATCAGGCGACGGTTGCACGATGCCTGGATAGCGTTATCCACTGGATAGCAATTTTTTCAAACTTTTATAAAGCCTTTTAAAAATCAAAAAATATAAGATTCGAACTGAGCAATCACTGAAATAAAATATTGATTCGAAGATTACGAAATTTCTTTGTCTCACGAAAAACATAAACACCAAGCAGAACATTATCAATGTCAATTACTTTAGAAATCCGTTGTTTTCACACTTAGCTAAATAAACACAGAAAAATTGTTAAAGAAAGGCAAAATAGACGGTCTGGCTTATCGTTCAATGGTGAGAAAAATGTACCTAAATATATGAGCTTCATAACTAGACAATCTTCTATTTTAGTTATATCAATCGGGATTTTTTTATCTAATGGAAAAGCGTATGGCACGCTGACTGAAGACAAGATTCCTTTTCATGTTTTTTTATCTAAAGAAATTAAAATTTTAAACTGATGTTGCAGACTGTTTGACGCAGCTCTTTGCCATATGATTAGCTCCTTTTGAAATCAAGTGACCTGTTTAGAATCAAGAATTTTAATTAAAACCAATCCTGCATTTGTTGACCAATTAGATGGCCAATTTGGCAAGTCATAGATCCTCCACTCACAAACTACATTTACTGCTTTAATAAATGACCGATGATAAACTATAAATTACATGAAACACAATATTCTCTCCATATCGAAGGGTATCACTCTTTCTCGACCAATGGAAACGTAAGAGTTGTTAGTTTATCATGATGGCATGGAAACAAGTTGTATACCTATCAACAATGGCAGGTGACAAAGATTAAACTTAATGTTAACTCGTAAGTATGTAAATAGCGCTTAGGATACTTACCTGTTCTTAGCTAGTGTTTAGCTTGTTGTCAATAGAGCAGGTCATAATAAAATGAAGGTCGGTGTTTGTTTGTGAAGAGCTGAAATAATCTTGTCGCCACAAAGATAGAGTGAGTCAAGGATTTGATACTTTTAGAAGATGCAACATGGCGATGGATTATAAAGATAAATCCGCAACACCTTTCGATAACTTTCAGCATGTCATATACGAAAACGCCGCGATAATATTTGCTTACCTCAAAGGAAATGAGAACGTCGTTCTACCAGCGTTTGACGATGAACGGGTGAAACGACGAGCCTATAGCCTCGCGTTTGGGGCTAAGAAATGTAAGAACTGGTCATTTTATTTATGTATTCGTAGGTGCTGTGGTCTATAACTATAATCTATATTCATCTATGTGCAAGTTTTGTATTTGTGCGTAATTCAACACCAAAATTGTTCTATCCATTATGTGATTTTTATTTTGTCGACTAATCTCTGCATGTGTATGTTATATTTTTGTATGTATATACAGACTGAGACAAAATTTCTCGTTAGTGGTCAGAGTCATTGTGCATGTTACACTCATTGTTATAGTAGGAATGTTGATTTGTTAGTATTCAACATCAAATAGTATACGGCTATGGAAGATTAATTTGCAATCTTATTGACCAATAAAAACCGATGAAATTTCCTTACTTCGATATTTCGTGACAAAAAGCTGCTAATTGTAACTCGGTACACATGGGACAATAACAAGGTCATTTTACTTCTGTGATAACACTGATCAACAAATTTAGTCACTTAAAGAGTGAAATGTTACAACAAAGGTGTTAGTTTAATTAAAAATTATTATTAAATGTTTGTAAATGTCGATCGTCCAGGTTGGTATAGTCCTGAGAAGGACTGTTGACTGACGTTTCGACAACCTTAGCGGTAGTCATCTTCAGAGTCAAAATGAATTTACCAACCTGGACGATCGACATTTACAAACATGTAACGATACTCCCGGGTTCAAACCATTTACTTTAAAAATTATTATATCGTTCTACATCGTTTTGCATGTGAAACTTGCATGCGCGTTACAGTCAAACCAGACCAGTCCAGCCTCTATGGCCAACTCTCGGAGCTGACTGCTCAAAGTTAACTCTTCTTTCCAGTCCTCGACAATACATTATTATCTTTCATGATCTCTCATGATCCCACTCCCAAGGATGTGTCTGCTCACAAAAGGTTCGAGTATATTTCAAAACAAAATTACTCGTGAATGATTGCATAAAGAAATTGATTTGTTTAACAAGTAAAATGATGTTTTTCAGCAGCTTTGTCTAAGAGGCGGCATCAGACATTGAAAAAAAGCACAAACTCTCACGGAATTTGCACGACGTCACTATTGCACAATAGTTTGCATTGTATTTACGATTTCAGTGTTTTCAGCTGGGAGCTTGAAACAATTCTTGATGAAAATTAAAGTTGGGAAAGAAGAACAAGTGATATAGTGGTGCTTTTCATGAACCACATCACACTATGTCACGGTACTTGAATAAAATTATGAAAAAGTACGCTCTAGACTTTTAATGCACAAATACAATGTTAACTAAGTCCAATACTGCTTTTCTGTCAGTATTAGAAAATAAAAATATTTTATTAGAATCAATAATCGATACACATAACCTTATAACACGATGAATACACAGATATAACAAGAAAGCTAAAAAATGCCAACTCTTCATGATAGATGTTGGAAAAAGTTGACACTGAGGCAATTTTTAGTACAATTTCGTTTTCCACTGATTAATGGCTAATTTTCAAGTGCCTTCCCGCCTTTTCTCCAATAAATTAGCGTTCAGCTTGTGCCCATCCCCTCTCCCAAATTGAAAAATCCTGGCGACACAATAGCAAAAAAATTGTTTTGACTCCTTGTAAAAACCATCAATATGCATATGTATCCGGTGTATATATTGTCCATAACGGTAGTAAAATACGTTTTACCCATTTCAATCATACAGAATGTCGTATTTACACTTTTACATGCCGCATGAAGATTGGCTATCTATAAATGACCATTTCTTACGGTCAAGAGAATAAAGCGCCTAGCATGGTATGGTATAACCATTTTAATTGCACATGTACCCTCTTGAAAATTGGGTGATCAGTCTATCTCCACCCTAGCTGGCTTTTTGCAATATTTAAAACATATTTAGTTCAAATTAGTGATCAAGTATAAAAGTAATCATTTTGTGAATCAAAAACATATCGACTAACGACTTTTCCAATTATCGCCCGGCTACAGACTACACAAAAGGAAAAGGCTGAGTTTTCAGATATAATTCTATAAGATCAAAAATATTCATCATGATGAAAAAAGCAAAGTACATTTATAGAAAAAACCAAAAATGCAGAGAAGAATCACAAATGCTAAAAGTCATGTTTGAACAACAGAACAACAAAATTAACAAATAATTTTTCATGTAACCGTGCAATGAAAAGATAACGAACATTGATATGGTTATTAGCTAAAATAAACACAACATAAGTTTTAAGCATCATATTTGATAAATACATTTTTTGGATAGAAAGTTATTTTTTACCATGTCTGAATTAGTGCTTCAAAAGTGGCCTCCGGTCCACAGACCTTAACATGCTGTCAACTCATTGCTATTTTATGTTTGATGTAGACGAGTCCGTTTTGAACGATATACTACTAGACAGCTATTTCTTTTCCAGTTTTTTCAAGGTTAGTGAACGTTTTTTTGTTGCTATTGTGAAAAAAATCAACTGCTAGGACCATGTGCATGCAATAACTCTCCCAGCCAGTGAAACTACCATGACTTTTTCGTTTACAAAAAATATTATTTCAATGATGATTTTTGCCATGTGAAATAACTAAAAAACACATTTGCATTGACCTGGAATATTTTTGGTGGTGTTTCTAAAACATGACGATGGTTTGAACCCAAAGAACTTTGGAGAATAGAAATCAGAGAACTTTTAGAATAAATCAATCTTCAACCTGAAAAATTTTGCTTGAATCAATTTTTGCAGCTTGGATCAGTATATCGCAATCACGTGATGGTCATGCTTTTGGATTATCAGCAAAATGATTTTCAATTCGGTGAAACTCAAAGCCTCCAAACGGAAAACCAGTATACTTTACCACATATAAAAGAAATTCGAGATGCCTTAGTTTCATTTTATACAAAACTTAGAGCGTCTTTAGCTCGAAACCGTATACGCGAAACAGCACTTACTGTCGAAGACCTTCTTCCAAAGGAAGAGAGAGAAAAAAATGAATTCGTCTGCTATCAACCCATCTACGCGTATGTCAACAATCTGAGGACAAGCGTTAAAGAGGTGTGCAAAATATTAGAAGCAAGTGGTTTCGCTGAAATCGACGTTCTTGACGATTTTACCGCTTTTACTGGTCATTGTTTCACTCGTGACGTACATTTGAACGACGTTCTCATTTTTCCTCGCGATGTGAAATTTGATGTCTATAATCACAAATTAGTTGAAGAAGGCCTCATCATTATCCAGGTAAGGGCATGCAGCTATATAGGGCCGAATTTTTGTTGACACAATGTTTATGATACATGAATTTCTAAAGCTTTATATACATACATGGGGAAAGAAGTCATTGCTCTCATTTTCCAATTGAGCTTTTTGGAAGATAAAAAAAAACATATTTCTCATCAGTTCAATTTCAAGCTCATGAGCTCAACATAAAAATCGAATTCTGTTTTAAATTTGCGTTCAAAAGTCGATTCTAAGGGGGTGTTTACATGAATCCGGAATGACTTTAAGTCCCGATCGAAACGTGATGTCAATCCGTGTTTACATGGGAAATCAACACAAGGATTGACATTTTGCGGGAATTTTGAAATTTGAAGATGGAGAACATAAACTGGGACGGGGCGGGTGGCTGAATGGTTAATTGCGTGAGCTGTAAGCCAGACGGCGCGGGTTCAATCCCGGCTCGTGGCACATCTGGCAATGTGTCTGTAAACCTAGCCCGAGTTGACCAAAGCCATGTGAGGGAAATTTGGTAGAGGAAACTATGTCCTCGGATGGACTGTATCTGCATCTGCAATGGTGCAGCCTTGTCACACTGTGTGTCACGCTGATATCAGCGTTGTAGTTGCGTGAAAGGTACGAGTGATTGTAGTCTGGTCAGCTGCCTTCACTATAATTTAAGTAACCAGGATGTTCCACTTTGTGGAACCCTCATACGTCGAAATCGACGGAGTCCATTAACATGGGAAATCAACACAAGGATTGACATTTTGCGGGAATTTTGAAATTTGAAGATGGAGAACATAAACATTATAGCAACCCTTTTTTTTTCTGTTGTTCCTGCGTTAATACAGCTTAACACGAAACTAATTGCATGAAACTAATTGTTGTTTTTCTTCGCACTCATTTTAACCCATTTAGCCTCTTTATTTGCTTACGAGCTTCAATTTGCCAGAAGACAATACCCATGGCACATGCGTGCTTCGTCATTAATCACAATATCATTCTAGAATGAAACTCAATTCGCGTTTACATGAGATTAAAAGTAACTTTCGATCCGGAATGAAATTTCGATCCGGAATGAAAATAGGAATGAACTCGATCCGGATCGAGTTGTGACTCATTCCGAATTCATGTAAACATACAATAGAATTTCTTTTAAAGTGGAATGAGTTCGTTCCGGATCGAAAGTCATTCCGGATTCATGTAAACACCCCCTAAACAAACAAAACACATATTTCATTTGCTAAATAGTCTGTGTGCAAAATACAAGTCTCGAGAGCATTGCTGTATGAACTTCTTCAGATAAACACAAACGCACTATACGTATGTAACATGCATGTATTTCATGAGATTACTGAACTATACAAAAATACATTCCTTGTTTGAAAGATACAAATAAATATGACATTCAAAGTTGTTTTTGAACAGCCGCATTGGTTTTATTAGTTTCTTGTAAAATATATTTTCAGCATTATTTATGCAAACAATTTGAAGAAGTGTGCAACTTCGTAGGGGTACAACCCTATTTCACACAAACAAAATATTCTCAGAGCAAAAAGACTCGTCCCAGTTTCGAATTTACCACATTTCTACCAAACTTTTCACTTTTTAATAATTTATTAATGTCACCATTCGTATACTATCCGAATTTAAAACTTATTACGAACTATTTCATTTTGTTTCGACGTTTTAAAAATACTTTTTTTGTTTTGCAAAGTGACCGGACTCACATTGTATAATATAGGACAAGTCGATGTTTATTGCTCCTGAAGTGATCCGAAGTGTCCTTTTTCAAATGTCTTTGGCCAAAGAAAAAGCCTCGGCAATAATCCCTGGTGAAGTAAGGCCGACGTTTAGTGACGGAGATGATGTCATAATCGTGAACTCCAATTCAGGTTCGTTCAAATCATTACAAAAGCGCTTTCGACCTGCATTGCAGCAAAAAACATTTTTATCGTTTAGCAAGCTGATTTAAAAACTTGTTATCTTCAACGTTATGTATTTATATAGTAAATCTCATCGTCAGAATTTCGTCCTATGTTCATCCGGTGAGATCGTTAATAGTGTTTGGTGTTAAATCTCACCAATACGAAGATTTGAGGGCGTCGTTGGACTATCTTGGCGTGCAGAGTATCCTCAAAAGTTTTCAATTGTTTTTGAATGCAGTAACTTCATAACGGGGCCTTGAGATGCCGTGGGTATCTGTGTGTGCGGACATCCACAATTTTTGCGGACTCACAATTTTAGTTTTTTCTTGCCTTTTTAACATATTAAATGTCGTGCTTTTACAAGTATGAAAAATTTTCAAATAAATGATAATGACCCATGCAGTTGAAAGAAGAAATCCAAATGAAAATATTTAACATCAAGCAGTTTCATTACCAGATGAACTGATGTGCGTGATCGCATAGCAAGCATGAAGCACCCACAACTTTTAGGTAAAACTTTTGAAAGCTCCCGATTTATAGAATAAAGAGCAAACACAATAATGCAATAAATATCGAAAAATTTCTAAAATGCAAAGGATAACCGAGGGGGAGTGGGTAATAATGGCAAAAATGAGTAAGCAAAGAAATTACGGATAAAGATCTTGCCTTAACTTACTCGTTTATAAAATGGAAAAAAAGATAAGGCTTGCATGCAAGTTGATACAAGAGTAGTTTCTGCATGCAGTGTTTATCATGTCGTATGAGCTCCTTATCTTTTTCCATTTTCAGTGTGGAAAATATTTTCGAAAAAGATATTCAAAACTTGTTTCACAAATTATAAATTTTGTACCATCAGCTTTTTGACATGACGCCACCAATGTTATCACTTCGGAGATCTAAGCTCAGTGCTCTTTGAAAGCTAGTTATCAGTTAGCAATTGTATTAATACTTACTTTCTTACTTTGGAATGAGTACTCATTCTGAGCACTTATCTCTAGCGAAGATCGACATTTTCTTGTCTCCTACTGTTGGAAAATCTATTTGTAAGCTATAATTACTTTACAAGTAGGCCTAACGTGTTGGTAAACTATATTCTCCTTGATTTTCAACTAAAGATGTTGTACTGCAGGAAGAAAACTTCTTAGATATACTGCCAAATGACGAGCGGTTTGCTAAAGTCCGTGTAATCCTCTGCAACGCAAACTGCTCCAAATCTGGCGTTGTCAGTCCTATCGACTACGTATTACAAGAGGGAACATCTTGTGTGCAGGATTTGGCAAATAGTATTGAGTCGAACAGACTACGTGCCCTAGTGTTAATGCACCAACAAAGCATTTCTCATGCTATGAAGTTTAACTTCGTCCGCTACATCGTGTACGTCACCAGCTCAATCTTCAAGTCAGAAAATGAGGAGGTGATAAGAAAGGTAGTCGACGCCAATCATTCGCAACATCCTGATGGTAAAAATCACAATCCATTTGTGGTCACATCCTTTCTTCCAGATTTGACGGCGAAATTAAGAAGATTCAGTGCCAAATCTGTGAGGGGAACCAACGAAGATTCCTTGGTAATTGGTATGTCATTCCGTTACTAAAAGAAAAGATCATTTTTGCATTTCCATCTACTTCTGTACTTTTGTAATTTGTTTTTATTATTATTATAAATCATCATTTTTGAATTTAATTTATTAATGTTATCTGAACTAGTACATGCTGACAGATTGTCAATGTTGAATATATCTATGCTCAGTGTGTCCCGAACTGACGCCCGTCTAAAGCCAGGACTTTAACAAATTTAATCCAATAAGACGTTTTCAATGCTCTTGAGGCGTCAGTTTCAGACACATCTCCTTTCAGGCGTGTTAGACACAGTAGCATAACCAGCTCGATATTTGTGGGGGGAGGGGGGAGAGAACATTCATATTTGTATATTCTAACATATTTAGTACCTTATAGGAATCAATTGTTTTCTGCATGCGGATTATAACATGCATATATGAATGTTGCCTCCTTAATTATCGAGGCTAACTACACCATTCATTTGGCATATAGTAGCTACTACTTGAATAAAACTCCAGCAATACACTAAAATATTTTGTTAGAGCAGAGAGGTTATTTTTATTCATACGTGTTTTTTCTTGTAGACAAAGATGCAGAAAAATTTCTAAAATTAAACGGCAAGATGGGTTTGAACGGTGGCTTTGTTTGCCTTCTTCAACGCCAGGTACACTTACACCTTTTCAGAAATTTAAGGCCACTTTTAGTAATTAAAAAAAAAAAATTATGAAGAATATTTGTGTTTGCACAAACATAATAATAGCCATCATACTTCAGATATCCCGACAGGTCAATTTGATTTAAGGCTAAACTAGTTCTCATGTTTTTGGTCTAATGAATTCCATGCCAGCTAAATGGCCAACAAACCAGGAAACTGTTGAGGTCATTCTACAATTGTCATGGAATGCATCCTCTATCCTTTACTGCTTGACGTAAATTGCTTGTTTTGTTTCCTCGATGTGGCTAGTAGTGTGACACATCGCTAATAGCTTGTGTTGATTGATGAAGAGATACAAAATTGCTTATTGCCTCGCTAAATCATTCCCTATTGTGTGTTTATTAGTCGTTTCTGTTCATTTTAAAACAAGAATGAAAGTAGCCTTAAACGTGTAGTCTGTAGAATACATTGATGTGTTTCGTGACGTATACTCATGACATTTATATTTCGACTCATACTTGCCCTACAATGTTTTAAGAAATTGACTGACTCCGCCAGTGATGTTTTGGAAAGAGCTGCAAAGAAAGGTCTCATTAAAGGTACGAAACGTAGCGTGAAAAATGATACAAGACGACCAATATCTTCGTTAAGCAAGCATAAACCAACAAAGGAAGACGAGGAGGAACAAATCGACATTGGTTTAGCGAGAAAAATTCAGGACACAAAAAAGGCAAGAGTGAAACAGGGAGGCAAAGAGCAAAAAAACGCTTCAGATACCAGGGCCCTCAAACCATTTCAATTTTAACGTCATTTCGAAAACTATCTATAATTCAAACAGTATCGACATCATCATTCCTAATGTTCACTGTTCGAAGATTTTTTCCTTATGTTTGCTGTGTAATTATCGGGTGGGAATCTTGGTTGGATGGAGGAACTGTTCTTCGATGGTTTATTCAACAAATATAAATCGGCAACAGAACTAACAAACTTTACAGTAATCAAGCTAATATCTAGCCAGAAATAGCTACGAAGTCTACCAACCAATTGAAAGCTATCTTGGATCGTTTCACTCTTAAACTTACGTAATACATTGCCTCATGTGAGATTGCATTGTCCTATGTGAGATTGCATTTCTCCATTTGAGATTGGATTTGCCCCATGTGAGATTGCATTGTCCCATGTGAGATTGCATTGCCCAATGTGAGATTGCATTGTCTCATGTGAGATTGCATTGCCTCATGTGAGATTGTATTGTCCCATGTGAGATTGCATTGCCTCATGTGAGATTGCATTGTCTCATGTGAGATTGTATTGCCTCATGTGAGATTGCATTGTCTCATGTGAAATTGCATTGCCTCATGTGAGATTGTATTGTCCCATGTGAGATTGCATTGCCTCATGTGAGATTGCATTGCCTCATGTGAGATTGTATTTTCCCATGTGAGATTGCATTGCTTCATGTGAGATTGCATTGCTTCATGTGAGACTGCATTGCCTCATGTGAGATTGCATTGCCTCATGTGAGATTGTATTGTCCCATGTGAGATTGCATTGCCTCATATGAGATTGCATTGCCGTGATTTTGTTGTGCGACTCAGCAACTATTACAATACACAAATATGACCAAACACTGTTCTCAAGTAACCTGAATGAACGTCTGATAGGCGCTTGTTGTTGTTTGTATAACCTTTTAAATACGGGCTCTGATTGGTTGAATGCTATAAAACTCCTGTGCCTACAACTGTGTTCCATGCAATTTTCTTCTCTCTCTTAAGCTTTTTGTCGTGTTTCATACAAAAACATCAAAAATTTTTGCTATTTCTTGACTGTTACGTAACATAGATCGTCATTCATCATGGGAGGTACGCTTCCCAAGAAAATCATATGTTTCATGCACATAGTTGTTGATTGTCCATTGGAAGCACGGCTCGTACTTGTCGGCTGATATGTCGACATCTTTGACGGTAGTCATGACAACTTCAGAGTCAATAGTGAAGATGAAATGACTCGTCGTCTTTGTTGTCGTGGAATACGTGGAATAGGAAATGTGTGGGTGTGCGAGCGTCTTTGTGTATTGTTGCTGTTGACGTACGAACCAGGCATCACATACGACAAAGCCAACATTGACCACTTCACTCAAATTAAAGATGACTACAAGAATGTCAACACGTCAGTCAACATTAATGATGTCTGTAACATGCTCCGTCAAACACGTAAAAGTAAAACAATTCACTTTAATCATGTTTGTCTACACTGTATGACTTCTAAATCGCAATCTGATCGTTCTCACAAATAGAAAGTATCGTTTGTATTTATAATAAATCAGTTGCTACGTGGATAAGCTCTGATCAAATGTTTGTTGAGACAACGTTTCTAGGATTTTTACTAACGCGAATTTTCGCTAAAATGCGTGTCTCAATATGGCACTTATTTGCAAATACTGTATGTTTCTCGGCATACTTTAACTGTTAAAAATCACTCACAGAAATTTCTGATTCCCCTCCTTTTCCCTCAATAGCAGAGAATGTAATCCTTGAGATTTTTTATAAATTCTAAGGGGGCAACTACAACTTTGTAGCAAAATTGCTGCACAATTCTAAATAATTTTTTTATTTCATTGTTTATTTTCAACAGTTTGTCGACCCTTCCTCAATGAACTTTACAATCGTTCAGCCCACGCGCGTAGATGTTTTTACACTTGCAAATTTATGGACAAACGCGAACAAATCTAACATTCTGATGGTAATTAGCAATTAAATTTTTCTTATCATACAAGAGTATATTTGTAAGTCAATAGGAGTATTTTAATACATTTTTGTGATGTAAATTTGGCCGATCTCGCTTATTCGTCGAACATCCGAGTTAAAAACTCCATCACGAACTGTGGCTTGCCTTCGGCATTTCACGTTGTGTTGTAATAAAGAACATAAAAGTCACCCCACAAGACGTGGAGGCTAGAACGATTGAAACGCATGAAGTATTTCCATAATTAATTGCTTTTGAAAAAATTAACATTCTTAAATTATTAAAATTGCAACATTCGCAACAAGTGGTTTCTTATTTCCGTCAAAATATTAACAGATATGGGCGAAAGTTGAAGTCAATATGTGGCGTTTTTTTACTTTTAAGAGGCATTACAAATTGAAGTGCTTCGTAGTGTTTTTATTAGTGTGCGGTTTTCTTAAATACTCGCTCTTTACGTGGCACGATGAGGAGGATCCTTCTACAAGCGCTAATCTATACTCCACGAAGGATGGGGAGTTCTCAACAAACTACAAGTACCAAGACAACTACTATCTAGTGACAGCCATAGGATCGGGAGAATTCAACTGGTTATTAAATTTTATCGATGCACTGACTGCGCAGTCACGAAATTCCGAATTCCAGTTTATAATATGGACTTTAGACCTTCGTCAATGTGAACAAGAATTCCTCTTGAATCTAAAGAGGCCTTTCAGTGTCCAGCTGAACCGTTTTCCGTATCATTTTCACGAATTACACATAAGGCAATACCATTTAACTGCGATAAGACCAATAGTGTTATCGTTAACATCAGCCACATACGGTGAAGTTATTTGGATTGAACCTGGAACTGAGCTTACGTTTTCATTGGAAAAATTTCAAACGTATCTCGGAAATGAAGGATTTGTTGTTGGTAGTACCCATGCACAACTCTCAAAGAGGCAATGTTTGGCAAATGTCATCGGGGTGAACAAGTTTAAGCGCTCTTCGTTTCTTGGCGAATGGCTAGTATGCGTTAAAAACAAATCATGTATAGAAAAGGCGATAAGTGAATCAAAATACAAGCCTGAACCTGGTGTGGATATTTTGCTCGATATTATAAGACAAAAAAATCGCATCCCTTGCTCTGCATTACAGTCATTTGCGTGGGACGGAGTAAAACATTCGACATCAGCAACTCTTGATCAATGGAAAAATAAACACGAAAAATTATGTCAGCGGCAGGTTTGCGTATTATCAGGTAATCATAAATGCTTACGTCATCAGAAATATGTACCCTTGTCGTGAATAAAAAAAATTTTTCTTCATTTACTTAACTATGAGCTATTACTTCATAGTTTAAAAGCATAGTCTATACATAAGGAAGGACATTGTTAAGAAACTCACATGCTTATATATATTTTAGGTAGCCATCGAACTAACGATTGCATGGCTTCCCAACTGGATCGACTTCGCCAAAATAAAGTAAGTTATGCAAGGCGTCATAACTATAGATATATAGAAGACACGTTCGGTTTTCATCGTGAAGGACCGTGTCGCCGAGTTTGGAACAAGATACACGCCATTCTTAAGTACTTACCTGACTGCAAGATGCTAATGTGGATTGACACCGATGCGATATTTGTAAACATGGAAAAATCGCTGGAGTCTTTTATGGAACCATATCCAGAAATAGAACTTATTTTTACTTGGTATAAAAAAGAAGCAATGTTGAATGCAGGCGTCTTTCTCGTTCGCGGTTCTCCTCTCGTGCGAGAGTTCTTTGTCAATGTAACCGCTGGCTATGCATGGACAAGAAATCATTGTATATATTCCCGATTCGAACAGGCGGCCATAAACGACCAATTGAACAGTGGTACCGTCGATGGAAAGTATTTGTACGAAAGAACTAATGCAATGCAAAATTTATGTGGGTTCGGTAACAGGGAATGTTTACCGACAGAAACAGACTTCATTTTGCACTTGGCACCTCTGTCGTGTCCGTATTTGGGAGATATAATAAAAAAATTCTTTGACAAAAATCCACAACTTCACTGAAAAATTTAATTTTGAGCAACTGTCTTTTTCTTTACAAAATATGAATGAAAGAAATCTATTATTTAAGTATAAAATTATGTGAAAGTTATAAGGCATGACATGAGCCTTAAAACTCTTTGGAATCTGCTCATTTGCCTGCAACTCTCTTATTAGAGGATGTTTATAAATTACACAAATAGTATTTATTGTCCGTGGGGTAGCCAGTCCGCATGCAGGTTTTTGTCATGCTATGTATATTTCTCAGCAAAATATCATCGTTCACTTCTTGAAAAATCTATTTTCTTTGCAGCGCTGAAAAAATTACACAAGAAGACAAAATTTGCCAGCTAGCTAAGCTACTATGTAATGTATTTGTAAATACTTTACATTTTATTATGCCAGGGGTCTCCAAACTACGGCCCGTTGGGCCTCTCAATCCGGCCCGCAGAGACACTTAAGAAAAAAATAATAATAATATTAAACAAAATAAACTCTATGCAGAAAGTTCACGTTATGACGCAAGCCAACTAGCAAGAGTGGCTTACGTCAATTTTTGTCCCCACTTCCTACTGAGACAGAATCTGTTGACATGCCATATTACACTGCAGTAAGATGGCTAAGTTGTGGAAAAGTGCTGTCAAGGGTTTTTGAGCTAAGGAAGGAGCTATTTTTTTAACTAATGAAGCTTGTGTTATGTACTTCGTTTTATTAAAATATTCGCTCTTTGACCAGCGGTATACGGTTCGTCAGCCCTCAACATGCTGGATGAAAGTTCATGTGGCCCTATGGCTGTAAAGTTTGGAGACCCCTGTATTATGCGATACTATCTTGTAATTAATTTAAAAATTCCTCTAAATAGTAATACTGTCGTGCCTCTATTTGACTTATAGCGTTAATTACACATCGCCCTGGTGTATTAAGTTGTACACAGGCGTCTCAAAAATCTGCTTATCTTTGAAATCAGTCAATATTTAGAATTTGCATGATTCAGGAATAGGTAATTATCAAGAAAGCGTAAACGAAATAAATTTCAATTTAATTGAGTTTGATGCTTCAAATTTTAAAGTACAATTGCTGTACAGTAACTTCAATTTGTGTAATGCTTGTTTACATTTCATTTAAATCTCTTTGGAAATCAATTACTTCTGAATCATGTAGATTCTAAACGTCTGCTGATTTCAAAGATGTGCAGTTTTTCTCAAACACCGTCTTGTATAGAAATGCATAGAAAGACAATACACAATTTTAAGCAATATTACTGATGACTTTTTTGCCAATACTCATTTGAAGTCGAAGGAAAGAATATTTTCATGTTTCATCTTTTATTTTCATGCGGAGATTTTTCTATTGATTTTTATAGCATCTCATTTAATTGCTGGAATTATTTCTTATGTAAAAAATCATCCCAATTAAGACGATTGCATTTTCATGATTCCAAATACGAAATTCAGCATGCTATTAGTGGTTAACTCAAAAATTGCTCGGGATTCGTACTATAAATTAACGAAAACATCCAAACATTTTTCGATCAACTTCCGGAATCTCTTTGTCAATTTTATTAAATTTAGCTACAGTGGCAAAGCTCGTTTCCATTGGGTTTTTACTTTGGCAGACGTCTCCAAGAGCATACAATATTTCCTGTTCACTCTTACTAAATCTGTATTCAAGCTAAGACAGTACCTTGTCAGTGAACTGGTAGTACTTATTAACTCGGTGGTGCTGGATTCCAGCATTACCTGAATATCACCTTGTACTGACTCACTTAAAATGGCTTGTTTAGACTTCGCGAAGACCTTATGTCTTCGTGACCTGGCTTCCGATGGAGAGTTAAGCAGCCAATTTTTCATCTTTAATCTCATTGATAATGCCATATGTGCCATATACATACATCCATAGTCATGTTCGCGATTCTTCTTGTTTCAGAAAGAACTTTGCCTTTGAGTGGACTTGATAGCAAAAACGCCAACAAATGTTTCTTTCCTTTTCCCATTTGCACAAAAATTGGGGCAAATCCACTCCTGCTCTGTCTTGCTGATGTCAGAAGTCTCAAGGAGAATGATGCCATACCGTCCACTGACTCGAACATCATCACATCAGTGACGATGCGTTCTTGAATGAAGTCAGTAATGATTTGAAGTAACTCGTTTTATTTGACGGAGGTTATCCATTGTGCATGTTTCTTGAGCTGATGATTTGGTTTCAAATTTAACATGGTACCGTGTATTAGTTGCACCTCAAATTTAGAAGATTCAAAGAGTTTCCACGATTTACATCCCAACTTCAGTCCAACTCAGTTCATTGTTCCCCGTGTGATGATATTTTTTTTCGCAATATAAATCAGCCACTCGATCATAACCTTCGCCTACATCCTATTTTCTTTCAAACTGAAACTGCATGAAGTGTGTGAAGGTTAAAATCTCGGCAAATTATTCATTTACCAGCTTTTTTGGGTCGTAGCTCTTTAGAAGCCGCAGCTGCGATCTGTCCAGCTCCGCACACTAAGCCTTTGCTTCTATCTGCATCGTACAAGTTGTATAACGTAATAACATCCATACGACTATTGTTCTTTAAAGTCTGAACATCATCTAAAGCAGGAAAACAGTAGAATATTCATCTAATATATTTTTGTAAATTTACTCAAAAATTTATTGGTATGTTGGACCAAGACTAACATTCGCTTATACAAGAACAACATCGGTAGAAAAAATATACGCGGATATGTGATCATAGCTACAAAGAGAAGCAAGCAAAGGACTCCCATTATCAAGAAATTTGGCTAGAAGTTATGTCCAACTCTTGCTCTAGCAACAGATATGACTATTTTGAAACATTTTGTGATGAATCGACTGGAACATTTTGTAATGAATCACAAACAGGCTGGCGGTTGAGTATATCACCCTCATCTTGTGTCTTTGTGATCATAGCTTCCTGAACGTTTCTCTGTTTCACACACTGCATATTCACACACCAATAGCAAATTGTGATGTTTAATGAGCATTGCTCTGATGATATTTCAAAACATCTTCTGTATTTGATGGGTCGTCTTCACTTCTTTTCATCTTATTGTTGGCTAAAAAACTAAGTCGGATTGTTAAGTATCCAATGGAACAGTAGCATTCATCTTCATGGGGCCACAACTTTGAAAAAATGAAGCACATTACACGATGCGCACGAGAGTTCGTTACCGAGATGATGCCCCCGACTTATCATTTAGAACGCCATAGTACGAAATTCTTTTTACGAGTAACAGAATCATTGAAACTACTGGTAAGCTTATTGTTTTCATAATCGGATGCGAGGTTTTCATAGTTTAGTTTAGGTGCAGTTCAGGCGAGACGGATAAGGTGCTTAAAAATCATGTGTATATCGATCAGCTTCTCGATTGAATTTTACGCGCGAAGTATTTGTGTCTCTCAAATTTAAGTGTTGTTTGATTGTGATTTAGATCATGCATATAAAAGGCTCCACATTGATAAGTTAGTTGCTACAACGACATTCACGCATGAAGAACTCCGGCATGATTGTCTTTGTGACAATTCTACAACAACTGATTTACTGATCTACAAACAACTAGTTTATCTCAAATAGCCCATCAACTTACTGCAAAGGATAGAAGTTAAAAGTCAAATGGAAAATGCGCTTTTTTGTGCATGGAGTCCATCATAAATCAAGGTATATTATAGCGTTCCTATCATTATCAATAAACAGTTTTCTTGTATATTTGCTTTATACGTGGCAATGTGATGACATTAATCACGATGGATCTACAAACGCTAGTCTAAACTTTATGAGCGATGGTGTATTATCAAAAAATACAAGTACCAAGACAACTACTATCTAGTGACAGCCATAGGATCGGGAGAATTCAACTGGTTGTTAAATTTTATCGATGCACTGTCTGCGCAGTCAAGGAATTCCGAAGTCCAGTTTATCATATGGACTTTAGATCTTCGTCAATGTGAATAAGAATTCCTCTTGAATCTAAAGAGGCCTTTCAGTGTCCAGCTGAACCGTTTTCCTTATCATTTTCACGAATTACACATAAGGCAATACCATTTAACTGCGATAAGACCAATAGTGTTATCGTTAACAGCAGCCACATACGGTGAAGTTATTTGGATTGAGCCTGGAACTGAGCTTACGTTTTCATTGGAAAAATTTCAAACGTATCTCGGAAATGAAGGATTTGTTGTTGGTAGTACCCATGCACAACTCTCAAGGAGGCAATGTTTGGCAAATGTCATCGGGGTGAACAAGTTTAAGCGCTCTTCGTTTCTTGGCGAATGGCTAGTATGCGTTAAAAACAAATCATGTATAGAAAAGGCGATAAGTGAATCAAAATACAAGCCTGAACCTGGTGTGGATATTTTGCTCGATATTATAAGACAAAAAAATCGCATCCCTTGCTCTGCATTACAGTCATTTGCGTGGGACGGAGTAAAATATTCGACATCTGCAACTCTTGATCAATGGAAAAATAAACACGAAAAATTATGTCAGCGGCAGGTTTGCGTATTATCAGGTAATCATAAATGCTTACGTCATCAGAAATATGTACCCTTGTCGTGAATAAAAAAAATTTTTCTTCATTTACTTAACTATGAGCTATTACTTCATAGTTTAAAAGCATAGTCTATACATAAGGAAGGACATTGTTAAGAAACTCACATGCTTATATATATTTTAGGTAGCCATCGAACTAACGATTGCATGGCTTCCCAACTGGATCGACTTCGCCAAAATAAAGTAAGTTATGCCAAGCGTCACAACTATAGATATATCGAGGACACGTTCGGCTTTCATCGTCATGGGAATTGTCACCGAGTTTGGAACAAGATACACGCCATTCTCAAGTACTTACCTGACTGCAAGATGCTAATGTGGATTGACACCGATGCAATATTTGTAAACATGGAAAAATCGCTGGAGTCTTTTATGGAACCATATCCAGAAATAGAACTTATTTTTACTTGGTATAAAAAGGAATCGATGTTAAACGCGGGCATCTTTCTCGTTCGCGGTTCTCCTCTTGTGCGAGAGTTCTTTGTCAATGTAACCGCTGGCTATGCATGGACAAAAAATCATTGTATATATACCCGATTTGAGCAGTCGGCCATAAACGATCAATTGAAAAGTGGAACCGTCGATGGAAAGTATTTTTACGAAAGAACTAACGCTATGCAAAATTTATGTGGGTTCGGTAACAGGGAATGTTTACCGACAAAAACAGACTTCATTTTGCATTTGGCACCTCCAGCGTGCCCGGCATTAGGATATCTGATAAAAAAATTTTTCGACAAAAATCCGCAATTTTTCTAAGGAAATAATATTTGCAACAGTTTGATTCCCATAAAGAGTAAAAACATCTTCACTTGCAACAGTTTGATTCCAATGAAGAATAAAAACATCTTCACAAAACAATGTTTGTTAGAAAGTCCTACTTGCCCGTTACCTAGATGTTCCGCAATCCGCAGACTCTATTCGTAACTGAACTGTCGGTTATAACGTCAACTGGACAGGATAGCACTTGATAATCAGCAGGAATGAGTTAATGTTATGATTTTAATTGAAAAGATTATAGATATGATTGGGAATAAGCAGGCTGTATTTAGATACAGCAATGTGTACGTGTTTTCTTGGAATGGCTGTACTTATCCTGTAAATTCATAACGTTCGTTTTGATTCAGAGTTAACCCTGTTCCTAGTTAACACTCACATTTCACTTACTTTTGAATTAGAATCATACTCCTCAGTTCCACGACAAAATATTTCACATGATCTACCATCTTCTCAGACTGCTCGTGATAGCTACGTGCCGATTCCAATGTGAATTGACTAAATCTTAGATTTCTGTGCTGTTGACCAACGCCGTAGAGAATCATCCTTAAACAGCTTCCAAACTTATCTACGGTAAATGGTTTAGCTTAGTTTACATTTGAAGCAACATCTTGTGCTGTTTGCACATCATTTATCCGTCAATCGTGACCATAATTATTTTTTCAGACATCGAAAAAACCACAAAATGGCTCGATGAAAAAAAGCAAAGCTATAGCATGAAAATCCATGCAAAAATATGAATTTCAAATAAAGTTAAATACCCAACACCTTTGGGATTCTTTACTCTCTCATGCACGACTTGTGTTTATAAATGTTACAATTCGTTTTAATAAACACAATTTTCGCACAAAATACTACGGGGTGTATAAAAAATTACTTTTGGAAATTGATGTGTTGTGATAATTTCAATTCTTATCACTATATACTAAGCATACGGGTGCGTAAAATGTTATCAACTTCGTGCATGTATTACATATCTTTGTACTAGCACAGCAGCTTTTCAGCTCCTGGGAATGGAGCAGGACTTCTATAACAGTAAAACATGAACAGTAATGCACCAGTTCATGGGATTAGGGGCTATTCACAAGAGCCCGGTAACCGGGATTCAGCGAGGCGTGAAATGAGTAAAGACTTTAAACGCAAAACTTACAACCTTTTCTTAAGCGTCATAAGTCATTTTAGTCGTAATTTTTAATTTAGGCTACATTATTTGTTTTCATTGTAAAGGTTTTGTGAATTTGCAAAGTCAGAGCATAGAGAAATTGCTCATATAAATTTTTTGTTGTGAAGTACTTAATCTTTTCAATTTACCAAAATGATTTAAAGCTTCGCTGAATCCAGGCTACCGGGCTCATGTGAACAACCTCTTAAGATAGTGATCAGGCATTGAAATTTGTAATAGGTTAATTTCCTAAAATAGTTAAAAAGGTTTAATTTTATTATAAGCCCTGTATACTCAAATTATTCCTTTGTGAAAACCTCCTTTAACTCCAAGCTATTAAGAGTTTGTTATAAAATTACAATGAAGCGTTGCTATAAAAGAAGAGTTGAGTCCAAAGAGAATCCATTTCACGGAAAACAAATCACAAAAAGTACGGATTTGAATTTACTTTAAACAAATGTTATGTTATTTACATTCATGTTAATCGTGTCGAGTCGTGTTAAATCGATGTTAAATCATGTTAAATCATGTTAATCGTAAGTCGTGTTAAATCATGTTAAGGTAGGGTTAGGGTTAGGGTTAGGGTAAGTCGTGTTAAATCATGTTAATCGTGTGGAGTCGTTAACGTGATTTAAAGCTTCGTTAAATCACGCTAAATCACGTTAAAGTCGTTAACGTGATTTAAGATTTCAGCGAAGCTTTAAATCATGTTAAATCATGTTAATCGTGTCGAGGTTAGGTCATGGTAAGTCGTGTTAAATCATGTTAATCGTGTCGAGTCGTGTTAAATCGATGAGCGGTTGAAACTAGGGGGGTGTTTACATGAATCCGGAATGACTTTCAATCCCGATCGAAACGTGATGTCAATCCGTGTTTACATGAAACTAATTGCTGTTTTTCTTCGCACTCATTTTAACCCATTTAGCCTCTTTATTTACTTACGAGCTTCAATTTGCCAGAAGACAATACCCATGGCACATGCGTGCTTCGTCATTAACACAATATCATTCCAAAATGAAACTCAATTCGCGTTTACATGAGATAAAAAGTAAATTTCGATCCGGAATGAAACTAGGAATGAACTCGATCCGGATCGAGTTGTGACTCATTCCGGATTCATGTAAACATGCAATAGGATTTCTTTTAAAGTGGAATGAGTTCATTCCGGATTCATGTAAACCCTAGCTGACGATTCAGTCAAGAAGCTTTAAAGGGGAACCTTGCAAAACCGTTGGTTGAAGACAATTCTCTAACGTTGTGTTGCTTAGACTTCGCAGTGATATGTATAATTTAGGGTCATTCCTATAATGTTGTTTAAAGGCAAGGACAAAGAAGTTCATGTGGTGGGATGTTTGTTCGTGAATTCAGTTTTGCTGATATTGAATTTATTTTCGAAAGAAATCAGTCGGACGCAACCTAATGTAACAATGTACACACTTCTCCACAATTTCCAGTGACGACCCTGCAAATTTTAAATAAAATACGTATTGATCGACACGTGTTATGGGGACGGCCCTGCAAATTTTAAATAAAATACGTATTGATCGACACGTGTTATGGGGACGACCCTGCAAATTTTAAATAAAATACGTATTGATTGACACGTGTTATGGGGACGGCCCTGCAGATTTTAAATAAAATACGTATTGATTGACACGTGTTATGGGGACGGCCCTGCAAATTTTAAATAAAATACGTATTGATTGACACGTGTTATGGGGACGGCCCTGCAAATTTTAAATAAAATACGTATTGATCGACACGTGTTATATCTACATTGATAAGGGTAAATAACATAACAATTGCTGAATTAAAAACGAAAGTTTTTGTATTTTTGAGCAACAAAAAACACGACAAACTTGAGGGACAACTTTACCTTTTATTGAATGCTACACAAAGTAACGCCCTTACAAAGGGCAAAATATATATAATTAATACACCAAACGCGCCTTTGACAATACTAATATACTTTATAATATTCATTAATTAATTTAATAATTCTTTGCGCCTGAACCCTTTATGATTCATTATTGTTTATTTTCACACAAAGTGTAAAGACAGCCGACCCGAAATGTTGTAAGACCGAGCAATTGCAAATGTTCGGATCGGTTGAATTTTCACTTCCTGTGATGTTTTCTACAAACGCATATGATGTTTCAATTCATGTATGCAAATAAAAAGCTATTTTTTATGCTTTTCTGCCTGGCTTAATCATAGTCAGCAAATTGTTGAAAATTTGCAACAAGTCGGCCAATCAAATACGGAAACTACTCCGTTAGTAAAAATTTTTCTGAAGTCCTTTCCTCACTTCTAATAAAAAGTCGAGCATTTTATCGGGGTTTTGTACAAAACTTGCTGACGATCGTGTGTAGACATACGTCAGAGGGAGAAACATATCAAAAGCAAGCAGTTTAGAAATTTTGCGTTTAAATCAAATTGTTTTGCTCCCACAGATAAAATTGTTCATGTTTTCGTTTAGCGGAGCAACTTGAAACCTGCACCAAGGAACATTCTTGCCGATTTCCAAGTGCATATTTTCAACATTAAATACATCGGCCTATTTGCCAGTAATGGCTTTGCAGCTTCGATAGGCAAACCGTATATGTACATGCAACACACTTGCATGCGATATTGAAGCAAACGACATAAAAATACTATAATCTTTCACACAACATCCTTAACATATACTTATCATGCGTTGTGCACGTGTAGAGCATGGCAATCATATTGACGGGAAGAAATTGTTACGTTCCTTTCTGGTCTTCGTGGAAAATAGATAAACTGTTCTTTGCATAATTTACAACATGTGCAATCGAGCTAAAGAAAAATTAACATGGTTCATAATATAGACACATAAACAGGCAAGAAAACAAGACAGAGATTTACGAGGGAATCCATAGCAACTGAAAAGACGCTGATGTTTATTGTGATTGTAAGGTCCCTATAGACTTTCGAACAGTTCATAAAAATGCAAACAAATAGATGCTCAGTAAGTCATGCAAGAATAAATTACCTACCTGTGAAAAGTCAAGCTTCCACAAACATCATCGATTTTCGCGAAGAAATCTGTAAGATAAATAACCAGAAATAGCAAACGCTGTTCACGATGATTCAATTTAATCATTATTTATTTACAAAAACGGTAGCCCTTCAGTACCGCGACTGATTTTTTGGGCATAGATACTGTGGTTTAGAGAGCATACCTTGATAATCGTTTGACATATTAGTCGCTCGATCCCACAAGTCTATACTGTAAACCAGTTTACTAGTAGTGGACACGTGTTGCGCCATGACACCGTGTATGCGCTGTGGTATGGAGACTGAGACTGGTGACGTCACAGACGACGTGTGGTGACGTCCCGTATGATTGCTCTCACCACCACTATTGCTACCATTACTGCCTATGCTACCCACACTGCCAGCTGGCGATGGTGTCGGTGACATAGGTGATGGAGTGCTGCCGTGTCTAAATATATAGATGACATCGTACATGAAGATGATTTATGTGTACGCGGTCATTTTCCAAATAAAAGCGATGAAAGACGGGTTTGATATGGATCACTTCAAATGATCAATCATTAAGAGCTAAGATTAATTATGTGTCTTACTTGTGGCTGTTAGTGTACGGCGATGTGATACTGCTTTTCTGCGTTGTCTAAAGAAAAATTTTTTATTACATTAACGGACAGAGAAGCAGTGAGTCGTCCCAGGCCACGTCGAGAAACACGACCAAAAAAAGATACGAATTTAACTTTTCTCCATTAGCCAATATATCTAGGTAGGCACATGCTTTATGGATCGAGTGGATGTGAAATGATGCAATTTAAAAAAAGAATCATCCTGAAAGGGTGCCATTGTTTGATGAACAAAGAGGTTAGGTCGCTGTTTCTTCATGTTGTAACTTGCAAAACAGTTTAAAATTGAAGATGGACGGCAAAAATACAGAAATAAGTCATAGATTACCTTAAAATGTTCGGATAAAATCTGTAACCAAAAAAAAGTTTACAATTTTAATAAAAGTCACGCAACGTCGACACAGAATTTGTGGGGGTGGGGGTGTCAGTGCATGAGGGCGAGGGTGATGGTGTGTCGAGAGTGATGGGGCAGGAGGGTGATGGAAGGATGGTGTGAAGGATGGTGTGAGGAATGGATGGTGGATGGAAGGTGATGGTGGTGGTGGAAGGATGGTGGAAGGTGATGGTGGAAGGGTGGTGTGGTGATGGAAGGATGATGGTGTGAGAAAGGATGGTGTGTGATGGAATGTGGGGAAGGGTGATGGTGTGAGAAGGGTGATGGTGCGTGGAGAGTGATGAAGCAGGAGGGTGATGGTGTGAGAAGGGTGATGGTGTGTGGAGAGTGATGGGGCAGGAGGGTGATTGTGTGTGCGGGTGGGGAGGCTGATGGTGCGTTCAAAAAGGTTATTTATGTCCGTCCGGACACTTCTGTCGCATTCATTTCTCTTAAACAGCAAGTATGCATGATCCAAAACATGAAATGTTTTCAAAAAATACCTGTGTATTTCGAATGCAATGCTTTCCTTTCATTCGGTACAATTTGTGCAGCAGAAGAGATTGTATTTTCATGCTGCATGAAGCAAATCAAGGGCACGTTATTTTACAAAATGATCATTTTTTAACTAGCAAGGAAAAATCAGGAAGCTCAAGCTCATTTACCATAAAAATAGCAGACGTTTGTCTTCGGTCTTTCCAAGGATATGTTTTAAAATAAATCTAAAAAATTGCACAGTTACAATGTAATGCAATCTATGAACATCTTCATTATCATGAAGAAACTTACTTTAAGAGCTCTGTCGTTTCCGAGTACATTTGACCAGCGCGAACGTCCCCATCTTCTTTGTCCTAAATGTTGCAACAAAATTCGATAGAAAGAAATTCCACCTGTTCATGTAAGTTAGTCAATTCTATGGCTACCACGTCCATCCGTTGGCCAGCATTTTTTTTACTAAGATCGTAGGTAACAATAAAAATAGCATTGCCAATAACAAATCGTTAACAGTTGGTCACACTTATTGTGTAAGCAAGTCGTACGATGAAAACGTGTCACTAAAAATACCATTACAAAGACTTTGGGAAGAGAATTTACCTCCAACGCTCTTCCACAACAAATGAAAGACACAATGGCTTCGACGTAAGTTCGACTTTTGGCTTCTTTATCGGTCTGCATGGGAGATAAAAAATTATACTCATCGAATTTATCGATATAGTAGAAAAAGACACTGAAGCCGCTGACCAAGTTATCCGCTTCACGTTTCAGCGTTTTTGCTCGCAAAAGATGCGAATCTGGATCATCTTTCCTAGCGGGAGAGAAAATAAAAACAACCTGTAGAGTTAAGGGTAAATTTGTGTTTTTATTTCATTTCATTGTGTTGCTTTCCGTCATTTATTTCTCGAGTGCCCTATCTTGCACTTCACTCCATCTTCCAATAGCGAAAAGTCTCACAAATACATCAATACAACTACGATTTCAATTCACGTATGTATAATTGTAAAAACAATCACGCTAAATGAAATAAAGCAATCATACGAACCTTATATCTGCTTCACAGTCTGCATTTAACTCTGCCGTAGTTTTTCGTTTCTTCTGTTCGACTTTTTCACGCTGACCATCGTGATGCATTCGTTTCTTTAAATTTACGGTTCGTTCCTTATCAACGACGCCACGCTTTTCGCTAAAAACGTAAAAGAAACTTTTAGTCAAGCACGGTCATCCCATGCCTAGAATACTGACATGAAACTATCCGCAATACTTCATGTATACAAAGATGTTACGAATTGTTACTGAAGTTGCACGCGCAGATACTGAACTGCACTGATGTTGCATGTGCAGATAGTGAACTGTTACTGATGTTGCATGTGCAGATAGTGAACTGTTACTGATGTTGCATGTGCAGATATTGAACTGTTACTGATGTTGCATGTGCAGATAGTGAACTGTTACTGATGTTGCATGTGCAGATACTGAACTGTTACTGATGTTGCATGTGCAGATATTGAACTGTTACTGATGTTGCATGTGCAGATACTGATATGTTACTGATGTTGCATGTGCAGATACTGAACTGTTACTGATGTTGCATATGCAGATACTGAACTGTTACTGATGTTGCATGTGCAGATACTGAACTGTTATTGATGTTTCATGTGCAGATACTGATATGTTACTGTTGTTGCATGTGCAGATACTGAACTGTTACTGATGTTTCATGTGCAGATACTGATATGTTACTGATGTTGCATGTGCAGATAATGAACTGTTACTGATGTTGCATGTGCAGATATTGAACTGTTACTGATGTTTCATGTACAGATACTGATATGTTACTGATGTTGCATGTGCAGATACTGATATGTTACTGATGCTGCATGTGCAGATACTGATATGTTACTGATGCTGCATGTGAAGACGCAACAGACAGTAAAATGTTCGTGATAACATTTACGATGATGAACGACAAGAGTAATAATGAAAACCAGCCCGTTGATCGAATGGAATTTTTCCTGTGCGTGACGACAAGAATTTAACATACTTTTCTTCGTAATGATTGACTTCCATATCGCCATTATCTCCGTTCTTCTTCCCCGAACAATTGTTTTCACCGTTTAAATAAGCTTCTGAATAAAAACAGCATTATTAACACCTCAAGGTAATGAAAGGTATGTTATGGCTATATGCTCCTTGACAGTAACGTCCATTTCTCACATAAAACAACATGCTCATCGACAATGACACTAAGGTGTACGGGGGGGGGGGAAGGAATGCTTGCAGTACTGACCTGAGTGGTTGTTTTGTATCTAGAAGGAAAAAGAAAACATTGGTGAGACTTTGGTCTTGAATTTCTCTATCATTCATTTTGCTGTAAAATGCGCAAAGGATTGGCGCATGTGATACTCCACTAGAACGTACAAGGCAAGAGAAGCAAAATTTCCCATCAAATTTCCATATTACTAAGTCAACTATGTGTTGCGCGAGCTTTGATCCAATCTTATATTCATTTACAGTATAATTACAAGGCTACAAGCATCATTGCATTCAACATACATCGCTCATTTTCAGGAAAATCGATACTCTAAAGTCTCTTAACTTAACATAATCACCTCCATCAAAAATTCAACTCCACTCAAAAAAATTTTTCGTTTCATTGATTAAACCCTCTTGTTGCCGGCTTACTTTCCTCAATTGAGTATAAATCGGCTTCGTGACTGGCAATAAAGGGTGAAGCTCGGCTAAAGTCATCTGTATATAACCGTGCTGTCTAAAAGCTCTCGTCCTCACACATTTCGCACGTCCGACAACACCGCTAATAGAATCATTCAATGTTCAATGATAGTTCACGCTGACAAAACGAAACAAGTTCGCTAGTTTGTTTTGTTCCATGCAGGAAGTCACGATCGACTTAATGGATGAAGATACCAACTAGTATTTCATAAAATTATCAATGGCAAAACGTCATTCAATTATTTTTCAGTCAAAACATTTCGAGTTGATAAGGATTTCTCAAAATTTAAACGTGTTTCCCAGAATGCATGCTTATGTTATCAACTTCAGCAAGTGCAAGTAAATGAACAAAGTTATCTACAATCGGATGATTAAAAGTTTTTGCGCCCGTATTTTCTCTATTTAGCCTTTAGTTCGTTCATTTTTTTGCAACCTTTCAAGAAAGGGATTATTGGAAGAGAGAACAAAAGAGGAGACTGGAGGCTCGTTAAATTTAAAAAAAAATTGCTAGCACATACTAATTCACGCAACACATAATCTTAATTTTTATTTGTTAAGACGCTCAATTCATCCAGAAAGTACATACTTACTCGTTCACAAAAAACATAAGTGCATCTTGTATAATGCGATTGACTTACTGGTGATATTTGGGTGGAGAAGGACTGAAGGCAAGGAATTAGTTATGGCTGCATGTCAAATGGAGGATTATAAAAAAAAAAGGAGGGCTGAAAACGGGCTGGAGACTAAATAGAGGAAAAATGATAAATGCTCGCGTTCTTAAAAATCGCCAATTTTCACCTGATTGTAAACAGCCAAACTGATTTTTTTTATTCTCAGTTATAAACTGAAAGCAGCATACATATGAGCAGGCCGAAACGTGAATTCGATGTATTTGATCGAGACATTCACAAAATTCAAGCATTGTAAGGCAAAGAAAGCATATGATTTGAATGATATTTGCACAACATTGCAAGAACACAAATCGCTTACCGATAAATTCTTGTCAAACTTATTTGGTATCCTCTTGATGAAGCTCAAAGGAATCTTGACGATCAACGACGAGGGATCTTTCTCTTTGTCATGAAGTAACTGAATTCCTACAGGTACATTGAGAAGTCCGTTTTTATGAATACCGTTCGTTCTGTTATGTTTACTTGGATCATTTGTACGTTTCTTCTTGGTAACCGGACTATCGCCAACAACATCAATGACACTGTCTTCCTCACCAATGTCGCAGCAATCGAAACCCAAACTGTCAGTCCGCTCAGACGCCTTTTTAAGCCTCTTTTTCTTCATCGGCTTGTTCAAATTTTTTGGTGAATTAAGCTTATTGTTTGAAATGTGTTCACTTTTTGAAGTTTCGATTTTATCTTTTGCTTTTTGATCATCGGATTTTTCCTTCAAACTTTGACTTGAATCGTGAGTTCGTTTTAATTTTTTCGCACAAGAGTTCAATTTCTTATCTCTTATCGCCTTTTCATCCTTTGTTCTGACTTTTGCAAAGCCATTAACAAGTTTGTGCACGTTTGTGTCTAGCTTCGTAGAAGAGGTCGAGTTTAACTCGCTTGAATGCGTTTTCTCCATATTAGATTTGATTTCATGGTTTGGTTTTGAGTTTTCGCTTTCAGATTTCTTTCTTGTCGGATGTTTACCTTTTACGTCGGACTTTACCTTAAAACGATCGTCGCTTTCCTTTTCCACTTTGATCCTAACAACAGTCTTGGAATTACTTGACGGAGAAGATTCATGATGTGACTTAATCGTTGCTACAGTTTCATTCGCTGACCCGTTCAATTTTTCCGAACGAATTTTAACGTCCTTTCTCGGCGACTTCTCTTCTAATGTGGCAGCTTTCGTATCGCGAACATTCGATATGCTACCTAAGCCCGAAGTTCTAGACTTATCTTCACTGTCATTGGAAAAAGATTCGGACGATGTTTTCAACTGTAAATCATTCTTTCCTTCGGGAGAACGTTGCTTGGTTTCGTTTAATAATGGGCGTACTGGTGGGGATACAGTTTTTTCCGGTGGAGAGTTGAGCATACTTGGCTTCGCTGGGATTTCTGATGTTGGTTTTTTTTCACCAACATCCTACAAACAAATATGACAAACAGTCGATGGTTATTCTCCAATATTTCTAATGAGCATTTGACCTTCTACTTACGAGAAAACTTAACAAAATTACGGCTCAGTAAGTTCGCAAAAATCCCTCCTCCCGCTTTCAAAGGATGAAAATCTCTCCTCTTCCTGGAGAGGATGAGAATCTTTCCTCCCGCCTTGAAAGGATGAAAATCTCCCCCTCCCGGAACAAATGAAAATCTCTTCTCTTCCTGGAGAGGATGAGAATCTTTCCTCCCGTCCTTAAAGGATGAAAATCCCCCTCTCCTGGAAAGAATGAAAATCTCTCCTCTTCCTGGAGAGGATGAGAATCTTTCCTCCCGCCTTGAAAGGATGAAAATCCCCCCTCCCCGGAAAGAATGAAAATCTCTCCTCTTCCTGGAGAGGATGAGAATCTTTCCTCCCGCCTTGAAAGAATGAAAATCTCTCCCTCCCCCGAAAAGAATGAAAACCTCTCCTCTCCCTGGAAAGAATGAAAATCTTTCTCCCCCTGGAAAAGATGAAAATCTCTTCTCCCTTTGGAAATGATTAAAGTCAAATCTGAGGGTGACAAGCCACATCAATACGCCCTCGTATAAGAAAATAAGTAGCTCCCCCCTCCCGTGCTTTATTGACACATCCGTCAGGAAGTCAACTCGGTAGTCAAAGCGATTTTTACAATGAATTAAGAAGTCTCGTTAGCACTAACTATGTGTGCAGTGAATATCACAAAAAATCACCATTTTTCAATGGGAATATCTAGTCGGTTGTATTGAAAATTATCGTTTACCTCATCAAGTTCCGAGTCACTAGATTCTCCACTACTGCTGCTGCTAGATGAAGACGACGATCCCGACCTTGTTAATAAAGTCTGCCAAAAGAAGCCGCATTTCAATCAATAGAAAAATAAACCGCACAAATGAATTTGCAATCGCTGGGGAACGAGGTCCATAAAAAAGATGAAAACTGCAATCAACTTGGAAATTAATATCTGGGAAACGTAAAGTAATATTTTGTAGATAAGGTAGATTTTGTTGATTGCAGGGCGTTAGAAAACATGTTTCCGACGATGAAATGTTTGTTCGGCGAATTACATAAATACAAACACATTCCAGTTAACTTACACGCTCATCGTCACTGTCGTCTTCGTCCGAAGTATCCAAATCCGTTTTCAAGGAATCTGAAATAAACACAAGCAGAGATGTTTGTAGATAGAACTATAGCTAAAAAGAATTGTTCACACTTGCCATCAAAATCGGTATACAAACGCTGAGAATTAAGTATGTTTTACATATCAAAGAAGGAGCAATCAGAGAATTCAAAAACACACAAAAAAGATAAAAAAAACACCATTTTCTGAATTTTTACAGTATATTTACACATTTTAATAAGATGAAAAACACCTTTTTAAAAAAACCCCTTAGATAAACATGGTATGATAATTCCCTTAAGGTGAATATTATTTTGATAAAAGATAATCCCACTTACTAGAAACTTCTTCGGCGTTCTGATTACTCTCCTGAAAACAAAAAAAAATACGCATTCTTACAAACTTCATGCGAACATTGTTTTTAAAACGATATACGGGTAACGGGGAGAATATCGACTCTACCTTTTCAGTAGGGAAAGGAAATTTCAAATCCTTTCTGGGTAGAGGTGTACAGATCTCCGTTAAAGGCATGTTCACCGGTTCAGTCATCTCCTGCAAGTAGTATATGAAACGGACAAAGTGAAAAATATGTAAAAGATAAAGATGTGTTAAGCAAAATCAAATAATGGGACGCACGCAAGGAGTCATGGGTGTAGCTCATCACAGTTAGAAATACCAACATAAATAAGGACATTTTTACTTCATGCCCAGAGGCAACGGAAGAGAGAGGGGGAATGAATCGCAGAAATATAATAGCGCGTTCAAAATGAGTGCCCTGGTATGGTACTCAGGCACGGGCACCAATTTGAACACAACATTTTGATGGTGCCTGAGTCAAAGTGCTCTGGGTCTGGGCACCACGAAAATTGATAGTACCCAAGTACGGTACTCGGGCACGGGCACCAATGTGAACGACGACACCTGGATAACGTGTACAGAGAAGCACGTATTCAGCACATGGTTTTAAAACTTGTGTACAGTAAAAAACGTGAAATTATAAATAAACTAATGTATTGGGTACTACGTAGTGTGAACGGCATGCAAATTTGTGCCAGAACCATGGGTATCGTTCTCCGGCACTCAATCTGAACGCGCTTTAAGTGTGTCAAATACACAGTGACAAGGCGAATCCTGAAAATTGGCGTATTTAGGCATTGCCCTTTGTTTAAAAAAGTGAATTAGCCCGCTTTGCTATCCCCAGCCGCACTTCCGAATTCTTTTTCTGTCTATGCAAGTTTCGTCATAATCATGAACTTGTCCATCGTAGAAAACGTACCTTGAAAATAGTTTGAACTTTTTCATCACGTCGTTGAGGACTCTGTAAGAAAAAACAGAACGTATATGACGAACGGGAAATCGCGGTAAACTAAGTTTTCTGTAAGTATATTTATATGTAGTAGACGTAAATGGTGGAATAAACACATTAGCAATAGCAGCGAGGATAGCTTGAGTCGAAATATTCGTGTTTTCAAGTATATTTTCAAGTCTGAGCACTTTAAATCAAAATCAAACAAAACACATGACAAGAGTTCAAAAAACGTTCAAAACACGAACATGCCGTTTTTTCGTTGATTTTCAAGCCAATTACTTCTTAATAAGACAAATTAAGTCATTCTTTATATTGAACTAGGAGTTGGCTAGGAGTGAAACATCTGCGTTCACCCGAAATCGGGCAAAATATTTTAACCTGAAGTCGAGTAGCTTGATAAATGTTCCAGCGCCCCCTCCCCTCTCCCCTTACGATTTTCCAATTTTTATGCATTGGAAATGCCAAATTTTTGGATAAAAGAAGTATAGTTACAAACATATATTTACTGCGTATGATAACATAAAAATTTTGCTGGCAAGATAAAGTCGATTGTCAGAAGTGAAAAATATAATTGATTTTCTATTTATGATTATTTTTGATTGAACCTAAATTCATTGGGAAATTTCGATTTCAAGATGATTGGAAAAAGTGCGAAATCTTTCTTTCAAATTCAACAGAAACTTCAACCTTGCATTGCCTCAGCTATATTGTAAAATTTCTTCATTCATTAAATCAACTCGTACTTATATTGTTATATAGGAAAGCTACACCGGAACGACATTGAACGACATAAGTTAATAGTAAAACAAAAATGATTAATGCAAATGAAGCATAAAGACTTTCGACATTTTAAAGATAGGAAACTTTTCAACGGTCGATAATTCAATTCGCTCATGGACAATCTTTATAAGATTCTTCAAGTGACTACGAAATCTCAATATGGCGTTATGCATTAACAGTTTTAACGAACGTAGTGAGATGCTTTGGAAAGATCAGAAATACTAGTCGTAGTTTCAGGTTCCTGTAAATGCCCATTTCAAGCAGCTTATACGCTGAATTGTTTATAAAAACATTACGACCGCACAGGTTGAGGTAAAAAACTACAAAGCAGATTTAATAAATTATAGTCACGCACTTAATCGTGTGATTGTAAACAAAATCCAACAAAAACCTACAAAATACATGGAATATCAATTCTAACTAATACAAAGAGTTTACGCAAGCGTCAAGTACCAGGACTTTCATATTCACGTTAAATGAAATCATCACGATTCTTAAAATGCATATATTATCCCACCAAATATATTATCCTGACAGTGCATTGCTGAAAACTGGGACGAGTTCCTACAACTGTACACCAACGAATAAGTCAAATAACATCACGAAATGTTGACGAAAAACCTGTTGTCATGTGCGCCGCAATATTTGCTGTAATTCTTTTATGCTCATTTCCTGTAGATTGGTTTTCTCGTGCAAGATAAACTAATTGTTTTGTTCCGCTTCAATTTGAAAATTATACGCTATTTTCATAAGCACCTGTCGGCCATGAAAAAGAATTTCATCGCGATTCAGAGATGTAAAATTTACTTTCAAACAGGTAAAAGATGTTAAAAATACAGTTTTCAAAGATGTTCAAAATACAGTTTTTCTGTTCCTTATAAAAATCCGGTAATTACCTCTCGAACATATAAAGGCAAAAACACATCTGCCAAGCTGAGAGAATGCAAAAATAGATATGATTGAGCTGTCTATTTTTGAAGTTCAGCTGTTAGAAGACGCCACAAAAAATCTATTCCGTCAAGAGACAATGCGAATGTTCACGTTTTATTAGAATTGGAATAAGATTGCTATCATTCTCGGAATGTTAATCCTTTTGTATGCATAAGTAGTAAGTAAATAAACTTTATATGGGCAAACATACGCTTACAGTTTCACAGTAAGGCGGTATTTACACAAAGACAGTATAAGAGGTACTCAGTTCAAAAAAAAACTTTAAGTGATGCTGTATAACATAGATAATGTGTTGTGATAAGAAAGTCTCATCGTATTTGAAAAGTCAAATTACCGCGTTAAATCCGTAAACTACTTGGTTTTCCTAAGGTAAACAAATAAAAGAAATGCTACTACAGCCCTTATCTTTTCCTTATAATACTGCATTGTATGTATTTAATAATTTGCATTTATGAGAGTCAATTCGTGAGAGTCTCACAGATAAAAATTTAATCACACGAATGCAATATTCAAATTTTGAGGTGAACGTTCAAGTTGAACTTGTATATTTCTCTAAAGATCCAAACACTTCAGCTATAAACCATTGTTCTTATACATACAAATATATATCAGGACCTCAGTGTATGTCGATGTAATGCGTTCTGTTCTTTACATTAAACAGTAGAGTAACTCTGATTTCCTAAAGCTACGACATTGACAAGCCCAAGTATCTTTTAATCAGTATCATGTTACAATGACAAGCCCAAGACGTGTACAAAAAGCTACACTATTTATCGTGTATCACGGGTATTTATGAAAAAACTAATAATTTAGCACCAGCATTGTGAAAAATGACAGCACCTTCTAAAACTGGCGTTATATCTTTTTCAAAGTTTAGTTTTCAAGAATTGAAAGGCATTGTGCTGGGACTTTAAAGTCTTGTGATTCAATTGCATCAGAAGATAAGCGTAAACTCAAACATATTAAAAAATATATTACCTCGTGTAACATGGATGAAGAATCCGGCTTCCTGCAAAAATACAAATTCATATTCAACATTTTGATGACAAGAAAATATACCTCATATTTGTCGACCAATCGTCATAAAAACATTTTTGAAGAAAGAGACCATTTTTGGAGTTCGTAAGAATGACAATGTTAAACAGAAAATCATGCTAAAACTATGCATTGCTAATTACTATCTATATAATCAGTTGAAAACATACTTCAACTGGAATTCCAATAAGATTATCAGATTTGAAGTCGATATACGTTTTCAAGTTAAATAAACGCATATGGTAAAAATCGTTTCAATGAGACCACCCACACGTTGGCACACGCCTAACAAAAAGACGTTATTATACCGGATCATAATGGGATCGCAGAGGATCACATTTGATTCAATAATTGTGGTGAAGCAAAATGGCAAACCATACCGTGTACACGTATCGGCTTTTCATCGCACACAGATGAGGCGCGGCGCGCATAAAAGTGCTGAAGTACGCTCAATATCGATGGTATAGAAGCGAAACATAAGGAGAGGTTGCCAAAACTATACGACAATGGAACAATTGATCACATCGATTAAAAACTGTTAGAAGAATAACTGAATAGTTACTTTTAAAACTGCACTGTAAGGGAACTTCATTGTTCGACACTAAAATAGGTAAATATTTGCTTCAATAGCACATTATATGATTACATATTCATTGTGATGTCGTGAGCAAATGTATACATTGTTAGATGGTGCGGTATGCACAATTGAGACTAGAATGGCAATCTTTTTTACATCACAAAGGTAATTTCACCATCTATCTACCGATGTATAAATATATGCCCAGTGTGGCATACAATAATAGTAATATTCAATTCTTAATCAGGTTGATTCGGCAACAGCTTTCATCCATATTCTAAATATGTACTTTGCAATAGGATTTTGGACGGTGTTGAGGTTGGTTCGCAAGCAGAGAGGCACTTCCTAACTACCTCCCGGAAACTAGGCTGGGCGAAATTCTTTCAACAATTAATCAGTCAAAAAGCGAAAACAGCTCTACAGTGGAATATGTGGCGGGGCAAAACAAGATCTTAATTCAGTACTTAAACGAAAAAGCTGGATCGTATTTGGTCATTCGATAAGAATTTGAATGAAAAAGGCGGTAGATTCACAGATTAAAAAAAGAAAATTCATTAAAAAGACAGTTAGAATTCGAAAGAACGAATCCTGAATTTGGAAATGATCACTGACCTTCACAAACCAACCATCAAGGGGCATGTACTATTTATGGCAAATCAAACACATTAACAGTACTTAAGTGGGGGCCATTAATCATGCGTTGTTTTCAACCAATGCAAAGGTTAAATTTCTATGGCATGCTACACGATGTTATTAGTCAACCTGTCATACAACGGCTAAAATTGTGAATCACGTAAATCGGAACGCATGCAGCTCATATAACGATTGTGGAGCAGATTCAACAAACAAGAAACAGGTGCAAAGCTAGTAATTCAATAACCAATGTTCGATGTCCAGGAATGGTGAAAAATGCATCGAGAACAAATTCCTAATGGCCGCTTTCCATATGATCATACATTCGTCGAACAAGAATAGACCAATGTCTCGTGACATGTTTAGATTAGATCTAATTTGCGTTCAATTAAGGTTTAAAATGCCATATTCATTTTACATTGCTTCTTTTTGATTTTTCTAAACGACAATCAAAAACGCGCTCTCGTCGCAGCAAATGAGCAAGCTATAGCTATGCACACCAAAGCGTCAAAACAACGCATGGAATACTAAGTTTGCTCACAAGTCGAACACAAGTCGGACACAAGTCGGACGTTTCCATTGTTAACGGCAAAGAAGGAAGCAAATAGCCTCGCGAACAAAAATTACATGCTCGTGGTATGGATGTGGTTCTAATGATGAGTCATCGATGACCAGCTTATACAATTCCTTACATACCATGCATGCTAAAATACATCAACGCAATAGACAAATGCATGCATCTGACAGAATACGCCAGATGTGAGCTCATATTTCTTCGCTTGGCGGTGAAATCAATAAATGTGCTAGGCAATAAAAGTGTAACCAGATAAGGGATAAAGGGATGACTTTTGATCCCCTTTTTTGACTTGAGAGTTTCACATTCAGAAGATCGCATGATTTTTATCCAAAACAGGACTAACTAAACCGTACCAAACACATGCGTAGATAACAATTCCCATAAAAGGGATAGTTATATGTAAAATGCGAATGTAGATAACCTTTGATGAGCGTTTCCCTAACTACAAGGAAAAAGTTGTTAGCAAGTTACTTTCAAATCATAAAATTATTCTTCCATTACTTACACCGAACGTGCAATTTTTCAAAAACAACAACAACAACAACAACAAAAAGGTAAACAAATTTCTCCCTGCATGCATTATCCAGTTAAACTTTTATGGGCACATCAATTTGATTATACTGTAAGAGAAATGTATAAATACAGGCGATTCATATTTGTTCGACGTAATGAAATTTTATGATATAACATGTTCTCGTCTATCATGCAATCATGTAGTTAAAAGCATCGAAGTTACGGTTTTTTTCTTTAGAGTTTAGAAAAAGTATCGAGGCTATGGTGGTATAAAATATACATACAATTGAAATTGTTTAGGCTAATGTTGACGTTATTTGACTGAAGAAACCTTGATTTTCCATTATCAATATTAAAATTTAAATAGTTCTTAATCGTCACTGTCGTAGCAATTGTAAGCAAAAATCATTCAGATACATTTGTATGAAAATTTGTATGCATGCAGGTACACGCTTGCCAGAGTTACATTTGTTATATATAAGGATTCGCGTCACTTTACATGCACGCAACACCCCTGAAAATGTATAATGTATAATCGCAGAATCATGACGGCAACTTCTCATTAAAGTAAATAGTCTGTATTCTAAAACACTAACTCACACTCACGGAGTGAGTGGGGCTTCGAAATCACCCCATACCTCTTTCAAGACATTTTCATTCCACTGACTGCTTGATTAGAATGATTTCAGCTAAAATCTTGCTATTTATGGAGTAATTATTTTGCCAGCAATTAGTGAGAGCGCACACTTCGTGAGTGTGAGTGAGCTTTTAGATTAAAGGCGATAGTGTTTCAAAAACGGCAAACCAAAATCGCAACTTTGCTGCAGTAACAATAATTACATAGACAAGAGGTGAATTGATTGCAAACAAAAATCAGTGCAAGTTTTATTGGCTAATATGTCGAGAAAGCGTTTATCAGTTTTCGCCCACGTTTGAAGCATTTCGATGAAAGACCACTGATCAAGAAATTTCAAACGGTCACTTTCAACAATGATAAATAATTTGATAATAAAATTAAAATATCATCAGTATCTTTTTCGTAGCGAAATGCTTTCTGCTATTTTTCAATGCGTACGCGCGAAGGTTTAACAAAATGCTGGCGTGAATAACTCATACTGAACGAAAAACTAACGAACTCGGGGAGCCACTGAAAGTAAAAGACACAAAACTTCATGTAACACACAAGAAAAGATGCATGAGTATACGACTCACCTGTTAAGCAAAGGTAACGGTGTAGGTTTGATCTTCTGGGGAGGGGTACATTTCTCAACTTTTATCACAGGCTCCTCGCTCGAAGTGTCGTACGTCTCGTTTTTGCATACAACGCCATTAAGCGGCTCGCTTTTTATCCCATTCAGGCAGCTGATTTTATCGCTTGCTGCAACATCCTCTTTTTCGCTAGATTGTTGGTGTTTATTAAGACTAAATGAAAAACTCGTTTTTTCGGCATCATTGCAATGGCCGTTCTCTCTTTTAACGTGTAGTTTCTCCCCAAGTTTTAAATGCTTGGGTCGGTTCGCGTCGGTAAAGTTCGGCCGATGTTTTGGATCCAACTTTGGTTTTTCGTCACATTTTGATGGATCGTGGGTTTTTTCAACCGCCTTTGTTTTACAACGTTCCTGGTTTAGTGGGGTAAACGATTTCTCTTTTATATTACCCTTGCTCTTGCTGTTAGCAGCAGCCAGCGGGAATGGATGAGTCTTGTTATCGGTAGGTGTGGAAGGAACTGGCATGACTCCAATACACGTCTGACCGGGAGCCTTCTCGCGACTTACTTCTTGCTTCATAATTTGAACAAAATTGCTGTATTCACCAAGTGATTTCTGAGAAACAGAACGAGAAAATTGTGAAACATCATGTACAAAATGTAATCTGGTTGCAATATGATGCCAGCAGCATATCAATTAAATTTTGCGTTGGCTATCGACTATCGTAACATCAAACAACTATAATAGTTCTCGGTAGTTTCCTCCTCAATTGAGATACATAACATAGGCAGATGATAATAGTGTACCTTTATGGTTTTGGTAATTTCATCACAGGAATCATTAACCTAAGGTAAACAAAAACGCAAGAATTATTTTCCTTTCAACGACACATCCGTTCACAGCAAATTCCATTAAAAACTTACTTTTCTCGGAGGTGGAAATAACGGACTATGCTGACTCTAAAAACATTCAAAATTAGAAAAATCATGTTTGCATTGCTCACACACATGGCAAGCCAAGAAACGGGACAGCCTAATACAAGCAATGATAGCTATATTGGCTCTGTTCATATCGTAGCGAGAAAAAAAAAACACAAAAGAAATGTAACGCGTCCCTTATCTCTCACTCGACAAATGCATGAAGCAGTATTGGCAAACTTTCATTTGATCACTGATAAGGGTACTTTAAAGCTTTTAAAATTCTTTGTTGTTGTGACGTCTGCAAGTACGCAAACATAATACGTACATTCAGCATATCAACATGAAGAAAAAAAACGCCATTTTTAACGTGTTCGTAGTGTAGAAAACACTAAAAGAAAGCATCTTTATCACATGGATCGACGTACCCTCATAACGCGGAAATTTCTTCTGACTGTTCATCACATTGTACGGCACATCCTAGTCTCGAGGTCTTTCACGTAAGGAATTTTTCGCTGTACTTTTAAAAGTTTTCTTAGCTACTGTAAGGCGTTCCTACGGGAGCGCTTTATCACGCGAGCGTTTTAAAGTATGAGGGGTATAGCGCTAGATGATAAGACACATGACGCCCAAACATTTCATCCGTTTTCAGCTGTTCACAGGTTGTAAACAACAATCATTACGCACAGATTCAGTTAATTTTGAAACAAAACATACAGTGACATGCATGTACACGAACCTTGTTGATCTCCCGCATGTCTGCTGGCTCCACACGGGAAATTTTCGCTTTTTCTCTTTGCTCCAGCCGATCAGGATTTCTAAACGAACAATCGTGAATCTCTTTTAAAAGACAACGATGACAGCGTGCAATCAATCCGTCACAATACATGCAAGTTCAAGGGTGTAGTGGGAGAACGAACTACAGTGCTATCAAACTAAATAATCCAGTGGTCACCAAAACATTATTATAGAAAATATTGAAATTCTCAGTCAAGACAACTCACAACAAATTGACACGCGAAACGCTATATTAAATTATTCAATAGACATGCATAATCTAAAAACGACTTGGAAGGATGCTTTGCTAATCCATTGCTTTTTACCCATTCCTATAGTTCTGCAGGAGATATTATAGTAATCTACGTAAGTTTGAACTACAAATTTCCATGAAAAAATACGGCAACTGCACTACAGCCACTAACTAAATTAGCACGTATGTGACTAAATTGGAGCACCCCAGGATTGCGTTTCCAGGAAACATACTTCCGACAGGATATTAATGGTTGGAATTTCAATTCCACCGTGTATAATAATATTATGCTAATTGTTGTGCCATTCATGCAGAATTCGCAAAATGAGCTACCAATTCAAACCATCGGTATGGAACGCGCGAAGCCTCCAATTGTTTTTATAATTTCGAGTTGGGCTGTCACGTCTTCGCGCCTTACAGCAAGACTGAGGGACGTCAAAGTAGGCTGTCATAAATCACAACGAACGAACGCCAAGCGTCATCTCATGTATACATACGTCATAGGGATCGAAATTTGATGACCCAACTAATGACGCATTAAACTGTCACAATATAAGCTGTTGTTTTTAATTACAATAGCAAACTGGTATGTTTACGAAAAGCTGGCACTTTACTCATCATAGAACTTCGTCGATAACATTAAGTATGGCAAGAGAGATTTAATCCTCTTGCGAATAACATCCGTTCAGCAATGACTGTTTCTAAGTCCTGGTGTGTGCTTATGGAACCGTAATGAAAAAAAAGCACGCGAATATGTTTTGAAATTATTATGCGGGTTTAAAGTAGAATCCGCAAGAGCCAGTCATGGTTTGACAATAAGACGAAATCCTGGCGCATGTCTCGGCTATCATACACTGCCCACTCAGAATTCGTACATTCAGTCGAAGCTAAAGGACCAAATTTGTAAAAATTAGTAGATCTCAAAACACCTAATTATTCTCCCGTTCCATTGATACAAACACTGTATAAATTGTAAGGTTGACGTGAATGCGGTCGGGGGAAACCATTACGATGGTGGAAAGAATGACGCCATTTAGTTGATAGGCTGATTACAACTTAATCATAGACGGAGCAATTTAGTCGTCAAGCAATGGTGATAACATTCTTTATTGCAAAATAATGAAAACATTACCGGACATACACATGATACTCGCTGAGATACGGCTGATATTCTAGGGCAGTATTCAAATATATACTTCTTGAATATAAACATGGTGATTAAGCTTAACGAAGTAGAAAATGACACCGTATAATACTTTGCATTTGTCGCTCTTTTCTTTGATGTTTCAAAAAGCTTAGTAAAAGTCGCTTACGAAAACAGAATTTGATACAGAAATGTTTTAGTTGACATTGTTCACGTAAATGAGATGTTCGACTGAAGCAATTCTTATCACATTGAAACAAACGTCAGCATCAACAACTAATGTCGAATGCTATTGTTGCAACAACACAAACACATACACAATGTGACACACGCTCTTCTCCTTAATGTACCTCAATGAATGGAGATCGTTGATGGCAAAATAAGTACTCTATTTACATGAAAATAACGCTACAACTCGTATCGCTGCTTCCGATCGTGTGAATATGGCAAAACCAGCAAAATCTAACGCATAAATTAGTCGGCATACAATTCTCTTCTTGCACAATAGTATCGTACCTGAGTTTATCAAGAGATGTTAATTGACTGCCTCCATAACAACACAAATTCAAACTGCAGACAACACTTCACTTCGTTTCAATACTACTTGTATTATGCCACAAGGGTCGACTTAATTTGAATAGACAATTTTGTTAGATGCACCATATAACATCAAATCTGAAACCCCACTGCAATATCTATATATTCTGAAATCACAAGTGCCACGCATATCTATAATCAAACGCACCAAAAAGAATTTAAAAAGTTGACAACATCGAGTTGCCTTCGAGAAGAACAATTATCATTTCTTGGAAAACGACCTGCATTTCGTATTTCGAGAGCGTAGTCTGAAGAAAGACTGTGTTTATGTTTTTCGACAGGTACGAAACGTCTGCAACAATACTGAGCAGAAGCCGAAAGGCTTTTGATGGTCATCGGCAAATACAAGCTTAGTGATATTCTATAAATGCACAGACACAAGTGCGATTACATTCACTTCTTCAAAGCCATCGGGATGGTTAATGGCAATTTGGAAATTAAAGACCGAGAATTTAAAACCCCGTTGGCCACATATGCCAGTCATTTTGAATATTCTACACTGCATTGTACTAATTCAATGTTTTGAATTATAATTATAGGAAATGGATAATTCATAAACGCAATTTTGTTATACCAATCCCCTAAACTATCCTATGAAAAGGCAAGGCGCCAAAGGAAAATTTCATTTGCACACATGATCGTAAACGAACAAGAGCAAACTCGAGATAACGACAAAGAGGGGGCGTCAAAATGGTCGGGGAGAATGTCTGTCGAAGCTCACAATGAGATTCGCGCATATCAAGATGGCAAATGCTAAAGAAACACACGAAAGCCTGCTTTTACGAATACCTATTACATGAAATAATGACCTACACATGTAATGGAAAACGTCAACGTAAATCTCTACAAACAACATTTAACTGCGTAGAAAAATACGCTCTGAAACAGATCTTCAAAATACAATATTTAATACAGTCGTTGTGCATAGGTTGTTCTCAAATGAGTGTATGAAGTTTCTACTTACCCGTTCATGTTATGGTTCATCATATAGTGAGGCATTACATTTACATGTCTTTTTAACTGAGCCATTATAAGGAACCATATGAAAAAACAAAGAGAAGCGAAGATTCGTGACCCACAGTCGCCAGGCAAGAACTGTTAACGTTTGGCCAGTCGCCGAGGATAGATCTCAATCTTAAATGTAAATTGCTCAAGACATCGATTCGGAGAAGATTATCATTTATGTTCACACGTCGATTAGAAGAACACGCGTTTCAAATCCGTCAAAATAGCGGCTATATTTGTTCGATTAGTTTCACATCCAATGTCTTCTTTAGACTCATCAAGATTTGTGTTTGCATCGGTCGTCGGAAATCGGTAACTTCCGTAGAAGCTTCGGGTAATCCCGTCTGCTCTTTTGAGACAGATCGACAGAGCAGATTCATTAGATTAATTTATTATCATTTTATCTCGCATTTTTAGTTTTTTTCACCGAAGTTTGCATCTTTCAGGGAGTTCAATAAAATGTATTGAGTAAATATTTAAGGATTTAAACTTAGAGTTGATGTTAAAGCTGAACGATAAATCTATCCAGCAGAAAATGTGTTGCCAGAAATTCTTTCCAGTTGTTTTTCAAGTCTGGAAATAAATATATTCTTGCTAATGTTGTACTTAAACACTTCATTCAAGTTTGAGGTTTAGTGAAGGATCTTGTGCGTGATTTATAGTTAACTATTCAGATATTGCTAGATATAGCTTGCCACCATTTCGGAGGGTATTGGGTACCGGTGAACTCTATTGAAAGACTCCATTATTATTTTCAGAATTCACTGTTGAGTACATGCATAAATATACATATAAAAATTTTTTTGAAGATTCTATATGAACAATGAAAATCTAAATTCCCTGCAGCCTTTTGATCACGTCTAAACCCTTAATTGTATCACAAGCAGATTGCGTATTCATTTCACGAGTCTCCTTCACGGTTGCAAAAACCACTAGCAGGTGCCTGAATTTGTTACGATAAGCCTTTTCAGCATATATAAAGTGTTGGATTAAGAAACCTAGCTAAAAAACCTTGATCCTTCTTTTCATGAATTGAATGAAGTGTCTGAAGTGTCGCCATAATCATGATTGATAGGACCAGTTGTCCTTGAACATTGGCTCGAGCAATTTTGGAACTTCTTTTTGAAAAAATCAGTGCTTCGAATAGTACGCTTCGCTTTCAAAACTGCGATATACCAAGTGTTACGTTGAATGCTTTTTTTGCAAATTTGAGATTTCATTCGATACTGACAATGCTATGAAAAATAAATTAAAATAAGGATACAGGAAAGTCACTTCAACGTCGACAGCCTGAGGAAGTGACTCAAGATATAGATTTTGTTGTATTAAATTTGTTAGGCAAATCTATTTAACTTAGCTCAGACGGCTTGACGTCAATAGCATATGAGGAATCTTACAGTGCGACTCACGAAACTTCTCGTTTTTAATTTCTTTGTTTATTTAGAAACCGCACTGCAGAGAATTTGTATTTTCAAGAGGGAGATGAGAGGGGTGAAGAAAATCGAATGGCCTTCCACCTTCGTGTTAAGCAATAAGTTATAATTTCCTATTTTTCCATTTGCTCGTAAAGTCTCGAGAAATGAACCATTAAAAATCAAAATTTCAAAAGCAGCTTTTGTATTCAAATCGATTTACGAAAGCAAAATGGATGAATTGTCACCATGTATACATTGTTCTGTTATTCTACTTGTTATTTAAGATTTTTATGTGTTTTACGTTGAAGCTGAAGATGTTTGACGAAGTTCCTAACCAGTTGGATCACCATCGGAAAATTGCCATAACCTCTTTTTTGAGACTAATCCCGACAAACCAGCCTTAACGAATATATATTAAAGAAAGTCGTCATTTCAGTAGAAAACGCCTTGCTAACATCGCTTTCGAAGTTCAAAATATCGAGAAGAATAATCGGTTGTTACATTAAACGTAATGTAAATGCCCTGATGCTGTCTGCATAGATGGTAACTTTGTGGTCTTTGTTGCAAATCGGAACTGTCTCTTTTTGCCCCTTTAATCGAGCATCACATGGAAATTTTGTAAAAAAAACCACGAAGTTTTATTTCGATGACGGCGCAAATCTTGGCGCAAATCCTAGTGACGTTTGTGCACGTGGACTTCATAAAACAGGTACTTTCCTGCACCATTAATTCAGTGAAATGGTCAGCCGGTTTAAAGATGAGTTCGAACTCCAAGGCACCCAGCCAGGCCGTGTGTGACTGCGTACCAAAAGTATGCAATCACGTGAGGTCGAGTATAATGATTTTCTGTATCTCATATACATTGCGGAAAGTTGTTTCCTGGAACTGCTGTTTTCAATGTTCTCCACTCCAGCATTCCCCTTCTCTTAGCTCAAACTTTTTTCTTGCGTGCTAATGTTCACAAACGACGAGTAGATCGAGCAGCGATGATAGATGACCTGATGCAACGTTTCAGACAAAATGTAAACGAAATTAGGACATCACGACATGTGGCTGTCTGAGAAGAAATCTGGACGTCATAGTATTTTCATCAACGTGAAAAAGTCAAACTGAATATATGAATATACACCCCAATTAACGTTCTAGTTACGCCTCTGTATATGTGATTGTCAGATTGTTTTTTTTCAATAATTTTTTTAATTGATGACTGTCATAGCAATTGGCATTTTTACAGTCAAATTCTTTTGATAGCTTGTTCAGTGATATTAAAAATTGATCGAAGATTTAGACTGATCAAATTCCTCTGTAAACATATTTCGATAAAAAGAATGCATGTTCGCTCAGATTTCAAAGTATTGACATCCAAAAGTTACAAATAAATTGGCTGGACCGATAATACCATGCATCCAGAGACTGTGCGTCTGGTTAGGAAGCTGTACTCCTTGCAAAAGGAGGGTGCAAGCTCGCGTGTGACGTGTAAGCTCGCAAAAAATATTTTCGTTTTTAAAGGTAGATTGAAGTCTCGTTCTATTTTCTGCCGTTTACGCTTTTTGTAGAGCGTCAATTCTATCGTACGTGCAATTTCGCAACGCTTTTGTTTACATTCAAAGTAAAACCGAAAAAGTAAAACAAATACAATTTTGGGTAACTAACGCCATTGGCCATGATCATCAAGGTAACGTTAGGTTTTATCAATTGCCGTCATTTGTACTTCGATAGAACGCTATAAATAGATATATTGGCATCAGAACTTTCCAATTTGTTAATTTGTCTTCCGTTGCGGAAGACGATTATAAGGGGCTTAACAACACTTACAATTTATCAACACGTCTCAGCCATTTTCTTTGAAGCTCAAGAGTGGTTAAACGTGCATGACGCACGAGCGGAAAAGGGCAAATGGTCGGTCTAAAAGAACTTTTTATAAGAATCGAAAGCTTTTTTGTTACATCCATCAGACAAAAGGTACTAATACGATTTTCTTCACAAAGCGCATACTTCAAGTTTTTACCATAACCAAGAAATACATTCTGTTCTATGCAGTGCGGTGTTTGAAATTAAATGAAGATATGATCTTCGCACTTTGCTGGACAATTTAAGCAATCGTCTCTGGTTCCTGAGACGATTGCTTAAATTGTCCAGCAAAGTGCGAAGATCATATCTTCATTTAATTTCAAACACCGCACTGCATAGAACACTTTCATATATACATTCCTTTCACGAGAAAACATGAGCCCAACAATATTGACCGGCTCACCACTGTGTGACTTCATAGCTCAGTGGTCAAGAGCACTGCACCGGCACCGCAGAGGTCATGGGTTTGAATCCCGTTGAGTCACCTGATTTTTTCAGGTTCCTGAGACGATTGCTTAGATTGTCCAGCAAAGTGCGAAGATCATATCTTGCTTTAAATACATTCTCTTCGTAACCGATGTTAGTCACGATAAAATATAATAAGAAAATTATATAGTCAACACAGAAAGCTTCAAATTTCACCAGTTACAACATTCAGGAAAAAAAGCCATTCTGTTTTTATAATTATGGTATTCAGACACAATTACGATAACAGATTTAAAATGGGAAATCGCGGTTACAAGACAAAAATTTTACCTATTTTATTTAGTTTTACTATACAAGGAACCATTATCTAGAGCATTCTGGCATCAAACTCTTGCATTCTGATCGTCCATTTAATCATAGACAACGCCAATAAACTCTCCGGTGTATGGCAGATCGAGGAAAAGTTTTGAATATTCAAAAAAACAGTGTGCAGACTAAAATAGATAACTAAAATCATATTGTCGCGGGGGTATAAATCCACAGTATTGATATTATGATCTTGCGGTCGTCATTTCTGGGGAATTTCATGCCTTAAATAGTTCATTTACTCCTGTGATGTTCGAACTTGTTTAACGAAGAAATCGGAGCTGCAAGAGCTCACGTACGGTGGATTGTCTGGTCGTGCACTGCACCATAAGATACTCCATACGATGCCACATTCAGTAAGAAAACACAAGTGGCTGGAGGTTGTCATGAACCATCAGGATTAACTATCTGAACTATTTAGTTAACATAGTCGCACACGAAATTCACAAAAACAAACCTTGAAACAATTCACGATTTTTATATTTTAATGCAACGACATAACTGCTACAATATCATGTCACGTACAAATTATTCAAGAAATACAAATTTTCATCAAATGTTTATCACCATGACGTCATAGAATTTAACTTGAAACTCGCTCGATATCTTTGACTTATCTGCCATACCTAACAAGAAAACACATAAAATAAAAACTTCCACACAGAACTACCATCAAGTGAGAAGACAGTAACTGCTATCCCTTAGAAAATTTCAAAATTCACGAGCAAGACGTCGCCATGACGTCAATCGTCAGCAAAATGACGCAATCAACAGAACGATTTTGATAATCGGAATTAATTTTTTTCATTACATGTTTACCAGTAAATTGTAAGAAACTTAAGAAATAACTGTGAAATCAATGAGAGAAATTGCGTTGATGCTCAACAAATCTCTCTTTGGTTTGTTTATACATTTTTCACATTTTTCACAAAATAAAAATTATACAGAAGAGCCACTCAAGTGTGCACCGCGTCCTCACGGCCGCCATTATTCCAGCAAGATACTCAGGTTTTTCACTTATTATTTCCAAACACTGCAACAATATGACGTCATTTCTTCGTAATGAAATCGAGAATATTCCAATATAAGAAATGACGTCGGTCGCCGGGTCATTTTAGCGGTTGGGAACAAGTGAAAACCGTAAACAGCCGATATGCGCGGCACCACATGCGTGAGGACAAAAACATCAAAGGATCCGACACAAGTGACCCTTCAGTATACTCAATGTTCTTTGCTTTTGGTTGTTGCTTGAAGTCGATTTAAACACTTGTCAGTTTGCATTGGTTATCACACCGCATTATTTTTCATGTGAACAACGCTGATTAAACAAAGTCCCATCAGACATATTGAACCGAGCATCTCGTGTGTTTCACGTGATGCCAGAGCAACCATATTTGCAGGAAACTTCAAAGTTCCGACCGTTCGACAGAGGAGATAATCAATATAGATTCTATTCAATTAATAAGACTGCTCTAAATGCACAATCTATCATTAAATTTACGACATACTTCTGAAACTCCCACTCGCGATTATCCAAGGGACACACTTGTCGTGTTTTCAGCCATCGTGATATGCAATGAAAATGAAAGGCATGCTGTAAAAAAATCATCACAAATACATAACGTTGATTTTTCAGGAAGTCTACGGTGTCAGCGGGTGCATGAGTATAATATATCAAGGGTAAAAAAGTCATCCCTCCATTGCGTTTGTACATGGCTATATTGAAATTTTTAAATTTCCTGCGATTTGATTGGCCGCCTTTCAAAATATCTTTAAATTTTTTGAAATGTCACGCATACGTACAACCATTCAAGGAATCCTTGTGTACACCCACCCAACAAATTACAGCATAAATACCTGATACTGCAAGAGATCGAAAGTCAATGATTTTTTTTTGTCAAAGAAAGTATTTTCTTGTTTTTCAAACATTGTTGGAGTTGAAAATACAGAAAACCACAAATCTTAAGAACACACGCTACACAGCACTTACAACTGTTTTCCATTCACGAAATCTTGTATATGACGCTACTTTTCGGTGGAGAGCAGAAAAATTCGGACAATTCAAACAGTATTGCTTCATGTAACGTGTATAAGGAAGATCTTGCTTGGTAGTCAAGTCGAGCAATAAAACAAGCCACCAGACACAAATTTGTAAAAGTGGTCCGTTGCTATATGCATCAATGCAAAATGCAACGAATGCTTTGGGAAATGGGTTTTTTAAATATTTTCTATTTTATTTTACAGAAAAAATTGGAAGAAAAATTGACCAAAACATAGTGTTACGACGTTGTAAATTTGGTTTGTTTTCAAAACATCGCACAGTTTAATGACTCCACCGAATGATATTCTGAGGTTACACTCCCGAGCCATGTACGTAGCAAAATACACAATTTCTCGACATTAAAAACGCAAAATTCCCGATATTATTAATCATTCAAGAAGATTTACGTAACTTGAACGGAAAGTTGATGTGGAAAGTCAAACGTTGATTATCAAAGTAAACATATGAGTTTATAAATCATAATGTAGGTAATAATATGACATACATTACAAACACCCCATGCAACTGTGCATTCTTCACTGGTTGCAGATTGCTGGTTGGCTTGACATTCAATACCTGATAAAATCAAGATTAAAAGAGTTATATTAATAACACAAAGAGTACGCCAAAAAACCGTATGGTCTCAAAATCAAATTCAAAAAATGAATTAGCATTTGCGAAACCGTAAAGAGAGCTAATATCAACGGTTGTGTTGTTACTATTAAAAAAAGAGAGAGCAGAGATTCAACAACAAATGTCCACTGTGAATGTATAGTTGACAAAATTCAGATATCAGGAAAAAGTGTTACAATAATGGTGATGGTAAATTTGCTCAAATAATGTTGATTGCATTTACCTAAAGATTATCCTCGGATGCAGAAGCGTGATTTTTTACATTGCGTATGCACATCCCATGAAGATCATGCCATGTTTGAGTTACTCATACCACTCAACATTACACCATGAGTAACTCATACCACTCAAGATCATATCATGATATACTTACTCATACCATGATTTACTTACACATAATACCACCCAAGATCATACCATGATTGACTTACTCATACCACCCAAGATCATACCATGATTGACTTACTCATACCACTCAAGATCACACCATGATTGACTTACTCATACCCCCAAGATCATACCATGATTGACTTACTCATACCACTCAAGATCACACCATAATTGACTTACTCATACCACCCAAGATCATACCATGATTGATTTACACATACCACCCAAGATCATATCATGACTGTGTTACTCATACCACTCAACATTACACCATGAGTAACTCATACCACTCAAGATCATACCATGATATACTTACTCACATCATGATTTACTTAGACATAATACCACTCAAGATCATACCTTCATTCTGAGTAGCTCATACCACTCAAGCCAATATATTAGAAATGTGTACATATAGTTCCAAAGATCTACTTACACAAATCCATTATATGATTACGACAAATAGCACAATTGTCAACAACAATATCTAAAATAACAGAATCAAAACAAATTGTTACGACCAGAATATTCAATCACACTAAAAGGGCCATGAAAAGTGGGGAAATGACGAATAGATGTGTTGTTTTTGCTTGTTCAAACGAAACAAATGCAGAGAAATAGATTTCTCTTTATTGAGTCCCAATCATGGTACCAATAAGCTAATGTCACACTTTGCCTTGCTCAAATTCTGGTTACTTTAGCACATTTTCACTCGTACTGTTATATTAAGGCAAAAAACTTGCAAATGGAAAAAGCAAATGGAAAAATTTTGAAGAAATTACAAACTAATTTTGTGTTCTCTACTCAAAAATTGTCTAATTTCTAAAAGTTTTCTTTTCAGGATACACATGTATCCATATTGCACCTCTGAGTTTTGTTAAAAGACAAGTTTCAGTGCTCTCGAGTTGAAATGCAGAAAATGAAAAATGCATCATATTGCAACATTTGGGTGCATCTAAACACCAGAGTTGGAAAAAACAGACATATTCTGCAGTCTGGCTCTGTATAATCAAAACTATGCAGTCGAAAATATCACTAAATTATTGTCTCCTCTCTTTAATCACACATATTTTCAATACTATTATAAGACATATATCAAAAATACTCACCCCATGCCCATAGAGCAACAGCATTCCACTATAAAATGGAACACATATTATTGTTAAAAAAAACTAACAAATTATTTGTATTTAAGAGAAAATTAAATTTGAACATTACAAAGTTAAGCAGCAATAAGTCATTTTGTTGTTTTGAATGTAAGACACATCTTTTTCTTTGTGTTTACGAACTCATACTTGTAGTTATTTGAGAACGAAAATATTATTTTCACATATTCAACATATTTGTAAATCCACAAATCATAATTTTATAGGTAACAGAATGGTTTCAAGTACAATTTGGCAAAAACATACTTGAGTTTTTCAAACACTATCAAAATTGGGCAAGCCCAAATTTCAAAGAACAAATGCAATTTGAAGTCTTTGAAAAACTTGTGAATCCATTTTTGAAAATTGCAGCAAATGCTGAATTGCATCTTCAATTGCCAAAGATCATGAGCCATTTTTAGTGCTTTTTGTTATGACAACTTAACTTTACCACTTGTGAAATATTATATTTGATTGGCCTTTATGTTTACATCTAAAACACACACTTAAAAACATCTAAAAAACACTTATTTTTGCTTAAAATTATCCTTGCCCTGCTAAAAATTTCCAATCATCTCACCCTTTGAAAATACCATCTCCCAACACTTTTGAACCTCACATTGTCCCTAAAACTTGACATGTTGCTCACATTGTGTAACCACACTAGCAATGATGATCTTGGTCAAAATCAGCAAATACTCCATAGGTTTTATGGCAAAAGTATTGTAAAAAATGGCATTTCTTGCATCATGCTATTCTAATGAGCCTAAAAAGGAGGATTCTACAAAGGAAGATCTTTGAAGCAAATTTAAATTGGATTTGAAAACACTCTTACAATGTATAAAATAAGTAAAAGCCTGCCAGATGATCTGGAAACCGCCCAATTGAATACCAAAGATTTTAAATGCTAGGGCAGCAAATTTCCTTGTAAACATGACAAGCAGAGCTAGCCTCAATGTTAGGCAAACTTAACAAGCTCGCCACATCTTAGTAAAACACACTTTCGTAATATTAATACAAAATTTCACAATATTGTTCAAATAATTGGCATATTGCCAATATCCTAACTTTGCATATAAAACTGAAGCGATGGATAATGATTAGTGCGCTGAACTAGAATGACGCAAGTTATTTTTCACGTAAACATGAAGTGAAATATAAAACCAAAAGCGGCATATAAAAGTTAATTCAAATGAATGTCGTTATAGTTTGAGTCTTTGAGATCAAAATTCACATAAAATACGTAACAAATTCAATTGCTTCGCGTGAAGTACTCGAAAGAATTTGATCAAAAACTAACTAAAAAAAGTAACGGACGTTTTCAATACCTTTTTAACCTCAAACCGCTTTTTGTTCGAGGAACAAGCAGAAGATGTGCAAGGCTTTGGGCTATCAAACTCCATGTTTTCAGGAACGGCTGCCATCAGTCAGTTTCACTTCACTTTTAATGCATTACTTCATGTTAATCAAATATTGGAACACTGACACTTGACACAGTCATGGAATGAAAAGCATAGTTGATTCACGATATAAATGAAACATCAAAGGAAATCATGAACAGCAAGTCGTCTCAGATCAGTTTTTGTAGAAGGGTATATATTTGTCTTGCAACTCAAAGAAGACATTATACCTCCAATGTGCTTGATGGCAAAGGCTGGGGTGTTTTGTCTGGTAAGACCACACGAATTGGTTGCGCCTCAGGATTTTGGGGTGATTCTCCTTCAGCAGGTTTGACTATCATATTCCACTGTATTCATTTCATATGCCATTATATGAGGAAAATAAAAGTATCTTCCATCAGTATATAATTCAGTGACTTTTAAACCACAAAATATTTCAGCAATCATAGCTGTTGTTGTGACTGGTCACATTCCAGATCCCATGAAATCAAAATGTTTCCTCTTCAACCATGATATACAATTATCATTGCAATTGTTGCCACAAGGCATCTTACACATTTATGTTTTCACTGATCATGTTACTTGTTTTTATTAAGTTTGCGGGGTTGCAAAAGGAAAAGTGTTAGTATGACTGGAAGGGGTCCCTAGCCTGCCTGCATTTATAGGACAATATTTTTCTTTATCAAACCAATGTTGTTTGAGGCTCTATATTCAAGCTAGATTACATTATACAGATTTGATTTAACTATTCCTAAATGTTTTGCACCTTAATATAACCATAACTTTCACCAGAGAAGCTTTCAACAAGAGTGTTGATTGATATAATGTTGAAGTATTTGATACAGTGGTGGACAATTTACAAAATATTGGGGGAGAGGTAATGTGCATGCATTGTGTTTCTACTTTTAAAAATAAAAGTTTAGAAAAAAGTGTCATCTTTGGGTGGAGGGCAACTGTCCTTTTTCCCCCCTTGTCTGCCAATGTTTTAAAAGTTGGAATATCATGTAGCCTGAGCTGTAGGCCTCAAAGTCAATATTCAAAAGTTTATGGCAAATTGATATTTTTCAACATGAGCAAAGTGAACAAAGTGTGGAATTTTTCATTATACGAAAGAACATCAGTCGCTATCATATTAATTTCAATTGGTCATATTGTTGTAGTTCAAATATTGTTGCTTTTAAGCAAATCAGTGCGAAGGACTATATACCTGTACAATAGGAACATTTTCTGACAAAATTAAAATGATGTAGATTAGGTAGGAGCTATATTACTGAGTTTTAAAACTGACAGGCCAAAGCACTGCGGATTGTGAGTGTGATGGCATATTTTATTTTTGTTGTGGCATAATTTTATTGTTGTCACATAGTTTTTAGGTTGCATGTTTTTGCCAGCAATTTGTTGTTGTCATTTGTGATGTGAAATATGCATCAAAGCATCTATTGTGAGTTTTTTAAATTATAGCTGTCCACTTTCAAAAGCTCAACCAAATGTTCCCTTTCCCAACCACTGTTGGATGGCCGCCTGGCTAAATGTTTGTTTATAGATAGTAATTTGCTTTCTGCTACTTCGTTAAATCTAACCCTGTGCGATGAGCCTTGGTTGAGTTGCACAGTCATATTTTTGCTCAATATTTCTGAGGCAATGAAAGTACTTTGGGATGCATGAAAATTGCCAACTCGTTGTTATTTCCATTTCAGCTCCACAACTTGTTCATGGTGGTAACGTTGATTTCTTGGTATTCGATTATCTTTCTGAAATAACCATGTCATTATTAGCAATGGCTCGACGAAAGTCTCCTGTATGTATAAGAGCTTCTTATTAAGTTCATTAATTTTCGTGTATAAAGTATGATTCTTAGGTGATCTACAAACGCAGAAAATGTGTGCAACTAATATTTCTCATATATAAATCTGTTTGTCCGTCAAAGCATCGCAAAGTCTCTTGAAAAAAACTGTTGTTCGGTTCCAAATTTATCTCGGAGCTAGAGGTCTCATATAATTGCATTATCCGAAAATTTACGTTTTATAAAGTATGGCTAAAGACGTTGTTGATCAACTACAGAAAAAATGGATTTCTTGTCGGACATCCTTTTCATTGATTGGTTAAAAATCTTCATCTAAAATCACCTAGAATGTAACGACAAAAGGAAAGGATATAAAAATCATATGATATCAGTTGTTGAGGATTAGCTGATCCGTGTGAAAGATCGCGTAATGCCAACTTTATGTTGAAATAATGCTTCTTTTCTCGTCTTTTCTTCAAATCAACTACTGCGATGTCAAATGCCAATGTTCATAGATTTTGTCCTGGCAGTCAGATGACAGAAAGCGGGAGAAGCATAAATCTTCAGGCTGGCTGTGCTATTGTCTTGAACTGAGAGAATGACGTCACATTTCTTCCATGATTGATTATAAAGCATCTTCAGCTGAGATATTCATTAACTGCATACTTACACCCAACAATTGTTTTGAGTGTATTGTCTTAGTTCGTAACATTGCATTAAACTGAAAGGAAAACAGCCATTGAGCTCGTCTCCTGAAATTCTTACTATACCTTTCATAAAACACTTCACGATGCATGATTTGTTTTAGAATCATGGCTACTGTCCTGACTTCGTACATGTCGTCATGCAGCCATTGTTAAAAGATATAAAGAGAAAAGGTGAAGTACTGATGCTTAAGTGCGACAAATGCACGAGACACTTAAAGTATTTATCAACCAGACTACACATTCAAGATTTACTCTATGCGTAATTACTTACAGGTATTCGTGTAATCAGTAATGCTGGTGGCGTTAATCCTCACGCATGCGCAAAGGGAATCCAGGATTTAGCAAAGGCGAGTGGCGTTGAAGATTTGAAGATCGGTGTGATCACTGGGGATGATCTTACTGGAAAGGTAAAGAAATAAATACGTAGTTGACGTTACCTCTCGAATCGTTCGTTATTATAAACACGATTAAATCAGTTTACTTAAGTAATCGATCGATTTTGAACAAAACGAATGAATTGAATATTCACCAAAGATCGTTTCATTTTCTTTTGGAATATAGATGAATGACAGCGCGAGAAAAGACATTAAAGAGATGGAATCTGGTATCTCATTGCCAGATAAAATACACAGCATGAACGCGTATATTGGGTAAGACTTTACCTACTTCGCATTGATTGATCATCGTTCATTCATAGATCTTCCGCAGTTGCTGGAACTATGATATTTCATGCTATCTCTCTCTGAATACTCTCTTTCAATGATTTGCGGTTGTTAAAAAGAAATCAGGAAAACTAATCACGCCTCTATTAAGGCTGATTTCCATTCAGTGCAAATTGTCGCGCGATCGACTTTTTGCGATCACTTTCTTTTGAATTGTGTGCAGCAATGTGAAACTGTTTCGGTCGAGAGCTTACAATTGAACAGAAAGTGGTCGGGAAAAGTCGATCGCGCGACAATTTGCACTAAATGGAAATCAGCCTTTAGTTATGCACCGACATCGGTATCGGAGTATGGGTATTTTTCATGCTCATAATACCGATGTTTGGAAATTTAGAAATACAATTGAAATGAATCGTAGTTTGACAATACTAAATATATTACCTTAAAAATTTTTGTTAAATTCTTTTGTTCCACATGATATTAATTTCCATTGACAATTGTGTTGTGAAATATGGCTGCAGTGTAAATAACCGGCTTGGATTTTTTCTATCAAATGAACAGTCACTGGTGAGCACAAAGTGGCATACTTTATGATGTTTAAATTTCGTAAAAATAGCATAAATATCCGTATCGGCACAATATTGGCTTTTCAACATAGGTTAATCGGTACATCGGTACTATCCTATATCGGGGCATCACTAGCTTTTTTATGCATGTTCATTTGTGATTGAAGATAAGTCCTTACGACCTTTATCATTTATCCGTGTTTTGGAACTCTTCAGAGCGTTTCCCATCGCACGTGCCCTTGATGCTGGTGTCGACATCGTCATTACTGGTAGGTGCGTTGACAGTGCGTTGGCATTGGGACCTCTCATACATACCGTAAGTATTATGCAGTCAGCATACGCTGAAAATACGGACGGTGTATTATTAAGATCGTCAGTTATGTTTTAAATGAGTTTTCTCACATATTGCTACCCCTGAAATTTCGCACACGTGAAGCTTATAGGAACGGCATTGTACGCAGTGTATACTCTTTCTCCTTAAGAACTGACCCTTTGAACGCATTTACAACGAAATTTTATTGTTAAAAAAATCAGCCAAAAGTGAACTGGATACTGAAATGACCCTTCGAACGCATATGCAACGAAATTTTTTGTTATTAAAAAAATCAGCAAAAACTGAGATGGACTATTTTTAACATATATTTTTGCATACTTATATACGTACGGAACTATTGCAGTTGTGTTTTTTATACCTATGTTACTGACTGTACCTGATGCATTCGGTCTCTTGTTTGTCTTTGGGATTTTATCAAGGAGAATGCAGCCTAAAGAAAATGTACAACTTTGTCTTTTAAATGCTTCGGTTGTTTATTATTTATAGTTCAAATGGAAGGAAGATCACTTTGATCATCTAGCGCATGGAAGGTTGGTATTTTGCTCTTTGATGTGCTCCAATGCAATAATTAATTTACGAGAAATATGAATGGCTACGTTACAGTAAACAGTTGAAAAGGCTTAGGATAGTGTTTTGTACTGTATAGTGCTATGTTTTATTTTTGTACAGTCCAGCTACATTTACACGTACCTATGCTCTTCAATACTAAATTATTCATCAAGCACTGCATTAATTGAAGTAGCAGTATCTTTTGATTTAAGTCATTTTTGCATTATCATTATGTCAGTGTTTCTGTAGAAGAACATGTTACTGATGTAACTTATGAAATAGAGCATTTTACTTATGATACTAAAGAAACATTACATGTTGCCGATGTCACTAAAAATCCGTAAATCATACAGAACACGTTGCTGTTGTTACTAAACAGTCGTAACATGTTGCTCGTGTTGATTTCAATATTCTGGTGTTTTTTGATCTCAGTCTTGCCGGCCATTTAATTGAATGCGGAGCGCAGTCGACTGGTGGCATATTGACTGATTGGCAAAGCTCTAGAAATTGGTAATTTTTACGTCTATATGTTTAGCTTTGTATTTTGTTTCTTTGGCTGTGGCCTGAGTCAATTTAATTTGCCGTGTTGTTCAATATCTTGAACCATTTTCGTTTTTTTGTGAATCTCAAGGGACAACATAGGTTTTCCAATAGTGGAGTGTGCCTGCGATGGAAAATTTGTCGTCACCAAGCCCCCCAATACCGGTGGTTTGGTTAACACAAGTACAGTCGCAGAACAGGTGCGTAGTGATTTATTGATTTGTTGATTGATTGATTAATTGATTAAGTGATTGATTTATTATGTGATTGATTGACTGATTGATTGATTGACTGAATGATTAATTGACTGATTCACTCATTCATTCATTCATTCATTCATTCATTCATTCATTCATTCATTCATTCATTCATTCATTCATTCATTCATTCATTCATTCATTCATTCATTCATTCATTCATTCATTTTCATTCATTCATTCATTCATTCATTCATTCATGTTTTGTTTTTTAGCTTGTTTACGAAATAGGAGATCCTCGAAATTACATTCTCCCTGACGTCGTTTGTGATTTCTCTCATGTGAAGGTCGAGCCAATCCTGGGAAGTACTGGTATGAACATCATGACAAGTGCATACTTACTATCACTCGTTGACTACATAATCCGTCTGGCGTCATAACTTGCGATGTCAGCATATTGTAGCTATTCAGTTGTGCGAGTGACGGTATAAAAGTATTACATGAAGACAATAAAGGTTTCCATTATTGGAAAGCTACCACGTACGAAATTTTCATCAAGAAGTTTGATAAATCATCAGTGAAATATGAACATATTTCTAGATTGAAATTTAGCTATTGGTCGAATCTTAAAATACTTTTGTAGTATATGAGTAATATCTCTATTTTTGCTTGATTTTAGAAAAGGAAAACGAAGCGGTTCTTGTCACTGGTGCTAAAGGAAAACCCCCGTCTGACACTTACAAGGTGTCCATATAAGTTTCTTATTTACAATACTTTCGTGTTACTATCACTTGCTTATCCGGCTACATTTTGTGTTTAGGTTAGTGCGACCTACTCTGATGGCTATAGAGCGACTGCCGTTTGTCCAGTCGGAGGACCAAACGTCGTCGCCAAAGCCAAACGAGTGGCCGAGAGCATTTTGAAAAGGTAATTCTTTTGTTTTCCGTACAAATTCAAAAAATTGCGTATGAATTTGTTCGGGTTTTTTCCTATATTCAAGATTAAATCAAATGTTTAGATACAGAGTACGTAGGTGGTAATTTTTCATCTCGATTCAAAGTCATCATCAGACCATATTTGAGATGTCTCAACGAGATATCAATTTTCGAAATTTGTTTCACTTTGTACCGTCTAAAGTTGGCTGCCTTGTCCTGGACATACTTTTAGAGTATTTTTGATTTCTGGTCTCAACGTCGCTTCGTGAGTTGAGATCATAATCCACGATGCAATAGTTCAATTTCTATCCCAATGTTGACTTGAATGATGAAACCAAGTACATTGTCGTTAAATTGAGTTCCTTACTCGGTTGAAACGAAAGCAATCTGTTTTAATGACACTGTAAGGGTAACTTTGCGCGAGAAATGATCGGAGTAGAGAGCACTCGACATTTAGTGTAACCAAATACAATATTTCCCGCCTGTATCCACCATTTGTACTTCCTCAGTGAAACTTGCTTTATTTATACGGCTCACTGTAGTGAGTGCATGGTTGGCATGGTCTTGATCTTATTATGATGCGTATTATTGAATTCAGGCTTTTGTCAGCATTTAATTTGGGTACGTAGCTAGCTACTGATTACCACCAACACAACTCACATAGTTGAATGTAGCATTTCCTACACGACGTGTATTTTACATAGGACAAGAAGACTTTTCAAACTTAGAGGTCTTGAAGATTATACTGGAACGCACATTCAGGTTAGTGGACTACCTGTTCTTATTCATGTATTTCGTTTTAGCTAGTTGCCTCCCAATGACTTCATAAACTGCACGTCGCTATCAATGCAGAAATGTTGATTTTTTCTGTTGGCGATCTCTTGCTCAAGTGCTGAAGTCGACAGAGGAGTACATTACATTTTTCTTTAACATTTGCGCATCGATACTTGAGCACGATTTTACTCTGGCTGTTCCATGGGATAGTCCACCCAAATGCGATGATGACCGTTCTACGGTTTCTCTCAAACGCTTGTTCTTCAACACGTTTTGAAATTTCGGTAATATCCTTGTCATATCTTCAGTGATGTTTTATCGCCATTTAAATGTACGTTCATTTGTGTCACGCTCTTGAATTATATTTCACATTAATAGTAACTTTCACTACGTGAGTTAATTGCTTGTTTCGGCACCATGACTTTTGTATTTCCATAATTGGTCACTATTTCTGTTGCCATCAAAACTTCAAATCCTAGTTTTCAATTTTACTTAGGTTCTCGGCTCGGAAGATACATATGGTGCGCACGCGCGAAGCTCTGCGGAGGTATGGGAAATTATGGCTTCGACTAGTTTACTTAGGCTGATGATTCCAACACTGCATGCTTAGCTTTATAACACCGGGAAACAGCCGTCTTTCTTGCTTCCATTAATCTGATATGCATATTTTTTTTACTGTCCTCACAACGCAATTCCAAAAACTACAGATTTTTAGAGAAACAAGTGAAAAATATACATGGCAGAAATGGCTACGTCACTACGTTGTTTCCTGTATGCCCGATGGTTGTCGGTTTACATTTTTAGCTAATACTAAGTCTTCTGCATTCCTCACTCTGTTCTTTTACTTAAACCCAACCGCAGGAAACAAGAGAAGGTGTCCTGTGGCTTGCTGTTCATCATCACCAGAAGAACGCCTTGGAGATATTTTCGATGGAGGTCGCTTCCGCTGGTACAGGAATGGGTGCGTCTCTGTTTTTAAAGTGTTAATACATGTTAAACATGATTTGCAAAATATTTTTCCTTCTGAGATGGTATGCGTAGATGAATATACTTACTATTTCAAACGTGTGATTTCTAAAAATATAAAAAAAAGCGTTTCGTCATGTTTTTGCATCGATCACAAACTCCAAGTGAAACTGAATTTGAACATTATTGCATGTAGCTGGAAAAGGCATTGAGAAATTCCCCCTTATATGCGTTGTAAAATGTAGAGAATATAAGCTAAGAGCAGTTTGAAGTAATGCACGCTGAATTCCTATCTTACGTTATATTACGTTATATTACGTTATATTACGTTATATTATATTGTTATTTTATGTTATAATGGAATACAGACGAGTCTCTCTTCTTTTCCATCATCTATATAGCGCCTGGCCTGACTGGTTTACTTGGAGGACGTCCTAAGCCGTAAGCGATTTATTTGTTTACGTGTACATTGTTGAAGTAGCGAACTTTTAATGTTTCGTATAAAGTTGAGTAATGTTTAAATTTCAAACAAAAATTGTAGGACACCTGTTTTAAAACTGTTTTCTTTCCTGCATCCAAAAGATGATGTGGAGTTGCAGTTGCACATCAATGGAACTCTCATGCAAACGCTACCGAAACCTACATTGTTTCCTGAACGAGAAACAGAAGAAGAGGCTGCCGAAGTTTTCACGGACGGTATGATAGATTGATATTTTGATTTTATCAACTGAGTCAATAGTCAATATCTTTTCGAATATAAACATTTTTTGATTTGGTTTTCATTGACGGAAAAGCAAATAGCTAATTTGTTTGTTAACTAACGATTGACCCAATAAATCACACACTTTCGATTCAATTTTTCTACTGTATTTGATAGCCCGGCATGTTGAATTCTGCATCATAGTTTGGTTTGTATTGATCTAATGTTTATAGAGCTTCCCAATGGAGAATGTACATTCCCTCTGAGTTCTTTAGCGCATACACGTAGTGGTGACAAAGGGAACAATGTAAATATTGGTAAGTTGTTCTTTAACGCTAGAGTAATAAGTAAAAGTTTACTTGTCATTTTAAAACAAAGCCTTCAGCTATTTCAAAGAGCCAATGGTGAGAAAATTCTGCCGTTATAATATATTTTATTGCAAAGAACTTTTGATGTGAGAGTAGTCTCTAAAAAATTTCTCTCGTCTTTTTTATTTCATTGTTACTTTCAATGTGCAGTGATACCTGCCAAAGCACTTCACAAAACGTGCCAAAAAATTGAAGTATTTATTTAAACTTTAATGATTATATAGCCTCTCTTTCTTGGAATGGTACTTTATTGTGTATATAGTATATATGTAGGCAATTTTGATTATGATGTTTCCGTTGTAGGGTGCTCAGTACATAGAAGTATATTTGTTTAAAAAAAGTAAAACAACTACACTTTTATCACGACGAATAGACTTTCAGGCTTGTCGGAATGAAAGTGTAGTTGCGTTACTTTTTCCTTTAAACAAACATAAAAATATGTGTGTATATATGGCGATATTCAGAGAATAGCAACTTCTTAAAAGATTTCAATGATCTCTTTAAATGAAAATGGCCAGTCACCGTCATGAATCCTGATTGGACGATAGCAAAGTCATATTTTCTTAAGTCTTCGAGATGGATATTTTCCCCTTCATTTTCAATCTCCGTACAGTTTATTGCGCCAGTATTAGTCGAGTTAAATGTAAAGAGCTTAGGTGCTCGATAACATGAAATTGTCTATGCATTCTTCCATGTATTAGGTGTGATCGCCCGTCATCCATCGTATTTTCCTTACATCCGGGCTGCGCTGACTCCTGACGCTGTTCAAGAATATTTCAAGCACTTGTTCGAAGCGCATGACTTAAACACGTGCCAAGTTCAGCGGTAATGTCACATGAAGATGTGGAAATTATGTGGTTTGAATTGTTTGCATTGAATGTAGCCATATATTACCATCATGACATTCATTTTTCTTTTAGTTTTGAGCTTCCAGGCATCAATGCCTTCAATTTCGTGCTGAAGAATGCTCTTGGTGGAGGAGGCATGGCATCTTTGAGAAGTGACCCACAGGTAATTTACATGTGTAAATTGATGTGATTTTCATGTGTGGCACTCACAGCCTATGAATTTAACGGGACAGTTGCCAAACATCATGCAATTGTTATTTTGTTTTTGATAGTCAGTCTAGACCAACCTTGGTAGAATGTTCAAGTGGATGTTACTTGTGTGGCATCTCACAGTTGGTGACAGTCCTAAGTGTCTTATGTCTACTATATGTTAAATATACTAAAAATAGATAGAATAATCAACACAGATATCATTTCACAGATTGTTTCTTCTTTTTCATTTTCAACTTCATGTTTAGGGAAAAGCATTGGGTCAGATGTTACTGGATTTCAAGGTTACTAATGTCAATGATATAACTCTGTGAACATGAAATGAACATGCAGTGATGTACAGAACATTGAATAGATTTAACAATGCAGCAATGTTAAAATATGAAAAGTGTTGTTTAATCTTCTTAATGTTGTTTCATCTGTGTTTACCAGGCCATAGCAAGCCTGCAAGGGTAGTGTTAGTCAAGTTATGTAAATATCAAAACATTACCATTGTTTATTTCTCTAAATATCTCTGATTTTTTAACACAGACATAGTTGCATAGGGTAAGCAAAGCTAATCAATGGTTGTGATTGTAAACATAATCATAGCAAAGCTTCTTAAACATTTTACTTCAATTCAAATATTTTGTCACTTGTCAGTTTTTCTTGTGGGAGTATTTGTTCATAGTAAAAGAACATCCAAAAATCTGAACAAAACAAACAGCATTGACTGACTGATAACAACTAAGCCAATAACATGAACAATTGCAATTTAAATAGTTGGAAAATCCTGAGTTCATTCAACTCCTATTTCAATTTTGTTTTAATGCTTTTCCCATAAGGGCAAATTTCCTTATTCAAGCATTTGGCACATAACGGTTTGATAGGTAAACAGATTTGCTGACCAAAGCCAACCAATAGAACATTCACCTCGCTCCACAATTCTCTGGGCAGCCAACTTTCTAAAGCAATTCTTGTTTTCTCCGGAATAGTTGTGGTTTTCTTCACCCATCCTAATCTATTTGATATTCTATGTACATGAGTGTCCACTCCTATGCCAGATAACTTATTCCAGGCCACATTCATAGTAATATACGCCATCTTCGGCCCCACTCCAGGTAGCTTAATAAGTTCTTCAACGGTAGGTGGGATATCGTCAGCATATTCGGCGTGACATATCTCCGTTGCTCTTTTTATGTAACCAGCCTTTTTTTTCCAAAACCCAACTGGTTTAATCAGTTCGCCAATTTTTTCTTCTGTCATTTTAAGAACATTGTCAATGGTAAGGTTGTTCTTTTTTAACCTTCGCATCGCTTCGTATGTCACTTGGTCTTTCGTTTGACTTGACAACATTAGCGAAATTAAGATTTGATATCTTTGAACCTCTGGTGGAGCTTTGTCGTCAGCTGTGCGTTCACAGCCTTGATGGTCCACAGCGGCGTCCCGTTTTCGTCTCATTTCCCTTATATTAACTAGCTGTTCTCTCCAATTATTTGGCGCCCAGTTGTCATTGTTTACCATCTTCACTTCGGTATTTTTTGATTCTCTTTTCGGACGCTTTGTTGCAGGTGGTTTGATATTGTCCACATCAGATTGTACACTTTCTCCATCACCCGTTGACGAATTCGATTGCTTTGGCTCATTATTCAACTCAATGCTCTTTTCCACTTTCTCATATTCTACCGTAACAAAGCTCTTTCGGAGTTCTGATCGCAAAACGCGTCCAGTTGAGAGCGGTATGGAGTTTTCCTTTGCAAAATATAGAGACTTCGATGCCATGTTTTATTAGTTAAAGTGATTTTAATTAACTCAATGGTCAATATTATAATCGCGCCATCGCGCGCGTAAACTAAATTTCTCGTACCAGTCCCTTGAACTTCTTTGCGGTTTTGGTTGATAGTTAATATCACAGCCAAGTTAGCCACTCGTTGACACAATGCAGACAAATTTATTGAAATTTACCGTTCCTCTTGAATTTCAGTTTGAAAATCTTGTCGATTAAGGATAAAAGATGAGTCTTTTTCGGCGGCTGACTCATTCTAGTTCACCTTCATCGTCTTCAACGAACGTTTCCTCGTCGGCTCCGTCCGTTCAGACCATCGCCACTAACAATGAAAGGAGGCAAAATGTTTCACAAGAAAATGACATTTTTAGGGCTTGCAAACAGCATTGTAAATCCATTAAAGATATCCTGCTAACGAGAGACACCAGTAAGTGCACACCAGAGGAATGCAGATGCGTTATGGACAATTTCGCGGTCGTAATCAACATTATCTCGGAGGAAAACAGCGGACAAGATGGTCAACTTGGTGAGTGTTTAGAGTACGCGATTGAGTGTGGTATATTCGACGAAATTTTCTCGTGGAGTTTAAGTCAACGAACCTCCATGAAAGAACTTATAAAAGAGCAATTGAAATTGTACAAGTCATTATTGAAAAGATGCAGACAACCCATTTTGATCTTCGAAGAAATCGTCGTGCCCATGAAACGACTACTCCGTTCCTGTATAGGAAAACAGACCAGCGATATTGAATTATTCTTTGTCGAGATTCTTCATCAACTTTGTATTTGTGTGAATCAAGACGCAACACTTCTTGATTCATACTTCATTATGAGCTGTACATCCAACACAGATACTAGTTCTTCGGTATTTTCCTCGCTTGTACCGTACGTTCACCGAGAAGGGCAAGTGGGTTCGAAGTCTCGTGATGCTGTTTTATTGTGCACGTCACTTTCGACGTTCCAGGAGAAATTTGCGTACTTTATATGCGAAGAAACCACGTTTTGTCCGGTAAGATTGAGACCGTTAATGTTCTTATCATATTAGCAAGATTATGTCTTTGTTGTCGTGTCCAAAATTCACGTTTGAACACCTGTTGCAACACATACTTTGAATACTTCATACCCGCTATACGTTGATAATTATTTCCTCATATGTACGTTTAATTATTGTGTTCTAAGTGTGTTATAAACATGTCATTAACTGATCAATGAATGAAGGTTAGAACAAATTGTGCAAACAAATCAATAACCGAAGGTTTCCGTGAGAATATTTTTATTTGTATTAATTTTTTATGAGAATATTATTGTGTCTGGCATTATTAGCAAATTTCCTCTTGAAGTTTTGGTTTTTTTGCTACTGTTGATTTTGAGAATTGGTTTCAAAGCCAATTTAGCCTCAAAGATAAAATGGGCTGGTTCTTGCAATCATGCCATTGGGTCTTAGCTATGATATCTTAATACATTTGCTGTGTAACATATTTATTTTTATCTAAATGATGTTGTTTCATAGGTACTAGCAACAGGATTGAGTGCTCTGTATTCAAGGCTCCCCAATACATTAGACGTTCCTGGCGAGGATTGGTATTGCCTAGAGAAAGGACTTTGGACCACATTACCAGAACTTAAATCATTTATAACCTCCTTAGAATTTTGCAATGATGTCATTCAGGTAATTTTATGTTGTACAATGACAAGTTTTTGTATTATTTGCATAAGATGTTGTTATATGCTATTATTATATGGCAGCTTCACTTCTGGTAATGTAATGTGCTTTGATTGTCTTAGAAACCATTTTTGTACTTCATTACTTTTCTGTAAAGGACTGCAGTTGATTAGTAAAAAACAAATGTCTTAAAGCAAATGACAAAATCACACATGTCTTATGCCATGTATATACTTTTTATTAACATCAATTGCTCAGTCTTTAGCAAGAAATGTGGGTCATTTCTGTTTCAATGAAAACACAGCATTATGGGCTCAATCCTTACAAAAAAACTTATCCAATAATTCTCAGTAAAGACTTTGCTCTTTGTGAAAATGATCTAATTAAATCTTCTTCTGGTTATATTTTCTTTGCTATTCCTGTTGCTGCAAATAATGTAAACGTACATGCTATGGGTAAATTGTATAATGTCATACGATTTTTTTCTAAATTGCATATCATTCATAAATGTGACATTTTATGTAGACAGCCCATCCTCAAATACAGTCAAAGCTGTTGGACCTGATTTATCAAGGATTCCTGGTTTCTGTAATGGCACCAGCTTTGAATCAGGTACTGTATTATTCTTGTCTAAATGTCTACTTCATTTTTCTCTTAGCTTGTCTATTTTCGTTTAGAATTCTTCTGATGCACTGACAGCGGCTACAGCATACTTTGATTTGTTCTTGGGAAGCATTACTGAACCAAAACTCATGAAGGTTTTCTTAAAATTCATTCTTCAAGAGAAGTCGGATGAAGTGCCAATATTGCATTCTCTTTTACAACACATCGAGACAAGAGATGAGGTATTTGCATGACTTTTTTTCTTCACCATCATTTTTGTCAATGGTGGTGCTAGGTTAGAAGTGATAGGTAAAAGAGGTGGCCCTGGAAATTCTGGGGACAACAAAGTGTTTAAAGAGTGCAATCTATTTTAGATATTAATTTTTGACTTGCAGTTCATCAGATAACCTTTTAGTTCATTACTGGACAATAGTGAGAAGAAATCATATTGGGAGAAACTTGAGGCAAACAATAAAATTGGTAGGGGGTTCCTGCTGTCTTCTCCCCTAACACTGAAACTGTACATCATTGTGCTCTTTCTACTCTTCTCTTTTGTTTGTTCACACATACCTGGTGTTTTTTTCTCAGAAATGTTTTATAATAAATTTAGACAGAGTAAAGATGACTGGGATTCATACATCTTTAGGCATACTTTGCTAACAACATTGCACAACAGGAGATCTGACCCAACATTTATTGATACAAGTTTCTTTTTTGTTCCTTTTTTTTAAATGCTCCATTCATTTTCTCTCCTCAATTTTCAGTTATGTTTGGTTACGCTGGCTTTGTTTCAAACTCTGATCAACCTCAACTCGGAAGATGTAATGATTGAACTGGTTCTAAGGTACGTGCGTACGCAAGTGATAAAGCCCTGATATATTCTGTTTATATACTGAGTAGTTTTATAAACTGCGATTATTTTTTTCACTTACGTGGTTTTCCTTTCGGTCGTGTGTAGTTACCTTTTACCTTGTAATCACGTGATGGGAAGTCAACGAAAAATGATTCAGGAAATTGATTTGTACGGAAAGGTCGCTGTTCGGTTTTTGACTTTGATTCCATCGTGTTGTTATCCGAACCTGGTCGCAAATGAAGAGTACGTTGCATCTGAAAATCTGGAGGAAGATGAATGGGAAAACAGAGATTCGGAAAATGACTTGTTCGATGATCTGTCATTGAATTTTTAGCCTATCTTGTTGATGCGAGGAAAAATTTATCTGATCGACGTGCGGCTTGCTCGTGTTGGTCTGCGCTCTGGGATGGCCTTGAGCCATCTTATGAACCTATCGGTGCGTCCGATAGATTGTCGAACGGTAGCGTCGTTCATACAAGCACATCTTCGCCAGAAGTATCGTCGATCACCAAGGAAGCTGAACAGAAGCGTTCAGTTGGTGCGGAGAATGATGTAATGGAAACCGTGCTTGGTCCTTTCATTTCAAAGTTATTTAAAAAACTGGAAAAGATGCCGGAAAATTCGATCGCCACAAACGAAGTGTTGACAAGAATAATTTCGAGCTTGGCCGAATATTCCCAACCTTTGCTGAGGTCATTTTTATTGAATCATAGTTTGGTCTTACAACCGCACGTCAAATCAATATTTCAGGTAATAAATGACTGCCAGCTTTACATCATATCCCTCAAGAGCAAAAAAAATGACTCGAGGAAGGATATAACTGTCTGACTTTTTATCAGTTTCACTGTGTACTGTGGAAAATATACTTTCTTCCAACTGGAATTGAACTTTGTTGCCTCCCAACCAGGGATGTATTTAGGAAGGGCGAGACCCCTCGCCATGACTATAGGGGGCGCAGGAGGGGTGCAGGGGCTCCCTAGGAACTACTGATATACCCAAACAACTGAGGAAAAGCAATTGTGAAAGTGCGTAATGGAACACGCTTCCAAATATTTTTCTATCATTCTTTAAAATTTACAAAACTTCACAAAAAAATTTTAATATTGTACGGCAACAATTAGCCCCTGATGCGTATCTAATTTCAAACAAGGGCACCACCTTACAATGCCACCGTGGATTCATGCCTGATCCCAACAATCCAATAGTCAGTGGGGCATCAAAAGAATTTTTTGATTGGGATAAATAATATGTTCTTTGATATGAAGAAAGACGACGCGCATTATATAAATTTATGTATATTCTTCTTCACTTGAAGATATCTATGTTAATGAAATAGGTAGTTTTTGAGGCAAAGTTGAATTTAGTTGATTGCTTTTCGTAGATTCTTAATACAGTCAAAGCTAAATTGGAAACGAACCTCAATCAGTTTGACGACCTTGAGCAACCATTTATGCTTGCTAAGCGTAATTTAATTCAACGTGAGGAAACGCGACGGCGATCTTTGTCTCGAAGGACTTCACAACCTTCAAGTGCTGAATCATCCAAAATTGTCTCTCGACAATCGTCGACTGACAGCCCGTCACGTGTTCAGACGCCCAGCGTTCCCTCGCCATACAGGAATACCTTCGTCGAGAAAAGGAATGATATGGATGGCGATGACACTTCTGAAACACTCTCAATGGAAGAGGATCTGGAGAACGCCATAGAAAAGGCATCTAGCTGGATTTTACTCAATCTGGGACCCAAAGGCATATCAAGGGAGAGGACGCGCGCTAAACATATCAATATGATCAAGAACACCGTGTATTGCGCTGTATTGATGGAGGAATGGCTAAAAGAATTGGCAGCCATCTCGTTGGAGCACTCTGTTCAACCTTATGACCATATTAATATGAAGGACACTGATAACTCATTGTAAATGCAGCAATGATAAAATCATCTTGATACAGTTGGTTAGCGGGAATCTGTGCAGGCAGACCGATGAATCATGTTTGTCATTGGCAGTTGTATCGAGGCAACTTTTTATGCTTAGTACAGCACAACTGTACAGCTTAATAAATGTCTTAAAGAATCAACTTGCCGGAAAGTAATGCGGCACCATGGAGCTAGAAGCACAATTGTCTTTGTAAATATATATATATGAATTAACGACAGCATCACTGAAAACTGATCACCATTTTCGGTCAACCATTTTTGACACCTTTTTTCATTCCACTTATATGTTTCCATTTTTACGTATGTAGCAATCTTTACTGTACACTGAAGTGTTTGTGGAGATGAAACATGCAATTGTTTACCAGCGAATTTTCAAACCAACTGTCCAACGTTTGGTGTGTTTTTTCAAAACAAATTACGAATTGCCTACATAAATTATCAAATTGACCCAGTTCCATCCAGTAATTACCCCAGTAAGTCAGTTTTCTACATCACACAACAGCGATGAGCAAGTATTTTGTTTTACTGCTCTTTCAATGAAACCCTGAAAATCGATTCAATTATTCCAATACATAATCTTTATGAGTATGATCTTGCTGTAAATTTCGTTCAGCACTGAAGTGAGACTTACTTTACAATCGTCGTTACCATAGTTGCAATTCAGCTAACGTGGAGTGTAAATCCTTGAGATTCACTCTTTAAAAATTTTAAATTAGCAGTTTTGTCGACAGGAAAATGCTTTGATTTTTTTTCTTCGTTTTAAACGTGAAATAATACTACTTATGCAGCCGATACCGTTTTGTCGAGCCTTACGGAAGAAAAAATCTCTGAAATTTTACGTTACACAATTCACCAATAACAGTGTTGGTTCATTCTCCAATTTTAAACCATGTATATTAATTGTGGCTGTCGGGTTTATTGATATATGCATGATTTGGTTCGTTTGAAATCCATTGTTTTTTACGGATTATAACGTGCATACGAAGCGCTCCCAATTATCGATATTCCTACGTCCAAATATAAAATAAAAAACCCAAGAGGCTGTAATTTTAATTTTATTTCGTCGCCATCTTTGTTATCGTATGGTATCTATTTCGATGTTTATAAATTCAAAATAACTCACTTGAAACATACGGCGTTGGTGGTGTAAAGGCTAGCATTGCTGCCTTCCAAGCAGTAGATCCGGGTTCGATTCCCGGCCAACGCAGTCTTTTTCAATTCGCTTACAATCAACCAATTATTTTTATTTAACTGACATGCCAAGAGTATCACAATAAACTTAATAAATTTGTTACACGATGTAATGTCGTAGCAGTGTGATAAGTCAAATATGTATAATGGGGTATGTAAATGAGGAATCATAGGGGAATCCCTGGAACGTAATCGTCTTAACTTACCCTGACGTAAGTCGAACTCTATCCTCTGTTTTTGTCAGTAATAGATGAATAAATAATCAGCAAAAAGGAAAGCCAATTCATTTGAAAATTAGCATCACATTTCTTTTCACTAACAATCTTGCAACGCACTCTTTCTTACAAATAGAAAATGGAGGGAGAGAAAATATTAAAGTCTCCTTTCATACAGGCTTAAATCGCATATGAAAAACCTTTGTACAAGGCATTGAACATCAACATCCATTGATATCCTTTGTCACAATTGCGTTGTGTCACAGTCTTATTTATTGAAACCGATGTCGATGATCTAAGCGAGCTCAAGATGTTGATCCTGCACAAATTATGCAGTCATGCTCTGAGTTGTACAATTCAAACTGAGAAATTGGCAATTATGTATTTGAATCGTGTGGAAAATCAGTAAAATTTTTCATCGTGTAAACTAACAAGCATATGCCTGTATGTACCTGCACACATGATCATCAGCACGAATACCACATTTCAAGCATCAAAAACAAAAGCGCTGGTAAAACAAAAGTACCGTATAAAACATAACGTTTTCAAAACATGCAAATTATCCAATTTGCAATTTTGTCTCATGAATAGAACGCAAAAAGCTGAGCTGTGTGAGCGAGCATGTGCGCAAATGCATTATAAGGATATCAATATGTCACTAGGGTAGGGCATATTTTTGAACTCAGAGATTTTCAATGTGGTATGACTTGTATTATATCTTGTCATAGGAAGGGAAATTCCCGCTAGATATTGCTAAATCATTAGGTTTGAAAAATGCTGTGTCGACAGTTAAAAACGAAAGTAGCGAGTAAGAAACTATTGTTTATTGTTAACAAAGCAAAAACGTACGCGACCTGAATCATCAGATCACACATGTCTCACCGTGATTGGCTCCGGAACTGCTGATGTCACATCAGCTATTGAAGCAGTTTGCTATATAAAGCTGAGGGCAAAAATCTCTACAATCATTTGACAAGATAACTTCAGAAGATTGCAAATGGCTGGTAAGTTGTTCTTCACGTTGACGTGCTTGACTATGTTCACAATATGTCTGTCGCACAAAAATCGAATTCATAAAAAATTTGACTTCGATCAAACGCTCGAAAAGCTCGAACTGACAGAGTTTCGAAGTCTGCTACTGGAAGCAAACTTATTCAACAAGCTCAATGACAAAACAACGAGCTACACAGTGTTTGCACCGACTAACAACGCAATTAAAAAAGCAAAATCTTTGCTTTCGGATAAAACTCGGTTGCCCGAGCTTTTGATGTATCACGTTCACTATGGTCCTTTTCCAACAAACAAGATTGAGTCCAACATGCGACTGAAGACATTGCTTGGCGGACAGAAGAAAATCAGACTCCAAAGATACAGAGGGGTAAGTCGACAAATATCCGGCAACTCATTAATTATGACGTGAGCTGTAAAACTACTGTCCAACAAAAATTGTGCAATGCTCATTAGTACGCAGTAATTTTATCGTCAAAAAGTCATTGTTCTTTTTGTAGTTTGGATTGACTGAAGTGGAGAGGGGCTTTTCATTCAAATCTACATCGTTTGAGTTTTGTTTAGTTCACTGACTTGCACTCTTGCACTAGAAAAATTTGGGAAATCCCCTAATGAGAGCACCTGTAACCATCTGAGGTCATCATTAAAGGGTGATAACAAGTTTATGTTTGCGGCTCTCGTTAGTACTTGCAGGGGGGGACAAGGAAATTCCCTGGCAATATTTTCCATACTGTGGTTTTCATTTGTAAGATTTAAAATTTCAAAATTATTACTAACGTCACAAATTATGTAGAAAAGTAAATACCACTTTGGGATTTTTTTATCTCCTACTAGATTAAGTCTTACAGGCGTCAATGTCTGCACTGGTATTCGCTTTATTTATCAAATATACTAGTTTGATGTGCATTTAATGTGCCTGCAATTGTAAAAGTCTCATAACTCTTTGATTTTTGTCACTTACGTTTGTTCCATTCAAAACATGAACTTGCTAGGTAAATTATGGATCGTGTGAACCATTTGACCGTGTGGTGGACTGGACATACCAAAATGGTATCCTACATACAATAGATGGTGTGATGAAACCGCCCGAAGGCAACTTTTATGATATCTTGAAAGAAAACCCTGCATTTTCATCATTTCTTAAATACATAAAACTGGCAGGGTTGCAAGAAACGATGAAGAAACAAACACCGATGACACGTGAGAATCATGATTTATGTAAAAAAAAAGTTTCAGAACTGTGTGTCGCACATGCATAGCACAGATGTTATTTTTAGCGTATTGTTTTATATTTTGTGCTTCTATTCAATAGATTATTTTCTTCACTACATACCAGGAAGCATCTGCCCTATTTTTAAATTACCTTTGATTTTTTTTCTTCTTATGTTTCTTTCTTATTTGTGCGCAGTTCTAGTTCCCAGTGACGATGCCTTCGCGAAAGTCCCAGAGAGCGTGGGGCAGAAATTAAAGACAAGCAATGAGTACTTGGTGAAAGTTCTTCAATATCATGTCGTGAGCAATTTGATATGCTCATCAGCTTTTGAGACAGGAAATGCTCCAACATTCGAAGGAACTGACATCAGTATTACGGTCAGCAAGCAGAACGTTGTTTTCAACGATAATTCAAAGTTGATTCAATCGGATATCATTGCTTATAATGGAGTCATTCAAGTCATTGATACGGTTTTGCTACCGCAACAAAATGATGACAGTGTATTACACGAGGCTTTGTAAGCAGTGGAGAAAATAAAAAATTATCGATGTAGAATTTGTCAAGTATCTTATTATTTAGTGTTTACTATTGCCTCGAGTGAGGGACTATACACCTGCGTCGAGTGCCGAACAATTTTGAAAGAAGAATTTATATTATCCAATTATCCATTGGGAACATTTGAATTTAGTAACATTAGCATGAACGGGGATGGGCTTTACTTGATGTAAAATCAACTAGTTTATTAAAGTGTATAAAACAATTGTAAATTGAAGTAAGCAATTCGCCAATAACGTAACGTTGACAAAGCAGGTTCACATTTGCCACGCAGCAAACGTGAAACATTTGTTTGCCGTGTCTGTTTAGTTCAGCCCAATTTTAGTCATAATGTCATACCACGATATTTTTGCGTTTAATCTTAGGAGATCAACAGTTGAAAAATTTCTCGAAATATGTCTGGCTTTTTGTTGAATGTTAAAGAAAAATGCTACACAACAAAACACCTAGCCGACATCATCTTTGACTGACCTAAACTTTACCTTTACACACACGTCAACTCCCTGCACGTGTAGAATCCGGAAGAAGAAAATATGCCTCGTTTGCCCACCCATGCTACATCATGGAGAACCATGCTGGATGTTAACTGGTAGAAAATGTGTGACGTCATCGTTTCTAAGTTTTCCTTTCCTTGATTCGTTAATAAATCACGGACGCTAATTGCATTTTATTCAAACTTAGTCAACCTGCAGGATAGCGTGCAAGAACACATGTAATTATGGACCGAACAATTCTTTGCAGTTTGATATATTGTACTCTGTTTTTTGGCGTGTTCCAGTCATGGGCGATGGAAATTCATGAAGAGAGGACATCCGAAGCAAATGATGAAATCGGCAAAAAACTCAATTTTGATAAAATGTTGCAAAAGTACAATTTGACATCATTCCGAAGTCTGCTAATCAAAGCAAAGGTGTTTGACAGACTTAACGTTACTTCAACAAGCTACACTGTATTTGCACCTACAAACGATGCGATCATGAAAGCAGAATCTTTGCTCACGAATGCCTCTCGGCTGCCCGAAGTTCTACTGTATCACGTCCATTTAGGTCCTTTCACAACAAGAGAGGTGAAATCAAACATGCGCCTAAAAACTTTGCTCAAATTTCAAAAAAAAATCAGGCTGGAGAGATATAACGGGGTAAGATGGATCATTTTGTGTGATTGTAGATGTGTGTGGTACATGCGCTGATTATTATTAAAACAATTCGTCTTTGTGTCCCATAAATTAACGTGTTACATTGATCAATGCTTTGTTAAAACAATAGGCTGAATAATTGATTAACGGCAGTTTCAAAGAACTGCAAAAATAAAGTTGTCTCTTAAAATAATCATTGATTCAAAGAATATAGCTGTACATTTATAGTTTGCAGCATATTCTCAAAACGAGTGAGCGATTTCTTGCCAATTTTCTTTTGGTTTCATTTTTCCTTTGTAAAAGTACATGGTCATGACCACACGCGGTGTAATTCCTAGTATTCGATGATGATTATCATAAATACTGAGAATTTCATGTCACGTGTTTGCACGTCGTTATTACGCAATGCCAAGTTTTGCCCGAGTTGCTTTCAGGCTTTGTACTTGTGCATGTCGATATTTAATTGCAACGCGTGGCGTGTGTATATTTCCATTTTTGGTCCAAAGTGCTTTCCATTCAGTGCGAATTGTCTTTTAGCGATAACAGATAACTCCTTTTAATGCCCAATGTCCCGTGACGAAACGGGACAATCAGTCGCAGAACGCAGTGTAATCAGTCGGGCAGTGCTGAATTTATGAATATTTTAACGTTCTAATTTCGACCCTGCGCTGGTTATACACATGGCAGTTTGCTAACTTAATTACGCTTGAACTACATACATAAATAATTTCATAAAAATGCTAATTATACATTATTTTCTAAAATTTTGATTAATATAGACGCTTTAATGAACTTTGAAGCTATAGATGTAATGCAGTTAACATGATCAGTCATTTACATGATCCTGTGATTCCTGTCTAATAGTAAACCATCACTCCGAGAATTTTTGTAGATTGCACAATTTCGAAGGCTTAATAATTGATAATTATTTTGTATTCAGTTGGTTTTTACAATATTTTGATGAAGTCACGGCACAGCATGGTGCAAAAGAAATTGTGTAAAGATTTTATAAGTGCACCTTTATATTATGATTCATTTAATAAATGTTGAAACCTTCGAAGTGGACGGACACTAATGTAACTATTTTATTTTATTCACCCTTCAACTTCAATGTACATCTTTCGATCGATACAGTTTTTATTCTCAGCAGTCAAATCACTCAAATGAGATGAATCAAAATATATCTAAACTCAGTAACTTAAATTCCTCACTTTGGCTTTACTTTACTAATCACAGAATATAGTTATAGCGTAGACAAATCATCAAACAGAGAGAAGTTATTGTGGTACACAGTCCAAATTTTCACTAGACAATGAGAATGCTAAAACTTTTACAGCTCATTAGACATGACCTATGACATTGATATTGTGTCACTGACATTGTATATGTTAATCATAGGTGATCTATGGATCATGTCAACAATTCGGCAGTGTACTGGATCATACCTACAACAATGGTATCCTAGATACAATGAATGGCGTGATGAACCCACCAGAGGGAAACTTTTATGATATCTTGAAAGCAAATGCCGCATATTCCTCGTTCTTCAAATATATAAACCTGGCACAAATCCCAAAACTTATGCAAAAACAAGCACACATGACTTGTGAGTATCTCCAAGTTTTACCTTTCAAAATTTGGTATTTGGAAATCAAAGAGTCGAATTTGTATTCAAAGAGCAGCGAGATTTAGCCTCGCTCAGCATTAAGTCAGCTCGTATCGTATAATGCTACTTTATCAAATTGGCAATTGAGTTCTGTGAATATTTATCAGACTGGAGTGATCTCATATTAGCCGAAAGATGAGATTGATTATAACAAGCTGATGCTTGATAGTTATTTTTGTTATGCAAAAACAAAATTCATATTTTGAAAACTTGAAAACACTGTCTTGCGTGCATGTTTTGCCAACTTTCACATAAAACCATTACTACCCAATTACCCATATACCTCGTATTGTAATATGGCTTCCTGAAACTAAGAGGTATGGACATTATGAAGTCATTTAACACTCATGAATTTTTAATGACAAACAGAAAGTATTAAAAATCATACGTGATGCAAAGGTACGGCAAGAGAGTTTGTTGTACGTATTGAGTCTGATGAGGGCCCCATTCGGCAGCCGAAGACCATAAATTGAACTACTTAAATTACAATTTGTTTAATAGCTACATTGTCGATGTCTTGATTACAAGCTGTCCTTCATAACATATTCACTCTTGTATTTGATATATTTTCTTATGGAGTCTTAGGTCTGTATAAGTTATTGCTTTTCTCTAGTATTACTTCCAAACGATGCTGCTTTTGCAAAACTACCACCGAACGTTGTGGAAAAAATGAAGACAAGCTTCGCGTACCTCCTCGGCATTCTTCGATATCATGTTTTGGAAAGTATAATCTGTCGTGTGGCTTTCCAATCAGGGGTCGTAAAGACATTCGAAAGCAAAAACATCAATGTTACTGTAAGTGACAACGAGGTTGTGTTTAACGGCAAGGCAAAGTTGATTCAAGCTGACATCATTGCCTATAATGGTGTGATTCAAGTTATCGATACTGTTCTTCTTCCACCTCAGAATCAGCTGGATTTTTGAAGTGTAGGTTTCTTGCTGAACAACGAGTATTACTAATTTTTTGTGAAAATAAGTACCGTTAGATAATTTTGTGACACTAATACATTAGTAGATTATACTGAAGACGTTGAGAGAGATAATGAGAGAGATATTTCGATTCATTAATCGTGTTGACTGTTAGCTATGGTCTTATTCTTCATTTCAAGAACTGAAAGTGGAGTATTCATTTTAATTGTTCGCTTGACAAAGCCCACATCAGTGTAACAAAGTAACATTTTGAATTAACTGCTTGCGCATCCTTCCAGAAATACCTGGGCCCGTTTTTAAGGAGATCTCCTCTTGATTAAACGGATCAATGAGGGAGTTATGAGCGGTCACCATGAGCCACGCGCAAAAAAATTTAATGAAAATATCGCCTTCATATTGTGAGAGCAACGCTAAAGACCCAAAATGGAAGCTTGGATCATAGTTATTAAATATACTTTACATTATAGGCAAAGTTTAAGTGCTTCCATTTGATGTCAACATGGCGTTTTGCTATAAACTATGAATGGAGCCAAATTTTATGTTCTTAAAAACATTGTAAGAAACGTAGGACTTGTAATTGTGGGAAAATCATTGCACAAAAAAAACCTCTGTATAAAATGCTTTTGCTGAAACATTCTTAGTAAATATCACAATTTTATTGCACATATTTTTCTTTCTAACACAAAAAGTTTTTCTTGAAGTTTTGTCTATAAGAATGTCAGTTAGGGGGGGGGGTGGCAGCTGTTGAGGCCCCACAAAAGCTTGCTCCAAACATGGATAAATTTTATGCATGAAATATTTTATTTTTTTAATCCTAACATTGTAAAGTCAAATTATTTGAGTTGCATTTTTGTGATTGTGACTATAATGTTGGATTAATGAAGTCGTGTTTGTAATCGTGTTACATATGAATGGCATTAGAGGTAAGTCATCAGATTTTGATTTGTAGGGAGAAATATATAGCTATGTTTGTTTTGTGTGTGTGTCAATTAAGAAGAATTGTCATTATGCAAGATCAATGTCATCTCGTGTACAGAGAATATCACTCAGACTGAAACTCAAACATTCCAAATTAGCTTTCCAACAGCAATACAACAAAAAAATCTCTTGAGGATTTAGAAAGTCTTTGTTTGTTCTTTATTTGTAGAACATAAATTTTTTCACTCCACAGTCATCTCATTACAAAGAAACATGTCCGTCCGTAACGTTTGTCAAAAATATGAAAAAGAAGTGTTTACTCTGTAACAGTACTCAAGAAATATGATAAACAAGGCATCCTTCATGTAGCAGTCTGGCAACAACCCTCTCCTGGGTAGAGTCCACACGATTATTGAAACCATAATATTAGTAAAAATTGCCATTCTGTAATACTGTTGCATATTCACATTAATCTATTGGAAAAATCATTAAAGTTTATGATCCTATTTGTAGATGTGTGCTTCTGCCCAGTGTACAGTTGAACGACTGCTAAGGTAATATTTCCCAAAATATACAACTGCATCCATAAATGTCTAAGCAGTCATTATAAATAAACGCATGATTTCAAGGATATTAGTGATTAAATGTCCCGAAAACTGAGGGAGGTTTAGTAAAATTCCAAGGGCTGCGCCCTTGGAACTTTTACTAAACTTTACAAGACTTAAGAGAACATTTCCTAAATGATGCAGGCATTTGTAAAAGTTTCCCTTCTCACGAGTTAAGATTTCAACATTTCTGTCCAAAGATACTCAAACCCAAGCTCCACCCGGTAAAAGTAATCACAAAGTAATGCGCACGCAGGTGCTGCATCGAACATGATTGGTTCGTCGTCGGCACGTAATCATTCGCGTATGAACTATCGAATGAGCATCAGTCTAGGAGCTTTTGTTTTTCCTCATATTACAAGCGACGCTAATCAAATTTATTCAACACGAGTTCAAATTGCAGAACAACGTGCAGGTACCTCGTATTAATTATGGAGCTCGTACTTTATTACGTTTTATCCTTTTGTATGTTTTCCACTATTTGTCTATCATGGCCGTTAGCAAGCACGGACGTTGATAATGGAATAAATCCCGAAATCAACTTCAATCAGACGCTAGTAAAGTATAATTTAACAGCATTCCGCGGCCTGCTAATCCAGGTAAAGTTATTTGAGAAACTGATGGATACCAGGGTAAGCTATACTGTATTTGCACCGACAAACGAGGCGATTGCAAACGCAAAATCCTTGCTTGCGAATGCCACTCGGCTGCCCGAAGTCATGATGTACCACATCCATGCTGGTTCTTTCAAAACAAGCAACATACACTCGGACATGCGATTAGAAACACTCCTTGGAAAACAAAAGAAAATTAGGCTCGAGAGATACAACGGGGTAAGACGGATCATGTTGCATGTTTGTATGGATGTGTGCTGTGCGGTACATGCTTTAACTATTATTCCTAAATTCCTTCTTTGTGTGTCCTATAATTGACTCATTATTTTTGTCCACTGCTTTGCAAGCGCAATGTAATGAATGATGGAATAATTGTAATTGTCCGATAATAATTTGTTTCCTAGAATTTTGTAGGTCATTAACTATTTGCAGCGCATTTTCAATGGTTCATGAAGATCGGACGATTTACTTTCACGCTTTTCTTTTGGTTTCATTTTTCCCGATGTAATGACATACTTAATGACCACATGTTGGGTAATTCCTAGTATTTGTGTTAATTATCATATAGTGTGCTAAACACTATGGCGTACGATTAAAGTCGTTTGATATTATTAGGGTTATTTAGCATTACAAAATTACAAATTCGCGCTAAATAAATTTACCACGAGATTTAGCTATTTCATGCTTCTTTTGAATATTTGATGCATTTTTCTCACGTATTTTTGTATCTTGGCGTCATTTCCTTTAAATGACCACGTGTCGTGAATTTCCTAGTATTCACGTCTATTATTTTAAAATACCAAGAATTGCATGTCACGTGTCTGTTAACATTGCAATCATTTGATGCTCCAGAGACGTTTTGTACTTTGATAATCATAACAATGCACAAACAATTCCTCGTCGTGAACAGGAAGTGAAAAAGTTGTGAAAAATTAAGCACAGTTACAATACAATACAATACAATACAATACGCTTTATAACGCTTACATATGAACATAAGGCCTGTTTCAAACGTCAAACTTAACATGCGTCGAACTCATTAAAGACAAAAGAAAATGAGATGAACGTCCTCATTATCTTTTGTTCTAAACGCGTTCGGTTCCTGTACAGTTCGACGTTTGAACCCAAGACGTTGTGTTTGGGATTCTGGAGCATTCAGGAGTGTACGTCATTGACTTGTGTTTCCAATCATTCAAACAAGCGAAACATTCATTCATTCATGAAAATGTATAAATATGTTGCTTTTAATTATTAAAATAAAATGTGAAAAAAATAACTTAGAACTTTCTCACATTTCACAATCTGGCAGTAAATTGAGAATTTAACTGAAAATGTATTTAATTAATATTGAACTATAGTTGTTCTATGGATCATGTCAACAGTTTGGCAAAGTGTTAGACTGGACCTACGACAGTGGCCTATTAAATACAATGAATGGAGTGATGAACCCACCCGAGGGAAACTTTTATGATATCTTGAAAGCAACAGCCGCATATTCCTCGTTTCTCAGCTATGTAAACACGGGAGGCTTGCAGGATTTAATGAATCTACAATCGCCCATGACTTGTGAGTATGATTAATGAAATCCATAGCAGGCTTGCCCTGAAGGCGTGCTATGGTGCATTGCAGTGGCGTAGCCAAACGCGAAATTTCGGAGGGTATATACTTTGGACCTCGTTGGTCTTTCTAGGGAGGGTCAGGGACCCTCAATAGCGATTTTTAGTGTTTCAGGCGTGATTTTGCATGATTCCGAAAATTATTTGCTGCAGGAAACAGATGATTTTTAATAAATAAGAAGTAAATAATCACGAAAAATCAGCATTGCTGAAGTAAATTTATCATTTCAAAAAGTTATACTTTAAACAGAGTCTTAGTGTCAAAGTGTCAAAGTACACTTGTAGCCACTGTAAATATATTATTTTCTGCTGTTAGACTTCAAAAAAACTTGTTAAACAAGTTGTTAAGGGATTAAACGATTTGAGAATGGTAGTAACATAAGTAGTCAATTAGATATCGCCCCCTTTTTCTAATTTCTACCCTTATTTTGTCTTTTTTCTGACCTTTGTTCATTAGGGGAGGGCTGAACCCATATTTCTCATATTAAGGAGTTTATACATGTTTAGCTTGAAAAGTCATAGGAAGCAGCGCGTATAATATGTGTAAGCTACATTTTGGGAGTGTTTTGCACCCCAACTCCCCTTCCCAAATAAAATCCTTTTTGCGGCACTAATCTAAGGTAAGTCAGCCGGATACATCAAAAATTTAAAATACTTTTATAAACCTTCTTAACTGTCCAATGTTCTTCAGAAATTTTTAACCAACAGAATTATTGCTATTAAATATGAATTTAAAACGAGACCCTGTATTTTGATTGACTTAATCTAGATCTGTCATTTCTCACCCATCACTATCTTAAGATCCAAGCTGTTCATATGCTTTGCTTATTTGTTATTGTCCTTTTATTTTATTGGTACCAGTGCTACTTCCAAACAATGCTGCTTTTGCTAAACTGCCTACAAGTGTGAAGGAAAAAATGCAGAGCAGCTATCAGTTTACACGCCACGTTCTTCAATATCATGTCGTAACTGAGATTGTCTGTGCAAGTGTTTTCGACACTGGTACCGTGCCGACTTACGAAGGAAGCAATATCGAAGTTAACGTGAGCGGAAACAAGGTTGTGTTCAACGGCAAGGCAGCGTTGATTCAAGCGGATACCATTGCCTATAACGGTGTGATTCAAGTCATCGATACAGTTCTCCTACCTCCTTCGGACTTGGTTTAACTGTAAACTGCAGCTGGTCAGTGAACTTTGTTTAGTGATGTTGTCAGAAGCTTTGGAAGCTTTCAAGAGTTGTGTGTATTTTTATTCGCCATATCATAATGCAAGAAACTTTGAGAAGTAATGAGATTGTTTTATTATAGTTATTTTTCTTTTTCCGTGCAAAAATTACAAAAATCCTCCAAAACCTCTTTGTTGTGTTTCATTACATACAAATGACTTGCACATTTTGTCAATGCTTAAATCATATAAAATTTACTGGTTCTTGTGCCCGTTCATTCAATAATTTGAAAATTTGGTACACCTATCATAAACGTTCAAGTAAGAAGCTTAAATTTGTGGGTGTCCTTCTTATAAGATGATACACCCTGTCACCCACTGCAAAAATTAACTGTGGGTGTTTGCAGGACACCCAGACACTCATCGCTTCCCAAGCCCCCGCGTTTTGTAAAAGAAGTTAGCTGTTATAAAAAGTTATTATTTTGTTGGCTGTTGCCTTTTTTTTTGACCGGCGTTAAAAACTTTTTAATGAATGTCTGTGTCTGCGGGTGTTTTTGATTCTACGTTATGGTTTCAAAAACTTTTTTCATCAGTGGGTTGAGAGTTGGTAATGATGGCGTCATTAGGAGACAAAGCAATCCCGTACGTTTGACGTGCTATGTGATCATTTATTCATTTTGCTCTGTAAAAACAACACGTTTATAACGAAAATTACGAAATAAATGATGCTGATGATTTTTGTTCAAATTCTTAGTCATAAATGTATATATATTTTGAAAAATGAAACTAGAAATTTGCCGTCGACCAACATTTATTGCATTAAAAAGCAGATTACCACTCTGACTGGTAAAATTTTCTGTCGTAACTAAGGCAACAACTTTGCAAATACTTCATGTTAAAACCATTTTAATAAAAATCCAATATGGCAGATAAAAAGTAAAAAGTCAATTTTAGTCTCAAATCTTAAGCCGTTAAGCGGTCCTCTTATTCCAAAGTGGACTTCTGGTGATATTTTGCTTGACGTATAACACCTTCAAATATCATAGTTTATAAGCTTGTGGAGAACATTTGTTTTATCTTTAAAAGGCACCGATGAAAGACAAATAAGCAACGTTGCCTAGGTGATGGATTCAAAATCCCAATCCCATAAACTGCAAATATTTGCTCCACTTCGCGTTATTGTGGGAAGGAAATAATTCAAAACCTTTTCAAGTAAGTTTTAAATCTTTTTTTCCAATGTTTTATGGAATGAAGTAATAATTGAGGCTTGTATGTGGTTTTGCTCGAAAATACAACTTGTATTTTTTGCGATGCCCTCCTATATTACCTAGTACATGTCTTATTGTTGGACATGCTCTTGTTCTTGTACAAGTTTTAACGTGTGAATGTTATGGATTGGTGATTGAGGTAGTTTTAGTGGAAAGTTTGATAAAATGAAAAGTCAAAATGTCTACCAATGAAATAATGTTATTTCATCGCGTGCGATGTGGCGAATGTGCCACCTGCCAAAAACCAAAACCCTCTCTTAAATAAAGGTAATTAAAATCCCATTATCTAACTGTTACTTCACAAAACCCTTTTTTGAAATAATTTGTGGAAGTATTTCTTTATTTACTTATGCACTAGACATGACAGGTGACAAGATAATTCTTTAATATCATCAAGGGCATCGTAAATTCTCCACAGATTATGCACTCATACATAAAACCTGAAATCTGGCTGCAGATGAAGTCGAGTTCATCTAGTGAGTTTGATTACATGACACTGTCATATTAATTCACATTTTGGACCAAATGTGTCTCACAACTTATGAACAAAATAGTTAATTGAAGATATGATCTTTGCACTTTGCTGGACAATTTAAGAAATTGTCTCATGAACCTGAAAAATTCAGGTGACTCAACATCCCCTTGAGTCACAGTTGAGTCACCTGAATTTTTCAGGTTCATGAGACAATTGCTTAAATTGTCCAGCAAAGGGGAAAGATCATATATTCAATTAATTTCAAACACCGCACTGCATATAACATTCTTTCATAGAACAAAATAGTGCTGCACAATTTATTTCTAGTTTCCAAATATGAGAATGGGGATTGATGAAAGAATCTAACTTAAAAAAAAGATAATTAAATTGTCTTGTTGACACTAGATTTGAAGCCAAATGTGAAGCATTTATTTTTTAACTCATAACAAACATTATCTCATTAACCAGATTGCAAGTGTGATTTCAGTTTTAATCATCAATATATCACAGTTGCTCTCTTGTTTTTGCATCTTTTCCAGCTCTACAATTTTCTACATCATCCTTCAACTTTCATTACATTACAAGTTTCATAAACAAACTCCATTACCTCTTGAAGGGTTTTGTCAAAGATTTTCACTATTTTGCACTTTTTTACATCAAGTTAGAGATATTGAAAAATACGAATCAATGAAAGCAAAAATACTTCGTGGAACTTCCACTTCCACTTGCACAGTGGAAGATTTTCACTTGGAACAACACAATTTATCTCCAGGGTTTCCCTTACACAAATATTCTATAGAATATTACATTGAACAATTCTATAATATATTTTATTAAATATTCGAACAGAATTTGGGATATGGTTTTGATAGGATTTTCTATGGGATAGTCTATGGAATGTTTGATGTAATTTCTATGTAGGTGTTATTGTACTTGTCCTCAAACTGTTAAGCAATATGGAATAACCTGATTGATGATTTACTATAAATAAATACATGAGAGAATATAACCCTTAATAAGGCGAAAAAATCGCAATGATCTATCAACTGGTAAGACTTTATCGTTTTGAAATTCCTAATCAATAGCTTTATATAATGGTGATTAGAATTTGATGTTAATTGGTCTTGATTATTTTCACCTAATTTGCTGCTGGTATTTTAATTGTAGCTACTTCATCTTTTTTAAATTAGGAAAATTGCCAATTCGTCATGATGTTCCAACTTGTTCTACGACCACTTATTTTTTGACATGAACATGTCGGGCCACTCTAGTTTTTCAACTTCTATTGTTTAGCTTCTGCAACAGAAGGCTGTGACTTGTAAGAGATGAATTTTACTGAAAAGAAGCGTCGCCTCAGAGGATTTCGCATTCCCAGTTGGCAAACGCGCTGGTGCTTTAGAGCCGATTCCCAAAGAGAAAAGAAAAAAGAGATAAAAAAAGAGGCGAAGAATGAATGACATAGAGTGTTTTGCGGCAAAAACGATCTTGGTCTAATAGAGAACGATTTGTTAGGTCATAGAAATTTCGCCAGAACGGATGTTTTAGAGAGCAATACTTTCTCAAGGAATGAAAGTAAAGAAAATCCTTCTGCTCAAGAAGATGTTAGGAGAGTTGCTCCAACACTTGCTTTGAGTAGGGAAGCCCAATTGCATCCTGATAGACAAGGCTTAAGTACGAAGATTCTTGAACATATTGATTATGTGCTTGTCTTTAACGACAGCTACAAGCACAGCGAGTTGACCGAAAGTGCTTCAAACGAACACAGAACGAACTTTGAAGCAAAAATTGAAAACGAAAGTGTTACTTTTTTGAGAAAGATGAAAGGGGATTCCACGTTCGTCTTTATGAGTTGCTCTTTTGAAAGACTTTGCAAAGAGGCCGAGATACTGTCTTTAAAGATGCCTTGGCTGGGGTAAGTCATATTATGTTTTGTTATGTTACCTTGCAAGGATAACACTGATATGACACATGTCTCTTAATGTAGTAATTATTCCAGGAATTTTAATATAATATGGTACCAATCTTTGTAATGATTAAGTGCGTTCTCGAGTTCATAATCCTGGATATTTTCCTGCTCGACTTTATCTCCCTAATTCAATTCCCCCCCCCTCCGACGTCAAACCTTACGCGACGGCTCTGATTCATGTTCGCTCTCATCTCATGTCATTGATGGAATTGGTGGGTAGAGCTAATTCTCGTTTGTTGAGAATTGTATTCATCTCAGTTCGTGCACTTTGACGAAAAAAAATGCTGTACTATAAAAACTATTTGTTTTTCATATACAAGGTTTCTGATATCGTTTGAAATCACTGTATCAAAAGTCCCGTATGGTGTTTCAAACTTTTTACTCCTACATCCGTATTATGCCTTTTCTAATTTCTTTACGGCTCTCTCAAACAAATGTGGTACAAGCGGCGTAGTTCGTGTTGGTGTTTTAACGATAGTAAGTTCGTGATTCGGTTGAATACTCGGTCGAAGATGTTGTCGTTGACGAACTGAAGAAGCCTAAACTTGGTGATTTTACCTTGTCCGAATATAGCGAAAAAGGTTTGCTCTAGAACTATATGTAACTTGCTTTACTGTGCTCTAGCAGCTGGAAGTTAGTTTTTAGGTAAATAAGTTTATAGTCAGTGCGTAGCAGTTAAACTAGGGAGGAAGGTGTCATGTGATATGCTGTTTGTGCGAAAATTAACTGGAATATTTACTTAATATTCAAAACGCATTTATGTGGAAATAAATTACGCACTAAAAACTTCGAGAGAGCATATTTCAGGTTGAAACTTTGCGATTTTAGTGCATTGTCAATGAAATAGAAATATTATTTGTGCCGAGGAATTTTCGGAGGCGTACTTTCAAGAGAGTCATATATAGTTAACTCTTCAACTACGTCTGCAAGTGAAGATTGCTTTGTGTATACCTACAAAGTTGCGGTTTCATCGATTAAATAAATGCAATCGTTAAGCCTTTATCTAGTAGAGAAAATGGGGTGTAGTAACACGCTGAGAAGGTCCCCAGCGGTTGCCTATAACAGCACTATTTATAGTTTGCAAAATCGTGATAAAAACTTTTTTTATTAATCAATGATTAATGAATATACTACTTTCCTTTTGTTTTAGTTATACAGTATGAGTTTCTAATGGTAAATTACGGAAATAATTGGATATTTCAACAACACAATGAATTTTAGATTGAAAGCAAATGCGAGTGGTGTGTTTGTGATTCGCCGCACACTACACATATGAACACTGATTTCAATAATTGTACATTCCAATGACAACAACACTTTGAGACTTACAATATACACAGCATGTTTAGTTTGCTATTTATATCTAGTACATTTAGCATGTTGTTTTTGCGTGTGGTATGTTTGTTTTGTTATTTAAATGCACTGTGCAGGGTGTTCAGCGGCGTACCGTGGGAAGGAAGGGGTTTGAGAAAAGGTCGGTACATTTTTACGAGATAGCTAAATGGTCGTAATTTCGGTGATTCAAACTTAAGTATTATGACTTGCAACAATCGTATAAAGAGACTTTGTTGGTAAATTGTTATCTTCGTCGGTCGGTAAACTAATTGAAAAACACCCTCGAATCGGAATGCTTTCGGTACAACTATCACTATGTTTTTTGTTTAACATACTGTTGTAATATTCCAATAACTTGCGAAAGATTCTTGCATCATATTCAATCAAAACACAGCTTATATGCTCATTGACATTTAGCAATTAATATGTATAATCATAGATGAAATGGTTTAAGCAATTACACCGTTTACTTTCTTTAAGCATCAAATAATCGGACGTTAATAATTTGCCACAACCAGCAACCATTTTTCTTGTTGCAGCAGATCACAGCTAATCTATTGCGATTTCCGATTTCCTGTACAAATTGCCGTCTGTTCTTTGGTAGACGGCTGGTTTTAAGCAAAACAGTGAAGTTAATGACTTTTAAATGGCATTTTAAAATTTTTCTTTTGTTCTTCGTGCATAAGAAAAGGACCATTAAATGAGGTTTTGTTGCCGACTTATCATTTTTCATTTTGTTTGTAGATTTTCGCCGCAGCATTTCCTCTGGCACCATTGATTGCGTTTGTGACGAATATGATTGACTTAAAGATTGGATGCAAAGAGATTGCTTTGGAAAAACAGGTGACCTGTAGCATTTAGGGCGGCGGATATCGGTAGGTGTGAATCAAAGATGAGGTTTTCCGTCATCACAAGCTCAATAAGATCGAGATTTAGCGCATGCACGCATGGCAATCCGTATCTTTTACGGCATTGTTGTCATTTGCGTTGGTGTTTTGGTATTATCTCAATGTAATCATGAAATAATCAGTTTATGATTGATGGAACTCGGTTCCATAAATACATGAAATATGTAAACTGCGAACACAACTTCACCGAAAATCTTTTTTTTTCGATACCGTGTCAAATATCGCATACTCAGTTTCATTATTGCTTTGTTTCTTTTTTCGAGCAGAGCCAGGAAACCTTCACAATGATTACTTATTTTGTCCGTGTGCCTGTCTTTATCTTAACTAGGCATGTGGTATTCGATACTAGAAGTCCTCAACGTCGTTGGCGTTGTCACAAACTCTTTCCTTGTGGCTGTCACGTCGCAGAACTATCGAAACTAGGAGAATGCTTCAACACATACTACTATAGCTCAAGAAATCCATAACTCGCTCGGCTGTCACGTCGCAATGCGGTCGAAACTGGGAGAATGCTTCAACGCATACTACTATAGCTCAAGAAATCTGTAACTCGACCGGAAGTAACTCTTCAATTCTTTTGTCAACAATACTGAGTCTTGTGCTGCCAGAAACACACTGTGGCTAATTATTGGTTTTGAGGTAATCTCTGCTCATTCTTTCATGCGTTGATTTTTATGTGCAAATCATCTTACTTCTTGAGGTGCATGTAGTTTTAAGAATTTTTTAAAAATTTTTTGACTGTTGGCACATTGGAGAACTGTTACATTGACGCTATCGTTTCACCGCTGTTTCCACCTCAATAGTTCAAGGAATTCGAGGCGGAATTCATGAAAATTATTTTAATTTATTTTGTAGCCAGTATTGCAATTACCAACAAGTGACTGTGTTTTCTTGTTTTTAGCACATTGTTTTGAGAGTGAAATTCCTCATTGCCTTGGTCATTCCGGGCATACCATCGCACATAAAATTAGCTAAAAGAAGGGTACGTGAAGGATTATCGTATTATACCAGTGTTTATTCAACATTGTATTCAGCTTGTGTCCATACAATATAATGTTGCCAGCTGCAAAATTCTGGGGCCGGTTGCAAAGCCTGGATAGCGCTATCCATTGGATAGTGAAAATTTTCAAACTTATAAAAAAGGTGTTTATGTTTTTTTCACGACAAAGAAATTTTGCAACCTCGAAACAATATTTTATTTCAATGATTGCACAGTTCAAATCGTATATTTTTCTCCTATAAAAGATTTTATGAATGTTCAGAAAAATTTGCTATCCAGTGGATAACGCTATCCAGGCTTTGTGCAACCGGCCCCTGGCAGCGAGCGACATATCCTGTAGTTATGCAGTTTTCGTTGATCGGATTGGTTGTTGTTGGATTGTAACTATTTAGATCATTGTCTGGTAAATGTTGGTGGTGGCGTGATGTTTTTAAGCTTATCAATCATCACTTATGTAGCTATAACCTATTTTTAGGCTTATAAATCATTACTTGTATAGCTATAGCCTATAATAATTACAACGACAACTACAGTTTAAAGAATAGTATTTTTGTACACTTACTGTCCCACAACATGTGGGCAAAATCGATTTTCGACTCAGCATGAAATAGATTTCAACTTTTTGATGTGGTTTCTTTTTTTCATTTAGGAGAAATATCACGTTGATAAGTTATTTGATAAAAGCAGCGTCAGTAATGGATTGAAACAGAAGCCCTTGCAAACATCTGGCACGAAGAACGTCTCTTGTCAAACTGAAGCAATTGTTTTGCCTAAAAGTAGTACCTCCGGTTATGCATTTAGACGCGGGCTCAAATTTTGTGCAGCAAACAGTTCAAAGGAAGCACAAGACTGACGTTCCTTTGGCGTCGCGTTTCACGTCAAATCAATTGCCCCTAGCTAACGACGATTCAAATGTATTTCCACCAGCTAAACATGTCACGCCTCTGATCTCACCATTAGCTTCAAGGTGTCAACCAGAACTGGCTGTTTTTAACGTCACACCTACGTCAAGTGTTTCACTTGTGTAGAAAGTCTGGTCATTTTGCAATGTATTTTGTGCTATGAGCAATTGTTTCTGCAAGCAAGAAATGTAGATGTGTCGACAAGTTCTAGAATTATATCACTAGTGACGTATTCCGGTAAGTGAACACCAAAATACAAACATAGCACGGTGCTATGACGACCAAACTTGCGGGCTGGCTAGCCCACTGTATAGCAATGTTTTTGTAGCGTCAGCCAGAATCCTCTAGCTTACTCTTTCCCAAATCAAAATCCCTTTGCATTGAGTCGACCCTTGCACTCTCAGAAAGAGTGGGATGAAGGCTTCTTCAATTACTACGTCTATTTAACCCAGTCACTGTCGAAATCGTGCACCAATTGCAATCAAGCTTGTGCAATATTGAAGACTATCAAGTTTAACCACCGGACTGGAGCACAATCATTCAAACAGAATTTGAAAGTCAATCATAAACTCATGTTGTAAAAAAATTCAATTTAAATTTGTTTCCCGTTATGAATATTTTATAAAAGAAATAAATGAGATTTTTTAACTCAGTGTGTTTGCACTGGCTCATACAAACCTCGGCGACTTTTGTGAAACTTTGGTAAGAAACATTTTTGTATACATTAAAATTCTAGCATATGAAAGTAGTATACACTTGCTTTCAATCTTGCCAGCGACCTCAAATCTCACGAGATTAAATGTTTTCTTAATTGATGAAAGTAACATAATTGTATGTAATCGTAATTGTAAACTATATTATTGAATACAATTGCAACTTTTCGTTGGCATTATGTACTCTAGATACTCAATATTATATTGTTTATGATTAGCATTGTTGTCACGAACTTTTCAACCTGATAGCCAGGTATAATTTAACGCGACTGCGTGCATTATATAAAGCAACCAATGAAAATAGCAAAAGTTGCTTTCTTTGCGAAGGAAGTAGTACTGTTTTTGACGGGTTCTAACTTTCAAAATCCCGAGAGGATATAACGCGCGCTGCTTGTTTATATTTCATTGGCTTGAAAATCATAAAGCATTAATCTTTATCGTTGTTACCATGAGGAAAGGTCCCAGCTAGGAGGTAGGCGGAGTTATGGTACACACCCAAAATAATTTTTAGTCAATAGTCTTTATTTTTGAACAATAAAGAATATAAGAAAAAGAAAAGCTTCCAAAAGCAATTTTGGAGAGATTTGCCTAAAAAAAACAATCTTTCCGGTGCCATTGATCTTGAGACACGTACCCTATATATCGTCTTTGTTGAATAAACGTCAGCATTAAGCATCAGCAATATCATGGCTGTCTGCAAGATTATATATTAAAATCAATAATTTAAACGCCATATACGTCTTTACTTTAAAGAAGGGTCTTGCTGTTGTTAATGCTATTTATAATCTCTTGGACACATTGCTAAATATCTGTAATTGTGAAACTTGTCCGTTGCACTTAAAGTGCAAGTTATTTTAAATACTCTTCTTAAATTTGAATTAGTATATATGAGATACATCATATGACTGCTCTTTAGTAATTTCAATCTGCAGTCCGTTATAAACCATTGTGAGCGACAGGTCTCGTTATTCAATAATCCCTTGTCGCTTTTTGCAAACGCATCGAGAAGCTTTGATGTTTGGTATAGGCTTCAATGTAGTCACGCCATTTTCCTCGAGATGCAAAATATACAAGCTGTGAAATTTCTTCGGCACGCAGCAGCTTGGGTTTGCTAAAACTTTTGGTGGGATTGTCGTCACCGTTTTGTAGGCTTCCACGAACGCTCGTGACAATGTTTGAACGATAGTACTGTTGCCAATCGGTAGTGAATACGTTTCCCCGCAGTAGTGTGTGTAAAATCCACTCGGTGCTATAACGTTTTGAAAGTTCGCCAGGTTGACGTATACTCTCCCCGAGTGGCATTTCTGTATTCCATTTTGTCTTTGCGAGTTCGTCGATCGTTTTCTGCGTGCTGAAGTCCAGAGCAACGTTCTTTTCTTCTTTTCTGTGTTTTCTGATGTTTCAAGATGGTTTTCATTGGTTCCCATTTCCCTCAAAATGTTGGCGACGTTCTTTGGAGCAGCATTCACCAAATCTACAAGAGCAACGGAATTGTATACTCGAAAGTTGAAGAAGAATTCTGGAGATCTTGCAAAGCTAGTTCTCAAGAATGTCACCATATTTTGAACATTATATTTGTTGACCAACTTTTAGAATAAAGAAACTATAGCCCGATGAACCCAACCTTTATTAAAACAATGATGCGCAAATGACCGGATAAGAATTTGGTGGTTTGTCGCGCCTCTTCACTCATTACATTGAACCAAAATGTGATTCGTGATATTGTGAAAAATAAGTTAAATAATATTTTGCCAACACAGAACAATAAAAGCTTATGATACTTGTTTGTGCCGTTGATACTATAGTCACGAATAGGAGATAAAGAACATACTGCATATATACGGTCTGTCACTTGACACTTTATCAGGCTAACATTTCAAGCAGCTTCTTATATCTTATTTTATTTTTATCACTATAAGTGTTGAAACTAAACTACATTACTGCAGAAAAATAAACTTTACACAAAATCCTAGATTAGACTTGTTATATATACTGTAATTTCGACGAGCAATTTGGGCATAATCTGTATAATTATATAATCTATACACAAACCGAAAAGGAGTTTAAAAATAATAATGTATATATTTATAAAAACCAGTCTATATATATATATAGAAAAGAGCCCCATTTATACAAGAACCTGTTTAGACTAACTATTTCAGCCGATACAAGGCAACTGTAGTAAATATATCAGTTTAAACGTTAAGAACCCAAAACCCATGGGGTAAAGCAATGCATGAGTAAACGTCTCCTAAATCTCAACATTATCGTGGTTATTCATTGTCTTAATTGATGAGTGTATAAAAGCTGAGTTCAACATCAATAAAAGATCTTTTCCTCTGTGCAGGCGACGTATTTATAACACGGACTATGACTTAGCAATATAGAAAGATCGATGTACAATGTTATTGCATAACGAAATCAAAGTGAAACATTTACTTTCATTCTTCACGAACGACTGGAAAATTGTAATTGTACATTATCTTCCCGAATCTCGACAGTATTTTACTGTACGTACAAAAACGCTTCTTTGTCTCGCAATTTCTTTATAGCTAGCGCCCACACACGACAATAACGGGATAACGCAGTAAGCCGACAAAATTTTAGTACCGTTAAAAACCGACATCTTCTGAATTTCTGAATGCTTGTTCTTGGATCGAAAAAAATACATACACCACTTATGAATTTTCCTTATAGCAAAAAGTTATTTCATAAAGGATTTCCAATGAGCAGTAGTGATTGTATTATACTTGCTCTGAATTGAATTCTTGTTAAAATCTCCAAGGATCGCGTGATGTTTTCTTTTAAAGAAAATGCCAATTTCCTGAATGAAACGATTAGATGAAAGCTGTTTCATTGAAAGTGAATTTTCGATTCTCTTAGTTTTTTTGAAATCATGTCGTATAAGTTCACACATTTTACGGCTATACGACCTACATTTATGCATGGACTATCATTTTGAGCTTTAGATCAACTGTCTTTTTCAAAGTTTGACTGTTCATTGTGGATACCTCTAGCTCATTTTGCTAATCAGCATTTATGTGCCAGCATACAGCAAGAGCAATCGATAGTCTCATACCAAAAAGAACACTTTGTAAAAATATAAGCACGATTAGTTTACATATCAACTGCCAACATGTACGGTCTCTCTTATGCGCCCACTTTCCGTTTACATAACTAAAACGGTCAAATATTACAAAATCGTTACATGCTCGTGTGCTGTGAAATAAAGAAACGTACTTAAACAATCACGACAAAAATTTAACCGAAAAATTTAACTTGTATTCCCGTTTCTTCAATTGACTTGCTCGTCAAAAACTATTCCTTTTTTGTTTTCTTCATGGATTCATCTTGTTATAAAATATTTCATTTACTCGCTATTCTCGTTTTGTATTTATGCTCTTCAAGCTCAAAGTAACAAGTGTTCGGCAACAAAGCTCCTGATAACATTACTATTATTATTCTCATAGCGTTTCCTACATTCGGCGTGGTGTAATCTACTCTTTCCTGACGATTCTTGTAATAACTTTTACATACCTTTTAGCTCAGAGAGGGCAAGCGTAAGAATGTGAAGATAATTTAACTTCATTCGCTATTGATGTTTTTTGAATTGTATAATTGTAATTATGAAATATTAAGTAGCTTACTTTGGGCGAATTCATTGCCGCCTATCTTGTTCAAAAAATTCTCCGTTTTTCGGGACACCACAAATTTTGCTTCGTCTTTCCTAGTCGATCGACAATCCACATACAACACTAGCCTACCATATACGGTGAAAAGCAGCAAACAGAAGACAGTTAGTTTGTACGAATATAAAATTTTCATGGTGTAAAACTCAATTGTGTTCAACAATTGTGTTCAGGACTTTCTGTTTTAAGGCACCTCTCCGAGTTACTTCTGATCCACCGTTTGTGTGATGATGTATGTCAGTGCAGATGATATATACACTATATGCGCACCAAAAATCACTTATATAGGCATAGTATGTGGTAAATCCTGGTTTCCGGCGCATTGTTGAAAAAAACCACTTAACTTCTTTAACAGAAGCAATCAGTATATTGCGCTTTCGATAAACGGAAATTGTAGTTTTTGCTGTTGATCTAAGATTGCATCTCAACAATAGTATGGAGTAAGGGTGCTGTATGTTGATGACGTCAATTTTCAGACTTTGTATGTAATTTTTTCATGAAACTTCATTTTGGAAAGATGGCAACATTTTTAAGATGTACTGTTCAACTCAACCAACCCGAAAAACTCCCAACGGAAAAGGAAGTCTATCACTTGTTATTCACTTTCGATAAATTGCAAGTCGATTAAATTCTAAGTTCAAGGAGTTTCTTTGTCATATAAAACACAAGAAGAGAGCGAGTGAAGCCAGAAGGGACGTACGACTGTTGATTAGTATATAGTAAGTTAATGGACGTCTTCTTCATGCTTTTATGCAGAATTTACAAAATTATGAACAGTTGAAGCGTCTCGGAAACAGCAAGCAAATTTAAAGTGTTCGAAATAGCTTGCTGATAATTTATGATGTAAGGAATATTGTGTGAGGGCTATCACCCACACAGGTCCAGAAATGTTTGCTATAAGATTTATCGTTGCACTACATTCTTCACTTAGTGCTGATGTTTAATTTATACGTATTGAATACACTTTTCCGATGATATTTGCAGCAATCAGCAAATCGTTTAGAGACCCCACGTGTAGTTATGCTGTTAAATATGTACGCTATATTGCGAAGGAGCTCGTATGCATTACGTATCGAACATTTTTGCCTAAATTTTGGCACTTCATTCGATGCATGTCAGACATTTTTGGCGTCTCTCAGAAATTCCTATGGGAAAGTGCGAATCATGCTATGACGACATTAACTACTGAGACGACGTGTCATAATGTGTCGTCATGACGCTAAAAGCAATCGAAATTTCGCAGTGGAAACGAAATGTTCGGTATTTCCATGTGTCGATATAAGATTTTTATCGAGTTCTAATTAAAAAGACTTGCTACTATAGGGAAATACCAATTGTTTCCGCAATTTGCGTATGACATTTCTTCTCAAAGTATTTTTTCTAACTTTGGTGTTAGGTAACTTCAGCCAAAGAAAAAAATCTAATTATAGCTAATTTGAACATTATTTGTCGTTCTTCGAAGAAATTGTGCGTATTATTTTGATTTTAATCCGCTTTACCCAGCTGATTCATTCACACATATTTTCGTCTAATTCTGTTTGGTCTCGTCTGGAACATCTAAAATTGGTGCTTATTGAAAATCGTAATTCATAATACGCTGTTCAAATGCAACGTCCCCCACAAAAGATTGTCTGTCACGAGTAGAGTTATATCTGGAACGGCAAATCGTCTTCAAACTCTTTGAAGTTTATCCTTAAAGCTCGTTTGACAAAAAAACAACACTTTAAACTAACAAATTAGCAGGTGCACTATACATATTTCACCAACTGTGTTTTATTGCCATTTTTCATCAGTTGATTTTTTTCATCGTCTCCTGAAGACTACACAATCATAGAACAAGCGAGGACACTACCCTTTGTCACTCTTACTGGTTTGATGATTAGTGAACAGCGAACGCATATGACTAATACACGATAATTTAAAGCATTACGTTGCCACAGATTACGATAAAAATCTGTGAGTACGTTTTATTTAAATGAAAATTGTAAAATCTTTGAGTATGTTATACTTCTTCAATCTTTTTGTGTTTTAATTTCCTAATTTGATAAGTGCAACAATGATTGCAGTAAGCTGTTACTTTAGCACATATCATAAATATCCGGTGTTATTTTTTGTCGGGAACGTCACAGCTATTCAACGGCAGGAATACTGAATGGCTTAAAGGTGTATTTAGGAATTGGTATGAAAAAAATTTGCAAATTGCAAGGCTTTTTTAATCTTCGGCAAATGAAATGACAAGCTTTATATTTAAAATATAGAATATTCTGCTCAATTGTTAGATCAAAAGTGGGACGGTTTGCCAGTATAACATCTAGTTAACGAAATGGTTATAAAACATCTGATGAATAAAATGGTTATCATAAATAGAAGCTGGTATAGAAATGTTTGATAATTTTATGTGGTAAATAGAATGACTTATTCGATAGTTAACAAAAGGAATTTTTGTTTGATATTTGGAAAAGGCAGAATCGTCACTATAAACAGTCTTATTTGAAAACCTACAAGCAATCATGCCAAAGTTATTCTATGAATATGTCATAAAAGAGCTGACCAGCAAAAGTTTAAAAACAATTATTAAATGTTTTGGAGTTTGATAAAAAAATCTCTGCATTGATGAATAAATATGGCAATCTTCAAACTATACGAAAGCTTTTATGACCTAATTGCTGTGCGAATAAATGTGTGAAAAAATAAAAGCATGATCACTTATCTGTTGTTTTTTTATCATTGGCTCTGGGTTATGTATAAACGGCTGTATACAGTTTAGGTAATAACCAGCAATATACATATAAATTTATTCATTAGCTAGTATTAAAATTACCACGAAAACAATGATTAAGCTGGCATGAAAATTAGTGAAATAACCTTGTAACATAACATTTATGCAGTAAAAGTCTCCTCTAGATCATGGGACGAGTCAGGCACATTGAAAAGATAGCTATCCATTTTCTTAAAATGAATATGTTCAAATCTTGAGTGTATATAGAAATCAGCGTCAACTCTACAGGCAATAGATTGCTTTTGTTTTACTATAAACATATACTGCTGTAGTATATGCTGTTAAAACGTAATTTGTGCAAACACTCAAAACAACATAATTTAGCAACAGTTTATCTTAACTACGCTGTCAAACTTTGGCTCATTTGGGTTAGCCTGTTATAATTCAGTATTTCTAGACTTTTTTCCAGGAGAGTTAATTGTTGGGCATGAGTTGATATAAGTATTATTTAAAGAGCTATAACAATGTAATCAAGACATGACGTGACAGTATGCTCTCATCGTTGCCCATGACATAGTGAAGTATTTGTCATCTGTCTAAGAAAAAGAAAGGAAAGCGTATCTTTGTCCTCATCAGCAATAGTCTTTTCCGCGTTTTTAACCCTTACTTGTCTTCGTAGCACGATTAAAGAAAAATTGAAGTAGCTGAAATAGTGAACTTATTATCACAGTTCCATGACTATTTCCATTTTTTGTATTGTATTGGATCGATTAAAACTGAAAAGCGAATTGGAACGTAACTTACATTCAACTTTATACTGACCCAAGTCACCAAACTGTTTAAAATTTTTGCATATGGGTGTTAATTTCTCAATTGCCCGCTTGTTCCTTTCCGTTTACGTAATTCATTTTAATGCGTTAGCTATACCTGTTGTTTAAAGTTTAGTCCTTGTATATACTAGTAGTCATTTGAGTAGCTCCATACAGTTTTTGAAAACATAATTTAATGCTATTTCATGCTCTGCAAACTGAAAAACATCTTGCCACTATATTGGGCTTTCAGCATTCCAGCGCAATGCAACACTGCTGGTGATCGGATAAATTCCACACCAGTTTTGGAATATTGACAAAAGTATGCTGTAAACACAAAGCAGTACTCAATATGAAGTGCTCCGCAAATTTCCTATACGTAACAGCTATAAGAGCATTCTACGGTCACGCAGCAACTAGCCTCGACTGTCGTTATAGTGACGGTCATGTTTTGGCACACGCAATCTTTTTTGCGAAGATAGAGAGTAATCTATCTTTCAAAAACTTTACATAATCGGTAGACTGAAACCTCTGACTGAAGAGGTCAAGAGGATACTTTACCGTACACAGGCAGTTATTACCTCATTGGGGGTCAATATACTTTGTTTCAAATGTATATACATCATCAACGATATGGTAACGCTGAAAATCTCGTCAAGAGATTCTCGTCGAGGTGCTTAAAATTTCAGGATGCGCTATAGCAAACATGTTTTAATTGGTCAAAAGATGTTTTTGTATTAATATCGAAATCTTTTTGGTACTTCTGAAACTTTGCAATTTTTATATTGATGGAAAATGAATAAAATTAGAAAAATTGTCTTGTACCCTATTTGTGCAGATTAAAATCACTATTGTACATACCAGCTTTCACTTGAAAAGACTTTTATGTAGCTACGTTTTTAGTATACCATTACAAAGCAGATTACGTATTCTTATAGCAAATTCTGAGCTCCCCAGTTATATATGTATTGTTTCGGCTTAAAAAATGAATTTTTTCGCTCCACACATGAAAATAGGTTGAGAAACTTTATTAGTTGAAAATATCAAGTCTGCATCTTGAAGACGCCCGAAAATTTTGCATTGAGCAAGCGAGTTAGAGAGCAAAGAAGCGTTTTCTGCTAACTCGCGCACTCAAAGGTTGGTCAATTTTCAAGAGTTCTATAGCTTCATTTCATGACGCTAACACTTGAAAATTGACCAACAGAAGCCTTCTACTGAAATAAATTACACGAAGTCTCGCCGATCTCATGTTCTTTATTTCTTCGTGAAAACCAACGTATATACCATAAATGGATTTCGCGATTTTCTGGCTAAATCAGACAATGGCGATGAACACAAACTGTTCGCTCTTTCAGATTTAACATTTCTATAGCGTATTGTACTTCATTGTATTTCGAACCAATCAACCTGATCGTATCGATAGATACCTTTGTTTCTTTATAAGAAAGTTGTTTAAAAATAACATTATTTTCATTTTGCTTGCCTTTCCAAGCTTAAACAAATTAACAGTAAATCTAAGTTTTCCATAAGCTGTTTGCTCTCTTCTTCAATAGCTGAACGAACAGCCACAAAAGTTGACGAACTTTGTCAATCCCGCTTTTAAGTATGCAGTATTATTATTTTCGGCTTGTTATCGCAAACTCAAAAAGTCATTTATATTGATCATTTACTTCCGAGAGACGTCATAGTAGGATTATACAATGTCATGTTTGGTAATATGCATCACTTGTTTCAGCTTTCACACGTTAATTCCAAGCAACATATCAGTGATCACACAAAACATTCCCTTTTTACCGACACCTGTTCCTCAACATAAACTGATAACCGGCATATGCGTGTAAAATCAATGAAAAGTTTATTTTGTATACTTCGTGTAATGAAATTGTGAGCAGTATTTTCTACATTAACTCCCCTTTCCCAAAATGCAGAAGTGACAGCAAGAGGAGGGGGGGAGAGGGAAATTGTCCCTCCCTCAATATTTCTCATACTTAAGTATTTATACATGTGGCTTAAAAATGTCAGTCACATAAAGCTGTGCGTAATACATGTAAGTGACATTTTGGGCGTGTTTCGCCCCCCCAAAAAATCCTGCCTGCGCCACTGCACACAGGTGCTTGTTCTTTCATATCCAAATACAGAGAATGCGGTAAGTATCTGTAAATATCTATGCTGTAAGCCCACGGAACTAACATTCGTCTGTGATATTCAAATTAAAGTTCTAGTATAATGACTGTCCAGTTCAAATCGTAGTCTTAGCCTCTCAAGTGACTAACGATTAGCATCGGACAACCGGTCCTGTGTTGGCTAATTCTCTCTTATCCACAGTATACCCCCACTTCTTGTTGGTAGCACCCATTCCTTTACCCTTTACGAAAACCTGCATGGTTGACTCTTTTTGGGATGGCACCCACATATTGGAAATCATCGCCTTAAAATTCAAGATCAATCCGGAGGTACCAGCCCTCGAAATTGCCGGAAGGCAAGGACAACTTCGATCTTGCACTCGTTTTCACCCGTTTATCTCACTGGAGAGGGCCGGAAGAATGACCAAGTATAGTAGAGCTTACTCCCTGAACTAACCAACAAGGGGTGAAGAAAAATTTTGTCTGAGAGAGCAGGCAGCCTTCGTTCCTGCCGCGGGCAAGCACAGGTTAGATCATCGTTCCCATTGCAAGTAGGCTGCTAAGGCAAGTTCAAACACCTCAGCCGAGAGATTTATAAATTTTACGTCATAACTCCAAATGCTAAACACCCTCGTGGGGTCGCTGCATTTTGAGTGCCATGGACAATCCAAAAAGCAAAATACTAGTTGGACTAGTCGCACTCCCACAAAAGTAGTCATGCAACGGCTCCTAGTGAGGCTCGTAAGCTAAAAACAGCCTTTCAATTTTCTTTGCGGGTGAGTCTCGAGAAGTAACCATTGAAAGAGACTGAGAGTCATAGTTACTCTCGTCTTTTACCCGAGCAAGGCTTGCGTCAAAGGTCCCGGAAGTGACTTCCACTGACTTCCACGACTTCAGCAGTCGATTTCAAGACTAGTTCAGGTATATATTCAGCTCAGTGTCACTTGTTTCACTTATTGTAAATTTGCAAGATGGCGAGCGAGATGACAAAACGAAGTCGACGAGAACTTCAAGAGGAGATTAAAAACCAAGGAGAAATAGTTAGGAGTTTGAAGCTGGAAGAAAAGACCGAAGAAGTTAAGCAAAAGGTATTTTTATTTTGCGCATTGGCAGTAATGCCAAAGGTCGCGGCCCTTTCTGTAATGAGTGTGAAACAAGTCTGAAGTCTCAAGTCACAACAGGTGCATTGGAAGGTCAATACGACGCCACGCCAACAATCTTAGCGTGCTGTTTCGATTTTAACAATAAATCATACCACGGAAATATTTTCATACATTTGGAGTGCGTATTGACAGCAAATGCACTGTGGCTATAATACAACACTTATCCCAAACTAAAGCACGTGGAGTCGGTGGGGAATTGTATGTAGGCTGTAGCTGTTGTAAATTTGTAATGACTGTTTAAATGAAGAACATGATTAATAATTCATGTTGGCGTTGGTATTCTCTTCTGTTTGACACAGATGTTAATAGTCCCTGTAGAAAAGCAAAACGACTTGCTTTCTTTTCATTAACAAACGTTCATATTTTGACACTGTGCTTGGTTTGGTTTGTGTCATAAGTATATCAAATCTCTAAACCATCCAATTTTAATTTATCTACAAGAAAGAGCCCTGGGAACTACAAGGTGGATTTTTCTTTCATGTTCAACAATTGCTCAGCCAATATCTTCCTTAACTTTTATCGCTAGATATGTTGCTGTTGTAAGATTTGAGTGTATTATTAATGATTCATGTTGGTTTTTGGTGTATGCTTTTGCTTGACATAAACATTGATATTTTTAATATTAAAGGATGATGACTTGCTTTCTGTCAAGATTTTACACATTTTCCTATTTTGTCACATTACTTGGTTTGTGTCATGAGAATATTAACTCTCTCTCATCGTTGAATTTCAAAGTAGAGCAGGCAAAAATATTTTTTATTTCATTAACATAGATATTTGCTTTCATGTGTCTCCACCTGCGCACTAAATATCCTCCTAGAAACGATCTTCTTTAGGCTGCCAATTGAATATACATTATTTTACACTGATGTTCATATTGGGGTATGAATTGACATAGGCAAACAATATTTCTTTCCTATCAAAACAATATGTTGTTTTCGTAGACATGCATAAAATATTGACAAAATGCTGGACAAGTTATTGCATGTTGTTGTGGGAAGTTGGGTTATTTATTAATCAATGTTATCAGTAAAGTGCTCATGTGACAATGTTAAATGAAGTACCCAATGGCTTTATTTAACATGTTTTGCTTCTTGTTTGTTTGACATTCCTGATTCTGCGCACTTTTATATAATGGCTTTCTATGATATGCATATCTGTTACACTCGCAAAGGCCTTGATAATTTGTCCTAACTATCACCATAGAAGACTATCTGTCAGTGACATGGAGTGATTCTGAATGATTTTGATCAAAATTTATACCGATAAACTTTTTAATATTGAAGCCAATCAAATTGTAGGAAACTGCAAAATTTTATTAGTTCTTAATTAAAAGTAGATGTAAAAATTATTTCCACACATGGCAAGAAAATCATTTGAAATTGTACGAAAGGTCTTTTGACCATGTTGGGCAAATGCTTCAACTTGATTAGAAAATCTCTTCGATTCACATAGACTTGTGTTGGCATTGAAAACTCAATAATTAGGGAAGGGGAGGGGGAGCACATATTCATATATTCACTTTCTGCCGTATTTTCAAATGTTCTTTGCTACCGATTAGAACATGAATATATGAATATGCACCCTCCCCTCCCCCCCAACTATCGAGTTTCCTAGGCCAATGTGTGTCATTAAATATTAATCCTACTTTTCGTGTGTATTGGTTTCATTTCTTAGTTGTCCTATAATTCCTGGACATGTGAAATCAATTGATTCCTGTGTTTATACAAACATCCGCATAGCCAACGCATTCATTTTTTCCAGCTTTGCCATTTATTTTCGTTTTCTGTGTTTAATTGTACGTACCACGATAATACCTAGTCTGATGTTTACGTTGGGTGACGTAAACTTGCCGGTTGGCTACGCTAATTGATATAAAAGAACAGAAAATGAGAGAATCATGTGCTCACTTGCGACCTTCTTACTCTTTGTTTCGTAGACTGAGCGATGAACTATTGGAATGTTTGTATGGTCGTCCGTTCTCAGTTTCTAAGGCTAAGGAGTCGCAAGTGGCACATGAGGTATTCGTCACATTTTGAGGTCAGTTGCTTTCAAAATACTCCTAATAACGATGTAATTCAAAAAGTTTTTGTAAAACATTATTTGCTAAATTCGATCGTAGCATAGGCAACAGTTGTAACGGTGCAGATCCGCCGGAAACGTCGCGAAACATTTGTTTTTGAAGAAAAAAATATTCCTTTCGCGTAGCATTATTGAAGAATGAGTCGATTAAAATCATCAATCTGTATTTTACTGCTATTTACTATTTAGATAAAAGATGAGGTCGCCAAACTGCTCGCTTTGAAAAGTGAATTACAAGATGATGGACCCCAAAAGTTCGTTCTAAAGACAGCCAAGGTATATTTACTGTTTTTTGGCTATGAAAACTGAAGATCTTTTCGATTAATTACACTGAGTTGCAGTTATCAAACAATTATTGGACGAGGTTGAGCATGATATCAAGAATTATTTAGATCGAGGTCAATGTTATCTGCCGAAGCGAATGCCAAAGCCGAATTCAATATTTGTTTTATTATTCACTTCAACTAACTGAAATACTATTGAAACATATCAATGTAAAATATTTTTAAGACCTTCGTTAATTTGTACTTCTCAGACGGTTTATGTTCATCAATATTTTCTGAATATGTTCAAAGCCAGCTTTGCCGCTTTTTTTAGTGTTTTCCGCATTCTTTTTGTTCTAAAGCTTTTGCATGTTGTTTTTAGCATGTTATTGTTTGCTATTATTTGATTTTTTTCAAAAGCGGCTTTTAATGGCGGCAATAATTGTAGAAACTATTAGGTATTTGAAGATAGGACGTCACTCTAACAGACATTGAAAATTTTTTTGTAAATATGACGTCATAATTACAGATATCGAAAATTATATGCTGGTACGTAGTTGACCTATGAAAACCGACATGATTTACATAGTGAATAATAACTATTTTTATTGTTTGCATCTGTCACTTCCTGTCATTGATTCGTCACGTGTTACTTTCGGTCATTCGAGATGACCTCTGGAATCTGGATCTTACTGGTATCATATATTTTACAGGGGACAAGGGACGTCAGTCCATGGCAAATGGCAATAAGGGAAAATATTTTCGATGTTATAACGAAATGCTTTCAAAGACATGGCGCTGAAAACATCGATACTCCTGTATTCGAATTGAAGGTGTGTGTATTGATATTTGTACGTCGTTTGTTCAATTTACCTGATGAAGGCCGTACCTGGGATCCTTCGTTTTCATCATTTTGTTTTCTTGGTATCGACTAACAGTAAGTTTGTGTTTATGAGGAAGTTTTTCATTTGCGAATAATAGGTTGAAGTTGTCCTCAGAATCTGTGTTGTATTCATGCATATTTACGGCAAACGTCCATAGACGTCCAAAGATGTTTCATGCGTCGCCCTGGGAGCAATCACGTTGACTCAAAAAACGTTCTCGGGTTAAATATATTGTTCGAACTTTTAAAATTTTTCGAATTTTTGATGCGTATTCATTTATACCCTTACCGCTCAAAATTGGCTGTCGAAATCTACAATGAAGTATTCATCATAGCTAAAGAATGCACAACCCAAACGTTATTTACAACAAAACGGAAAGACTTTTATTCTAAATGAACAAGACTTTATCATCGATTAAAAATTTCTGGAAAAAGCACAGTTTTTTTTCGATTGTTCAGACTTTCACGAGTTTGCAATCGGCAATAATTGCTTGCTATTTTTGTTGCGATGACCGTGCTTAATTTTTAGCTTTATATATCCAGTATTTTTTGAGGCATTCATCAGCGTTCCTTTACCAAACACGAGACTATAAACGCAACTCTTACGGTAAGGACTCGCCATTGGTCCACATGGTGAAGTGCGTATTGCTCCGTGTTTGTGTAAATGTCGTGAAGTGCGTAAATGTCGATTAGCATGTCCGTTTTGATGCACAGCACATCGTTTTTGTGCTCATATCGATGTTGGCTGTATAAATGAAAAGCCCAGATACTGGGATTGCGTGAAGGAGAAAGTCAAAAATTTTTTTCAAGCTTTAGAGTCTTTAATCTCTTATCTATTTTTTATGCTGTAAACATTTTTTCATGCGATATAGGAAACGTTAACTGGAAAATATGGAGAAGATTCCAAACTGATATATGACTTGGCTGATCAAGGTGGAGAACTGCTTTCATTGAGATATGACTTAACCGTATCCTTTTTTTCTCGGTTCTTTTTCGCCTGACATCGAATGTCGTAGGAACATCGTGAAAATTTTTGTAAATACGTATATATATATATATATATATATATATATATATATATATATGGCCTCTTACCTTGTGATCGCAGTCATGTGATTCCGAGTGACGTCATGCATATTTATTTGCCATTATATGCATGGATGTATATGATGGCCTAAATCAATGTGTCGAGTATCCTTCGCCAGATAATGTGAAGAAGACTTTGTCTGATTTCAATTGCTCTAACATTAACGAAAAAAAAGCACTGGTCTTATTTTACCAAATATAAATCTAGTCTAACCGTTCTTTGCAATACACATGGAAACGCCAAGTTACGTATATCTTTCATAAATATCACAAGTTAAACAAACGACACACTTCCCAGTTGTTCTACACACATACGTATATTTCATTACTTCCAATGTCTGTGTTACACGAAGTACAGTCTAAATCAAACTGTTAAATGGGTATTAATGTACTCATTGCAAGTTTTCCGCCGTAGTTTCGTCCATTTGGTCACCATATCCCATGAAATCATTTATCGAAATGTGTGATTTACAGGTCATACAACAAACGTTATTTTTTATTATACGCCAGAATTTTTTACGGTTTCGATTATTTTGAGCTTAAATACGTTTTGCGAGTCTGTATACGGCAGTTGTTGCAAACGTTGGATTGTGTATGTCATTTGCTTGTATCTTCTTTGACTCAAACTCCACAAAGGTACCTTTTGCAAGATACGTTGCCATGAATAAAATCGACAAAATCAAGCGATATCACATTGCTAAAGTGTATCGAAGGGACAATCCAGCGATGACGAGAGGAAGATTCAGGGAATTCTACCAATGTGTAAGTCATAAACTAAGTTACGATCCACGAATTGCTGCTAACTTAGTAGAAACTACTCTTGTACATGCATATTTTTCCTATCCTTTAAGGTGCTTATAAAGTGAAAATTTTGTTTTTCAAATTATTGCTTTATTCAACAGAACTTTTTAAATTTGACTGTAGACTTTCTAAAACAATTTATAAACATCTCTTTTCATTTTCAAGATATTGAAGTTTTTGTAATGTCCCGTTTTGTATATCCCGTGACGTCATATTGCATAAAAAATAATTCGCCGAAAAATCTGAAATATCTTTCAGTTTCCGGGTAACTTTTGGGTGAAATGCCTAGGTTGAATTCTATACCATGAACACTGTTCAACTGAGGCATCTCTGCTTGTCGAAGTATAATGTCATCAATTATTTTTTATTTATTTGTGCGAAGTGATATTTTTTTATTTGTGATATCTTTTCGCAATAAATTTGTTTACTAATTGGAATTGAAATTTTTCGAAATTGTTTTAAAAGCCTCGTGAATTGTTCAAGAAGAAAACAAAATGTAGTCAGATGGTAGTCACCATAGTGAGAGCGAATTTTATTATCTACGTAGACGAAGTGACGGACATTTTAGAAAAAATTCAATTTCTTTGTCGACAAGCCCCATCGACCATTTAACAACGTGAATTGCTTCATAAAAATAAAAAAATAAAAGCGTTATTTCCCCTTTAGGTCGGTCTAATATTTAAGAAATATTTTCCATCTGTCTCAGAACCATTCTTTCGCTCTCTGGGGCTGCTTCTGAAAACTCGTGAAAATGTTTTTCACCACGGACCTCCAAGCCGGTCAATAACACACACACGCATATTTTTCCTCGACCAATATTTTCAATAAAAACAAAAACTTTAATTGTAGGAATGAGAAAAGATATGCATAAACTGTTTTGAAAAGTCTAATGTCATTTGAAAGTTCTGTTTGATAAAACTATAATTTGAAAAGTAAAATTTTCGCTTTGCAAGCTTTAAAATGGCGTTTCGACGTCAAAAATGATTGAATCAGTCATTTGCAAGTTTAGTTGGTGCTGTTGTTGCTTTTGCCTACAGTTTAGAGGAAATCTTCATCTAACTTTTGCTTTGGTTTACCATGTGATGTATATGATTGAATGTTTTTTGATGAATATGATTGAATGAATGTTTTTTGATGTATATGATTGAATATTTTTTGATGTATAAGATTGAATGTTTTTTTTATCCAAAATGAATGTCTTTCATCATTTGAATCTAAGTCGCAATCAAACCATAGTACTAGCACTGCGTAGAAACCCCGTATTGATTTTGCCCGTCATTCGTTTTGGTGTTGTTGCATTTTACGTGACGTCAAGTTTATGATTTTCAGGATATAGATATTGCTGGCGAATATGATCCAATGATAGCTGACGCAGAATGTTTAAAAATCGTTTCGGAAATATTAAGCAATTTGAAACTTGGGAACTTTTTGATAAAGGTAACGTGTGCAATCTCGTTTGTGCTTACACTCAGCCTTAAAACGTTGCCAATACTTCACGGGCCTTCTGGCTATAGAACAGACCATACGTACCTGTTTAGTTTACCCATTTGGAACTTATAACCAATTATTTATACGATTATCTCATAATTTGTGACATCCTCCCAGCTAATTAAGAATTTGCGCTTTAATTTTCGAACTTTTGTAGGTAAATCACAGAAGGATACTTGATGGAATGTTTGAAGTTTGTGGTGTTCCTGCTGAGAAATTCCGAACAATTTCGTCTGCTGTTGATAAACTTGACAAGGTACAAGGTCACATGTCATGCAGCATAACAATACGTAATTAATGTTTTTTTATGCTTATGTTTACGTTTAACGGTTTCGTTTGTGTTTTTGTGTTCGAGTTTTGTATTTACTATACATCTCCATTTTTATGTCAACGTGAATATTTTGTATTTAAGACAAAGCTTTATGTTTGAGCCTCTGTTGAAAATTTGTATATTTGATATATTCGACACGTACTACTTTGCATTGACTTTGCTTTTGTTTTTGTGATTATTCCATATGAGTGAAGTAATAAGTTTGTTTGAAGGTGAACTATAGTTGGCTTTTTCCATCAGGAAAAACGAATCTGCTATAGCTACGTAACTAAAAACATTTTTCCATCTTCTGTACATAAACCTTTCATAACTCATTTCAACAGAGTCGACCTTGGTTAAATGACAATCTCACAAAAAATACTTTACAAAAATTTTTATAATTGACATTCATGCGTTGTGGAATTTATGACATTGGTCGTGTTTAGACACCTTGGCAAGAGGTACGAACGGAGATGATCGACGAAAAAGGACTGGATCCTAGTGTTGCCGATGCCATCGGTGTTTATGTGCAACACCATGGTGGTATTGAAGTTCTTAGCAAGATAGAAAGTGATGAAAAGCTAGGAAACAACAAGAACGGAAAGACAGGCATAGAAGATATGAAACTTTTGCTGCAATATTGCCAGCTTTTTGGTATAATTGACAAGGTATGTTGAATGATCAATCAACTCGAGTCTCATCCATTATGTCACTAAAATACGTACTTATGAAAGTACGTTTGATCACCCACGAAATAGTTTACTTTAAAATATCTTAGCCTTGAAGTGCCTGAGATTCGAATTTTTTATTGTGTTCAGTGAAGGAACCTTATGACGGTCAATGATAATGAAAATCTTCAAACTGCAATGGATTTTCTTTCCAACATTGTTGACATTTATGTGATATGTTGATTAGAGAGTTTGGTCAATCATTTCCTTATTGACGCATTTCTTTGCTACGCGGCAAGCTTACCTGTGTTCTTTCAGGGACATAGGAACGGGAGGGGGGATCTCTCGAAAATTTTAGGATTAATGGCAGAAATGTGAGTGAAGTTGATTTTTATTTTTGGAAATTTTGACTTACGTAGTTAGTTACAAACATTAATAATTCTTTGCAGTGTAAAATTATGCTTCTATACGAAATTTACAACCCGTATAGTACAGTGGTAGGCTTTCAAAAGGTAAGGGCAATTGAGGAATGAACTACAAAATGGCCATTTCCAGCAGTTTAGAGGATCTGAATTTTTAAAACTTGTTATATTAACCCCCTCCCCTCAGTATTGACAACCTTTCTCCGTCCCCGTGCTTTATCTGCAATATATGATTGTTTTGGAAGTTGATCAATGATGACCCACGTACTTCATATAAAGCAAATTTGTTTCATATTTGTCAGAATAAATGCATGCTTTTGTAACAAACATACAAATTATGGCATGGTTGACCATAAATTCTCTAACTTACACATCACAAATCTGCATCATCAATCGCTTTTTATTGAAGTTCCCTGCGCGCAATCTGCTTCTTTTTGCACCATTGGTGAACTTATTTTAACATATGTCTGTTCAGATCTCCTTCGACATGAGCTTAGCTCGAGGTCTTGATTATTATACTGGAGTTATTTATGAAGCGATTCTCCTTCAGCAACCAGAAAGCGTGATGAAAAATGAAAAAGGTTTGTGCGAAACCGCGTTTTTAGAAAAATCTTTAGCAATGATGAAATTTTGTCGTTAAAACATATTTCAACACGGCCGTTTTGTCGTTAAAACATATTTCAACAAAACCCCAAGGAGCGGGGTTTTTCTAGAAATAATAAAAATCGTTGAGAAAACACAAAAACCAAATGTTTCTGGCATGAAACATTCAAGGGAAACTTGGATGTTTGTTGTTTTTGTATTTGCATATTTTGCGCAAGAAACTTTAACAGAGGAAAAACTATGATACACATCATGGAAATATAGACGTTTTGTCTTTTAAAGTGGAATTTGACGTCCCGAACACGACGTCAATTCATATAATTTCACGTCCTCAAATACACAAAAACGCCTTCCTAGACATTACTGGAAATACATAAAAACGCCCAATACCACGTCATCTTGACGCCTTCTTCGACGTTATGTTGTGTTAGCTAAAACTGTCTAGTTACTCTTGTATTAGCACTTAATAAAACAGTGAAGAATTTATCTATTTCAACAAGAATTGACCATGGGAGTAAAGTGCATGCTTATGTGTATCACAAGGTAGCTAATTCGTTTTCAATGCATGTTGTCATTTTAAATACCTAACCTTTATTGCAGGCGAGTCAATCGGCGTCGGCTCCATTGCCGGTGGCGGAAGATATGACGATTTGGTCGGGATGTTTGCGGCTAAGGGACGTAAGGTGAGTGTCGGTGGAAGTTTGTCTTTGTAATGGATCCAACTCAGTTTACGTCATGGAGATGCGGCACCCTGTCCTCTTTTCAGTGCTAAGTTGCCTGCGTCAAATGTTTCAGTGTGAGATTTCGGCTCATGCCGCGCTATCCGACTGGGTATGCCAATTGAAAGCTTCGTTGCATTTTCATGAACATCATTAGTTCGTCGAGAGGATTGTGCAATTTTTTTGTCGTATATTATTGGCATCTTGTCCATCTTCTTCAGCTTGTTTCAACAAATGCATTTTCAAACTCTGTTTGCTTCGTATTGTACTATGTCCTTATTGTTATATGTTGTATCCCATTCGTGCTGAATGTTTCGTGAATATCATGAAACCCTTTGCAAGACCTAAACAATCACCCTTTTAACTAACGTTATAGGTAAATATAACAATCAGTCTTAAGCAGAGATTTTTGCGTATCTTTAGGTGCCATGTGTTGGTGTCAGTATAGGAATAGAACGTATTTTTGCCATTCTGGAAGCAAGAGTGAAGGTAAGAAACAGTATGCATCACATTATATTACCATGTCTTACGTTCATGTTTTGATGTAATCTAGTTTACTCGCTGATACGTTTATATTAAATTGGATAACGCAACAAATTGTAAATTATTCATGGTGAACACAATTATTTGCAAAATCGTTTCGCTTGCTTCCATCAAGGAAGCAAGCTTCATTTGTTGCTTTTACGAATGAATTACCTGCACCGTTTATATACAGTTCGATTCAATTGCCATAGGTAAAATAACGCTCAAAAATGATTTGTTTAGGGGGAGGGACATTTTTTTGGGACACCCTGTCGTACGAAAAGTTTAGTCGGATGTTCCCATAATGTTTTATCTATCGCAATCAGACGCGAAACTAGAGCGTTAACTTATAGAACGCCTGTTTCATTGATTTGATTTGTTAGCGATTATAATTCAACACATTACTAATACACTGCTATCAAATAAAAAGAAAGACCAATTTATGTTTCAATTTTAACATTCATGTTAATTTAGAGACTACGTATGCGCTCATCTAAAATAACATCAGTTCAGGGTGTATCAGAAGAAAGAAATTGACGTGTTGTGATTATTTCAGTACTTGATCACAATGCTAATTGCATTGGCGAATTAATGTGCTTGTTTTGCCAGAGGCCACGCAAGCTCGATAATTTAGGGGGCAAATATTCATATATGCATGCTCTACCTTAGTAGCTTCTAGTGAAATCAATTGTGTTTATGGATTAACAAAGATTAAAACATACGAATGTATCGATATTTGCATCCCCCCCAATTATCGAGCTTGCGAGGCCTCTGTTTGCTTATGAAACTAATTTTAATTTCTCAAGTGCAGAAAAAATTGTGCTTGTAACAAATGTATGTAATGTATGCTCGTAGCTGATCAATACTTTATGTAGCCGTGCTCGTGGGGCTAGCATAGTGATAGACATTGAAATTATCACATTACGTCAATCTCTAAAGGTCTTCATACACCCTAAAGCGCTTATCTGTGTGTGTATTAGCACTGGTGTATAGTGTATGTGTTCTATTCATATATAATAATATAGCTCAGTTTTCTACGTCATCTAGCAGAAGTTTATTTCTTTTCGCATGCCCAGGTTGCTGGTGACAAACAAAGAACCACAAAGACGGTCGTATTAGTTGCATCCGGGCAGAAGAACTTTTTAGAAGAACGAATGAAATTAGTTGCGGAACTTTGGCAGGCCGGAATTGCGGTAATGGTGCATTGTTTAACAGGATGAAAATGTTGTTATTTTGGTGTATGAAAAATCTGTATGAGCAATCTCAAGGGGGTTTATAGCGAACAGGAACATATTCATGGGTTACCGTTTAATTTTGTTGCTTCTCCTATCTTTCTAAACACATAAATATTTTTGTGTTCAGTGACCATGAGAGCACTAGATTTCTAAAGAAATGAGCAATAGTGATTATACAGAGGGGCCACTCGTGTCGGAACCTTTGATGTTTTTGTCATCACACATGTTGCGTTGCGCGTAACGGTCGCCATTATTCCAGCCAGTTGATTTGGGTTTTTAATTTGTTTCCAACCTTTAAAATGATCCGAAGTCATTTCACAAGTCGAAATATTCTCCAATTCATTATTCAGAAATGACGTTATGTATTTTAAATGGTTGAAAACATGTGACAACCCTAATCGTCTTGCTGGAATAATGGCCGACGTGAAGACACGTTGCACCCTGAGTGATCCTTCTGTATAATCATTATTCTGTGACGCTACTTTACACGACTGAGACGTTTTCATTGAACAATTTAGAATGCATTAGTAAACATCGCATTAAAGATATTTGTTGGCTATATGTATTTATAAAATAAGAACAAGAAAACGCGTGCGGTGATTGGTCTATAGCCGTGTTTGCATTAACCACTGCGAAACAAATCTGAACTCAACCAATCAAAACAATCAATCAGTCAAAGAGAATTTGCAAATCGATCGTGAATACATTTTAAAACTCGGGGGGAAAATTAAAACGTTTATTTTAAATTTGCCTTTTTCGCATTATTGTTAGGAAATAGTCCGCTTCTGGCTTATTTGGTAAAAATCTTAAGTTGGACTGATTATTTATACATAATGCATATGAATGTTGTTGTACATAGTTGAGTTTAAATTTGCCGTATTTATTACCTTGACAATTGTTACCATGTCAGGGTGAGACAGAAAACGTCACTTATATGTATCAAAGTAAATGATTTGAAACCGGGAGTATCGTTACATGTTTGTAAATGTATATCGTCCAGGTTGGTATAGTCCTGAGAAGGACTGTTTTTGTTGTTGTTGACTGACGTTTCGACAACCTTTTGACTCTGAAGATGACTACCGCTAAGGTTGTCGAAACGTCAGTCAACAACAACAAAAACAGTCCTTCTCAGGACTATACCAACCTGGACGATCTACATTTACAAACATGTAACTTATATGTATCGTCCAACGGCCAGCCTATGTGTACTCCCATATTTCAAACCTTTATGTGTTCTTTCTTAATTATTTTGCAGGCGGAACTGCTTTACAAAAAGAATCCTAAAATGCTGAGTCAATTTCAATATTGCGAGGAAAATGGAATTCCGTTTTGTGCAGTGATAGGTGATAGTGAATTGAAAGATGGAGTTGTTACGCTCAGAGATATGAAATCAAGAAAGGAGGTAAACACGTTGTTGTCGAACTACAAAGCCTTTAATGTTGCTTTGATTTAACTGGTACTCCCTACCTTGAGGCAAAATTCAATCATCCCAAATTGTAGAATATGTTGAAGAACTCGACTTCAAATTCGCCAATTACTTTTCTATTCGTTAGAAATTCTAAGACAGTCTCATACGAAAATGTTTCATTTCCTCGATTTCTATGATAGTACCGAATGGCTAACTTTAACTTGTAAGCGTGTCCTCAAGGGGGGTGGGATTTACTTAGGGAGTGCGGAGGATGCCAACCCTTTTTAGCCTTATCTACAGGTGTGCAGAAGGGGTGCTAATTTCCCTAACGCGACATCCACAAAATAATATCCAGCAAAATCCAATCCAAACTCTAGCCTCCCCCACCCCTAATACAAATTCATCCTGGATCCGTTTCTGTGTAACCTGCTAAAATATCAAAATCTTTTCAAAACACAATGAACAATACTACTACCACACCACTATAGTTTGTTGCTTTGTTGACAGTATTATTGCCCCTTTCGGTGGACGTTTATTTCCTTATTGAATCCTATGTATGATGCTGGTTTTAGTACTGTGATGAAAAAATGCCAAAACCACATCATATTATCCTCTGGAGTTTCCTCCCTCTTCATTGATACGTACATTACAAATTAGAGAAGAAGGACTACACTTCGTAGTATTTTGTCATAGGCTGATCTGGGTGTGGATATGGGTGTTTCATAAGGCGCATTGTGTCGGAAAAACAATCATTACGATTTGTTCTCTCGTCAGGTTAAAGTGCCAAGAGATGATCTTCGACTTCATCTGGCACAATGAATCACCAATCGCAATGATGTAAAGCTGTAAGAATTTCTTTTCAATTTATTCATAAGGTAATGAAATTATCACGTTCAGTTGTCGAGATATGTGTCGCGATCTTCTTCAAAAACACGCATCAAAATTGCTGTCTGATCTTGCGGAAAGAACATGCCTTGCGCACATTATGATGCTTGTCTTTATTCATAGAAATCTATATTTCTATACTTTCATGCCTGTTAATTAATTCAACTGCGTATTAGCTATAATAAACTCCATCACCAGACTTGGGAGTTAACAATAGTTCAAAAAATTGTTCACTCTTGGTCCATGATGACCAGGGCGCAATGAAACATTATTCGGCTTGATGTTTTTACGCCCTGATGTGGACCATGGTGTCAAACACCGTATATATTTAAAGTAAACAACTCGTATAATCGAGTTTAGACATTTTTACAATCATACATATGTTCTTTTATTGTTATAAAATGTGAATGCCGTCACGTGACAAGGATGGTGGGATTGGGAAGTACAGCATGTGTTACATATATGTTGCATCCCATACTCCGATTTCCCATAATGTCTTCACCACCATTTCCCACGTAATATGCGCTGTTATGACATTATGCTAACATGAATATCACTCGTATGGCGGAGCTTATGCATTTTTGTACACTTTGAATATGATTTAAGACTAAAATATATGCGTTTTTCACAACTACGATGTTGTGCCATGCTGACTTGCGACGTCACCTTGCTGAATCTACCGATCTATCGTTTCGTGTCAGGGGATTTTTAGGTAACTTAGGGAGCTTTCTAACATTTGCCGTCCTCTTTACCGGACCTTTCTTGGGATCAATGATCCTTTGATTGTCGGGTAGACCAAATTGACCTGTTAGTCTAAAAAATTGTGTTGACGTGTCACTAACATTATTACAGTCGTTCGTTGATGAATTTTTTAATAATTCTATAGACTATTTATCGTTACATAGGCATCACTATTGAGTGTTTTCATTCCTTTAGTTTCGTGAAAACCGAGAAACTGGAAATCATTCTAGATTTATTGATATTTTCAATACCGACTTGTATGTATATCGTGGCTTTGCTGAACTCGTAGTTACAGAAAACATCGTGGCTTAGCTCATTGCACAAGTCAATATGGCACCACGTAGGACTTTAATGAAAAATCGTTGATCACGATGTGCCTATAATCCAGATTGACGTAGATTTTCGTGATTTGCTATTGGCGTTTTTCTCGATACGTATGTGGTGTTGCCAAATTGTGTAGCGTGTAGTAAATAATAATAATAAACTGCATTGCAGAAGTTGACATAGATGAAACTTACTTTTGTCAAGCGATTGTTTTGATTCGTTTCTCGTGTCATATCATCAAGTGCATGTCGATGCTTGGCCTTTGTTTCACCAATAACGGCCTTCGTCTACAAAATTCAATATTTTAATCCTTGTCAACCGTCAAAAGGTTTTGTTTCGTGCGAATGATCAACATGCGTTAGCTTTAATATACAGCTAACTTTACCAATCGACATTAATTATCATTAATTTTGATATTAATGAAAAGTTACCGACAACTATCCTGAAGACAAAACACGAGAGTAGAAAAAATGGACATGAAAAATTTTATGCTAATTGTTGCTATGTACATCTTTCATGCTTGCAGACGTAGATCGTCCAGTTTAGCGCAGTTCATATACAAACATGTGAAGATTTTTAAAGATACTCTCGTATTCAAATAATTCACACTAATTTGGTAGGGTTAGTAGATAACAGCTTCAAGTAAGCTTTAGGAAACTTAATTTCGGTTTATTACCGCTTTCTTCGAAGGCTCTTTACGTACACGAGCGAGTTGCATGGAGATATGGTTTGGAATGATTTTGAGGCAGTTAAGAGTCACCGACGAAAAATACAAAACTTTGAAAAGCGCTGTAATAAATTCCTTTACTTCTGTACGTTTAAGTTGACGTAGCGTACGTCCAAAAAGTGGAATGTCCTAATGAATTGCCAGGTGAACACGTCATAACGATCCACGTCATTATGAACACGTCATAATTAACGTGTTAAATTGTGTCAAAGTGGACACATTCCTAATGGTTGTTTCAATTTGCAAAAGCGCTTAGAATTCTCGCTTAGAATCACTTGTAGCCAGCTCACGTAAACAGTACAAGGTCTGTTTTCCTTGAGACTAGATCTCAATTTCAATGCAATGTTTATTCAACATTTCAACATATGTATTTGTTTATTTCAATAGGAAAATTGACCATTTCACATACCTCTTGTAATTCGGTCACGTACATTTTCGATCTTCTTCAAGCTTATGAAATGACTATATTGTATAGAGATAATTGTAAGACATAAGTTTCAATTTACTGTGCATTGTAACCTAACCTTGTGACCATCCATAAAACAGCAAGATACTAACCCTTGATTCATTATTCAGTCTCCACTCCAAATCATTTAACTGGCCTTCTAAGTCCCTTTTTTCTCGATCTAACTGTTTCATCAACTTTCTTATCTCGACCTGTGACATGTCAGAATCATTTATGAAAAAGCCTGTTGAGGAAAGCACTGTAACTTTTTCATGTTTGAATGCTTACATCAGACAGTTCCTCTTTATTTGACTTCTTTTGCATTTGATGATTTCCTGGATTGTAAACACAACGAATTTATTCATTATCCTTACATTGTTCATAATGCATGTAATGCTTTGCTTTATACAAAATCTCCTTTGCTCTTAGCCTAATCAACTCTTTGTAGCTACATACATTTGTGCAATTAAATTAGCACTTTTAAAACAACATTGCAGCTTTATACAAATTAGTGGCCTTATAGATAATCATGAATGTTAATTTCCTACACTGAGTCAATCCCCCCCGCATTAACAGGATTGACTGCAAGTCTAGTTTTGGGGATGGCAAACATCTTCTGAAAACATTTTCATTCTGCCTTTGTTTTCCTGACAAACTCTCTCTAACATGTTGTACTTTATAAGCATTTGTGGTCAGAGACTCAGATTGGTAGGTGGGTTGAATGATGAACATATACCCTGCCTAAAGTGTAGCTATCAACCAGCATATGGCATTGCATTCATATTCACAGAATAACAAATAGCATAGCTAAAGATGTAACATACACATGTCATCATTTTATAGATCTTACCACTTTTGTCGACTCCTGAAAATTCTGCAATTTGTCTTGTAACATAATTCTTTGTTTTTCCAGTTGCTCATTAATTTGGCACTGTGTTTGATAGCGAGTTTTCCATTCATTATCTGTAAAATTGATTTTCACCCTTAGGTAATCGCATAGACATATTGCACCTGTTCCAATGAAAAACCTACCTTCAATTTCATTTCCCTGATATTTATTTATGAGTTGCTCAACGGTTTTATCAAGCTCAATTTTGATTGATCAAGCATCAATCTAAAAAATTAAACCAAGTTTGATATAAATGCTGTTTCGCATTGTAGGTTCATCCCTACATATGGCAAAAGTTTGCTTGGCATTGAAAAATAGCATGTATATTATGCTCAATTGCCTGTTCCACCATGACCAAGTTGATTGTGTGTTCAAAATGAAATGTAATGTTACCAAATATCATGCAATGTTTGTCCCCCAAAAAGATAGTGCCTTACATTATTTAATGTGCAGTGGGTAGAAGTACATAGTAGTAGTACAGTGTTTAGATTTTCCTAGGAATACAAACAGTTGCATTCTCAAATATGCTCATTGAGATCATAAATAAAGTTCTTATGATCTTATCTCAGTAAATTTACATCCAGACTGGAGCAGACAAGTGCCATTTTCATGCCAATGTCGTTCTCGTAACTCGTACTGTTTTCACAGGTCTCAAAGTAAACAAACATATGCCAGTTGTCTGCGTTTTTTAATCCCAGCTATAAATTATTCATGTTTTAGTCAAAATGAATGATTATGAGATTGATGAAAGGAAGTTGAAATCAAAGTAAACACTGGTGGGATCAGGAATGTGCGCTCACAATAGTGAAGTATTTCAGCAATGCCGTCGTATATCAACCATTTTTGCATCATTTGTAACATCCACATGCTTTTTGGGAAGAAAATATTGAATATTAGCATCAGGAAAACGGTCGACAGTTCACTTACTTCATTTGATTTTCTTGCTCAATCTCGTCTCGAAGTCTATTGATTTCGTCCTCCACTTCCATCTTGGAGTTGCTTTCTTCATTGGCGAATTTACTCATGGCCATAGCCATGTTTTTGTTCTTTAATATGCCTTTTCGTTTGGGCTTAAGTTCTGTTCTACCCCATCCCTTCTTAGTGGTATTTCCTGGTTTAGTTTTATCTTTTACTGCAGTTCTTGTGCACACAGTTGCTGTGGTTGCTGTGATGTCTGTTTGTTGTCTGGCATAGCGCATGCTTTACACGTTACTATAGAAACCACATCAGTATGGTTACAGTAACAGGCTAAATCATTGAACGGGAAAACCTTAGCAACGTTCAAGCTACCAGGCAAAGAAATAGGACAACGCACTGGCGCCTTTTTTCTTTAATCCTGTGTAACATTGAAAATGAATGACTTTTACTAGGGGCAAGTTTGTTTCGATTATATGGGTGGCACAATTGTGGCTGGCTGGTAGCATTGACAATAGCATTTGATACGTGCATGTCGGCGTGATCTATTGATTACTTTCTCGGATGAATATACTTAATTTAACAGTTTTATTGTTAACTAGTTCTGTCAATTAGTGGGAGGTGGACACAGTCTCTTTTAGCCCAACTGACTTCTTGCTTTTTAAAAAAACTTCCAAAGCAATGTTGAGGATCTTTACTTTAAGTCTTTCCTAACAAAAGAGATTTTAACCAGCCATTTTTTGGACATGGAAATGCGTTCAACTGCTCAAACATGGCATTACCGTGCTCTCAAGAGAAAAGGGAGTCGTAGTGAATAAATCTGAAAGCGTTTTCTTGTGGTTCATTTGGTTAGTTGTGTGAAAACGAGTTCGCCTTTTGATATCAGAAAATTTATGTCTTGAAGTGGTTTTCAACTTTCCATACAGTATTTTTTGCCTGTTATTTTTGTTTTCTGAGCAGCTTCGGGTTCTGTGACTATCAAATATTCCTTACCTTTTCACTTTGTTAATATTTCATAAATCATGAAAACATTCTGGGAAAAATCGCAGATTTTATTGAATTGGAAACATTATTCAAACCTCACTTCCATGACAACACAAGTTTCCCCATTCTACTCAGTAGTTCTAGCTTACACGAGCCATTTCCGAATGTTGTCGCTTACCTGCATACATTCTGCATGTTGATGGTGGACTGTGGATGACTCGTTATATGACGTAGCAAATGATCTTTCGAACATCTTAATGAGAGATAATTGGTATAATTAGAACTAATTTTGCGAGGATTTGAAGAAGGAAGATGCTGATCAAACTATGCGCATAGCTGTTGGACAAGACTGTCTTTAGTCTGTCCAATTGGCAGCGAATGAGTTCACGTGAAAAACATTGTTCACCTGGTAGCGTGTTATGAGTGAGGATAGCAGTGCAGACAGCACAAATCAAGCCGAAAGCAGTAGCAAAGGTAACGCGAAAGGACTCAAAGTACCAGAAACAAACCAAAGCCAGATCTCGAACATCCTCGGCCAGTATGGCTACGAAATAGGAAAAGTAATAGGCCAGGGCTCTTACGCCGTCGTTCGAAAGGCGTACTCAAAGAAGAAATCGAAAGACGTCGCAATTAAGATTATTACGAAAAAAGGCACCGAGGATTTCCTCACCAAATTCCTTCCGCGAGAAATTCGAGTGTTAAAAAAGATTCGCCACGTCAACGTCATCAGCTTGATAGAGGTGATCGAGACCAACACTCGCATATACATTATAACAAACATAGCCGAAAACGGCGACCTACTTGAGTACATACGTAACAAGGGTGCTTTGCCAGAACCGGAAGTAAAACATATGTTCCGGCAAATCATAGAAGGAATCGACTACTGCCATTCGTATGATATAGTTCATCGTGACTTGAAGTGCGAAAATCTGCTCATCGATGCTTCAAAGTCTATTATCATCTCAGACTTTGGTTTTGCTCGCGATGGGATGACTACAGTCACTGGAAAGAAGAAGCTAAGTCACACGTTCTGTGGTTCTTACGCGTATGCACCGCCTGAAATTTTGAAAGGTAGGATATCTTAGAAACATACCGTGGCTGTCGTCACGTTAGCATTAGTCTGATGAGCTTGCATCCTGAGAATATAAGGTCTGCATCTATGGATCAGTTTTCCGATGGTATTTCAGCGTAATGTTGCTGCTAATTAGTTTTTTTGTGTTTTCTAAGCTCGATTCGACCTTCATTTTTCATTATTTTTCCCAACGCTTTCTTAAATGGATCCGGTGTTGTTATTGGAAGACGTACAATTCTCAACAATTCGCCGAATTCAACATTTACTGCCGTTCCCGTCTCAACAATACGCTTGATTCATTTGTGCATTGTTCATGCCATTTGGATCTCATTCGAGATTGAGATAAGAAAAGCACATTTTGTATTTGACTTGAAAAAAAATCAAAATTCTATGAACCTATCGTGTGAACAAAATTTGTAAACAACGTGCCAATGTGAAGTGACTGCTAAACGTCTCTCACATTACGTAATGTTGCTATTTTGTTGCCCTCAAGGAATCGCTTACGATCCAACAATGGCAGACGTGTGGAGTTTGGGCGTGATTCTGTACACAATGCTCTGTGGTCGACTACCGTTCGACGACTCCAACTTAAAGTTGCTTTTGCAACAAGTTCATCGGAGGGTGGAATTCTCGAGCAAAGTCAAACTCTCTGATTGTGCTAAAGGCTTGATATATAAGATGCTGAATTGGAACATTGCAGACCGTATTACGATAAAAGGGGTCTTGACTCACCCATTTCTGTCTAATGAAGGCAGCTGCTCAAAAACAGAGGTAAAAGTTTCCCAAGAAGAACTTGGGGACAATAGCGAAAAGATTGCCTTGAAAGACGAAAAGACGCCTCCCAAAAATGGCACATGTGTCTGACGTCAATTTCGATAGTCAGTAAACTCGCAAAAATTGTGGATTTATGGTTTTATGGTTTTACCGCACACTGGGAACCTCTAAGTCACGAGTTGTTAATGTATTATCTACTGAATCGTTAGAAAAATTGAGATCTATCACGAGTGCTTCATGCAGCAGTCGTTTTCTTTAATAAATAGCAAAAAACTGATGTGTTTTGTCAAAGAGTGTCAAAAGATATTTAGGGTGATTGCTTTTGCTGTTCTGCAATTTAAAAATTATTTCTCCCTCAATTATAATTTTTTTCATTATACAACCGCGTAGACTTGTGTGCACACAGTCACGCTTCATCTCCATAATCTTTGTCATCGCAATTTGTAGATATCTTTACCGTATTATCAAATTACCACAATGCACAATATGCAATCGTATAGTTTGCAAGGTAATATCTTTTTTTTCACGAGGTTCCACGAGGATGTTTTTTGTTTTTGGTAAAATGTTAAAAATATAGATCGTTCTTTAAAAAGGATAGATGGCTTCAAGTTTCAATATGTTAGTAATACTTTCTTACAAACACATAATCATACGATAGCTTATTTCTTCACATCGTGTTTGCAAATCACACTCAAATTTATGCTGTTGTCTATGCCAATAAAGTTGATGAGTTTTTATGTTTTGTCGTCATGCATATTATGTGTGATAAAAGCACAAATTATTTACAATGGAATTTTAATCTCAGTAAGACGGAAGGAAAGCGTCGATGATTGCGATTTTCGAGGAGAAACAACTCTCCCCTTTTTAAACAAAGCCAACAGACTGCTTCGATAATCGCTACGCATTAGTGCATATAAGACTGGAATGATAGCGAAGTTTAGCATTGCCACTGGCTTATAGTAGTACGAAAAACGCCATGCCAATTCATTCTGTATTTTCCCATGCCTTTGAACAAACTCTACTTGTTTGGTGACGAAAAGAGGGAACGCAGTTAAGAGTAATAAGACATTCAATAAGATGATTGTCTTTGCAATTTCAAAGTGTTTAGTGTTGTGCTGTTCGGCATTTATTTTCGTGTTTCGCCGACTCTGTAAAACTTCCTTGAGTATAAAACACTTCAATATGACTTGGAGAAGAACAGCAACTTCCAAGACAGCATATATTGTTATATAGATGTACATAAGTTTGTCGAATTCTTTAGCGTAAAGTGGCGAAATTTCCCCGAATGCTAAGCAAAATGAGCGTTGTTAAATATAATAATTTTACTGTCTGCCAAAATGGAGAAGTCAATCAGTAAAAATGTAGAAATCTACTCAATGCTTAGGAGTTGTTAATTTTTGTACTTGTACAATGCTTAGCACTTGTTAATTTTTGTATATTTTCCATGTTTAATTTTTTCTTTAGTAATTATTGCTCAGACGTAATTTAAAAAGGTCATGATTTTTACAAGTTCATCAACACAGTTGGCATAAGCTCTGCTGCTTTTTTCCATTCTCTATTCACTTGCACTATGTACATAAATATTAATGCAACAGTGGTGACGAGAATCTCTATACAACGGATACCGCCATTAAGGAAGAGTTTAGGGTACACATAATCATTTGGCATTCATGTTTATACCCTGAAAAATCATGAGGTAGTCATATTTGGGTGAAGATCTTTTTCATAACCATGTTTTTGCCGTTTTTGTATACGTGATATTTCAATTACTACCCCGTTTTGTGTAATATTGTTTTTTCGACAAAATGTTTACCACGCTTCTAATCTACAAACGATTAAAAATAGGTACGTTTTGCGTACAGGTACCACGTAAAATTTATGGCCACAAAATAAAGTAGATTAACTAGGATATACTTTACCTAACACCCACGCAAAGATTTCATGTCACGTGTCTGTCCGCACATTGTGAAAAATATAACAACTTTATTTACTTGAATGGTAAAATTGCATTTTGATACACTTTAACATTTCCTCACGAAAGTTTCGTTTGGAATTGTCATCAAAACGTTATGTTCCAGAGAGAGCAACGAAAGCTCAAAACAGTTTTTTGTTAATCGTTTATCCAAATATCATCGAGGATTACGACAGACACTCGATCAGACACGTTTTAAGTAGCATATAGCTGTGCATGCGCAGCGACCCGAAAAATAACAAAGTGCATGCCATAGTATTAAGTGTCATGTCACAAGACAAATTTCTTATACACCTCGCTCGCTTACTCGGTCTTTCCGAATATTACAAATGAGGCAAATGGTAGGAAGTTATTTATAAGCTTCTCAGTCAACACTTCGGATAATTTGTTTTCCTGGCTTTTTTATGTTGATCATGAATGCGCTACTCTCACCTTCTTAATACGTACAGCATGAAATGATTTAAGCAATTAAGCACAGTATTTAATAGAAATTTTTTTTTACTTATAACACCTTGTAATTACTTCATGTAGTGCTGCATGTAATAAGTAATCCTATAAGAAATTACGTCTTTAAAAAAAGGCATCTATGTTCATTATCCTATTGCTGCAAAATGCTCTCTTTTTAACTTATTCAGTTTTAGTTTTGAGTCATCGAACTGTTTGCAAATGCGACTTTAGTTTTCAAAAGCAACTAAAATTATTGAAATACCTACCTCAAAGAATGGTAAGATTTGTCAACAAAAATCTTTCATTCACTTATGAGAATTGTGGTTGCATGATCTTAATATCACGTATTTTTTTTCTTTTTATGATAAAATGAAATTCAAATTACATGCTCATATTTTTTCAATTCAAAAACACTTGAGAGAATGCATGATGCTGGGTGAAAGAAATTATTTTAAGCTTATTATTTACTTACAAAGTTTTGATTGTGCAAACTCGATGAATTCTCTGTGCAATTTATTTTATTTTCTTGAGTCAAATTGCATGTCTTTTTCATCGTTAAATTCTCCGTGAAATAAATTGTATTTTGTTGAGTCGTATATCCTACTATGCTACTAGAATTACCAGCATTGGCCATTGGAGATACTTTTATTAAAGTCATCAAAATAAGGAATCCATAGATATAGGTAGGAAAGATGTTTTGTAAATGTCGTTTAAGAACCATCTTCTGACCTCGGGTAGCTAAACAAACTGTTGCTCTTGCCAATAGACATTACGCTTATTATATTTGCAATTTGATTCCAATTCTTGTGCAATTAGTTTGTACTTGTTTTTACTGTCATATATATGTAATTAGTCTTTAAATCGTGCAGCTACAGTGCAGGATATTTTTAAATCGTGCAGCTACAGTGCAGGGAGCCAAGATGTGACCTGTGGTGTTGATTGTTTATTTTGATTAGGACAAGGACACCTCGTTATCACATTTTCAAAGATTGTTCATCAGCTCATGAAAAAAATTGTAATTTTTCGAGGACATGCAGGCAAAGGCTTATCTATTTAGGTCGACACAAACACTTTTAAGTGTAACATAATTGCCCACTTCTCGTGACATTCAATGACGTTTTTACAGAAAATTTAGAAGTACATCGATGTTAATGGGGTGCATGTGGGTGCATGTCAACTGCGATGAAAAGAAAGTGTATATTGGAAGGTAGATGATTGCCTATGAACACATGATACAAATTTTTATGCATTTATTTTGTAAATATTCCTTCTCGAAGCTTCGTTAGTTCGTCTATGGTAACAAACTGAGTTCGAGTTCATAGGGAATTCGAAATAAAAACTCTCACGAAAAACATTCTGGAAGTCATTTGAAGGGCGTGGAAGTTGAAAATGCGATCTAGGCCCGTTTCACTAGCGCACTTTATATGTGTCAACTTTTATTTGAAATAGTCTCGGATTTTAAGTCATTAGAGAAAATATTTTGCAAATACTTATGCAAACTTAAACAAGCCATATTGAGAAACCACTTAAATTTACAGAGATTTAATTTAGACAACAAATGTGATGTATAGCTTTACAGTTTGTCAGACGAATGTCATCATAGGCATTTTAAGAAACCACCTCCATTTGCTCATCTGTCATTTGGTAATACACCCGATCAGACATGCTAGTTCACTTGCATTCGTCACCATGTTTGCACCTTAATCGAAGACACACATTAAAATGTGTCAGCCATTCAAACCAATAATATGAAATCAAATAGCTGTTTACTGTTGTTCAAACAGCTTCTAGTACTAAAGCAGGGAAAAAACTTCTTTCGAAGGCACGAAGCAAAATCTCGAGCTATTGCGGAAAATTTCCGTGTGACTGTTACCATTGTTGTGCTCTTTTTCTTTCGTGAAGCCCATGGATAGCAATATTTCAGCAATCTTAACTATTTGCTCATTTTAGTAAACACTTTTGGCGTCCCGACCTGTGTATTTTATACCATGAAAGATAAAGACATCAAAAAATGTCTCGTCTTTTACGGTTAACACTATGAATCATGAAATACGCTTCCAGAGCACGAATTTGTTTCGTTATTTTAAGTTATTTGAACCGTTTCTTCCATTGAACTTTCCATGTATACTTAAAGATACAACCTTATCGAAATTTTATAGGTATAATTTCTAAACACCCAAAATTTAGCACAGTCCTCTTCAAAATTTAGTACTCGACCTTTTTAAGATATGTCTCGTTTGCTGCGAGTTATCACTTGATGTGGGTCGGTTACTTGTATAGTTCACGTTGATTGTAGAAGGAGTATAGATTCACCATTAGTAGCACGATAAAGTTGCGCAAAGTCTATTTGATCCAAGTTTGATATTAGACTCATCTGTCACGAATGACAAATGTTGTTCAAAATTTCCGCGCACACTAGGAAATTCTGTCGATCGCACTTGTCACGAATAACAAGTACGCGCGGCAAGTTTACCAGTGTGCGGCGGGCTTTATTGACGTATTCAGTTTCATCTATGTTGATGTTCATAGATCAAATGAAAGAGTTTATGAGGTCTTGTGAGAAAAATATACTTGTTGTTTTCTATATACTTACCATGCTTTGATTTTTCAAACTGGAGAAATTCCCTGTGCAATTTATTTTATTTTCTTGAGTCAAATTGCACGTCTTGTTCATCGTTAAATTCTTCGTTGAATTTATTTTATTTTCTTGAGTCGTACTATCCACTATGCTACTAGAATTACCAGTATCGGCCATTGGAGATACTTTTATTAACGTCATCAAAATAAGGAATCCATAGATATAGGTCGGAAAGATGTTTTGTAAAAGTTTTGAAGGAACCATCATCTGATCTCGGGTAGTAATTGTCGTTCTACAGTCTGAAAGAGAGCAGGCTTTCTATAATATATTAGCAATTTGATCCCTATATTATTGCACCAATAGGTATAATCTGTCATTATTTAATTATTTGTATGGGTTTTCACCTCATGCACAAAATAATGCTTTCATCATCATGGTATTTTTTCAGATATTTTTCACAGTTCTGTAATCCTTGCGGCTACTGTGTGACCGTACATGGAGCATGATCTATGCAATGATGGTGAATTGTCGATAGTTTGATATTTCTCCACTTAAATGTTTAATTAAAAATAAAAGTTTCTCCGGATTTTTATAAATAATTTTATTGCACTTTCGACTCTGTGCTTCGATACTTACTCCTTAATTGCACCGTATTACAGATACGTGCATATTTATTGAGGATAGTTCTACCAAACTTCCATTTCGAACAAACGAAATATAATTCATGTCTGCAATGCTGTGATGGCTAATCTTAGGGAGGAATATGTTTTGCGATTAACAACAAAGATGTTGAGAAAACTTACCTGTTTGTTTCGGTACTTTTAAAGCTCGATGGTAATGACGTTGAATTTTATAACAATATTTAGGACGTTTTCCTCAGTTTGTTTTATTTTATTTTATCACTATGTATTAATTTGCAAGGGCGTCAACTCGGGCTACCCACATGTATGCCATTCGTACGTGCTGACTTTTTATATTCTTTGTAGCGTTCTCGATAAGAAGCAATTGAATTATATTGCGATAGTCAAACTTTGTAAAAAATTTTAAGCAATCTCATTCTGGTGTATTAACATGATATATATATACCTGTGTAAACATAAATGTAAAAGAAGCTGTTGTAAATTGTCATGTCAAGTTATGTAGCGTGTGACTGTGTTATGTTATGGATTATAAGATTATAACTGATATTATTAAATTCATATCATCATGGTATTTTTGCACAATAAGAACATTAAAGCTGATTTATTAAAATTTTTTATCGTGTTGCAATGGTGTGGGGAGCACATGGTGCAATGACGTCGAATGTTGACATAAAGATCAGAAAATCTATCTGATTTTTACACTTTGTTGTTGCAAGTACATTTTTCTTGAGGATAGTTTGTTTGAGCTTGTTAATTCCACAAAATAACGCATTTCGTTTCCTTTATTGAATTTCTAAGTTATTGTCAAACACTTAATAAATTTTGACAATTCTTCGACATTTTGTAAACTGTTGGCATTACATTATACAAGATTATCAGAAGTTGGCTGAACCTTCACATGTAAAGTTATGAGAATAACATGAAAAAATGCATTTTCCAATACGAGCCTTACTAGCCCTCGTCTGTATGATAAATGAGTGGAGAAAATCCACCGATGGCACTGGTTCATCTATCGCAGTTGTTGCTTTCGATTTTAAAAAAGCTTTTGATATCATCAACAATGATCTATTAGTGGAAAAATTTGAAAGATCTAAATATCCCCTACATCGTTCATGGGATTATTGAATGTCTTAAGTGCCGCAAACAGAGGGTGAAATCATCACTGGATTGTAAATCGGAATGAAAAATGTCCCAGGAGGTGCTCCGCAAGGAACAAAACTAGGACCATGGTTGTTTGTATTGATGATTGATGACATAGAACCGATACACTCTTGTGGAAATACGTAGATGATACTACAGCTGCCGATTTGATATGAAAAGGAGAAACAAGTAAGATGAGGAATAAAGTAAATTAACTTTCAGATAAAGTACAACAGAATAAATTCCAGTTTAATGAGAAGAATAAAAAATGTCCACCGGCATTTGCACCTCTTACTATTAATGACAAACTTATTTAAGTTGTGACTAATGTCAAATTTCTTGGTTTGAACATATCCAGTAGTATCAAATGGATTATCACACAGAAGAAATTGCTAAAAATGCCCATGCTCGATTATATTATATTCTCTGAAGCTATCAAAACGAGCCAAGATTTTCTGAGAAGGGACTTTTAAACTTTTATACAAAACTTGTATTCGACCAATCACGGTATACGTATGTCCGGCTTTTCACAATAGTTTGCCCAAGGGCTTGTCAGATTACTTAAATTAGAGCAAGTGCAGAAACGAGCAATGCAAATCATTTTTCCGACAAAAATTATCAAGATGCTCTTAAAAATTGCAACTTAAGCACGTTACACGAACGAAGAAATCATCTGACTAGTAAACTTAGTAAACTCTTTGAAAAGACATGTTCTAATCCTAACCACAAGCTTTACCATCTGGTCCTAATTTCCCAAATTTAAATGGAACTGGTCTTTCCCTACTGTTACGGACTAAGCATATTTTCAATTTTCAATTTTCAAAGTAGCTAATAGTTTTACATTAAGCAACTCAAAGAAAACAACATCTTAACTATAAGCGTATCAAGGACTAATTTACCGTAACCTTTTTGAATGAACCGTGCTCGTTCGCACGAGCAGGGTTGTATTGCTATCGCTAATTGGGGGGGGGGCTCTTATTCATAAATGCATAATATGCTATATTAATATCTTTTGAAATGTATTGTTATCTACGGATTTATAACATGCATAAGAGCCCCCCCAAGTAACGATAGCAATACATCCCTGATCCCTGCCCACGAGGCTTTTTGAACTCACGTTAGCTTTTAATATTTTTTTCTTGCTGCATGAAAAATTGCAATGGACATTGAATTAGATTATGCAAAATTTTTTAAATAGTTTTTTTTATTTACGGATGGAAATTTTCCACGCGCATTTTTCATTCATTGAACAAAACGTAACACACAGGCTCAAAATTGCAAAAGCGAAAAAAACGTTCTTAAAATTCATTGTTTGGTGCGTCGTAGTTACGGCCATAAGAACTTCACTATTTTACGTTCGGAAGCTTTCGATAATGAATTTAGAACATAATTTAGAACGCTTTAATTATATTAGGAATAAAATGTCGTTGTTCACAAAATTAATTAGAAAGCGCTAATCGTGGAAATGACGTATACACGTTGCTTGAGAAATTCCAAATTCAATAAAACAGACGCATGCGCAGGTCGCATACTAGATTCTCTGTTCAGAAGTGTACTGTGAGTTTCGTTCAATAAATTCTACTTTTATCTTTCAAAACATGGCTTGTAAAGTACTCAGTAGAACGGTGATCTTGCCTCGTTTATTAAGCGAGAAATCAAACGCTGGACGGCGATTCGTTTCTTCAAACACTGGTGGAATTTCCAGTAAAATCAGTAAATCAACCACCATCCCTTTGGTAGTCGGAGCCACTATTGGAATAGGCAGTGCTCTGGGTGCAGCTCATGTAATGAAATATGTTACAAAAAATACCGTGTTTTCATTGAAACCAGCGCATTGCAGTGCAGCATTAAAGGTAAATCTTGATAGGAGATAAGAAAAAATGTAAGGAAACATACTTCCAAGAAGTGATTGTTGACAAACATTCTCAATATCAATAAGATGTCATTGGAGACAAGGACGAGCATTGATTGAAAACGAGATTTGATTTGATCACGTTGACATTATTTTAAAGGGAGGAACAGTACAAATTATACAGACACAGATTATACATATGCGCATGATATACCATGTTGCATAAATTCCATTGAAATCAATTTCACTGTGAAAAAATAGATGTCTAAAGAATTGAGGAAAGCTAATGATGATAAATTTATAGAGCATGCAAATATTTGCAAGCTTGTCACACCATTGATTATAACACACACATGTGAATCGAAGCCTTACCTTCCACATCAACCTTCCTACAGTTCTGCCTGTCGCACATCTTTACTTAAGCAACTTATTGCTAATTTTTCAGAAAGATGTAATTGCGGAAAGAACATTCATTATGATCAAACCCGATGGTGTTCAAAGAAGTTTGATCGGGGACATTATAAAGCGTTTTGAGCAAAAAGGATTCAAACTTGTCGCAATGAAATTTGTTCAGGTACATAATGATACTTGTAAGTGAGTTAGACCATTCCTAGGCTTCACTTGTCAAATTTGACTTTTGGTGTACCCTATACATGCCTTGGAGTTGACCAACTTAAAGATGAATGATATTTTAAAATCAGAGTATGTACGTAAGATTTATGTTGTTGGAAACACCACCTAAATATTATTGATGTATGTGCTAGGACTTTGAATGCATCACTTATTGGAAACTTGTAAGTACACCCAAGAAAATGCATGCCACACCATTGCACATTCTGAGGGGAGGAGTGCTCACTCAATGCAACTGATGTTTTTGGAGGTTTGTGTTGTGAGTAGGGCCTCATTGGTTTTGATAGATGTTTGCTTTCCCCTTTGGTAATGAAAATTACTAAATCTGGCCACACTGGTGTGTAGGGCTCCACTGGTTTTGACTGATGCTTAAATAATGTAGTGTGACCACATCCATACTGGATTCAACTTATGCTTTTTTGGAGGGGATTAAGAAGGGGCCCTCTGGTTTTGGCAGGTTTGGAAAAGGGCTAGTTTGAGTAGGGCCCCACTGGTTTTGACTGATGCTTGGGGGGGATGGGGTGTGTGATAAAGTTTCCAAGGGTTTTGGCTTGTGATTTGCCAATTACCATCATTAATTTTCTTTATTTCAAAGAGAAAAAAATGAGTTGTTTTACAGATAAAGCCATCAAAACATTAATGTTCTTAACATGTTGTGGTGACAATTTACCTCTTATTCAAACTCCTTCAGCCATAGCCATACAAGTGAGTGGGTACTCAAGTTTTATGTAATCATGCCATGGAATTATGAAAAGATTATGAACTGCTTGGTTATTTGTTGAACTGTCTATTTTTTGGGTAAAAATTTCCGTTTTTCTTGTAAAAATATCTAACAACGATGATATGAATAAAATATTTCTTTCTCTCGGCTTCTCCTCCCAATTATCTTCACAGTAAATCATCAGAATCTTGAATCTTTTGCATAGAATCTGCACAGAATCTGCATAGAATCTTTTGCACAGAATCTTGAATCTTTTACGCTTGACTCTGAAGATGACTAACGCTAAGGTTGTCGAAACGTCAATCATCATCAACACCAACAGCCCTTATCGGGACTCTACTAACCTCGACCATCTGCATCTACAAATATCTAACGATACTCCCGCGTGTAGAACTTCGTAAAAACATTTTAAACTTCGTGTAAAACTCACCCCAGTCACCACCACCCCACTTGAGACTGGCCCCTTCTGCTGACCTCAGTAACTGCATGCCTCTAATCCCACTATAGTTATTGTCATTTTCACCATGTGGCTTTTGATTACATTTGCAAATGATGTACAATTTTCAATCTTTCTTTAGCCTGATCAACAGCTTCTCAATAAACACTATGAAGACCTAAAGAACAAACCATTCTTTCATGGTCTTATCAATTACATGGTGTCTGGACCTGTTGTTGCCATGGTGAGAAAATTTCAAAATGATCAGTTTTTGCAGTACTGTCGTGAACTATTTTTGATAAATTGATACATTGTCATATTTTGAAGTACATTTTTGTATCGTGGTGTGTAAATTTTTTGAGAGGCATCAAAGCAATTAAAGTCATACACCCTTTAAGTTGATTTTTTAAATCTCAACAGTTGATTTTAGAAAGTTCTTGTTTCTGTTGAAGTGGAATTGTTGAAGCAGCTAGCATATGACATTCTTTTATTGTATGGTTCTATCAGAAAGTATTTTTTGTTTTAAAACATTAGATCAACTACCTGCCACTTTCAAACACATTTAGAGGATGGTTAGAGCTTGCCAGATGGAAATATGTCTACTGATGTTTTAAACTGAATATATAAAACAAACTTTTTATTACAGACATGTTTCGGCAAACTCATGCCATCATCAGTGTAATCGAATGTGTTACAGAATGTGATACTTCAATATATAAATAGAGATAAACGACTTACAGTTATTTGAGATGAGTACAGCATTACAAATATTTACAATTAATTAACATATGGGAGTTAGACGATACATTAAACGGAAGAAAAAATTAACATAAAATTATGTACGAACTAAAAATGGTATTAACGTGGTGAACTTGCTTATTGAGATCTAGTTTAAGTTTGTTAATGTGTAAGGCTTCTTTAATTCTAAGGGTGGAAGAATAATTGTCAGTTTCGATAATTGTAAAGCAGTTGTTGGTGTATTGGGATTTGCAGTTATGTGAGGAGAGAAGGTGTTTGAAGATGTGTGAGTATTTATCAGTGGAAATGTGTTCTTTCATCCTGGTCGAAATATGACGCATTGTTTCGCCAATACAATGTTGAGATTATTTCGGTTTTGAGACTACATACCAGTTTGACCTCCAACTATTACGTCTTTTAAGATTTGTCTCTTTCGTTCTTCAAGGTATGGGAAGGCAAGGGTGTTGTGAAGACTGGAAGAATTATGCTTGGAGAAACTGATCCTGTAAGAAGTTATACTCGTAGATTGAATCTTTCAGACATAGGTTTATGCCGGACTTTTGGGTTTTGGTTGATAAAAGGGCAAATATTGAAATTTCGTAAACACTTTATTTTTCAACAAATTAATTGTGTACAATGTCTACCATACTGTTACGTCACTGTTCAAGGACAACGGCAACTTGTAACTGTAATTCGTTATCGAAGAGTGACATGGCAGTGTATTGGTCCCAGGTTAATTAGTAGTTTAGTGCGCATTATACTTTGCATGTATTTCGATAATGTTTTGCGGCTTTTAGCCAAACCTTACAGCAATTGAACGTACAGTCCATAGACGTACTTAGGAAGATAGGTGGTGGGGTGTCATGTTCATACATGCACGATATAATGCATGGAAACAATGGATCATCTATCTTCCTACAGCCCTACAGTTTATTTTTATTTCCGTGAAAATAGTGCATTAATACATACCAGAGAAAGCTCACAATTAGTTGGCAGTGACGTAGCCAGTCCGAAAGTTTTAGTCATGCTATGAAAGTTTTAGAACATCATCATTATTCATTTCTTAATTATCATTAATGCAGGCGAAGTCTCTACCCGGTACGATCAGAGGTGATTATTGCATTCAAGTTGGAAGGTACGTTGTCATAATATCAGACTTTTATAAAAGTGCGTAATAGTAAACCAGAAGCTTTTTTTCTGTTTACCTGCGTTGTAGATGGTTTTCACTTTAATAAAGTTGATCAACATTATACCCAGACGCTAGTTTCACTATGTATCAACTTTTGAATACACGACAAAATTTTTCAGTTTTATTTAAGAAATAAAAAATGATTACTGTGTTTGCACAGGCTTATGCAAACCGAAGAAACCTTTGGGAGAACTCGAGAGCAGATCAGTGCAAGCCCGAGACCGAAGGTCGAGGGTTACACCTGCTCGAGGCTTACATAAGCCAGTGCAAACACGAAAAACATGTTTTATTTCTTTTATAAAATAACAGTAATATGAAACAGACAAATTTAAAGTAATTATTTAAGTTTTTCTTCTACAATATATTCATGATCGATTTGAAAATTCTCTATGACTGATTTATTGTTTTGATTGATTTCATTGGTTGAGCTTAGATCTGTTTTGCACAGGCTATTGCAAACACAGCTCTAGACCAATCAGCGCGCGCGTTTCATTGTGTTTATTTTATAAATTTTAACCACAGACATGTTTTGACTTAACTGTGAGTAATTTTCAGTATGAATGAATACGTTATTTACAATGTGGCTTATATAATACAGAAACATATATATATATTTTATACATACGAACCGTACGTCCTGTGTCCCAAGTGCAGGAGTCACCATTTTAATATGGTGATAGCCGGGAGGGCACATTGTATATACACTTTGTATATATATAATACATATATATAATATATATGATACAGAAACACGATAACAATTGAGGTGATGCTCATTCTCAATGAATAGATGATTTACAAAGGATTATAGAGATTAGTCACAAAGTGTGTATAGTGTGAAGCAGAAAATTTTCGGGAACACGTTGAAGGATTTGCAATCTTTCAGAAAGTTGACATCGATTTCAGCTTTGCGTTTCTTGGTTGTTAGTTTTTTGAAGCATCGAAAATCAGAGGTGGAGACTTTTCTGTTATATTTTTGTGCTAAGACGTGTATAATATTACCACATGAGAGGATGATGCTTAATGAACATTTTAAAAAGACGATAATAAGATCATATGGTATGTATTATACACGACTTTACACACAAATACAAAGTCTCGATCGCTGATTTTCGATCCTTTAAAAAACTAACAACCAATCAACGCAAAGCTGAAATTGATGTCAATTTTCTAAAAGACTGCGAGAATTTTTCAACTAGTTCCCGAAATTTATCTTCTTCCCACTATACACAATCTGTCAGTAGTCCCTATAATATTTTGTAAATTATCTATTCATTGAGATTGAGTATCAATCGCCTCACTTATGTTGTATTTCTATATTATATATCCCACTTTGTAAATAACGTATTCGTTCATACTAAAGATGACTTACAGCCGATGGTGTTCGAAACATGTCTGTGATTAAACGTATAAAACTGAAAATCTTATTTTCGTCTATTTAAAATGATTATTAAGTATCAACTTTTAAAAACTGAAGTGAATGTTTTATGTGAAAATAGGTTAAAGAAATGCTTCATAATTAGTTGCGAAATAGCATATAAATTTGACCTCCAAGGCATGCATGCGTGTGCTAAAACATGGTTATTTTACGAGCGATTTTTTAAATTCAGTGCGAACGCATCTCTGAATATTTGTCTCAAATTTGATTTTTGTTACTGATAGTTATGAAAAAGGAAGTTCCATTTTTTTATTGAAAAGAAATGTGCTCTTATACACGACATGGCATTTTTTGTACTAACTTCATTAACATGTATATTACGTAGATCGCACATATCGATAAAGGGGCTCTTATTGATATGTGCATGATAAGTTGTAGTAAAGGGCCAGTTATTTTAGTTTCATGAAAAGAGCTCGTTAGTCGTAAAATGACAGTTAACTTTCTAAAACTGTTTTGTCATATTTCTTTGCATTCTCAAGATATTGAAGTTTTGTAATGTCCGATTGCAGAGAAAGTGACGTCACATTGCGTAGTGAGTTGTTGCAAATTCATAAATATCCTTTAGTTTCCTGCGAGCGTTTGGATAAAATAACTATGCAGGATTTTCTGCCATTAGCACTTTACAACGATAAGAACTTTGTCTGGTTGATATAACGTTATCAGCAACTTTTATTAATAATTCAAATTCTCATTTTGCGATGAGACGTCACTTTCCTATTTAAATGGTCATAACAAAACTTTGATGTCTTGTTAATGCAAAGATATATGACTCAACTGTTTCAAAATTTCTTTTCAAAATAACTGTAATTTTGAAATACAAATTTTTCGTTGTACTGGTCCCTAAATTCCTTTGAAATCTAATATTTTCTGCGGATTATAACATGCATATCGTCACGTCACTAACTTTCTTGCCTAAGTCATATTTCTTCAATTCGGGCATTTTGACCTAAAACTACCATTTTGCCCACTGGTGTGTTCTGTATTTATTACCGAAGTCTGTTGACCAATCAAAAAACGACTCAATAAACGTTCAATAAAAATTTTGATTGTATTTAAAATAATCTTAATTCCTTTCTCCTTTTCTAAAAACTCCCACAAATGACTTAACTAAAAAAGTTAGTGTAAGGTGGCGATCTATGAATATTAGTCCCCCCCCCCTCTCCCATCAATCATCGATAGCACTACAGCCCTGCGCGCACCGCAAAATACGTTTGAACTTTAAAGGCGAAACGTTGGCCGCCATATTGAACAGTCAGAAATAGCGAAGTTGACACAATGTATATTTACCTTTTAATGGGCAATTTTTTTCTTTCAATGAGTATTATTTTGTTTCCCAATTGTTGCAAATTTGCATTGGCGTCCATTGAAGGGTTTTAATTGATTGTTGTGGAAAAGTTTGCATAGAAGTGCACATTTTATTTGTAACGTTTTGAGGTGTTGCATCCATTTGTGGCGATAGAAGTGGACATTTTATTTGCGTGCATTTGTCACGTTTAAAATGCGAAAAGCCAAGTGGTTTGAATTTTGTCATTATTGATCGACAGTTCATGTTAAGAACATATGAGGAAGGCTCTAGTTCAAATCACTATTCAATGATATCGTTGCAAAAATTATTTCGTTTTTACAAGTTACTCATGCGATTGGGACTGTTTAATATGGCGCTGCAACCAATTAGATGGCTTTAAAATTTAGCATTACACATACAAGGAATGTGCGATCCTATATGCATATCAATGTTTAACATCTAGTTCCAGTTCTAACCCTAAACAATTACCCTAACAATATATTTAAATCATCTAAGTCAAGCAATCTGATAACTTCAGAGATTCTAAACTGCCCAAATTTCCTTTCTATGCTAGAAATATAATTCATGGCAGTGATTCAGTCGAAAGCGCGAAAACGGAAATTAACTTATGGTTCAAACCGAGTGAATTGACTGACTGGAAGCAAGAGATGAATTGTTGGATTAACGAGGGAAATTAATGAAACTCTGTTAGTTTGGATGATTAAAATATTAGAATTACAGATTAATGAATGTGTATGTGCTCATGCATCTACAATCTTTGCAGAACTGTTTCTATTCGATTGAAAATGAAGTTAGGCAACACATTTTCACCAATAAATAGAAGAACAGAGAAGTAAGCAAGTTATTTTATTTCATCTGCGCATTCGGTATTGTACATGATAACAATTTTAATAAAAGTAATATTTATAAGATTTATAAAGAAAACAAACTGAAAACCCTCGCTACTATTTTAAAAACCACCAAAAATATGTTATCGAATATCATCGACACATGCAAACAAAGAAATTGCGCTACATTTTATACAGTAGGGACGATATCAGGAGACGATATAATCCTGAAGCCATAATAAGACATAAACAACAGGTTGCTTACGTGCGACACAAAGTTCATGACATATTAAACCAAACCAGAGCATTTGTTTCATGTACGTTTAGCGACTGAGGATTTGACTGACATGTTTCCGTATCTCTCTCGGACAAAAAAACCTATTTTTTTGTCTATCTTTTTGTCTACTTCTTAGTCTACTCTTTTTTTATTTTTTATATTTCATCATTATGTCTGCTTTAGAGGTGCACTTTTGTGCATGTCTACCTTTTTGTCTACCTTTGTGTCTACCTTTGTGTTCAGCTTAGCATGTATCTTTGTGTCTAAATTTGTGTCTACCTTTTCTCTATCTTTATGTCGACCTATGTGTCCACCATTGTCTCTGCCTTTGTGTCGACCTTTGTATATTTTCTGTCTACAATTTTGTCAACCGTTTTGTCTACATTTTTGTTTATCTTTGTGTCTATCTTGTAGTTTGTACTTTTTTTGTGTCTAAATTTGTGTCTACTTTTTGTTTGCTTTTTGATTATTTGTTTTGTCCACGTATTTGTCTACGTTTTGTCCATCTTCCTGTTTACCTTTTTGTCTATCTTTTTGTCTATACCTTTGTATCTACCTTTGTGTGTATCTGCCGTTGTGTCTACCTTTGCGTCCTTTGTTTGCTTTTTTGTTAACATTTTGTTAACCGTTAACGTTTTCCATTCACGACAAGATTGAAATTTTTCTGCTGTGGAAATATGAAGGGTAAGCTCAAGCCAATTCTACAGTCGAGGAGAATGAAATGTGGAGGCAAGGCGTGCAATAGCTTTAATATTGATGAGAGATATTTAGAACTATATGTTCTTGATCTCTTCATTCGAGGAAAATACGTTAGTAAATGTCCCTATAGTAACAACGACAATTAAGTGTAAACACGACATTTAAAATAGTCCTTATTTCATGAGAGACTACATGAACGACGTTTGAGAAAGTGTAAACACAACATTTAGAAGAGTAAACTATGTTAACCGTCAGGGCAGTCTTTAGAACGTTTTGTGTGTTGGGAGGAGGGAAAAATGAGCATTGATATATTCAGTTCTGCCCGACTGATTTCTCTTAAAAGCGAATTGGCAATCCCAGAGGACTGATGACGTAGGATGATAGCACACACATTACACATTTGAGGGACGAAACTCGAAATGCTAAACATTTTCAGTTCCTTCAAAGTACTTTATTATTCAATTTGATCCATTCCTTTGAGTGCATCAAAATATCTAAGGATCGCCTCTTTATAAATTGTTTTGTGCGTCATGTGCATTCAGTGGCGGCGGAAAGTGGAGGCTAAGGTGGCTGTAGCCCCCTTCCCAATAATTCAGATTCGGACTAGATTCAGATTCGTTCACACATTTTCACTCAAAGGACTATAGTTCACACATTTTCACTCATAGGACTATAGTTCACACATTTTCACTCATAGGACTATAGTTCACGCATTTTCATTCAAAGACTATAGTTCACACATTTTCACTCAAAGGACTATAGTTCACACATTTTCACTCATAGGACTATAGTTCACGCATTTTCATTCAAAGACTATAGTTCACACATTTTCATGCAAAAGACTATAGTTTACACATTTAGACACAAAAGAGTATAATTCACACATTTTAGGCGAAAGACAATAATTTGCGCATTTTCACTTAATAGACTATAGTTCACGCATTTTTATGCAAAATACTATAGTTCACGTATTGTCACGCATTTTTATGCAAAATACTATAGTTCACGTATTGTCACACATTTTTATGCAAAAGACCATAACTAGTTCAAGTATTTTCACTCAAAATACTATAATTCACGCATTTTCAGGCAAAAGACTTTAATTCACGCATTTTCAATTAGCTAAATAACTACAGTTCACGCATTTTCATGCAAAAGACTATATTTCACGAGTTTCCACGCAACAGGCTGTAATTCACACATTTTCTCAAAAAAGACTATAGTTGACACATTTTCACAACAAAACTGATGTAATCATGTAATCAAATAATCATATAATCATGGAGTCATATAACTATGTAATCATTTAATATTTTAATCAAAAAATCATGAAGTAATATAATCAAGTAATTAGGTAATTTAGCTATGTAATCATTATGTAGTCATCTAATCAAGTAAGCATTTAGTTATGCAATGATGTAATCATGTAGTCGTATAGTTATGTAATGATTTAAATAATTTAATCAAGAAATCATGTAATCACGTAGTAATGTAATTATGTAATCATTTAATCATTAAATAAAGAAATCATGTAATCTTGTAGTCGTAATCATGTGATCATTTAAAGTGTTTATGAAATTATTTAAGGTTTGTTAAAAAACGTTGCAAAAGAAACTTTTTGATGTTGTGAGTGCAATCAATCATTTTATTTTTTTGAAAACCAGTTATAGAAAACCAGTGACGGAACACACTCATAATTTGTTGGATCCAGGTCCCGGAAATAATTTTCCTCCATCGAGTAGGTTTAATTTGCTCAAAAGAGCATTTTATCGGGTTAAATGATACAAAAACATATGCTCACCGTTTTCAGCGCTGTTTAACACTATTTAAAACATTGGTTTGACTAATAAAAAAAATTATCGTAAAATCATTTCATAAACACCTTAATCACTTATTCAAGAATTCACTCAATTGTAGTAATTATGTAATCATTTACTTTAATCAATTTTCTTAATGAGCTTCCTACTTACTCCAACTTTTATATAAGCAACACGCCACTTCATTCACATCTCACTTAATCAACATTTTACTTTGTCCACACCCTATATATAGTGTACACCCTTAACCTACACCCTATTTAAATTCATGCAACAAGTTTTTGCTGACTCAACCAAGAATTGAACCTAGCATCACAATGTTGAAAGACTGCCTACATTACCACTCAAGAGTCCATGGATACCTTTAATTTCTCATTTCATAAAATCATGTGAGGATTATTTCCTTCTTATACGGACAGTGTTAATATTTGCAGCAAAATTAGATATTTTATAAATTTTTTTATTTCCTCCCATCTTCCCGTTGATTGTTTGATAAACTTTCAAATCATCAGCGACTGTTCTTACCGTCTCTTTATCCATTTTTACAGATATACTTCTATAGCTTCTTCTCTCTTAGCTAATAATTTAATTTCCAAATCAAATGCACCTTTATTAAGGTGTTGGCCTAAATGTCTAAAATCAAAAGCACAAAATGTTAATATATCAATTATACGATCCTTGCACGTTATCAAATTATATTATATTAAACAAACGCATCAGTGCTACACTGGTGTTCCTACCAATCTAATAAAGATTTTTTGACGCACAAAAACCTACTGGAGAGATGAGGACAGGATAGGCAAGAACAAGAGAGAAGAAAGGACAGGCCAAAAGATGAGAAAAGAGCCAACAAGAGGAGACAAGAGGCAAGGAGAAGACAGTAGAGAAAAAGAGAAGACAGGAGAATAGAGACAGGCAAAAAAGAGTTGACAGGAAAAGACAAACAAGGAGAAAGGAGAAGAGGAAAGGAGAAGACAAGAGTGCAAAGAAGAGTAAAGAAGAGGCAAAGTGAAAAGAAGAGAGGAAAGAGATGAGAGAAAAGGCAAGGAAGGGATAAGACAGCCAAAGAGATGGACTCCACCCCACCCCTCATTGTAATCGATAAAACAGTAAAATCATTAATACACGGATAAAAGATACTGTTTCATATATGCTTGTTAGGACTCGCGATAATGGGTTAAATAAACCCATTCAATAAAGATGGTCATATTGTCATATCTACAAAAGTAAGAGCTGAAGTTACCGATGAATCTACGTGCAATTCGAAATTGAATTGCTCAGCGCAGTTTTAAAACAAATGTGACTTTAAACCAAAAAGCGAATACGTTGTGGTCTTTAAAATAAGAGGCACGTATGATTGATTATTTTAAAATGTGATTTATTATGCCTCACGTGATTGCAAAACTGTTTTAAAATCGAGGAAGCTGCACGTATGTCGGGCCTATTATCAACTCGGTTCCAGGAATCGGACTCAATTCCTGATTGCCTTAGCGACTTTGCACTGTTGTGAATACAGAAGGTTGTGTATTAAGAAACATAAATAATGCCTAAATTTTTTTGTGTGAAGCATGAATCTACAGCGAATGAAATGTAATCAATTGTTTCATTTGTTTGAAAAATCCCAACCTCAAAATGAATTATATTGTCGTCGTTTGTGACACGAGTTCTTTGTAATCGGGTTCTACTCCCTCCTTCTGCCCGCACGGTTTCAGCAAAAGTTCTCCACCAATGCCCGACAAGGGTTTGCTGTGGTGAAATTTTACCAAGTCATTGAGTGACGCGTGAGCTATTTGATTGTGACCGAAAAATTGATAAGAATTGTCACTTGTATCAACAAGAAAGTGTTTGCAGCGATCCAAACTACGATAAGATATTGTGTAGCCCCAAACTCGCTCGCTGACACGAACCAGAAATGATCCAACGGGTTCTTCTTCCAGCAGGCTCTCTGCTTCTTGTCTTGTTATAAGACCTGTTGACAAATGACTAGGCTCTAGTTGCAACATAAACTGTAAAATAAGCGTCATTATAATCCCTTTAATATCAGTAAGAAAAAGCAGTTTTGATCGTGATTCGTGACAAGTTGACCGTTTTCATACAGCTAAGGCCTCAAACACACTAAGCAGTCGCACTGCTCGCGCGACTGAAGCGGCAAGACACGGGGAGTTGTCTGTGACCATTATTAAACACTCTTTAGAGCGAGGAAAGACTGTGATAGCGACAAACAAAGAAAAATTGAGGAGACAACATGGAGCGGTCGTGACAAAAAATAATTATCTTTAGCAAATTAAAAGAAATTAAGCGTAAAATACGAGCAAATGAAACACCACGTGTTGAAGCGAGGAGACAAAAAAAATTTCATCCCCGTTTAGTAATAGTAGATTTAATGAAGCTACTATTCTGGGTAGCTCATCATTGAGAAGTGATGATACAAAACTGTACGAATATGTATAGATTAACGCTTCTTTGATACTCCACATTTTGAATCTCGGTAATTTTATAATAATAATTCAAAGTAAATCAGTGACAACATGTTGGACTTTAAAGCAATCAGCTAAGGCGACTGTTTCTACTTACGTAGTAACCACGCAAAAAGATAGTAAGGGTAGCGCAACTGAAGCGACTGCCTAGTGTGTTTCAGGTTCAATGGTTGGTCAAAAGCAGTCATCTGAAAGGAAAAGGGTACATCAAGTGCACTATTTAAGAAGATTTTGTCCCATTGAAAAGCACACCAAAATTTGCAAGCAAAGATTGATCACATGATTTGAAATCTTAAACCGGCAATGGATTTACGGAGTGCTCACTTCCAATTGGTGCACACCTCTCCTACATTTGGCAAAGAGGTTTGTGTGTGTGTGTGTGTGTGGAGGACGTGTGGAGGGCTCGCTGCAGATTGCTGCACACCTCTCCTACATTTGGCAAGGGGGTCTGTGTGTGTGCAGGATGCAAATTTCCCTACAAAAATACACCAAGCAACTTTCAAAAATATATCTCCCAAGTTCTAATCCAAACTACAGCACACACACAGACCCTCATAAAATCACCCCCGATCCCCAGATCCATCCCTGTCTAAAGTTATCTACAGAACATATTTATTACTTTCACAATATATTTCCCCACAATACATACCGTGAAACCAAGGTAAAGGAACATCGTCCTTAAAACCAGAACCCTTACTCATCTCGACTTCCTGCCACCACTCAATGATCTGCTGTCGACTGCTGGGACGATCTGTTCTCTTTTGTTGACCTATTACATCGCCATTGTTTATTGGCGGAGGAGGAGCGGGTCCAAGAGGTGGATTCCTATACGGACAAGCACAAGAAATACATTAACACATTGTCATAAGCTGATTTCAATCGCGGATCGTTATCGCACACAGATTAGGCGGACTAAGGAATATGAGAGCACTCCTTAAAGTAAAGCTTTGAACCCGGGATTATCGTTACATGGTTAACAAACACGGCTAACAAATACGGCTATATATATAACAAATACGGCTAGGCAGACGTTTACTCCTCATTGGACTCTGAAGATGACTACCGCTAAGGTTATCGAAACGTCAGTCAAATTCAATAACAACAGTCCTTCTCAGGACTCTACTAACCTAGACGATCTACATCCACAAACATAGAACACACCTTATTGGCATAAATTAGTTGTCCCACACTGTGCAACTGACATGCACCCGTGATCTAAAAGCTACCTCACACTCACACTCACACTCACACAGAAATCACGCTCCCAGCAATTAATAGCAAACTCATTTCTTCATCAATGGTAAGATTTTTGCTAAAATATTGCAAATCAAGATATCAGTAATTTGAAAATACCGTGTATGAATAGTACACGGTGACTTAGCAACTGTTAATTGCATGTGTTAAACTTTACTCCATGGATTTGGACATTTGAACGATAAACCAATCTTATCTGTCCAATGATAACTTGCTTTAAATTCTGGACGATTTGATTATTTTTGTGTAGTGCGATCAGTCAGAAGCCCTTAGTCAGACTGCAAGCAATGCAAACCAAAGTTATACAATCATCATAAAAGTGGTCATTGACGAAATTTGAAAAACAACTAGTGCAGCCCAATCTAAGCTGAATCAGTTATAGGAAAATTAAAAATTTGTTTCACACTATTATTATTTTCCTAAAAGAAATAAAAGATGTTTTTCGTTTTTTCACTGGTTTATTCAAACCTCGGAGATGTTTGAGAAAACTCTCGAGCAGGTGCACAAAATGTTTCTTTTAATCGGCAGTGTGATAAGAACAGAATGAAAACATCCACCCTCGGGCCAAAATACTATTCCACTCATTGGGTTCAAAATACTAAAAAAAAGTTGAAAAAAACATTTTTTTTATTTTCATTTGTTTCGTTCAAAACCTTAGCAGCAGCATAAGCAAAAGTTCGTTTTCTTGAGTTCGCTTTTAAGTTGGACAACATTATCTTATTGCTATGTACTTCCCAATTCATATCTTTCTGAAGTAGATAAATTAAACATATCCGAAATAGTTTAAGGGCATTGATAGCTATGAAAGAGCTTTCGACATAATTTACTTGTTATTTTTTTCATCTCATGCTTAATATTTTTCCAATTTAATATAATATCAGTCAATTAAAGGGACTTGTGCTCGATTGTCCAAGTTAAATCTCCGGATAGTATTTATCCATTTGGGAATGCGTTGAATTCGTTTTGCTAATTTGAAAATCAACTTTACTAATGACGAGACGCGATTACTTTGTTACAATGAATTGTGACGTCAAAACCATTTTTCGTTAATTGTAACACAATTTAAGTAAGATCGAAGTTGTTTCGAAACGTCGCAAATAAAATTATATAAATTTTATTCATTTTTATATTGTTTTTTTTATCAACTTGCTACTCAAACATGTTTCATGCATGATACGACGTATGAAACGTTCAATCAGGTAGAGATTGGATTTCTTGCTCACCTTTTTGGAATTGAAGGTGGAGAGCGTTCTGGCTTTGGCGGTTTGATTGAACGCACGGGAATAGTCGTTCCCGTTGCACTGATAAGTTCAGGAGACGAAATTGTTGGACGTCCTTTCTTCTGTACATTAGTTTGACTTTCAGCTGGTACTCTTGGCTCAATACGATGTACCCTCGACTTACTTAGCGACAGCCGTCGATATAGACCGCTAGCAACTTCAATGAAGCCCTGTTTCTGAAGTTCTTTAACTTCTTCTTCGCGCCTTTTTACCTCTTTTCTTGCTCTACTGACTGAAGTTCGCCGTTCCGACTCGGCCTCCTTCGCTTTTCGTTCCCGTTCCATCCAAGCTTCGTGATCTTTCTTTCTTGCTTCCTCTTCCTTTTTCCTTTCTTCGTCCTTTTGCTGAAATGACAGAGGCATTTAAAAAATCGGCAGTTGACAAGACTCACTTTATATCAAGAGACATAGAGTCAGATGAATAGGAATATTATATCTACCTTTTTCATCTTTAGATACAATTCCCTGGTTCGCTTGTCCTGTAATTCCTTCAGCTCCCTTTCTTTCATTGCCATTTTATGTTTCTCTTCTTCTTCCAATCTCTTTAATTCTGCCAGCCTTTCTTCCTCTTCTCTCGTCTGTCTTTGCAACTCCTCCAAACGTTTTATTTCTCTTTCCTTTTGTTTCTCTTCTTGTTGTTTTTGTTCTTGTTGCTGCAAAAGTTTCTTCTTTTCAGTCTGTCGCCTTTCCTCTGCTTCCCTTTCCTTGCGTTCCTTTTCTAACGTCTCTTGCATTAATTTTTCCTTTTCTAGCTTTTCCTCCTTCAACTTTGCGGCCTCCATTTGCTGTTGTTTTTCTTTTAATCGTTTTAGTTCGTCACGTGTTCTTTTTTCGTTGCTTTCCTTTTCCTTTGAGCTTCTCCGATTCTTAATTTGAAGACGCTCATTCTCATTCAGTTTTATAACAAATTTGTTCTTTGTCTAAGAAAAGAAATTATTGTAACTACGCAGACATACCTAGCTCAGCATGCGGCATAATATTCTATTCAGTTGAGTTTTTGATGCATTTTTGATAAAACTCACTAAAACTTTGCATTGCAAGTTCTTCTGGTAAATCTTGCCTTTAAACAATTCATAAGATACCTGGTCATTTGTTTGCTTAATCATTGATTTGTTAGTTTTCAACAACTTCTCCTTCTCTGCATGTTCCTTTTCAAGTTTTTCCTCTTCTTCTTTCAACTTTTTTGCCCTTAGCTCGATGGCAGCAAGTTCTTTAGCGCGCAATTCTGCCGCCTCTTTTTCAGCCAATTCCCTTGCTTTTCTCTCAACCTCTTTGTCGTCAAGTGCATCAAAATCTTAACACATAAGCAAAGCTAGATTCATGCAACATTTTATGAAAAATTGTTCGTTAGATTATTAAAATCCTTTGTTCCCAATTAATGTGTGTAGTTTTCTTAGAAATCATCAGAATCTGCAAGTCACATCATAATATGCACTTAAATTTACAATTCATATCAATAATATATCTCCAACAGAAAGGGGAAAATCACTATGACATTTAAACAAAGGCATTATTCATATCACTGATCTCTTAAAAATCATTCCTTGTTTGAGGTGGATTTTATGTTTGAGGTAATATTTTGTTTAGGTAGGTCTAGTGGACTTGCTAAAAAATATCTGATATTTCTCATAACATAGAAAATTAAAAATGGCAAACTTTTTTCTTTTTCACTCTCAAATGCTCCAATGTCACTCTCTCCAAGAACCCAAGTCCATGGATTGCCATCTGCTCCAAGCAAATAATGAACATTGGCTCCCTTTTCTACAAAAAATACATATATATTAACATGAAAACACTAAAATAAAACAGCTTAGTCATTTGTTCATACTATTGGTCGGTTTGGTTCTTTTGATGGTTGTTTCATTTTCTTGACATTCCACTCTTTCCATCGTCGAACTTGTTCCTCTCTCATTTTGATAAAGAGAACGTTCTTTTGCTCTTGGAGAGCTCAGCTAGAAGGTCTGGGTGAATGTACATGTCTTTCAAGATTTGTTGAAGCATTTTGACTGATTTCAACCCCAATGGTAGGTGCCTTTGTAAGAAATGATATAGATCAATTTTAATATCAAGTATTTCCTCAACACAAATAGACAAAAATACATAAGTATCACTTACCAAAAACATTCAGTTGCAAATTTGGTGTGGCAAATTGTAATATAGTATTGTATGTTCTTTATGACAAGTACTTCAAGTAGTAAAATGCAATTCCAATTATGTAGAGCATAGTGAAATAAATGATTAAAGTCAAACAGCCGCAAATTAACCGATCAATCATCACCAATTGAATAAAGCCTGTAACATGAAATGAAAATCTTTTACCAAGGAGTAAAATAATATTTTTAATATTCAATTTAAACAATTAATTAGCAACACTTTTCTCATGGGATCATATTACATACATCAGGGATGGCAGAGGATCAATAATTGTAGGGGCTAATATTCATATATGCATGATATGCCCTATTATGCTCTTCTAAAATTCATTGTTTTCTACAGATTGTAGCACGCATATATGAATATGAGCTCCCCCCAAACTAACAATCTTCTGTGATCCATCATCCTTTCATATGTCATAAACTCTTTCCAACAGCTATTAATTTAAACACAATGCAATCAAATTTGGAATTAATTATGTGGTTGCATACATCTGGATTAACATGTAAATATGAAATCAATAACATATAAACAGGGCCATAACTAGATCATTAATTGGGGGTATTTAATCATATATTCATTTGTGTGCACTAAATTTTTATACAGTGAATTGGCTTTCTAAAGAAACCAGTTGGGCACAACTGAATATATGAATACTGACACCCCTACCCCCAACTAGCATTCTAGCTACGGCCATGCATGTAAAACTAGGACATTTACCAAGTACAGGTATCATTAACATAATTTCCCATATTATTACAACCCCTTTTCATTTTAGTGCCTCCTTTATTCAGTCTATTTACAATACAATGATTCCATATGTATTTAATCAAATGATATAAGCCAATGCAAATATTTCAAATATTATGAAATTGAGATTTTTAGCAATTAAAGGGCAAAGATTGAATGTATGTTTCATATTATTCAATCAATTTTGAGCTCCCACAAATGAAAAGTCAACCTCTCATTTGTACATTGTGGCTACTAATGTACTCAATCATTTTTATATTTTACAATGATCATCCCATAAACCTTAATACTTCAGTTGGTTAGACATTTCAAAGCATGCTATTAGTAATTAGATGAAGTCAATTATTAGAAGAAAAAAAGTCCGAATTCTTTGAGCATAACAAGAAGTTCGATCATTACAGTCATTTAAAAGTTAACAACGTTTCATACGTATAAACAATCAAACTTAGTTTGGGCATTTCCATGCTGACAGGTGGCAATTATTATCACTGCTTCTAGTCGGCTATGTTAAGACCAAAGACATTGGGCTTACAAAATTGCATAATGACTTTCTTTTCGAAATTCGACGTTGTATAGATGAGAATTGTCGGTATGTTTTTACTTTGAAATTTTCACGTCATAAATTCATCAACGAAAAGACGCTGCACCCCTACCTCAACCTTTTCACATCTCGTTACAACGAAATTTAGTGATTATAATAATCGAACCCCTAAGCATTTGGTGACTTTCGATCGTATATGACTATTTTTTGTTGACAAAATTCATCAGGTGCATGTCTATGTACAATTTAAATGAGATGCCAAGAATAATTTTGAATGAGGAAGACAGAAACAAATTTCCTTGATAAAATATTTACACTGAATCAATTGGTAATATTATAATAAATAGACCATCAAACGAGAAGATAATCATGATCGTTTATTAATCATGTCAATCTTCAACACCATTTCAAGACACTGTCAAAGCTCACCTTCATTGATAAAATGAAAACCGATTCATTTCTGGACCACCAGCCACCAAATAAAACCTCCCACTATGATATTCAAAAGAAATTTTCTGGCAATTATTCGCATAGAATGAATTTGAAGTGATATGTCATATGTGTTTAGAATTTAGAATCATAAACTTTCAACAGGAAGTCAGGATGGGCACTTCCTTTTACACAATCTACTGGTCTATTAACGAAACTGGATTAATTATGTTTCATGTTTAAATTTCCTTTTCTCGCAGTGCTATGTTGTGTTTAGTGTGTACTATATACACCATTTATAATTTAGAAATGAAAGCACTGTTCTCTGCATTCGTATACACCCTATAGCAGAAAATTATAAACCAATTATCAAATTTTGCGTAGCTTGGAATTGCAAACCAAATGAAGGTCAAGCACAGCCTTACGTTGTAAATTTGCTAAACCTATTGCAAAGTAAAGTAAGAATTCATCAGTTCTTATCACCTCCCCCTTTTACCAATTTGTTAGAATTCCATAAAAGTGTATTTCGCATTTAAATCTAAATGTTTTTGTATGTTATATTGAAAAAAAGGAAATTAATACGAATTTTGAAATATGATTAGTACTGTCGTCTTTGTGGATGTAATATTAAACTAAATGGATATTAATTTCCTATCAACATAGCACGACAAATTTAACAAGAAATATCGGACCGAGATCTAATGGTCTAATCTTATAAAATACATTGGTTGTAAAAAAATGCCTAAAAATCATTACTGCGAGTTTTTACAGAAGTGTGTGAAGTCAATCTATGGAAACGATCAATCAAGTGAAATGTGTACAAATTTGCAAAGTTTTGTAATTAGTGCCATGCTATATATCAATGTTTCAGGTAATCGTATGAGAATTTCAACAAGTATTGTGAACAATGTCCCAAGTTCATTTTGAAGTTTTTGTTTTGAACATTAATTTTAACATGCCACTGACGCCATGCCATCAGTGGCGGATCCAGTGCACGTCAAAATAAATTAAAGCTCCTCATTCCTCAATTCCAAATTTAAATAACATTCAGAAAAACACGATTGGTTTATAATTTCTAAAGACTGTAATTCTACCAATGGATTTGCCTCTAAGGTGTTTAGAAATGTAAATATACGCCAAAAATGTGTTGCAGTAATTTATTTTGACGTAGTTTGGATCCGCCACTACATGCCACTGCCACTGATTTTTGTTCTGAATTTTAACCAGTCTCTGACGTGTTTTCACTCACTTCACTGTAGCGATTTTACTTTTGGAGTAGTCTTCTTCTGAGAATAATTGCCGACACCATTCCACGACATGACAATGTCTTTGGCATATTACTTGTTTTTTTTATCTTGGTCGAGTTTCAAGAAAACAAGACGACGACTTTTGGAATTTGTTTTATTTTGTATTTCGTAGCTAGCCCAGATTGTTCTGATCAAATAAATAGCTCTTCGTTTACTTAGTGGTATTGGAATGAACTGACTGAACTCCAACTATTGATGTAACGATTATGTATACACGTCAAATGTCGTTATTGTAACGATTGTAGCACAATTCAACATGCTTAAATTTGTAAAAAACTGTGTAACATTTATTCGACAGTTTGAAACATTCACCTTTATAAGAACTAACAATTTCACCACCAACTAGTGCATAATCCAAAACATGAAAATATCTGGAATTTGAAATTCATAATTTAAATTTCATGGCGTATATATAGCTCATAAAATATGGTCTTTATTGTTAAAACTACATCAAGTTTTTGAGCTCCACTCAAATATTCAACGTCCTTGAACTAAAATTTGTTCATAGCTATTTTTTTCAAATATAGCATTAATTCATACAGTATGATAACTACGTGCTGACACAGGCGTTGTTGAAAGATAACATATTGACAAGAAGGGGTCAATATTGGTACGTGTCGTAACAACTCGTACATTTATCGAACTTCACTTACGCTTTATTGAGCTTTGATTGTGCTTGTTTACATTACAAATGCACAGTTAAATATACCATACGCCTTACTAAATGCTGTTTTTCCCTCAATGAAGGGCATCTTGGTTTTTGTAACTTGTTTTTCAAACTTAAGCACAGTAATTAGAAACTGGTAAGCATAGCTACTCTCCTGTGGCGGTGGATGTGAGGATGATTGCAACTCTTTTAATTGCTTTGGTCATTAAACAAAGAATTGCCATACTGTAGACCCATTTTAAGCAGTCAATCTTTGTTAACGGTCACGTGATAAAGTCACAAAATTTCTTCGATCGGGTGACTAAGTCACAAAAATTTTAAAATATAAATATTATTTTAGAACATTAGGAGTAAGCACTGAATACATTAAGAGTGTTCTCAGTTTCCGTCAAGCCCAAAAAAACTAAACTTTAAAAAATATTTTCTTGAGGAGATTTTCTGTCTCATGGGCGTTGGAAATTGCTGTTTCCATGCTCATAAAGATACATACATTGTACTGTATAAAGATATAAACATTGTACTGTATAATGATATGTACATTGTACAATATAAAGATATATACAATCTACTGTATAAAGATATGTGCATTAAACTGTATAACGTTTTAGGTAACACTTATACATAAATTTTACGTCATTCAAATAAAATAAAAATCACGTTTAGAGTCTATATCTTGGTGGCAGGCCTGCGAAACGCTTTATTAAAAGATTTTGATAAAAGTGAAATATTTAATAATGTTCTGAATTTATCAAAAGTTATATCTTTGTCTACATCTTTCTCTTCATCAAAATCTACATCTTTGTCTACATCGAAAACTACATCTTTGTCTTCATCCTTGTCTGCACCGAAAGCTACATCTTTGTCTGCATCCTTGTCTACTTCAAATGAAAACTACATCTTACTTCACATTCTTGTCGTCTACATCAAAAGCTACATTTTAATAATAATGATGATGATGATTTTGATGAAAGCCTTGAAGTTCTATTCATCTGACGTATAGAATTGGCATAATATAGACACGCAAAGGTCCTAGCTTCTCAAGAAACAAAATTGATTAAGTTTTTCATGTGGACGTTATCTTTGGCGTGCTAACTAAAACAATATATCAAGCAACATAGTGCTTTCGAGCCTTTCGAGCTGAGAGTCTGGGAGTAAGAAATTTTAACTATTATACGGATGCAAACATTGTATTTTAAATTCTTCCAGCACGTATGTGAAGCTGGAGTGTTTGCCAAATGTTTTGTTGTAGTATTTTGCGCGCAGCATTTTTTACTGTCCAGTTTTGCCAAGTTTGAGTGAATGAACATATATTTTGTATGTGCACGCAACAGTAATTCTTATGTAAAAGAAAAACAGATTCCATGCAGACTCCATTATTCATATTCCAGAACCAGATTTCATAAAACAGATTGAAATTCAAGTAAACGAAATTTTTTTTTATTCTGCATTATCTGAAGTTGTCTGCTTTTCATGGTTGTTAATACTCATATCTTGTAGAATCACACATGTTTGTGACACATGGATATTAGACATATATCTAAGAAAATATTCGCGGTATTTTCATGCTAATTCTGATGACTATCTATACTTTGCATGTGCTTTGCGTATTTTGATTAAAGACAACAAGCATTAGCTACTTTGGGCAGATTTAACATTTCATAACATGTGAACCAAGTTTTGTGTTATTATGAATGGACTTTGTGGTAGCTTTATTGTTTATATATTTTGTATTAGCGTTAAACAGTATCTCCGTGGCTACAGTTTCTAATACAAGAATGCATGGTCAAAGGATTTTCTAGGTTCATCCAGGGGCATAGACAAAGGGAAGGCTTAACTCCTCCAAAGAACAGACGTAGTGCCCTAGAAGTAGGGCGAATGGAATGGGAGGGGCGATACGAACATAGTTGAGTACCTATAAGTCTAACAGTAGAACTAAATGTCTTCAGGTATTACTAAGCGTACTCACTTTCGTTTGAGTATTTATTCGCGTAATCCCAGTAGAACATTCTATTGACATATTCACCAAAAAGAATGAATTTAGCATGAAAATACCACGTGTTATAGACGTCTTCAAGATTCTGATAAAAGTAGTGCTATTTAAGGTATTAAATTTACGTCTGTAACGCTCTAATTACTTTGAAAGTCGTCCTTATTCGAAGTACTTTTAACAGTTGCTTTGTATAATTAAACATAAAAATAATGCTTTTTCAGTAACAAATAACTTTCAGAAATCACACTGAAAATTGCAACAGAGGGACATTAGATTTAAAAAGTTTCTAAGCGGAGCATGCCCCCTATTAAGGCTCATGCTTTTGGTGTTTGAAAATATGCCCCTCCATAAGTTCGTGTCTGGCTACGCCACTGGATTAAAACGTGTCTGTGTTGCATATCTTGGCAGATTTTACTTACTATATATAAACGCTGCACGCACAATATACATCAACGGTTTAACAGCATTCTAATATTTGTAAATATTAGAACAGCATTCTAATATTTGCACCTCCAACCCACAAGGATTTGCTTGGTCTCTATTTTAAATATCATCCGTTCTTTCCAAACCATTTCAGAATATCTAAAAGATGGCATCGATCCGAAATAAAGTTGCAGTGTTGCTGTTATATGTTGTGTTGACTGACAGCCGTAGGAATGCATCAAAGAATTGTACGAATGATACAAAATGTATGTTATAGAAAATACGAGCATTTCAATGTTATTTGTCTTTCTTGTGATACCCTTTGCTAATTTTATTAATATACTTGCATTCTCTATGCATAAATATAAAGTCTTATCAAAACTTATTATTATGGCTAAAGCTAGAGTAATAACTTAATTTTTCATGAGGACTTAGTTTACCACATGTCATTCTTAATTTTAAACAATCACATCAAATCATGAACGCATGTGACTGTCTTATCTTGCACATATAATGTCATACATGCTCAAAATCATGATGCAAACATGGTTATAATTAAACAAAAAGCAGTGATTGATAAAAAATATATTCAATACAGCAGCAAAGCCTGCAAGTTTTTGTGAAGCAGTTTTAAAAGTGAATAAACACTTAAAAGTTTACGAAGAAGAAATTTATAATCGAACAGGGCTTTATTAAGAAAAAAACTATACACTTTACAGCTTTTCATCGTGTTATAGTCATTGTTATAGGATGACAAAAAACA